TCCTCATCGGCATATCCGATCGAGTTGAGTGTTTTTTTTCGATTATGATATCATTCTGATTTTCTCCTGATTTTTTCCCTGACTTTTACGATTTTCCTGCGCATTACCATTCGCGCAGATTTGTGCCTTCCGATGATGTTTTTGTATACGAATAAAACCGCAGTTTTATTCCCGTTTGTCTTTTCCGTCTGATCTTCCCATTACGGGACCGTTATACACGCCACCACGTGTAACAGTAGTAAAAGAAAAGAGAAACCGTCAAAGCTCCCTGTGAGAAAACCCTATAACTGTAGTACAGGAGATGGCTACCATGCAGGTTCCCAATATTCCACACACATTTCTCCACACAAAAATTTTGGGCACCCAGTGCACCGTAGACTCTATGGTATAAGAAAAAACCGCCCTAGAAAGCGGCTACCCAATCCTGCTCACTACCAACCAACCAATCCGAATTGCGCAAAGTGATCAGTAATCCAGATTATTAATTATTCTAGTGCTTTAATTCTAGCGTGTATTACCTGTGACTATCAATTAAAAAAATTCGAAATTAACATTTTTATGGATAAGAACCTGATATTTCCTTAGCAGAGATAAAATATCAGCCACAACTGCTATCACATTTTCCAATCGCCTACAAGTTAAAAAGCGACGAGAAGGAATACGCATATTAATTCAAAAAATTATGATTTTTTTAATAGCATAATTTGTTTGTAGAGTGATATACATAGGTAATGATATACATATACATAGGTGATGATAAACTGCATAACATTAGATTTTTGATTACTCGATGAGAAACAATTAAATACTCCGTTCCATGTATCCTGATAAATTTTATTTTGGTGTGCAGGAAAATGACGACAGTATTTTATGCGACTACGAAAGCAGCATATGTACTCTATGTCACAAAAAGCAAAGTTTTCACTTCAGGCCATACATCGAGGTGTACTGCAGGCTGTACCTCAAGCAATACTGCAGGCTAACATTAGGCTGTACTACAGGCATTCCCACTGACTAAACGTACTGCACTACAGGAACAGTAACACTAAAGGTTGAACTACAGGGAGTACACTATGTTGCACTATGGGTTGTACTACAGGCAATACATTAAACAAACGAGCAAATAAAAGGAGCACATCGGACTATGGTCGTAATGCACAAGATATCAGCAAAGCATCCTGAATGTTTTTATTCACATTAAAAATAATGCACAGCGTTAAAATAAAATTCGGTAAACCGAAAGCCCGGATACATATTTGGTTCATAAAATTTAAGACTTTAAAAATTTAAGCAGTGCATCATATTGATTAATGTTTGTCGTTGGTTAATGATACTGGTTTGTAAGTTTGTTTGAAGTGATACATCTTAATTTTTAAGGTACATCTATTCCCGAAATACCAAATACTCTATTAACATTTTTCGCAAAAAAATCAATACTAAACACTACAGGTTGTATTCTTCTCTCCATTTACGACTTTGTTCTAGCAATTACTTCTTTTAAGCGGTTACTACTTGCAACATTTAACACAATTAGAATGAAATCAAAATAACAAATATTTTTCTGGATAAAAACTTAATATGTCATTAACTAAGATCAAATATCAGCCAAAATTTTTTCGCATTTCCCTATAACCGACAAGCAAAAAAGCGAAGATAAGCAATATGCATTTAACTGAAAAAAGTTTGAATTTTTTTGCTGGGATACGTGAATGATTAGTCGGAAAACCTTAGATTTTAATTGTTTCTAGATAAATAAACTTACAAACCGATATCATAAACAGCCAACAAACATTAATCAATTTGATGTTCTGCTTAAATTTTTAATTCTGTGAATCAAACATGTATCCAGGCTTTCGGTTTACCGAATTTTAGTTTTACGCTTTGCATTATTTCTGAATGTGAATAAACCAAATTAAAAAAATATTCTGGATGCTTAGCTGATATCTTCTGCTTCATGGCAATAGTCCGGCGTGCTCGTTTCTTTGCTCGTTTGCCTGATGTACTGCCTGTAGTACAACCTGTAGTGCAGCCCACGGTACAACTTGGTGTACTGCCCGTAGTTTAACCTTTAGTAGTGTAACCTGTAGTACAGTACGTTTAGTAAGTTGGAATGCCTGTAGTACATCCTAATGTTTAGCTTGGAGTACTGCTTAATGTACAGCCTGCAGTACACCTCAATGTATAGCCTGTAGTAAAAACTTTGCTTTTTGTGACATAGAATACATATGCTGCTTTCGTTCCTGCACAGCATAATAAAATTTATCAGGATAAATGAGACAAAATGTTTAATTGTTTCACGCCAAGTAATCGAAAATTTGATATTCTGCATACTATCATAACCTATGTTACCTATGCATATCACTCTACAAAAATATTATGATACAAAAACATTCATAATCTTTGCAACGAATATTCCTTTTCGCCGCTTTTTAGCTTGTCAGCTAACGGAAAATTTGAAAGCAGTTGTGGCTGATATCTTATCTGAGCTAATAAGGATCAGGTTGTTATCCAGGAAAAAAAGTTTTATTTCGAATGAATTTTCATTGATAGTCACAGGTAATAAATACTAGAATTAAAGCAACTAGAGCGATTGATAATCTAGGGTACTGACCACTGTGCGCAATTCGGATTGGATAGTTGGTATTGAGCCGGATTGGTAGTCGTTTTCTGGGGCGGTTTTTCGTATACCATAGAGTCTACGGTGCACTGGGTGCCCAAAATTTTTGTGTCATTTCTCCAACACATGGCCTCTGGGTGTAAAAGTCTTGTAGGATCTTACATTTGAAAATCAAAGCGTCCTTTTTTCAAAATTTCCAGTGAAAGTTTTGTTTTTGTTTCTTGAATCAGAATCCGAAAGAAGAGGCATAATTAGCAATTGTTGTTGTCAAGCTGAGCGAGATTGTAAAAATTCTTGTTTCGGTAAGTGAACTTGATTTGTTTGTCACATCATCGCTTGCTGAAAGCAAAAAAGTTTGGGGCCCGTCCGTCCTAACCCGCTGATCTTCTTCACTGCAAGAATTAGTATAGATATTAATTATAAATAAACTAATACAAATTTATAAAATTTTTCTTAGGGAATCCTATTCCTCTGTCAAGTAAGTCTTGTTCCACCTTGTTTCGTATATACTAAATCTGTCTGCACGTGAGCTATAGTAGATATCATAATGTCAGGTCTTTTGTAGGAGCAGCACGGGTACTGTGCAAGTTGTGCTAAAAATGTACATAGATAGTAGATGTTAATCAAAAAACAGAATGTAATACTGTGTGCATCAATTTGAAATTGTGCTTACTTCGGAGGCCTGATAACGAATGTGTTGTTGATTAGCGTAATTACACAGGTCAGTTGTTCCTACGTCCGAAAGATGCTGAATTTCGTCGTGCGCTCTGCGCACATTCTGAAGGCAGGACAGTTGATCACGGCACAGTCCGCCCGTAACATTCATCCTCGATGGGGGCATGTCATCCCGATGCCGCCTAAAGTTCAAATTCCTTTTGCTGAAAAGATGGCATTGGGGGCATTTATGTGCTGTGGAATGATATCCATTCCCGTCTACGTCTTCTATAATTTGGAGTACTATAAGCGCGGTGGACAGGTGCTTCCTCCGCCGGAACCAGTGCAGGCGCCCGAGCCGGATATGGTGTATGAAACTGAGAAGACATTGGCGGAACAAGAGTTGGTCGCAAGAGGAAAAGCATAGAGTCATTGAGCGTTCTAATTTTGCCGGCATTGAACCGGAGTGTGCATTTTATCCTGAGTTTTAGCATGTCTATGTCACTGGATTGCGAATTTGTGGTGGAAGGACATGTGTGCTGTTCAGTTCACCGGTAGTATTCTAACCTTTGTGTACAGCTCGACTTGCTAGCACTATACTAAAAAACCAGAATCCTGAATTCAGAAATTTCGCGGCTTTTCCTCGCTGTTGAGTGTTTGATAGAATCTGCATTTGCAGTAATACTGTATTTTTTTGCGTATTTCTGCATTTGTTTTTTGGCATTGCGCTCGTCAAGTTTTGAGTACTGTACTTGTTACTCACCTAAATAGGAATATACAGATTGAAATAATCCATACAATGTGTTCTCTTTCCAATATCCAAACAATTTCCGACACTATAAAAATTTGTTAATTTTGTATATAATTTTATGAATTTGGTATCGCCTCGTTGCTGTTATATTAGTTCAAAATTCAAATGTAGAGCGGGTAACCCATTTCCGGCCCAGTTGGCATTTTAGAGTGGGATTTCGAAAGAGTTCATATTCGTATTTTCGGACAATAGAACAGTCCTTTTGCTGTTACTTTGCAGTTTAACAGAGAATCTACTGAAGTTGTAAATCATAGGTGTTTATGCAATTTTAGATAGCAGACGCTTTGCCATTATTGTATGGCCACTGCACTACAGCAATGTAAGGTGCACACTTTGGCGTAAGCGTATACTATGTGTGCAGTACTATGTTATTGTGCAGCAGTGGCGTTTTAAGCAATTTTATTGCTGATTTTACTGGCATTGCACCATTTGTGGACCCTCCGGTTGTCGAGCGACAACGTAACAGAAGCACGCGTGCGGTGGCCCATGCCACAGGCTGTTTTAACGTAAATCTTTGAAAATTCATAACTTTGTTCAATCCTGCATTAAATTTTTATGTATAGTCTTAAAAAATGCAGAATAATACATAGTATTAGGCAAAATAAATGTTTTCTGTTTCTTCTTTAGGGTAATGCAGTATGAGCCTCTGCGGTTAACATAGCCGCCTATGGAAATCCTCCATAGGCGGCTATGCTACTAACAGCACAATCCTGAAAGAAAAATTAAAAGCATTTCTTTTGCCTGATACTGTAATTATTCTGCATTTTTCCAGACTATGCATAAAAAATTTAATGGAGAATGAAAAGAATACAAAGAAAACAACCTGTGAACACACTTTTCGCTCAAATAAATAATCAACAATTAATAAATCAATAAAATTGCTCCACTGCTACATTAAATATTGCACTCATACTATAGGCATAAATGACCGACATATTCCGAAAGATCGCTGTGCTTTGCTTTGTGTGCATTGGCCTGACTTATGGATGCGATTGCTTACTGCAAACTGTTTTACACACGGGAGGATATTTTAGAATTTTGGAAATCGGAATTTGATTTCAAGTATAGTTTGCACTTTTTTCTAGGGAACTGTATTTGTGCATACGGTTGCTGCCTCTTCTGTTCGGTATTCTCTGCGTATGGTATTTCCCGTTTCAGATAAGATGATGCCATCGATCTAAAATCAGCAATTCAATTGGGATTTGCTGGTCTTCTGTGTTTTGGTGGCGCATCGAGAACCAAATCCGTAACTATAGCTGGCGTTCTTTGACTTCGTCATTGTCTTTTGTTTGGACATACCTGCTCGTCCAGAAAATGTCAATGACAAGCGAAGAGGTTAATCTTCTGATCTATCAGTATTTGATCGAATCTGGATTTACGCACACAGCTTTTAATTTTGTGCATGAGAGCCGCGCGAGCCAAACCAGTATTAATACCCAGTATATGTCCCCGGGAGCTCTGATTAAAATCATTCAGAAAGGAATACAGTTTGTTGAATGCGAAATCGCGGTGGCGACGAATACGAATGCTGCTACCTTTGAAGAGGATCAGTTATCGCTGATAGAAGCCGTATCTCCCGTGTTGGTTGCCAACCGCCAGAAGCGCTTACAAGAACAGTCCCAATCAAGACCACAGCATCCCAACAATTCGTCCGAGCGTTCTGAGGGCCGTCGTGGCAGTGAGGAGCCTCCCCATCGAACGCCTAAAGAAGGGCGCACCATGGTTATGGGAGAAGAAGCGGGACAGAGTGCAGCCACGGTGGCGGCGACGGAAAAGAGCAAGGAAGAAATGGAGACAACCATTTCTCCTACGCGGGCTAAATTTCTCCGCGGCCATGAATCGGAAGTATTTATCTGCGCATGGAATCCTAAGATGGATTTATTAGCGTCGGGATCCGGTGACAGTACAGCGCGTATTTGGGATTTGGTGAATCCAAATGATCCTGCGAAAAGCGTCACGCTGTGGCACGCTGAGCGGAAACCTAATGCGCAGCAAATTGAAACACAGAAAGGTGTTCATGACGTGACTTCGTTAGACTGGAATAAGGAAGGCCAGTGTTTATGTACAGGTGCGTGTGAATCCTTACTGAGCAGAACGCATTTGCATGGACCGAGAAGAAAGGCGGTGAAATATGATATGCAACTAATATTTTTTTAAAAATATTTCGCAAATTTTGTGTATTGCATTGTGCAAGTGGTTTGATATCATTGCAGGATCGTATGATGGTTTTGCGAGGATATGGACTAACAACGGAGAACTGAAAAGCACATTAGGTGCCCATAAGGGGCCCATATTTGCTTTAAAATGGAATAAAACCGGATCGCACATTTTGAGCGCGGGTGTTGATAAAACCACCATTATTTGGAATGCAGCGGAAGGCAAAAAGGAGCAGCAGTTCGCCTTCCATAATGCTCCGGCGCTGGATGTCGATTGGAAAGACGATAAGACGTTCGCATCGTGTTCTACGGACCAGTGCATCTATGTTTGTCGACTCAACAACGACAAGCCACTAAAAGCATTCCGTGGCCATGTCAACGAAGTAAACGCTATTAAATGGGATCCTCAGGTACATGTATATTGAAAAGTGCCTTGGTACGACATATGTACGCTAAATGTACCTAAGCACTACCTACCTATTAACGCAGTGCCATGTGTAGAAACAAGATAGACACGCTACAACTTTCGCCATTGCAGGGTCGCTTATTGGCATCTTGCAGCGATGACCAGACCCTGAAACTGTGGAGTATGGATAGTGCTAACGCAATTCATGATCTGCAAGCCCACAGAAAGGAGATTTATACTATTAAGTGGAGTCCATCCGGACCTGGAACGGAGAATCCCAACTGCAACGTTATGCTAGCTAGCGCATCGTTCGATACGGTACGTGATAAATTTTGTGCTACCATAGATCGATTGAGTGAGCCAGCTGTTTGAAATCTCCTGTAACACGATTAATGTGTTATTCTCGAAATGAATGCGGAATTTCTAATAAAATTAATGCCGATGTGCTTACTGGAACGCCTATCCATGGGCAACATTTGTCGATAAATACTTTTCAGAATCTGTACAATTATTTTTACGTTCTAGACTATTCGCATCTGGGACGTGGAGCAGGGTATTTGCATCCATACGCTAAGCAGACATTCCGATCCTGTTTATAGCGTTGCATTCAGTCCCGATGCGCGCTTGCTGGCTTCGGGATCTTTCGATAAGCATATTTATGTTTGGTCGACGCAAACCGGTGCACTGGTTCAGCAGTATACTAGTACGGGTGGAATCTTCGAAGTATGTTGGAATCATCGGGGCGACAAGTTGGCTGCCAGTGGATCGGACGGTTCGGTTGTTGTCCTTGATATGCGGAAGATGTAACGCGACAGTAATTTGCCCTTACAGCAACTTGGTTATTATGTCTCTAGGTCGAAGCCTTAGTTTCTCCCCAATTTTTATACTTTATTCTTTTATATGTGGATTTTCGTATACCATTGTGCATTTGCTGTCTGGGGGTTAAGGGTTGTATTATCGGTGTAGATGTTAAGTTAGTTATAAGTCTATAATTTTGCGTTTTGAGTTGTTGACTGTTTCAGTCTTTTTTCCATTTTTATTTCGTTTGTCCGGCAGCAAATTGTGCAGACCCGTTTGGCATTTGGCTGGCAGATACGGTACAAGTCAGTGTAAACGCAGCATTGTGTTGCCACCTTTTAAATGTTTTTCTTTAATATAAATGCATACATGGTATTTGCGTGAAAGGTTGAAAAGTCAGCATGATCGAAAAAGAACGCTTGAAATGAGCTACGTATAGCATAAAATGGTTTGAGTGGATTGGAAGTGCGGTTTCTGTTAGCTGTATACTGCTTAAATTTTTGAAATCTAATCACAGTTGTAAAGAGGTAACAACACTGATAAGAAAATCCGTATAATCTTGACAGTTTAATCAAGAAAACGTATGCGTGTAAAATCAGAACGTTGAAATCCAGGCTACATTCGACAGATTTTTGGAACTTAGTTTTAGTGAAAAATCTAATTTTTCCCATATTTACATGGATTAAAAAAGTTCAGGAATCATTGTATAATCATAATTCATAAGCATTAAGCACAGTGCTTGCAAGAGGCCCAACAATTTTGGGAATGTGTACGGGACGTAATATGATCATGTTCAGCAGCGCTTTAAAATTTGTATTAATTGTACAAAAAAACTTGGCGTTTATTATGTTTATTTTCAGAATAAATGTAAATGTGTAGTGTGCCAGTTAAATTCTGCGCTTGTCCACCATATTACTCCATTCATCCGAGTATCGTAGGTATGACTGCATTGAACATTAATTTTAGGATTGCAACACACCGCACGAGTTTTGCGTGAATGCAGTTTTCATTTTACCACAAGTACTGTACTTACATGAACTGGCGCGGGATTATGAAATCTGAGCCACGTGCTTCTTACCATTAACTTACATCGTAAAAAGTTGCAATTCCGGCTTCCACATTCATAACCTTTGTGTCGCTTTTCACGTTGTGAGTAAAGGCATCGTAACCATACTTTGCCGGTTTGTAGTACAGTGTGGTAAAGTCTCGTATTAAAAGTGTTATCAAAGCTAATGGCTACCAGTATGAACATATTTGGAAGAAAGATTGTGCGCAGTAAAATTAATAAAATTTAAGAAGGCAGCAGTATCAACTTGGCTTTACCACGCTGTATGTACCGGTTATAAGTCCGGCTAGTTCATTCGTTGTAAGTTTACGCAATTCTGCAAACCACTCGCACATCAATTTTCCACTAGCCAAAGTGAATACGTACTCCTGCGCCATAAATCAGTAGCAAAAAATTCAAATTTTACGACAATGTACAGTACCAACATAAGTACTTCGTTGTTGTCAAAATGAACGCAGTTTCAAATGAGTTTACAAATGTTAGTGAAGTTTTGATCGAGAGTATGCCAAGCGAGTGTGCTACAGATAATTAAACGTCGTCAGATTCCATAACCGGGTTGGCTTATCAGCAAATTCGTGGTTTGTTTACCAATATCAAACTTTTGTTAGATGGATTATTAATCGCTCCGTTCAGTTACGTCTCTCGGGTCGATGGATGGAAATTTGTAGCTATTTGGTAAACCGGAGTTATTGGAGTGTGCTTCACCTTCATTATATAAAAATGACGCCATGTCTTCCCATACAATGCAGTTGATCCTATTATGATCGATATATATATCGGCTACCGTGCAAAGTACTCTATTGACAAAGGTGTTTAATGATTTATCCCTGAATTTCTACCGGATTCTACGACGTTCCCATAACTGGGTGAGCATCAAAAACTTCTGAACAATAACTGCTAGTTTTAACTCGCTGTTAGTTTTGAAAACTCTTGGTCATCCGTGAATTTCCACCAAAGCAACAGGTTTTATTTTAGCGATTCTGTGCCGACTTTCCTTTTGCACACGTTGATTATTTGTAACAGTTCAGAAGTTCAGCGGCTGTCTACAGCACTATAGCATGCGCCTCCGAAAAATGTTTTTCTGATTTCTGTTATTTGTAAACATTCTTTGTTCTAAAAAGTTCATTCGGACATCAGTTGGAATTTGAAGTCTGTAACCCTAGCTGTAGCGGAAGTGCGAAATTTGGGATTTTATATTGCTTCGATTTTTGTTGAGAAAATGTTTGTGTTTACGAGTGTTAAAGTCTGCAGCTTGGTATTGGCTACAGTCTATATTTATAGATACAGCCGGCCATGAAAAGATAAAACTGCAAAATTTTATTTCATATTTTTGCTTTTAAATTTTTTTTCGGAGTTTTTCTCTGTTAGATTTGGCAGTTTATGCCTTATTGGTTATAAAAAGCCCAACTATTGTTACTGATTTCGAATTCAGAATGAGCTTAGAACAAAGAAGGTTTACAAATAACACAAATCAGAAAAACATTCTTCAGAGGCGCATGCTATGCTGCTGTGGATAGCCGCTAAACAATATATGAAAATTAATATTATTCTCACGAATGTTTTTATGTATTTTTATCGATATATAGTGCTACAAGTGGTAACGATGGCGCACGACAACCCCGGGTACATCCTCATTCTGGACATTGGGTCGACCTTTATCAAATGCGCTGCATTCAGCATTGTGGAAAGTGATGCCAATACAATGGGAGAAAAGGTCAAAGAAAAAAGTTTAGCTTTCGTTGGAATCTCGCGCCAACCGACACCCACTGTCCATAATCCCCAGCTGAAATCCTTCGAGATTGACCCAGAAATCTTGTTCTCCCGCATATTGGCCGTCATTGAGCAGTGTCTGGCCGATTACTACATTGACTGCGGCACCGTGGCCTGCATGGGCATCACGTCGCAGCGCGGCACCTTCCTGACATGTGATGCAATTTCCTGTCAACCCTATCAGCCCTTCATATCATGGAAAGATGGGCGCGCTGTCAATATCGCGCAGACGTGGTCACATTCCTTCGTCAGCCGCTGTGTGCGTTTACTGGGCAAAGGCATCACCACCGTCGTCGACTGGAACCGCGCCATCATCATGTCGGCCATCTACTTCCGTCCCAATCATATCCTTCCCCGACTCGGCTGGTCCATTCGCAACGTGCCGGGACTGAAGCAGGCCATTAAAGACAAGGAAGCCCGACTGACACTGCTGGACTCGTGGGTGCTGCGCAAGTTCACCAATGGAAAATCCTTTAAAGTCGACTACTCAATGATCAGCTGTACCGGACTGTTCAATCCAGCCACGAAACGCTACAGTCGGCCGCTCTTATGGGTGTTTAATATTCCCCGGACCGTTCTACCGGAAGTGGTTCCGACAGTTTCAAAACAGTTCGGTCATATTGACGAGAATTATTTTGGGTTTAAAAGACCGATCTCGTGCATGGTAGCTGACCAGCAAGCCGCGGCATTTGGGCATTTTTTGGTGCAGCCGGGCGATGCCAAATTAACCATCGGCACTGGATGCTTCCTTAATGTCAACTCTGGAGGAAAATTGGTTTTTGATCTGCCCAACAATATCTATACGATCATCGGCTGGACTTTAGACCATGTGCAATCGTCAGTCTATCTGACGGAAACACAGGTTGACGAATTCAGTCGCATTGTCACGCAGTGTTTCGAGAAAGATCTGGGATTGGAGCAGTGCCGAGAATTTCCCGCCGCCATCGGTAGTTTGCCGTACTTCCTCGATCGGCCCTGGGTTTTTGTATCTGCAGAGGGAAATGTTGTACCGGAAGATGACATTCCTTTGGAAGTTCAAAGATACCTCGTCTTGGAGGCATTAGCATTTAAAATCGTCTTTCGGATAGTCTTGGTAAATCGCTTGGTGCATGTAAAATATCCCTTGCGAGTGGACGGTGGTTTGTCATCGCTTTCCTTGATGCTCAAAATTGTTGCCACTTTGGTTAACGGTTCACTGGAACGTTCGACGATGACTGAAATGACCAGCTTTGGAGCAGCACTTTTAGCCGGAATGGGAGCTGGCTTTTGGGATTTGCGCGATGTTGAGAGAATGACCGCAGCTGTTCCGAAAGAAAGCATAGTTCCCGAAGAACAGTGGAGAACGGCTCTAGCACAACGGCAGGCACTATCCCAAAAATTGTCTCTTGATTTTGTTTAATATGCAGAAAAAATTATTAGCATTTTTTTGTACTGTGAGATGAGTTTTGCTCAAACACAATTAAATTTGTTGTTACATAGTTTTATTGTGTGGATTTAATTTGTACTACAAATACTGATGTTGATGGTGTGGCAGAGAAATTAGTCAGCCAAACATGAAGTATTAAACTGCTTTTGACGAATTTACCACTTGTACAGCAAAAAATCTATGCAAGCACTGAAAATTATGGTCAAACAGAAATATTTTCATAATTATACAGGGTATACAAAGAGGGCATAATTTTTATTTGCACGATCGAGCGTGAGTTTCCTAGAAATTAATTTAATCTGTAAGGGCGGTCATGGCGCTTTTCACGACCAGTTTAATTTTTCGTTGTACGCACTGATGTTTAGGAACGATAGATTGGGTTTACTCGTAGTGGGTTAAAATAATAATTTAAATAATCGAGCGGGCGAGCGAAGCGAGCCCGCGATTTTTCTTAATAATTATTATTAATTAATTATCGTAGTGGGTTAAAATAATAGTTAATTACTTATGAGTACGTGATCAATAACCACAGTAAGTACGTACTTATTAATTTTAATAATTAGGAGCCATAGGGCCGGCATAGGCCCATACTAACCATAAGCACCAAGTACTACCTAGTACTCGTACAAGTACTATGGCTTCTCATGGTACAGGCAAGGGTACAGGGTATTGCTGTATGTTAACATGTCGGCGCGCGCATCCGCTTCACTTTTCAGTTTTCACAACCGTCGCCGATTTATAGCGTAAAATTTGGAGAAATACTTATCCGATCCTTCAGGAGGATTATTCGCAACTGACTTAATGCGCGAATCCAGATTGCAGTGAGAAATTAGCTAGTAGCTGAACGTACTTTATTTCCTGCTGCCGGTTTTGAAAGCAGTTGAGTAGGTGTTCTAGTGAGTTGTGCCAAACAAGAAACAAGCGGGATAACTTGGTCAACATTGCGCCCAAGTGACCGAGAATGTTCGAGGTCACCGATTCCAATGAAGATCTTCAATCGATCATAATAGAAAGCAGGGAGAAATCTGCAGGAGCATCCAATAAATTCACGAAGCCTCTGTCCGATATTTCATCATGGAAAGTCGGCCTTTTAACGGAGCTGGAAGTGTTGGTAAGGCGAACAGCTTGGCCGATATGTCCCTCGATTTTGTTCTCGCTGCGGACAGTTATGATACGTTCTTATCTGTTTTCACAGGACAAGGAGACCGTTTCCGTTAACGCAAAAGTGGAGCTGCTGGAAAAGAAGCTGATGGCTCTGAATCATGAGAAGGAGGAACTTCGCAACAACATCACCGACGAAATGACCAAGCGACTCGGCTCAATGGAGAGGTGAAAGCAGAGAATTGAAACACCGCTTATTATTTATTTATTATTATTATTTTTTCTTTCATTTGTATACGAATATACCAAAACTCCTATCTTGACAGACTGCGTGATCTGCGCGAAGCCATTACTGCGATCACAAGACGAGAGGATGAGCTCGGAAGAGTGTACTCCGACAGTAAGGAAACCGCCCTGCATATTTTCCATTGACTACGCCAGTTGATGCCATGCAGTAGCTTTAAAGCTGCGGCGCCATTTTTTATAGATTTATCGTTCCGCGAAATGGGAAAAGATTTTCAGAAGGAGTTTAGTGAGGACCTAAAGGTACGTTTACGTATCCAGGATCGGAACTTTCTTTTCTGAATATAGATTTTGCTTGTTGTATAAAGATCTGAATTAAATTTCAAGATTTGCCGATCAGGAAACATCACGAGAGACTAAAATTGTGCGCATCTGTTTTGTAGAAACTGGGCAATAACCTTGCTTCGTTTGGCGATGAACACCAGAAGAAGCTTCAGATTTTACAAGAACAGAGTAAGAATATTCGAGCCAATAAATTTGGTGATAACTTGTTGTAACTATAATTACCCAGATACACTTTTTCAGTGTCTTCCTTGGATGCGCAAGAATTAGACAAACGTAAAATCTTGAATGATCTGGATTCCGAGGTGATCTCATGCTGTCCAAATTTGCCTTTTTTTTCGAACGACATTATAAATTCCGTAGAGGTTATGTTTCCGGCTTTATAATAAATCATTCCGTTATTTTAGAAACATGGATTAGCTGCACGCGCTGATAAATTGACGGAAGACATCAGAAAGAAGGAGGTTCAGCTCCAAAATGATAAGCGTGTGCACGCTACCCTATGTGCTGAACGAGGTAATCCATGTTTGTAGTTTCGATGACCTTATGTTGTTTAACAATTATACACTAAATGTGGTCGAAAATCTCTCATGCAGATTCCATCAACACTGAAATCCGGAACGTGAGCGATGAAATTGTTCTGCGAGATAAAGAAAAAGAAGATGTTCTTGGCCAAATAAACAGTTATAAAGTAAGCGCATCAAAGTAAAGAAAACCTTTCCTGCTGTTTCTCGTAGTAATCTAACACTGATGCGACACGTAGGACGAGTTATCTGCTGATAACTATGCCCTTACTGGTGTGGAAAAAGAGCTCGAAGAAGTATCAGCAAAACTGGAATCCGTCATTGAGCTGCAGGAAAACGACACAACAAGTCATAATGAAACGCTCAAGGTTCTGGATGATGAAATTTCTGCAAAAGAGGCAACCGTGGGTCAGCTGCAGCAAAGGTCGGTCTCGAATAACGTTTGGCTGTGTATCAGCGTCTGTGCATTTATTAAGTTCGATTCAGAGCGAGAAAAAACAATTTTAACACCACAACCTTTCTCCCGTATAGCAGCATAGGAACTGAAGTCTAAATAGGTACTCGAATTTTTATTTTAGGATCTCGGAAATGGAAAGGGAATGTATGGATTACACAACTCATGAATCCGTACTTCAAAAGCAGAAGGGTTAGTAAATGTTGTCTTTTGGTTGCATACAAGACTCAGTAACATTCAGGATGTCTGTTTCTTGGACGATAATCAACGTTCAGCTCCAATCAGCTGTCCGAGAATGTCTATAAAAATTAATGCTTTCTGCTATTAGCCAATATTAATCAATCTACTATTGCAATGTGTTTAACACAATTTTTGATCTAATGCTTGCAGAAGATCAAATCAGTGATCTGTTAGTCGTTGAAACAAAGCTTGCAGCCGCCAATATCGAACAGGTTAGAGGCTGTTTTCAGTGTTTTGGTAGTTACGCTGCCGGAAAGACGATCACCATTACCAGGTGCAATGCTTGCATTACAAATGATCTGGTTTTTAAACAGAACGAGCTGACAGCAAAGTTGCTGGAAGCAGAATCAGCTTTAGTGGGAGCTGCGAAGGATTCAAAAGATCACGAAACTAAATGGGAGAATGAGCTGACTAGCCTTCAGGTTGCATTTTGAAAGCACATGTGAATATTTGGAAGCACATATGAATATTAATTTACCTGACTTCGTTGCGCTTTTCGTCTTCTCAATAGGATGAGCTAAAAGATCTGGGCGATATGCGGTCAAAGCTTGAAACAGAGATCGTAGATTTGCAAAAGGAAGAAGTGATGTTAAATGCCGCTTTGAAAGTGGAACAAGAAAGGCTTTTGGCGTTACCGATGAAGCGACCACTGCCACCGCCGCCGGCAGTGGTGAACAAACCAGCACCGAACAAGCGAGATCGTCCAGAATCTGGCCAAAATGTTCGAAACTTCAGCCAGCCTAGTGGAGATTCTGTAAGGAGCAGTTCTTATGCTACATCAAGATACAGCAATGTTGTTTACTATTTACCGTATCTTTTTACCAGTCGGATGAGGATTCCAATGTCAGCCTGCATCTGCCTATGCGAAGATCTGGAATGGAATCGGCTCCTGCTCGTCACATTGATCATAGCGTCAGCGTAAGATTCACGCCTTTGAATTTTTGATAACTAATGCATTTTAGTAAATGAAGTCTTTTAAAGCGGTACAATGTATGTGTTTTTAGCAACCAAAGCAAAAATTCCGGAAGTCAAAGCCACACGGAAGCGATAAAAGCGAAATGTTGGCCAGTCTGGATGATTTCTGATCTTCGTAGCCTATCCCCTTGCCTTTCGTGGAGCAGGAAACATTGTGCTGTGGAATACCTGTTTGTTGAACGACGAACTTTCTGTTATGGTAGAATCTTTTTTGCACCCGGAATTTGGAATTTTTTTTCCGCGGAAAACTAGCGTGTAGTGATTATTGTGGAATCCTTACGAATAAGTGACTTTTGTTTTTTTTCCCTTTTTTCTTTCATTTTCAGTTTATGTTTCTTCCTTCTGTTTTGCCGGTTCGGGGTAACTTACAGTGCTGTTTACTAATAATGATAACTATTGTAAATTGACCAAAATAAAGCATTTTCGATACTGTAAGGTCATGGTTGCCCTGCGCTTACTTTCCGACATTTTCCGACTTCCTTTTTGTCTCGTCATATTGATGACATTTGCGGTGCTTTTGCGCCGAACGGGATATTAACGGGATCATGCACTCAACTGCCCGATTTCCGGCTGGTTAATTGCGCAAGGAATTATCTGCCATTATGCGTAATCTGTTAATAATTTTCTTTCTCCTGGATTCCGGTGTGGTGATAGCGTTATCCCGCCAGTACCAATTTGAGGTCACGCATTTCAACATCGGGGATCAATAAATAGCCGGATTCATCTCTAGCAAGCATGCATATACAGTATTTATACGGGATGAACAGAGAAATGCTCTAAAGCTAACAATAAGTATTTTTCACAGAAATTTTTCTTTTCTTTCACTTGGCTGATTTAATCACTTAATGGCCGAAGTTAGCAAACGCTGATATAAGAATGTAATGGAGAACCGGCAGCTGTGACGCACGGAGCCGATCTTCTTCCCAAGTATGGAATACCTGCTGAAAATTCTTCTTGGTGTTTATGTTTTGTGCCGGCTTAAGCCGTTTTTCGCTACCTCCTTGGTGTCGGCTTTTACTTCATACGGCACCATTTTTCCGCCGTTGGATCCCAGTATCGTCCCCGAACTGACTGCCAATGCCACGATTATTACCATTTGCGAATTATGGGAAAACGACAGTATTCCTGTCACCCCGGGAATCGAAGTGGCGCTGCGCCGTATGCGACCCCATTTCGCCCGGCGCAATGTGGGCTTCGAGGTGCTTCGCTATCCGATCCCGCCGGGCTGTGGCGACGAAACGGTGCTGCAGAGTTCCCCGGGCCTGGTGGCGCTACATCTGAATCGCTCCAAACATGGCTGTTCACTGGTTATCGGGCCTAGTTGTACAGATGCCATGTACAATATTCGTGGACTAGCCATGAACTGGAACATAGCAGGTAAATGTTTTAAACGCAGTCCACTACGATCTGTAGAACTATGTATGCACTATGTATGTATGTGCTGCCTTTTAGCGCATACTGTCATATTTAGATAGTACCAACCGTGTCCTTAAAATACTAATAATTAAAATTTTGCGCACCTACTAACTTCGATATAAATATCGTATAATTGCGGTGTACTTTACATGCTAAAATTAATGTTTTAACTGAGCATTATCTTGATAATTACTGCATCATATAGTTTATTCAGGCAGCCAATTAACATAACAAGCAAGCGCGCGCCGATAGACACTAATAAAAAAACTGAGGTTTTATCATGCATTATATCATGTGCGGTAGCATAACACGGATACGCTATGTACTACTGAATACACATTCTGTTAATTACCGCCATAATATTACAAAATACACAGTATTTTGTAATATTATGGCGGTAATTCACGGAATAGTGGCCCCTGGTCAGATTTTTGAGATTTCGTATTTCAACGAATAATTTATTTACATCGAAAATTTTGGTGGATTTATTCACTTATCCGACTACAGATTACAGAACAAGCTGAATATTTTTCATTCCGCAGTAATGACTTCGGGTGCGAGCGGAATTAAATTTGAGGATAAAAATCGTACCAAAGTCCTGACACGCTTCGGCTACACCCAGGAGGACGTTTCGCTGTTCCTGATTAGGATACTGGATTATTTCAAGTGGTCCAATATTGTTATGGTGCGGTGAAAGTAATTAGGAGAAATCGGCTGCTAATAAGCCGCACATGCACAGAGCATGGAAAAATCCTATGGGTTACCCAAGTAAACGTATGTGCATTTTAAATTAAAAAGCGATTGTATAACAAAACATGGATGGAGTATGCACGAAAGCTATGCCTGACCGCCGAATGGAGTGTCAATTACGCGTTGTGACTAATTACAGTAATTTTTAGATCTATGATTACGATTCCTATGCAAAGGATTTTCAATCGTCTTTCCAGCAAATATTGCAGAGTTACCGAGTTGATTTGTACCAAAAGACAGATATGATCCAGATGATGTCTTCGTTGCGCACACTAACGCAGGATGGTTGGATAGACGAAACCTTGAGGAAAGCAAGCGAACGCGCCCGAGGTAAACGTTTGTTTTACGAGGCGGCTGATACAATCCGAAAGCTATTGTATCATCTGAATTCACTTATTATCATGCCGCCCACCTTACAATTCCCTTTGACGAAGGTCATTTAAATACCTACGTAAGATTGCGACATATGGTTTCTGTAAACCTTACAATAATAATTGTTAGCTTTTCATTGATATGGTACATATCGACAATTAGTCCAAAAGAATACCTTTTCCGAGTATAAGTATATCGATTTGAAACCGGGAGACCCATCACCGATGGCCATTTCCAAACATTCCTCATAAATAATTAGTAAAAAAATTCCGATAACGACGTTTAGCCTAATTAATGGTGTTTGTTTCAGTGATCATAATAGCAGCCATGGTAAGTTGGTAATTATACTTAGATAAAGTGGAGCGCAGCTTTGTAAGTTCCAATTTCCCTAAGTAATTTGTGTGAACTGCATTCTAGCCACCCATCGTGTATCAAGTTTTGGTAAGTCTGTATGAGTTATTGTACTGGTTTTATAAGTACTCTGTTACTCTGCATATGTCTCATCATTACGAAGAGGAAGAGTTTAGCCGAACAAAAACAAATAAAAATGTGTGAATTATTTTCCGTTTATTATGTTTCACGTAAAAAAACGTTAAACGTTCCACGTAAATATTACTGAAAAATCTGACATGCGTGAGAATCTTGTTTCTGGGCTTATTACAATTTTCAGCAAGCTGCCAAAAGACTTGGAATGTTATCGCCGGAGTATGTAAGTAATCTCACTGATTAAAAACATGCACGAAAAGGTCACTAGCGCGTCAGTAACTATCCAATTCCATTTCTACGGGCTTACTCGAGCTTTCTGCATAATGCGCATTACAAATAAAATTTCTACAAAATATAGCTGCATAAATATATTTTTTTGTTTTATTTAGGTCTATATTACAACAAATTTGATCGAGGCTCGATCCCACGGGTTTTCCGATCTGTCCTTTTTTGATGACAAGTTAGCCGCCGACCCGGTAACTGGAACTGGCATATGTTTTATTTATTACCTCCATAGTACCAAGCGTATACACCCGTTAATTATACTTGTATGTTTGTAGTCTGTAGAGTGTTGCTATTGTAATTTGCAGTTACAAAATATACGAAGCAAACACAGCCGACATGATAACAATGTTTAATGATTTTGGGAATGTTTAATGATCTTGCAGAACTCGCGAGAAATTTTAGACAGCCTTCTAGTTATACGAATGAAGATGCCGGCAGACAATCCCGCTGGTAAGCATGAATATGATGAATTTGCTGGCACCATCAAGGATATGTCACAACAAAAATTTGGCTACTCTTATGGTCCAAATGAACAAGTACGTATTCAGTAAACAACCTAACGACACCTGCTGCTTTTTGCATGTACATTTGTTTAAAAGTCTATAAACCAGTATAAATGTGGTAAATACTTCTAAAGCACCTGTTGGTTCTAAAGGTCACTCATCTGGTTCTTGGAATATGGGATGCAGTAATGTTTTACGGAGTGGTAAGTTGAACTGCTAACGGTCGTGGTTAGTATTCATGAAGCGAGATAGGCCAGGTATTTCGTTATGGAATACAGGCACTAAATCGGACCATGGCTTTGGGTGAGAATATCAACGATGGTCGGCTCATATCGTCGCGTATTTGGGGACACAGTTTTTATGGAGTTGCCATTGAGTGTACCATTAGTATTTATGGTGACCGAAATTTTCCATATTACTTACTGGATTTTGACCCCAACGAAACATCATTCAAGGTATCAAGTTGCAAGAGAATTTAAAATTGCTGTTGCACTCATGCATCGTCTGTAGTATGCGTACGGAGCTTGCCTCGTTGCTAGCTACAAAAGAATTAACGATCAAATCGCATTATCGCAGACTGTTTTTTTTTGCAAATTTTAACACACTTTATTTTTTGACAGCCCACCATTGAGCTGGATACTGAACAGTTGAAACTTGTCAAATTACGAAATGTGCATTGGCCGGGCGGCAGTGCCGAACCTCCTGCTAACGTGCCGAAGTGCGGATTTACCGGCCGCGATCCCGACTGTCAAAGTCACGAAAGTGTGTAAAACTGTTATTAGTTTTTCCACAGTAGATTACATTAATTAATTATATGAATACACTGATTCCGTTGCAGTAATACCCATCTACGGAATTATACTGCTCGTCATTTTTGGAGTTGCCATTATACTAGTTGGCCTTGGATTTGGAATCTATCGGTGAGTTTAAAATAAAAGGATTCACTTGTACTCAAACACTGCAAACATCGTTTTAATTGAGTTTCCAAATTTAGCTTGAAAGTGGTGCGGCTTAATGAAGATTCCTGGAAGGTCAAAAGCGCTGATATCGTAATGGTGGGAATGCAACTCATTTCAAAAGACGGCAAATTACAAATATTAAAGGTCAAAGTTCTTGAAAATCAATCTTTGCAGCGCGATCGCCATCCCGATAGCAGTTCAATAAAGGGCGTGACCAAGGAAGACCTGCGCACAAATCCGTCCAGTCACAAAGGGGATTCTCGCGCCAGCGCCATTTCGTACATTTCGACGGCGTTCTACAAAGAGTCGGTTGTCGCGTTTAAGAAGCTGGAAGTGCCCACTGTACATATTTCCCCGCAAACCTTATTTGAACTGCGCACCGTAAGCTATTCAATGATTCACTGTAATCCAGTATTAGTTATTTTTAATAGCCTTTTTGGTGTGCTTTCTGGATGTGACGCGTGTACACTACTTTCAGATGAAACAGATGATGAACGAGCATTTCGCCAGGTTTATCGGTTTATGCCCGGAAAGTGGCAACTCTTTCATTCTTATGGAACACTGCCCACGAGGAAGTCTCACCGACCTGATTGATAACGAGTCAATAAATCTGGACTGGTCTTTCAAATTTTCCCTTTTGAATGATATAGTTAATGTAAGTCAGAATCACCAATTATATAAGTTCTTGTATAGTACATGATTATTCACGAATAAAATTATAATCTACGGCCGTTAAGAAACACGTTCCGTTTATTGCTCGTTTTATTTCTGCTCGGATGAAAATAATTATTAATTTCCCTAATTTTAGGGCATCGTTTTCGTGCATAACACAGACATTGGATCACATGGTCGCTTGACCTCAAACAACTGTCTGGTAGATGGCAGATTCGTGGTTAAGATTGGTGATCTGGGATTAGCGCCGTTGCGACCTTCCTTTCTTGCGTCCACAAGTCAAATCCCGCCTCATGAAAAACACGATCATACTGCGGCAGTATACCGGTCTCTGTTGTGGCGAGCGCCCGAACTGTTGCGCATGCCGATGCCATTGAACGGGACGCCGAAAGGGGACATTTACAGTTTTGGTATACTACTGCAGCAGATAGTGCAGCGAGTTGGGCCCTATGAGCGCACCGATACGGAGTACGGAGTAGTGGATGTTAAAGGTCAGGAAAATACTGCAAGAAATAAAATTTTGCACATTTGTGAGATGGAAAATAAATAAGTTCGTAAGGAAGTAAGTAAGTGAATAAGTAAGTAGGCAGATCTAGCAAGTGCACACATAGTGTAGTACACTTTTAGACAGTCTTAAATTTAAGACTACCTAAAAGTGCATCTGATTTATGGTGACATCATGATCAAGAGTAAAGTACAGACAGTACTTACTTGTTACATTCGTAATTTTAAGTATGTGTATATTTTTCTATTTTACCGTAAACTCTCTAGCGCAAATTCGCGGTTTCTGATATGCTTCAATTGCTTTTTTTATATAAGATATAAGGTCGTTTTCCAAATTTTAATATGCGATAGCAACATGCTGTTTTTGGACTACTGGGTACTGGGTAGGGCTTTGATTGTTTCAGTGTGTTTACGTAATGTGAAAGTGTTTGAATTACTATTAATAAATTGCCCATTTGCGGATCCTTTTAGCAAAGACATTTTTACTTCCTGAAGACCGGAAAGCATCATTCGTTTAGATTCAATATGCCCGTCACAACACGGTGTCGTCGAAGCGGAAGTTGCTAAAAGCGTTAACTCCTGTTAGAAATTACTTTCTAATTTGGATAGCTTCTAGTGTACTGCAGACTGAATACTTCTTAAATGCACCTGCGTGACGGAAACAATGTTCGCTGCTATTATATAAATACTTACCAGACCGCTCTTGACGTCACCGCTAAAACGCGGATCTCAAATTGCTTATTCGTATTCAAGTAATAGGTAAAAAATTAAAGATAAGTTTTTAATAAGTATGTTTTAATGCACCAGTGGATTATTTCTGCCGAAGTGCGCAACACTTACAAGTTAGCAAAATTTACTTTGCGGGTGGTACGTATGTCTACATAGTGATACATAAGTACATAACAAACAACGAAGTAGCGATAATATATTTTTAAAGATACGGTATACGCAGAGCACGATATTGCGGTTTAGTTGCAGGGCATATTCGTTCACATAAATTTGGCCTTATGTCGTTCCCTTGAAAGATATGCTCTTCAAATTAGTAAAATCAAGATTTTTGTACGGCTAACAGCAGTGCCAGTATAATCGACCGAGCATCATGCTCGGTCTCTTTGCCAGCCTGAGACTTTTGCTTAAAAAAATGGATGAAAAATAAAACAGTCCCAGCTGTAGCAAAAATATTTTGACGTTCGCTTACCAAAGCATACAGCCAGGCATTTTTCTTAGTGCATGAAAGTAATAAATTATTATGCGGTAAAGTATACATAAAAAATTTTTTACACACAGTCATTAATGTGATAAACATCTTATAATTAGTAAATTGTTCGCAGATATCGTGGATCGCGTCCGAGAAGGCGAAGTTCCGCCATTCAGACCGCGCGTTCCATTCGACGCCTGTCCACCCGAGCTGTATTCCATAATGACACGCTCCTGGTCTGAATCGTCCGAAGACCGTTTCGACAACGCCCGGCTTCGTGTCCACCTGAAGCAGGTGCCGGGGAACAAAAGCGGCAATCTGATGGATAATCTGCTCCAGCGAATGGAGCGTTACGCCAAAGATCTGGAAGCCATCGTCAACGAGCGCACAGCGGCGTTTATGGACGAGAAGAAGCGCTCTGAGGAACTCCTTTATCAGATGTTACCACAGTAATACAGGCATTAATAGATTCAACCCATCTACCGTTAGTTGTGCATTCGCTTGATAAGAATTTAGAAGTGTCTGTATACTTTAGAGCGGTGGCAAATAAACTCAAACAGGGACTATTCGTGGAACCGGAAGCCTTCCCAATGGTGACCATTTATTTTAGTGACATAGTGGGATTTACAACACTATCGGCCTCCAGTAAGTCAAATGTAAAAGGTCACGTGTATCACAACCGATAATTTAATAATTATTTATATAAAAATTAGGTACGCCAATGCAGATTGTCGACCTTCTCAATGACCTGTATTCATTATTTGATGGCATTATTGAAGCGTACGATGTGTACAAGGTAAACTTACCAGATCAAGTTTGTTACTGCAAAATCCTTTGAAATTTGATATTGCCGTTTCAGGTGGAAACTATCGGAGACGCTTATGTGGTACGTAAATCAGTTACTTATAATGGCGTATAAATTTACAATTTCTGTATATTGATAATTTCGAAGCAAGTATAGTTTTCAGCAGAATCGGTTCGTGATAATATTTTTACAGCTTTTGCCTTTAATTTGATGACTAAGACATGTCATGAGTTCGACGTATATTTCCTTTATAATTTGCAGGTGGTCAGCGGAATACCACAGCGTATTGAAAAGCGACATGCCGCAGAAATTGCCCGGATGTCCATCCATATCGTAAAATCCATTAAAGTGTTTAAAATACGTCATAAGCCGGAAGAGAAACTAACCTTACGAGTCGGAGTTCATTCTGGACCGTGCGCAGCGGGTAATAGTTGTATACTCTGTCAACACGAAATTGGAAAATTGCATCATATTGAAATTACATGATATTCCCGCTCGCATAATGGAATACTGGAGGATCGCTTAACGAAAATGCTATACTATCGTTCTGCTACCCGGTTTTACCGAAGATGTTTACAACAGACCTGTACACTCACTGATAATACAGAACTCTATGAACTTCGTCTTCAATTTTATTCATTTCCTAAACGGTTGAATTTGTGAACATACAGGTGTGGTGGGACTGAAAATGCCGCGATATTGCATGTAAGTATGGTTGCAAACTGCATGGAGATTATTTTTAATCTGGAATAAAAATCTTTAATCTTTTGTAATTGTTTGCTAGATTTGGCGACAGTGTGAACATTGCTTCTCGACTGGAATCAACTAGTCAAGGTGAGCTGTAATGTTTGATACAAAACGAGTCGGTAGCGACAGCTTCCGCCTCCGATAACTAGCGGTAAATTGGTGTTGTTGATGCGTGCTTGTCTTAATATCGTAGTGCATCTCAAGCATGTCCTGTTCTTTTGCGTACTGGTGACGGTTTCCTTAATAATAATTGTTATTTATTATCATAAAGCAATGAAGATCCACATCAGCAAGACAACCAAAGAACTGCTGGATGAGCATAAGGAGTTTTTAACTGAATACCGCGGAGAAGTGGATCTTAAAGGCCGTGGCGTTATGAAAACGTACTGGTTGCATTCAACCATGGACAATGAATGAGATCCCTTCGGTTTACAAAAATCCACTGCTGCTCCGGCAGTGTGCACGTTCCTTCCAAGTTCCAGACAATACCAATGTTAATCTTCCAATTCTTCGGATAGTATAACTGACCCCTATATCATGCCACAGCCGTAGACCTCAGTTTTCGATATCGGACTATAGCTATAATAATATAAGTTACGTGTCGACAGGGATAGGTATCAGCATAACTTATATTATAAAATCATTAGTCGATCTTGCTATCCCCAATTCACACCATACAAAGATTAGATTTAAGTCGAAATTATAATAATAGAGTTTAGCTTAAATATTATTTACAGAAGTAGCCATACGGTCCATACCGGTATCTAGCGGTGGCAAAGAATACAGTATATATAAATTATAATTAGTGCATGCACTGTAAATGATTTGCTTGCACTATGTGATTCGTCTTTGAATGTCTTGAGAAAAAACAGGGACACTGTGGTTTATTGTTTATTAGTTAAGTGCTTTTTTGGGCCTGAATGTAGTAGATTATTTGTTCACTTTATTGTGTAAATCTGCAGCTGTTAATAAAAGTAGCAATTCTGGATCATTTCTGGTGAAAGTTTGGCGTTTCTAGTCGCCGGAATTCAAGTGTCCAAAGTCAACTACGGTCTACAGGTTACACCATACTGCGGCATTTATTATTTCCGCCCTTTGCTACGTCGGCACACGACTTTTCCAACGCATATTATTTAAAAACCAGCAATAAAAACAAATAGCAGAGGAAAGGAACGGCAAAAGGAGCATAAATAATAAGAAAACAACAAAACAAGTGAGACTACATGTACATGTAAACTTTCAAGAAACAAGAGAGGGAAATCACTCCTCCTCCGAATCATCGTTCTCAGCCATACTGTTTGGCCCCAGGTTTGGCACGACGTTCCACTTGTGATACACCATCCCCGAATGTAACGCGATAGAGAACGTTGGCATTATTGAACATACCCTCCTTGAGGGAGACGATGATAAACTGTAAAAGCCAATGTCACCTTGACCAAGCAAAAACCACAACGTACACGTACGCGTGACTGTCAAATCTGCAGCCATAATTAATTATCCAACCTGAGATTGTTTGAAATACTTCCGGATCATCCGACCAACATTATGAGTGTGGCTCAAATCCAGAGCGGCATCGATCTCATCCAGAATATAGATTGGAGCGGGATTCATTTTGAGCATCGCCAAAATCAACGACAAAGCTACCAGTGATCTAAAAGCAGGCGGTTCAGAAGCAAATTTAGAAGGATGTTTACATCCATCAACAAACGTCAAACATACAAAACCATACAAATACAATTAATGTACTTCTTCATAATTATAATTTAAATGTTAAGTACTTCCAAACTGTCCCACTGACCACCTACTAGCCGATGTCAGCCGGGCATGTCAACGTACCTCTGTCCACCACTCAGTTCCGATAAGGATTCCTTCCACATATTACCCAAAGCCACACGAATTCGTAACGATTCAATAAGGTTGTTGTCTTCATCCACCTCTCGTTCAAGTTTGCAGTCCGCATTCGGTAAAAGAGTCTTAAAGATCGCTCCGAAGTGCTATATGATTGCAAATAACGTTTAATTCATATGCAGTAACAAAACAGAAGCAAATACTGCCAAGCAGCGAGCAAATAACACAACTGTACAATACCTTGTTCACTTCATGTACAGCCAATTCAATAAGATGCTGTTTTTTCAGATCTAACTGCTCAATGATTTCCTCCAGACGTTTTTTATCTGCCTTGCACAAATCGTTCTTCTTCAACAACTCCTCATACTGCAAAACATTCAAAAAAGGTTTCAGTACAAACATAAAAACCAATTTTAAACGGTTAAACTGTAAATCGCTTCACAGTTCACACACTGTACAGTAAGTATTGGCTTGCGAGCGACCCCAGAACAGTAACAACAACAGCAGAGTTAGAAAACGGTATTTCACCGTATTTGCTGCTACAAAACCGTACCTGGCGCTCAATCTGATCGTAATCTAGATGCTGCTCCGTTCCTCCTTGTCGCTGAAGTTCCGTTTTCCTTTTCTTAATGCCCTCGATTTCCGCAGCCAATTCAGCGGGATCCTCATTTTCAATTCCAGCATAAGCTGATTCTGCGGTACCGAGTTTATCATACTCGTCAGCCAACCAGGGGAACTGCTTGAACATTTCCTCGTTCAACTACAACCAACAATTTCCTATAAACGAGACGCACTGAAACTGAACAAATAAAATTTGGGAATACCAAAGTTTCGATTTTCTTCAAGTCTTCTTTACAAGAAGCACTAAGCTTCTTCGTCTTTTCCAGATTGGCTTTTTCTCGCGCTGATGGCTTTTTCCAATTCGCGCCTGTCTTTCTGAGCATTCTGAAGATCTTTACTCTTCTTGTTCAACCTGTGCATAAACCGGCAAACTCTTAGTATGAATATCTCACCATATTCAAATTGTTAAAAATAAGTTTTACTGTAAATCGTAGTCGAAAACAGGCGACAGTACGACTACAAAGTATGGCTAATTTGAATGAAAAAACGTGATCGAATGCAGAGCACTATTACCTAAACAAACGGAAACATTTTCTTTCGAAAGGATATATCAGATGGCACCAAACCAGCAGCCATCAGTAAATACCGAATTGTGTCGTCCGAGACACCAAAACACTTACTCATTGCGCATCTGCGTATAAGCAGCTTGATCGCGACTATAAATTTCATTGGCATTGACGAGAGTGGTCTGTTTTCCGTCAATTACGCCTTCATAAGTTTTGATTGCCGCTTGCCGATTCACAATTTCAGCTTCCAAATCCAGAATGGATTTTCTGATATCATCAACAGATGCCTGCTTTTCTGCCTCCTTTTCCGTGGTTTTCGCCATTTCGGCCTCGTGTTTGCGAACGTTTTCTCGACATCTGGCTTCGTGTTTCTCAGCGTCCCGTTTTTCTTTTTCGCCCAGCATTCTTGTCGTTTAATTTCGCTCTCAGATCATTCACTTTAGCACGTAACTCTTCACTGCGCCTGTCGCCTTGATCCAATTCGGTCTGCAGTTTCTCTAAACGTCACCAGCCATAAGTTGTTGGAACAATTTAAATTTAAAAGACCGGACAACCAAAAAGCTCTCAACAAACCGTCTATACGTATATGCGGTAAAAGAAATAAAGAATACGAAAATTTGGGATTCGGTGTCCCACCTGCATCTTCCCGCATGCGGTCGGCTTCACGCAAATTACGTAATTCACTGTTCTGATCACATTTGTGATTCAAAGCGTTCCATTCGTTGCGCTTCTCATGGAGCTTCGTTTCCAGCTCTCTTCGTCTACACATACGTTGTTTGAAATAAAAGCAGCTAAGAAATTCAGGAAGCGCTTAGCAGTTAGCATTACTTTCCGTCCTGCTGATCCAATTCCTTAGTCTGCTGATCAATCTCCCTCAACTGTCTCTGAATTTCGTCAAGCCTTTCTCTCAGTTCCGTATATTTGGCGATGTGGTTAAGTGGCAGTCTGTCCAACGCCGTCCGCGTTCCACCGGACATAATCCCGTCTGGATTCACCGTATCACCATCCAATGTCACACAATGTTTACCCAAGGATGGATCAAAAGCGACCTTATTGGCAGTGTCGAGATCGCTGCACACAACGTACGAACCTAAAAAATTCTTATTTGTCAAGGGAACCAACTGGTAGCGACTAGCAAGCAATAACAACCAGATGCAAATCAATTAAAGCTACACCGAACAAGCTAAACCAATCACAACAGAAAGCAGATATAAGAACATCACGCGGTAATTATTAATTATGTTTGACATTGTCTAAGCTTTTCGTGTTTATTATCAGTATTGCGGTTCGTAGCTTACCCATAGCATATTGCATGACGCTCTGGAATTTTTGGTCGTATTCCACCAACTGTAGAGCAGTCCAGACTTTATGAGCACCCACTTTTTTCCGAATACGTTCCATTTCGGCATCACTAATGGACGGACCGCGCATTCTGTTTAGCGGCAGAATGGTCACCCGACGACGGATCTGTCCTTCAGTCAGCAAAGACTTAGCAGTAATATCATCTTCAACCGCAAAATTAAACTTCCTTCCACCTGTGGCTGCCTACATTTCAACCAAATAAAATATTAACAAAATCGCAACGCTAAAGAAATTATCAAAGCAGGAAAAGTTTCCAAACAAAAGTGCGAACCACGAAAGCACGAGCCATGATCAGCACAAGGTACTTCATTAACTCACATCAATGGCTGCTAAAAATCTGGTCTTGTCGGACACCTTGAACAACGTAGCCACAGCTCCATAATACTTTCTCTCATCAAAATTTCGAGGTCGCTGATACTGCAGATGAAAGCTTCGCATCTCTCCGTCCAAGTTACCCATCTGCTGTTCCACAGTAGCCTTTTCCCCCAGTAAACGCCGTTGATTCTCGCGCAACGCCGCCATCTGCTCGCGATCAACTTGGGGCGAAGCTTCCAGCTGGGCTTCTAGGAGCTTCACTTGTTCATCCAGACCTTTCAGCTGATCCATGAGCGCTGCATGTTCCCGCTGTAGTCGTTGCCGATTTTGATTGGTTCCGACCAGCTGCCTCTTCAAATTCTCCAATGTGCCTTTCTTAATGTTCATATTCCGCTCTAGCTCATTCAGTTCTCGCTCTGCCGCCTGACACTGATTTTTCCATCCAAACTCTGCATTCTCTTCCCCACCAACTCCTGTAACAATAACGGCTAGGGCTTGCTGGGCCCGTTGAACTTCCCTTTCCAATTCCGCTTTCCGCGCGATATCCTTTGCGTAACTCTCTTTAGCTGTGTTAAGATCTGCCTCAGCCGCCGCTAATCCCGCCTGCTTATTGCTAATCTCGCGTTTATTTTCGGCAATGGCATTAAGTTCCTCAGTAATCAAATTCTGGTTGGATTCAATAGCAGACTGAAGCTCCACAACTTTTCTGCGAGCCTGATTGGAGCGTTCTTCTAATCGATTCAGGTCCTCGTTATGATTTTGATCGCTCTCCATCTGCTGAATTTCTTCTGACATAGCCACCAATTTTCCTTCATCAGTTTTAATCTTCTCGTCCAGTTCCTTTTCCGATGCTTTACATTCATTTCTCTTATTTCGGGCTCTGGTAGCTTGTTCCTGAAAGATAATCCAAATCAGCTCAATTTTTCGAAATAGAAAAGCTTATGTAAATTACATCAAACATTTTTTCCATTCAGGCAAAAAGAACTGAACATTTAGTGAAACTGATTTACTTTCAATTTCCAGGTGTCAGCGGCAGCCTTGCGAAGCTCCTTCTTATCAATTTCTCGATTTATGCGGTTGTATTCCAGATTGTTTTGCCGAGTGACATCCAGCCGCTTCATTTTAGGATTGATCGTATTCTGGATGACATCGTCCACTTCTGCAATTCTTTTCTGCTTACCGTTGACCATCTTCAGAGTGTTGTCCCGTTTGGTCATGTAAACCATCGTGCCAGCGGCCTCCTCCACCATTTTCCTATAAACGCGGTTGTAAATGAAAACAAACACATGCTACTAGCAATTTTAAGTGTTAGCCCCCTCTGCACAGCAAATTGTACATCTCCACGTAGTAAAAAATGATTTTCCAAAGCAAGTTTGAACAGGTTTCATCATACGGCCGTTTACAAAAACACTCTCATCACAAATCCTTACCAAATCTCCTCGGGCTTCATGCTGAGCACTTTGACGATGCGTCCTTGCATGATCAAGAAATGCGGATTCTGAATATTCAACTGCACCGAGCGGAACATATCCTGCACTTGCGTCAAGGTGGCATTGGCTCCGTTAATGGTGTATTTGCTCTTTCCCTGCGCTCCAAGCTGGATTTTTCGTTCCACTGTGATTTCCTTGAATTTTGGAATAGGTGAGCGGAGTCTGGCGCTGATCTGAATTGTCGAAGACGATGGCAACGGATGCAAAGGAAATCCCGCCAGCTCCCTTTTTGTACACCAGTTCTTGCAAATTCCCCACACGAAACTACTCAAAATGCACTCCGTCAGCCAATTAGGAAAGCGACCACTGTAACCGATCTTAAATATACCTGAGTAGGGGCATTTTGGCCGAGAAGGAAGCATATGGCATCTAATATGTTTGATTTTCCACAACCGTTTAGACCTAAAATCACAGCCCAACGGCATAAAAGGGATTCGCATTTCGCAGTTAAACACGAAATCAGTACATCTAGGCCCCTAGGGCTATTACCGTTATGCATTACCCTAACGGCAAAACGGACGAATCTATATTTGAAGTAGTGCTAAAAAAACGTAACAGAACTAAAACGATACGACCAAAGTATGTTGCTCAAATCAGTTACGACTACGAGGTACATCGATCTTATACGAACCCGTGATTGCATTGAAATGAGGATCAAAACCAGCGATCTTTGTCTTCGCTCCATACGATTTGAAGCCATGCAGAGTTATTTCCTTAATGTGCATTTTAGCAGGGAACACACTCTTTCAACAAGCGAGAAAGAAATCAATCTTCATACAAATAGGAACATCCAGTGAGTCGGCCATCCATCGTATGAGGCAGAAAACAAAAAAAAACCCAGGAACTAAACCTTTTAAAACACCATACGCGGGACTGGGAGCCTGCCGTGCTTCCAAACACTTCAGACTACTTATCACTTTCGTTAAAAACTAGGAATGATATTGTGATACCAGCGTAAATCAAAATGCTAGAGTGCTAGACTGCTGGAAAAGATAATTTCTTCAGAATTCTGCCTCACTTTCGGAAAAACTAAAAGTGCAATAAAAGTCACAACGGACTTGCCCGCCGTAAAGTTGTAACCACTAAACGCATATTCGTTGAGTTCATCGTTCTCAAGTCAGTGTCCGAAGCCGAACAGCTGAAGCGAAAAGCGATTTGGCCTGCTGCTCAATGATAACCGACTCAAGTATTTTACACTTTTGAAGCTTTGCAAGCCGCGGCCGGATCCACTATGTACAAATAATTTTTTTGCTTTTCGCCTTATTATTTTTCAAAATTCTGCATATCAGCAGTTATTTAGGCGTGTCTTTTTCGTATGTTCCTGTGGGAAGCGAAGATCACTTAACTGCACGCACTTGTTGTCGGGATGGCCGAGCAGGAGACTGAATTTGCGGATATGATAGCAGCTCACGCACCACAGCTGCGAAATTCCGGAGTACATCCGATATTTTGGACAACGCTATTCCGGAAACTGCGAGATGAAGTAAACTCAGCCGCTAGGCTCGTCACTGTGCGATTCAGCAGCTGACCGCTGGCATTGGTTTTTCCTTCTAGGTGTGGGACCTTGCAAGCACGGTTGTTCTGAATCGTGTGATTGCAGTGGATCCGGAGACAGAAAAAGAGACCAACCCTTCGTCTCCTCGTGTCTATCTGGCGGAAAATGCGCTGCCATTGCACCCGGATAGGCCGGAGCAGTAAGTTGGACGTTACTGCCACGGTGTAATTTTTGGTGCTATAGAATTTGCTGTTTTCTAGTATTTATCTTATTGATCACGCTTGGACTTTCGATTTAACTTCGGCGCGAAATATGCTGGTAGCCTACCCGAGCCTGCTGAATCGCATGTGCGATATCGTCGATGTACCGGCGAATGCGGCTGAAAGTTCAGATGAATTGGTTGACGATGTTTTGCGACTAATGTGGAAGTATATTAATACTTACAGCTTCAACAGCGCTAGCTTAGTAAGTTCAAAATACATATATTTTTCTCTTTAGCGACCACTTGTTGAACGCACGTACTGTAATCATAAGAAGTCCAAATAATTTGAGGTTTATTTGGTTGATACGCAAAACTTAACCATTATGATAAAGCTCTGCATTGTTTGAGAATATTATTAGAGATGTTTAAAAAGTGCTTGCGCTTGCTTAGCCGTTTAAAATATTTCCATGTGTTTTCAGGATGTTGAACAAAAATTACCCAAGTGGTACATGATGGACGAAATTGGATCCCGTCTTCGTCATTCTGATTCTCCGAATTGTCGAATTGTTCCATTCTATTTCATCCCTCAAGATATCACGTATTCTCTGCTGTTTCCGATCAAAATTATACCGCCAGGAGAGGAATTGACACGCAATTTTGTGGAGAATATCCGTTTCCCGGATCCCTTGACGCGGCAGTGCCGGCTTTTACCATGGGTGGATTTTGCCTTGCCCAGTGTTGGGTTTTCACCCCGTGATGTAGCAGCCGATTATTTTTCGGTAACGACCTGCATTAAACTATCAGTGCGCCATTTTTAACTGATCATGATTATAGAATCATATCTTTTTTAGAGCAGTAAATTGCTGGATACTCTACCAGTTCCTTTGGCACTGTCCGGTCCTAAATTATTGTAAGGATGCCATATAATTTTTTTATGGATATTTCTTGTAACTTTGTAACCAGTTTTCTTACAGAGAAGAGAAAGGACATTTGAATGTTTATGCGGAATACGAGGTCCTTGCGGATAGTTTGACGGATTCGCGGTTTAGGATTGTCAAAGAACAGGCAGATGCTGACATTCTGTGGTATAACCGCCATTTTAATGATTTCCGGTAATCTGCTTTTTTATTCTTCACTTATTGCAAGAATCCATTGGATCATATTTTGTCAGGGGGTTAAGCATGGAATTCCCGGATAAATTTGTAAACCAGTTTCCATACGAAAGTGTTGTAACAGTGAAAGACTTGTTGGCCATTGTTTGCCGGCGAGCTAGCGAGGGAAAGCGCTTGGTGAATCCAGACACACTGCAAGTTTCTCCACAGTGGCTACCGGCAACCTATAATTTGGATACCGATTTGCCAAATTTTGTTGCGTATTTTCGGGCGCGAGAAGAGCGCGGTTTGGATAATTTTTGGATTTGTAAACCTTGGAATCTGGCAAGATCTTTGGATATCACTATTTCTGATGAACTGGATTGTATTGTGCGTTTACCGGAAACTGGACCAAAACTGTGTTGCAAATACATTGAGAATCCCGTTTTATTTCAACGGGACGACATTCCGGAAGGCCCTGTCAAATTTGATTTACGTTTTATTGCTATCGTGAAAAGTGTCTCTCCTTTATCAGTGGCAGTGTATAAGCGGTTTTGGCTCCGGTTTGCAAATAAACCGTTTGCCTTGGATGAATTTGAGGTGTACGACAAGCACTTCACAGTAATGAATTACGGACAGGGAGTCATCCACCAGATGTTCTGTGATCGTTTTATTGAGAAATTCGAAAAGCAGCATCCAGAACAATCGTGGAATTGTGTTGAGAAAGATTTATATGGAGTTGTGCGGGAAGTATTTAAAGCGGCTGCAAGCCGAGATCCACCGGAAGGTTTTGGACATTCTGTGCAGTCCAGGGCCGTATATGGGTTAGACTTCATGTTGGCATGGAAGGAAGATAACGGTAATTATTATTTCTTGTTTGGAAATTTTTTGGGATTATTGAACAGTAATAATAGTAATACCGTACGTTTGAGAGAGAATGCGATAACTGATGAAGAAAATTTTTACAGGTAGGAAATCCGTCCAACCAATGCTTTTGGAAATTAATTACTCCCCGGATTGCAAACGAGCTTGTGATTATTATCCCGGATTTTATAATGAGATTTTCAGTTACATGTTTTTGGATGAGGTACAAGATACTATCGCCGAACTGTAGTCTGTTATTTTAACTGTCAGTGGTAGCAGTTCTCTAGTTTTAGTTGTCTACTGACTTATGACTTGATAACGGAGAATTGGTTTTTTACTGTGATTTCCATGTTGAAAATGAAATCCTCTGTTTTGGGTGTCCGATTTGTTACACTTCAAATATTTGCTCACCTTTAATTCGAGTCTTTCGAGCCTTCTTAACATTTTGCTTATTGTTAGTTTAGGAGCTACTCAAATACATGAGAGACTTGTAACAGTAATTAGATAAATTCAGCTACTTTTTCCCAGGAAACAACTTAAACAGCATTTTAGCCTGAAAGGTGTTCATTTTCGATGGCTTGAAAATGTTCGTCCACAATCCGACCTCGATTTCTCAGCATATCCCTTGCCGTGTCTTTTGTTCTCTGACATCCATGCGGGTTTAGAACGTGCTCTAGATTATCATTCAAGATATGATAGAACTCTTTCCACGCTCGAACGATTTCCGGGCGGATGCTACTGCATTTTCTCCGGGACACCGGCTGCCTTTGACACGGCGCGGTCGAGCACCGCGACGCTGTACTGCGAGCGGGACTAACTGAAGCGGGGCCTCTCGTTTCCGGCTGGGCACAGTCTACTTGAAAGAGCGGTCCCTTATCTGCAATATCATCAACTCTCAGATGGCGAAACATTTCCTCACGGGATGTTACACTCACTGAAGGCTGTCGTTGGCTGCATCGACTGGACGTTGACAAGGAGGGACTGCTTTCCCGCGGAAGCGATCGGGCTTGTAGTATCGGCTCGTTAACGGTCAGTTTGTCGCGGGTCGTATCCGTGCCCTCGGACGTGGATGGCCGCGATATCGAACTAATACCCACTAATTTAGTGCGAACCGGTGCAACATCAAAATTATTCTGATCGCCTGCTGGATCACTTTCTGTCGTCACTTTATCCGGTGCCCAGATGTCCGTCTGCTGTCCGTTAAGCAAATGCCAAAGGAGAAGCCACAATGGCGCAGTGCAAGAATACAGTAGGATCGTAGCCAGTAAAAATTTCACCCAGTATGGATAGTACGGTGATAAGTAGTTAGTTAAGCACTCCATTTCTCGGCGAATTCCTAAACGATCCCAAACAATATTCATATCGAAATCCTCAACTTCCATTTGTGCAACGAGGCGCTCCGCTCGCCAGCATATAGGTTTGAGAAAGGACGCTAGCTCAAAAGGGCACTCGTTGTGCAAACCGTGCATGATCACTTCCGCTGGGTCAATCAGACGGCGTGACGGTTTAGTAAACAAAAGCTTGTCAGTCAGCCACGCCATTTCGATTTTCCGGTCCACTGTGACTGAATTATGTCGTTGGTTAAAAAAAAGCTAAAATGTGCTTTGTATTTCAGATTAAATTAATTGCTTCTCATCGCAATCAGGTAGCTTACAGTTAGCTAATCGGAAATCTGGCTTTGGTTGCTGACAAATAACACTGCCAGGTTCCCGCCAGTCCATAAGAAAGCCTTTGTTTTTGTGAAGACCATCACAGAATACCGGTGTCCAGTGTGTACGATGTACTGGTTACCAAGCACCGATATTATTCTTGCACAAACCGTTAATAGTTGTACTACGTACTTAAATTAATCTGTGTATATCGCACTTTTTCGAGAATTCCTTTAATTCGCATACTGTGTCATACTGTGTCAGAATATAGGTCGTTTCTATGCGCCCGGAAAAATCCCGGGCGCATAACGCTTTCGATAAACGCATAGGCTGCAAAAAAGTTGTATACGAGACATAAATATTTGCTACTACCTATTTAGGTCTTCCCTTAATTGTTCGTGTATAAGGTGTTAGGTACACTGCAGCGTTATTAATACCTGTAAAATGTCGCGATAACATGTACACATCCCCTAAAGCAGTTACCAAGACCAGTGCGACCACATCCAGAATCTAACGTAAGATCTAGACTACAGCCGAATGTTCCCATGAATCTTTCCATAAAATACAGTGTTTTACTACTTGTACACGAAATGGCATAAGAAGAGAGAAACAGTGCGTATAGTACGCGTTCTGCCATGGCGGGATATTCCTTCGTCATTACAATACTTGGTAATTATATTTATATAACGTTTCATCGGATCGGAGCAACGTTTGAGTGGCTTATCTTATCAAAGTGTGATAATAGTATTTGTATCAGCATTCCGCCAGCAAGCGATCATATCACTAAAGCATTTCATGGAATAAGCCATTTTAATTTCCGAGCGACAGTAGAAATAATATGCGGAAATCTGGTGTTACTGTTGTGGTACAAGAAGTTTATTTGCTAAATTACTAGCTTCATGACGTTGTGTCGCCGCGTTCTCTTGGACATATTAACTTGAAACACTCGGTTTCACAAAATTTTCTTTTCGATTTGCAGCTGGATTAATTAAAATTGAAAAAAATTTAGCTTTTGTCAGTAAACGAAGATGATGTCCAAATTCCAAGTCGTTTTCGTACTGTTTGTAGCGGTTTTTTCGATTTCCACAAAAGCAACCATTCTGCCTGGACGTTGTCCAGTTGTGCCGGTGAAAGATGGTTTCAGTATTTCTCAGGTACGTAAACCAAAATAAAGTAGAGTACGAGTACTATGAAGTATACTCCTACGATTAGCTATAGTCGAACAAAGCGCTTGCTAAACCGATAACTTTGATAGTAACTGGAAATCGTTTTCAAATATACAACAAACCAAAAACAATCTTGACGGTTTTCACTTTCAAACTACGTAATCAAAATTTAACATATGCATAAAGTAATGTACGGTATTGTAAAGCTCTGTTTGACTTTGACATAACCAAAGTTCTATACAGTTTGTATATAATTCTACTGTATACAATACAGCTCTGTCTATATCAGAACTGAAGTCATTAATTATTTCTTGTTAGTATTTAGGTGTCTGGTACGATATAAGAAGTTACTTCGCATTTTTCCAAATTGGAGTCAATTGCTCCCGAGCGGAATACACTCAGATGCCGAACAGCAGCTTTGTGCGAGTTAACAATACGGGAACAGTTTTTGCTTTCAATGGATCGTAAGTATTCATAAGGTTGTTGCAAATGCAGGATAACTAGAAAACACATATGCACTAATGTACAGTATGTAGGTAAAGATGTAACGTGAATGTGACACATGCAATTATTTATATTTATATTTGCTCCCTAAACTGATAGTTAATTTTGTGGTCAACACGATGTTTAATTCTGAAATAGAAACTGATGCTTACAAGACGTGATATTAGAATTCAAGTGGTTTTAAAACATTTGTCACACGTACGTAAAAATGAATAAAGCGCTTAATTGTCTAACTTTTAAAGTTGCAAACTATACTTATTGTTAATTCAGTTAATTGTCATAATTGTTTAGGCGCGTGATGGTTAACGCTACAGGAAAAGCGTGGGCACCCAATCGAGCAATCCCAGCAAAATTAGTTGTCCAGTTTGACAACATGAGTAAGCATGCAAGCGAATACACATAAGAAAAATTTGTGATAATATGAAGCCGGCGTTAACATGCGTAATCCAGCTGCTGAAATCTGTTTGATTTCATTTTGAACTAGCGCTTTTAAATGAACATACATATATTTTTGTACACTGCAGTACACTGCAGAATATTACAATACGAAAAGCAATTCCCCCAACTAATTACCAAAATTCGTTATTCTCAGGCAATGCGACCGGAGATTATTGGGTGGCAGAGACGGATTACACGACTTTTTCAATTGTAAACTACTCATTCGGTATCAAACGGTATCAAACGGTACTTTGCTATAATTTTTAAACAATTTTTGTCCTTTAGGTCTGGGCATGTTCGAACATCGCTGCTGGATTGTTTCATGAAGGTATGTAATACAAGTTGCAATAGGCAGCAATAGATACGTACGCGTAATGCTTCACGAATGGTTCTTATGAGATTAACCGTACATTTGTGAACTGGGGTAAATGTTGTGTTTATATAAGTAATTTTATGTTTTGTTCTCGAAAACCTTAGCAAAATTTGACCTTAATAATGACTGTACTCTAGAAAGTGCTACACCTTTTTCGCAAATTTTAATAATAAATACTAAGTATGGTAATTTGATTTTAGCACACTCGTGGGTTTTGGGACGATCTCCGTCCGGTTTTAATGCCAATACAGAAGCAATTATTGACAAAGCTCTGGCGACTCACAACATCGATCCCACTTTATTCCGCCCAACTGTCCAAAAGAACTGTGTGAACTACTAGCCTCACGGACAGGGTTCTTCTGAATTTCCAAATCGACTGATCACATGTTTTTTTCTGATTTATGCTCACATGTGCACGGTCATTGTTGTTGCATTGAATTAATAATTACAATTTCACTCAACTATTTACTTATGACAGTGTACTGAGCCGACGTTACGGCACACTAAAACCGCTTCAGCATCGACTGCATAAAAATACTGACACGGGATTGTGAAATGCCTTTGTACCGACAACGAAATATCGAAACCATAACGCAGAACCGGCTTATTCTACTTGTTTTTTGAATACCTAACAGCCAATAAATGTGTTTTTTACTAATCAAAACGCCACTCTACTGTAGATCGGTGTCCAATTAAACTATGTAACCAAATGCAAACCTGACCTTTGTACACGGACTAGCAGACTTTGCCCGCACATACTTATATCCAGTATCAACAGAGCAGGAAGTAAATAACAATGTCGACATACAGCTTAGGACAAAATGGTCGCATACCCAACATCTCCACATTCAGTACGAATGCAGCGCAGTGCACTGTACGACTGAGTTCAAAATATCCGTTTCGTACAAGTGCACTGCACCGCTTGCGTACAGAATGCTGGGTATGGGGCTATGCGACCATTTAGTCCTACATTGTATATATGTATATAGCTAGAGAGCATTTTATAAATCTTTTCCATTAAATTCTCAAATCATTAATGGTAAAATGCATAAGACAAAATTATTCTTTCATGATGGTCGAGGAGTTCCAGCAAATGTTTTGCCATCGTAGCCAACTGCAGCTGGAGGCATATCGTGATAGAAGATGGCAAAACTAGAAGAAAAATAAACTGTTTCTGTCTGTGGACCCGCTTAATAATAATTAACATACCGATTCGGAGCAATTCCAAGTTTTTGCTGCACGAAATCGAACAAAGCTTTGTTGTGCTTCTCGCTCACGTTTCCAAAAAATGACCCAATAAACCACAACGATGCAAATCCACATGGTTCATGAGTACCACCATTTGTGATCAGTTGACCAGCATTCACAAATACAGTGAAGAACTATCATAAAACAAAATATTTGATAGTATAATATACAGAAAAACTTGTCAATTGTGAGTAAGTAGGATTTATTTCACGATGCGAAATTCGAAGTTATTTTGTTGAAATTCTATGGATTAATTTAAGTCCTAGTCTTTTAGAACTTCGATGCCTGGGAAGTATTCACGCAGAAGTTTGCTTACTTTGGGATCCATTTCCATCAAGCTTGATAAGAAGTCTGTGACCTCCCGATTGAACTCTTTGGGAATTTTGTCCACTGTTACATTAGTGTTAATTTGAAGCGTCGGCATTTTGTACAATTAGATAAAGCGATTGAAATTCGTGCACAAATAATGCAATATTTTGGTTTTGAATCTCTACAACCTTGGAAATTTATTGGCGAACTCAAATACGCCACACAATCTGACACAATTAAAGCTAGATCAGTATCATGCAGTTTGCGATAGAGCGTTTAATCGAACATTAATTAGCGAGGCGGAAGAACCTCTTGTCAAGTTTACTTACAAGTGCACCCGCGAAAGGACTGTACGCACACGCTAAGTCAAAATGACCGTAAAGGTCTGATACATTTTATTTAACTTATCTTGTTTTATAGCTGCATTGCAATCTATGCTTCTGTACTTTTATTATCATTGTGTCGACTGTCGAGATATCTTACAACTGCGCGGATGCACTGCAAAACGTAGCAAAATTAACATGGATAATTTCTCTGTACGCAACCGGCACCAGGACTGAAAAAGAGCGTACCGAAGCGAAGAAGTTCCAGCCATAATTCAGATAAACACAAGAATCGACAAAGAAAAACACCGTTTGCATGTCTGCAACAAAACTACCTGCATATTTAAAAGAATATTTATAACTGCAGACTGCAGTACCGTAAATAGCACAACATTTGTGAGTAATAAAATTTGAAGTCTTGAACTCAAATTTAAAAACAAATGTAATCATGTAAATGGACAGTATCTGTAAATGATAATTTCTTTTAATAAATTTTTAGTACGAGTATTATTTTATTGCATTTTGTATCGGACAACAGTTTAACATACAAATGCCGCAGTTCTTAAGTAGCAACAGTGAAACCGTCATCATTCATGTTATCGTTATCCTGGTATACAAACTTGCAAAGTCAGCTGTTAAATCAGTGTCTGCACTGTCTGGTCAAATCGGCTTGCCATGCTTCCTTCCGTTTTACTTTTCCCACTCTGAAAGGTCCCGTGTATGACGACTACCCTTGTCGAGCACACACGAGAACCCTGTCCAGACTTAACACTCGAATTTGTTCCTCATTTGATTATTGACTGTGATTATTGTGTAGAGCTACGTGAGCTACGTACAATTTTACAAGCGTCTACATTCAAGCATCACAGAAATTGTAAGGCGATATCCTGAAAGTTTTAGTCGTTTTTGGGCAGATCAGTAGCTTTTGCGCGCCAGCGACCAGACAAGTATCCAAAAAACATAGACGACATCGTTGATTAGCATTTCTGTGCGTGGCACTTTCGCATTTAGTTGATGTTGATAAGTTTTAATGAGCTTACTTTTGAATCGTACGCAGATTAGTGTGAGATACTTTATATATTTCTGATTTGTTTTCCCTTTTTGTTAATTTGAGATGGGCAAACGTGTGGAAACTTGAATACCAGCTGAATCCAACTTGCCCTGTTTCGTTAGTAGAAGTGGTGATTAGAAACATTCTACGATGGCAATCAATCCATGAATCTGTTTTACGCTTGTTTGCAGATTTTCTCCGGTTTTGAGGTTTCGTTATCTGGATAGGTAGCAAAGATGGATGAGGAATATGATGCGGTTGTTTGTGGCACAGGATTGACGGTACGTTCGCCTTGCAGTTGGGGGTAGCCAATTGTTTACCTGTTTAGTGTTACCACTGTTACACCAAGAAAATGTGACGACTAAATTTATTCAACCATATTGCAGTAGATTGTTTCAAAATGGCATTAATGCATAACTGAGTAATATCCAGTGTATCAGCATTTATCGGTTAAAGACGGTTTAATCACAGAAATTTTTTTTATATCTATATTTTGGCATAAATTTGTTATCGATGGTGGTGCTCCCAGGATAGATGCCGCATTCTCGCGGTGGATTTCGATCCTAATTCGTTGGTTGCACATTTAAATATTCTGTTGGCCGTGTGGTGCCCATTTATTGTTGCAGCTACTTTCCCAGCTCCGTAATCAGGCGGGCTGTTTCCGGTCCGAGTGTTGCTCGTTAGATATGGTTACCGGAATACCGCTTATCAGCTTATGCACAGTAGTGCGCATTTTTACATACCTTTCGATTAATTTAAAGACAATTTTTGCGGTATAAAAATGGATTGGTCATGGCCTTATATTTTAGGAGTGCATCATCAGTGGTATGCTATCCGTGAGCGGGAAAAAGATTTTGCATTTGGATCGTAATAAGTACTATGGAGGAGACAGCGCTTCCATTACTCCACTGGAAGATGTAAGAATGCTGTCGTTTAATTTTATGTACGCATACTTGAGTAGTAGCGATTATTTCAGTTATTCGCCAAATTTAACGCTGGCAAACCACCGGAAGAAATGGGTCGGGGAAGAGATTGGAATGTGGATTTGATTCCCAAGTTCCTGATGGCAAATGGTAAATGGGTTCAATTACGGCTCCATTGACGGTCGCCTGCAGTAGCATTGCTGAGTGAATGTATGACCCGCGTCCCGAAATCGATCGATAATCTGTGAAAGCGCGAGGCGCCTTTGCTGGTGCTGTGTGTTTGTGTAAATGTTCTTCCTGTCTTGTGTAGGCGAGTTGGTGCGTCTGCTCATTCACACCGGCGTCACCCGATATCTGGAATTCAAGTCGATCGAAGGAAGCTATGTCTTCAAACAAGGGAAGATTCACAAAGTCCCTGCTGATGAGAAAGAAGCGCTGGCTTCCGGTAAACCACGCGCCTACTCTTTGTGGCATGACCACGGCCTCTAGCAGTTAATCTTAATGATGTAAGAATACGTGCATTATACAGGTTTGATGGGATTGTTTGAAAAGCGCCGATTCCGAAATTTCCTTGTTTTCGTGAATGACTTTAACGAGGAAGACCCGAAAACATGGAAGGAAATTGACCCAAAACGAACAACGATGCATGAACTTTATGAAAAATTTGGCTTGGATAAGAATACAGCTGACTTTACCGGCCACGCCCTGGCTTTACAAACCACCGATGAGTAAATGAAATTACTGTTCATCACGAACAAAAATGAACTTCTAAATTTTTCAGCTGTTTTTGCGGATATTTGTTATTGTTATTTAGAATCATAAAGCACGCTAAAAGTACACCGCGTCCTGACTTGTTCATTTGTTCTAAATTGATTTGTTTTGCACTTTAGTTATATTTCTCAACCTTGTGGACCAACGCTGAACAAGATCAAGCTGTACCAGGAGTCTTTAGCCCGATATGGGAAAAGTCCTTATTTGTATCCACTGTATGGGCTGGGAGAACTGCCTCAGGGATTTGCGAGGTGGATTGCAGCAGCTTATCTCGTTAGTGGCAATAATCTTAAGTGTTTTGACTGTTTTGGGTTGTCATAGACTTAGTGCCATATACGGCGGAACATACATGTTGGACAAACCAGTCGACGAGATTATCCTGGAGAAAGGAAAGGCGGTTGGCGTTCGCTGTGGGAATGAGACTGTACGCTGCAAGCAGGTGTATTGTGATCCCAGCTATGCCCCGGATCGAGTTAAAAAAGTTGGCGAAGTGAGTTTTGTCAATGTCATAATATAATACTCGTATAACTGCCTTGTGACGTAATATACTGTTTCTTCTTGTGACATAATACATTTCTTAGGTTGATTAAAGCTTTAATAACATACTTTATCTGATATTCCATGTTGCTCGCTAGTTTTCGTGTTTCTTTACTTACCATTTGTGTAGGTTATCCGTTGCATCTGTTTGTTGGACCACCCAATTCCCGATGTGAACAACGCATTGTCCACTCAGCTCATCATTCCCCAGAACCAGGTCAATCGCAGAAACGGTGAGTGAAATTACCGTAGCTGCTTTTTGACCAGTTGTGCGAGGCGGTGGCAGTAGTGTTTGCCCTTTTCAGATATTTATATTTCTTGCGTTTCCTTTACACACCAAGTCGCTTCGAAAGGATGGTTTATTGCCATGGTTAGCACGACAGTGGAGACATCTAATCCTGAAGCTGAAATTCAGCCTGGAATCAAACTGCTTGGGCCTATTCGACAAAAGTATGCAAGATTTTTAATATTTTTATGGAATTGCCGTTTAATTTATTTAATAACTAATATGATCGATAAGAAACTGTTTTTGCAACGTCGTTTTTAGATTTGTTTCCGTGAGCGATCTGTTGGTGCCCACTGATCTCGGACAGGAAAGTCAAATATTTATTTCGCGATCCTACGATGCTGTATCGCATTTTGAGTCAACGTGCGATGATGTTTTGGACATTTTCAAGCGTGGCACCGGAGAGAAGTTTGATTTTACCAAGGTAAAACATACTACGCTGGGTGAGGAATAAAGGCGAGGCTGTGGACCTTCGGTTGCTGAAATGGTTATTAACATAACAGTTTTTATTATTGGGTGTGGGTTTATCGATTCTAACTCCTTTTTAGTTTGCTCCTTATTTTTTCGTTAAATGTTTTGTGGCTTTTCGTTTTATCGTTTTGCCAATATTTCGAGTGTCATCAGATTTACATTCCTCGTGTCCTCATGCCGATTTCTGTTAGTTTGAGTAAGCATTATTTTATTTTCTAATTGGTGTTAACCATTCTGATGTGATGCTGTCTGGAATTACAGTACTCGTACTGTACGCATGTACCGTAATTGATGATCATGAAAATTTAATTAAATTAATTCTCTTCGTTTTTGGATCGGTGCGAGAACGTCAGAACGACATTGTGCCCTAAATGGTGTAAACACTAAGACTTGCAATAAATTATCATTATGTTATTTCGATGAGAATCGTGTGACAAATTAAATACTCGTTAAAGTCTGAATATTAATTTTTTCTTCTCATGGCAGTTAACGCCGATCGGTGTAAGTGTAGAAATACCGGTACGGGTATTTCTGAAACGTGTGTCTATTGAGTACTGTATTGAAAATAAAAAACCAGAACAGCGAACAGGCTCATAAACTTACATTTATTTACTGTACTGTAATATTCCCATACATGTTTCGGGTAGTTCTGGGAATGCGCCCTTTTGCAGCTCGCTGATCGTAAAAAATGTCACATACGTAAAATGAAATATCTACCTTTAATTTTGAGCACCTAGCGAACAAATAAGAACTGATGTGAGCACGTACAATTTCAGGGTCTGATTTAGTGGCAGTTTGTTCTTCGGTTTGGCAACAGACCCAACTCCCCGACAGCGGTTGCCGGTAGCAACCGGGATATCGGAATTTACGCAGAATTGAAATATCGTAATGCCTACAGAAAATAAAATTGAAGCACAGGGAAACTATCACACTTTTTGACACAATAAAGGGTTCAACTTTACGTAAGTAACCACACGTCCAACTTCAGGTTCCAGTTGCTTGAAACCCAAAAAATTATTTTGAGGGACGTTCTACTGACACGCATTTTTATCATTTCGGTGTGTGGTTGACTCGCGTACTTTTGAAAATATTTTGATGTATTTCAATGCTCTTCTTAGTCTTCTAATATCCATTGTCGGATAGCGAAATTATCGAGGTTCGAGAAATAAATTTTTTTCTTAGTAACTTACTACTTACAATTAGTCTAAGCAAGGTGGTCTAAGCATTGCTGTTTACGGTATCTGTATACGCGATCAGCTTCAACCGATACAATTTGTTACCGAACTCGAAATCTGTTTAATTTGTTGCAGGTCTTTTGAAACGCGTTGATGGACAACTGATTTGTCACGTTTTCTGGTTCCCACAGTTGAGATTTGAGAAGACCCTACGATTTATCGTGGATTTTTATTCCGCTTTTAAGAATTCGCTGCTGACTGCAGTCTGCATAGTCTGGATTCCGCCAGGTCTGTTGCACTACAGTTATTTTGACTCTTCGTTCAGCATCGCAGTGTTCGGTCGCTCCGATTCCTCTGTTAATGGGTGTTCGGCTACTGTTAATGGGTGTTAGAAGTACTTTTTAGTGCTACCCTGTATTTCAACATCCAGTGTTCAGTGCTGAAGTGGTGAAGTTAGACGTGGTTAGGACTTGAAATCGTATTCGTAACATATACTCTGTACACCGTTTTGGTTGGTGTATGATGAAATAGTGTCCATTAATTTCAGATTTTAGCCAGAATCGTTGGGCGTTTCGGAAGTTGTGAATTTTTGTTACCATTTTCTTCTTTAACTGCGAGAATGTCATCGCGAGATCCAGGCTCAGTGTTGTGCAGGTAAGGGAGGATTTACAAAAAAAACGGAGAGTTTAGTCATTAGAGTAGTAAATAGTTCGTATTAGCGAAATTTACCGGAGTTTTTGAACTATTTTTGGCAAGGAATCGGCACAAATCAGAATGCAATTGTGACTACGTAATTATTGGTTCATTGGGATTGCAAGTTAAAATCTTCTATATAAATAAAAGGATAAGCCTTAACAAAATTCCGTGTGTGTCATCGATGCATTAACGCTGCACTCAACCAAACTCCAATGTCTATAAGTCGTTCGATAGCCCTTAACGTACAGATTTGCCAGCAAAAGTCGAATTTGAGAAAAAACAAACGTTTGAAAGAAAACTTGCAAAAACGTTAACATAGAAAGCCTATGGGAACAGCTAAGAATCCACCACTGCAAAACCGACCACCCCAACACTGTCTCGGCAACCAAAACGAATTGAGTCAATTGACCAACTTACAAGTTAGAGTTGGGAAAACTTTGTTATTCTGGAATCACGACCACGTGATATTCCGTGGTCTTGAACGAATTTATCGATTTTTTATTCAGTATTTGGCATCAAGAAAAAATGATTTGAGGAAGAACACATACGAAGGTCTTCAAACATTAAAACTGCTCAAAACTGTTTCCCAAGGCGCTGTCATTCGTAGTGGTTCGACCCGTTTAAAGCTGCCACGCTTCCACGGGTGGTTGCCATTGGTACTGATTTGCTGTTGAAGTTAAAAAACTACAGACCTGCGAGTACTTCAAATTTTTTTCTGTGGAAAATTAAGTTCCAGAAAGGCGGAACTGCGTGTAATGTGCTGATTTAAAGGACAGCCAGCTGGCAGCTGCACATTTGAGCGAATGCTTGGCAGTCATTAATATTGGCAGTCATTAGGCGAGAATTGCAGTTAAGGGATTGGCCCGGTACATAATACTAAATTCGTGTATATTGACGGGAATATTTGCTTTCGCGCACTTCCAAACCCTTTCTTGGGTTGCTTTTTGATACTGTGAGCCGAATAATTGTATCCATTGGCGTGAAACGTTTTCGCGCGCAACATCCGGTTGCATAGTTATGAGGGTAAAAAAATTCCAAAAAGTTTAAATGCATAATTCAGGTCTACCACAAGTCTCATTATGGACCGATCCTTTTCAAATTTTGCACGTAAGTGCACATAGCCATGGAGATCGTCTTTACACCGAACCACCGCTACACCATTTTTAAAATTTTTTAATTCATTTTAAAATGTGAAAACAATGCCAGAACTGTGGCTCCGTGAAAAACCCATTTCATGCATATTGATATGTGCGTTATTTTCATACAGCCATAACTCCCGAACCGGATGTTGCGCGCTCAAACGCTTTTCACGCCAATGTATACAAATTACAAATCATCTTGCTGCAATATGTCACAAACCAAAGCAAAAAGGGGTTTGGGAGTGCGCGAAAGTGGAAGTTTTCGAACAGATACTAAAATGTGGTGCTATGTACCGGGCCAAATCCTTAAGCAAGGTATGCTTCGTTATTGACCAGCGACTACTGAGAACAAGAGAATTTTTGGGAAACTTGAAATACCTTCGTAATTTTGTCACAGAAGGCGGAGCCGTAGGCAACGCCGAGATGCTGGAGCTCGCGAAGCAGCAAACATGCAAGAAATTTCGCGTACAGTCTTCGATTTTAGAAAGTGCTAACAGCGGAGAAGGAAATACAACGAAATGCTTTTGTCCTTATTTAATTAAAGTGGTTTAACTTTGTTCTGTGGTCAAAGTAATAGTAAAAAATGTGACTATTACTGTTTTAATTTATCACTTATTATTGCACTGATTGTTGAAGGGCAGCAGCAGTGGTGCATTAGCGGTCAAACTGGGATGTAAAGGGCTTCAGTAAATTGTTGTCGGATGCGTTGAGAAAGCTCAGAATGGTGAGAAAAAGAGGAAAACAAGTTTTAATAAATTACAGGGTCCCTATGTAGCAGCTGCACGAAATTTACCTGATGGCGACTGATCTGGAAATAAACAGATTGGAGACAAAAAAATTTACGTTTTTGTGAGAAAAACAACTTTAAAAATTCGCATATCAGGTTTTAGGCCATTCTGCAGTCAATTAAACGGTTAGGCAAATTTTCCAGTAGTTATTATCAACAAGTGACATCAACTGTGCAGTGTGCAGGGACATTGTTGTGTATTTTGCGTATAATAAAATCCTACTATACGCATCGTTCATAAAATCTGCAGTTATGAGTTCACATACGATATATTTACAAACCTGCAGTTACGAGTTTTATTTTTGCGATTTTTTTTGTGATTTGTCCATTGCATTGTTTACTCCGCGCAATTTGCGCGGGGTCTACTAGTTTAATATACAGTTGTTAAGCTACTCGACTACTTCAATACTCGTACTTTGATTATTAGGCGAAATTTGAGTCATTATACTGTATTTCGACGTGTGTTAGCACAATTATTTTTTACGTTAGTGGAGTTATTTTTTCTCTTGTTGCGTCTACTTGATCACTGCCTTTTGCGCCTGCAGTCCTTTTTTTTCAAGGTATTTTTCTTCTGGCTGCTGCTACCGCGCAGATTGCCCTTTTTCCCACGATCGCTCCACCCCAGCAGACAACATTTGCCGATATTATTTGCAAGGCAACTGCTTTTACGGGAATTCGTGTCGGTGCGTTTGTTGTCCATATTAATTTTATGATTTAAGAGCAGTGAACCTGGAAATGTCAAAGAGCTTTTTTAAAATTGTCAGATTTCGTAATTTTTTGTTTGATTACTGTAGGTACGATCATGACAGAAACGTTCGGCAGACCGTTGCTGACACCGGAAACAACGGATTTTGCCGAACGTCCGTCGAGCCGGTTAAGCCGAAACCCAAGATGACCAGTCCAAGACATTTGGTTCATAGCGCGATAAACGAGGAAGCTGGTAAGAGGGATAGGTATTTATTTGCGAGATGCCGTGTTGCAGTCTTCTGGCTTCGAAAACAGCTTCCCGTCTGAATACTGGGGTGCTTATATTTTGCTTTTACTTATTACAATAAAGACAGTAAGGTCATACGCTCGTGTTTTGAAATGAGTAACATATTTTTCGACTTGATTTGGTGAAACACAGAACCTTAATAATTGTGTGCTTTTACTTCTGAAATTATCTGTAAAAGCGGATGGATGTTGAATTAATTGTATACGTAATTAGGATTTTTTGTTATTGCAGCTGTAGACCGACCTCCCCCTGTATCGTATGCCCAAGCCGTGGATTATTCGGCCACGCCATTGCCATCTGATGATATTGCAACCTCTTGTATTGCTGTATGCCAATATGCAATGGTAGGAATATGCCCCGTAGGTGATTCGTGTCAGAATTGGCATGGAGACCTGTGCGAGGTTTGTCAGTGCCAAGTTCTCGACCCAAACGATCCCGTCCAGCGATCGCAACACGAAGAGGTATGTGAATAATTGTCATGAAATTCATTTGAGATTATTTTGCGTGCATCTAGTATTTATTTCGAATCATGGCTGGTGGTGGATCAGAGCTAACTATGTAGGCATGCGCGGCCGCCTTCGAAAAAGACATGGAATATTCGTTCGCTGTTCAACGTAGCCAAGAAAAGGCTTGCTCAATCTGCATGGAAACTGTTCTGGATCAAGCAGACGAGACCAAAAGGCGTTTTGGAATACTGGAAAATTGCACACATCCATTCTGTTTTGAGTGTATCATGAAATGGAGAAAACAGTCACGGGAAACTTTGGACCCCAAAGCCATTCGGTACGAAGGTGTCTGTTATACCCCATATATACTCTGTACCTCATACTTTTTTACATACTACTGCATATTTTATATGCTTGGTTGCTTCCCTGGCGCGAGTTACAGTACTTAAACCAAGGTGTACAATATGTATGGACAGTATGGTTTATCTCTTTACACCTTGCTTAAACCAGCCTTCTGCGCAGTTACATCCACATGAATTTCATGCGGACAAAGATGGTGTATTTATTTTAGATCGTGCCCGGAATGTCGTGTCCATTCTGATTATGTAATCCCCAGCCTGATGTGGCCGGAAACCGAAAAGCACAAAACGGAAATTATAACTGCGTATAAGAAACAGATGGGGTAATTTGGGTTGAGACGTCTTATTGGTAACATACGGTAGAGAAGCAAAATAAAATTTTTTATAGAAAACGCCCGTGCAAACATTACAATCAAGGTCGTGGAACATGTCCGTTCGGTGGAAAATGTTGGTTTTTGCATGCATTACCGGATGGTACTCCCGTAACCCGTAAGTCGCTGGATGTCGTTACGGTTTATGTATACTTAGTTTGATAATACCTGTAATAATAATAATAATTATGATTAAAATAATATACTACCCTTTGCAGTTCCGGATCCAAAGCCCAGGCGGCGCGTTGTTGGCTCCAGAGGAGTATCCTTGCCGACTACATACGTGCTGGCTGATTTTATGGATTTATCGGATGAAGACAGTGATGACGACATATTCTATGGGGATGACGATTATTTCCTGTCGGACGAGGACGAATATCTGGATGATGTGGGATGGTTCCACGGTCGTGTTAGTGATTGGCGCGAATTGTTTGACACTATCATGGGTCGTGACAACCCGTACAGAGTGGATCGTGGACAGCCGTCCAACGTAGCCCAAACTGAAAACAGACCGCCGTCACCACCGGATGTTGTGTTGGAAGCTGTTCCTGGACTATTCGAAGCTTAGGGCTATAGTGCAAAGATTCAGATCAATTAAATCATATCATTTTCTATTTTCGAGTAGGTTTGGGCTTTCATTGAGCATTGTTCACCAAAAGTACCTTTAATTGTTAACACCGACTTTTGTCGATATTTAGTAGTAAAGTGAAACATAATATTCACTTACTTGCTTAACTTACTTGCTGATGTTTTTGGTGGTGTTTAATGTTGATTAATCCTGTATGTGATCTGTGGCATTATGGGCGATCAGTACTTATTTATCATGAATGCGCTGTGCTGTGCAGTGTTTGCATGCGTGATCCCGTTCGGGTTTTTGGATAACTGACAGAGTCGACAATCTTGAATAAAATTTCAACTTGCCATGTGAAAATCTTGAGTATGTGGTTGGTTGCATGCATCGTGGGACGAATTTGAAAACATTAACCAACCGTCGCGAACTCTGAAATGCTTCGGAAATAGTTATTCAGAAAACGCTTGTCTGTTCATAGACTCCGGAATTGTTAATGGAAACTGTATATTGTGAGTCTTAATGACAAATGAAAATCTTTTTGATATCTTTGATTATTTTGGCAATAACAAGTACAGTTTAATTAATTTGGGCATTTAACACGGTCATCTTATTTTTATGATGTAAGTACTCGCACAGTAGAAATACTTATGTTGACTTTTTGAGCAATTAAGCATTCCTGTCTTTCCGAAAAAATTGCAAAAATAGACACCAGGTCCAGGGCATGGGTGACCGCCTTGGCTGTCAGGTACCTGCATCCTTATGTCGTACGGTTTGTCTGCCGTCAAAAGTTCAAAACACTATTTTAATTTTTAAAGTTAACTTTTTCACTCTTCAGCAGCGCTTTTTTACTTTTTGAATCTTGTACAAACTTATTACAGTGTATTAGTGTAACTTCGATTTGTTTTTCGAATTTATATATTTCTCGTCCTTGTAAAAAACGGACTGTAACAGAGAACTTCTTCACTACGGACGTATCTGTATTGAACAAACAATTTTGGAATTTTTGTGTTGTCTGGTATAAAGTGAATGAGAACAATGGATCGACGTGCCTATGTGCACTTACCAAGGATTTTCGAAACAGAAGACTCGTGGAAACGAGAAGTGCTTCCGAACGAGGAAGCTGTTATCCCCGCGGCAGAGCTTCCGGAACCGAATATTGATGGAGACGGCGGCATGGATTCAGCTCGTCAGAATGACGACAGAGTAGCGGATCTCGGACTCCAGGATGTCCTCCAGTCATTGCCGCGGGATCCAAGAAGCCAGGCTTTTCGATATTTGTAAGAGTAAGGCCGTGAGGGGCATTTTAGTAGTGCATATAAGCAAATAATCAATGCTTCGTGCCGCAGTGCATCAGTTCGTATCATCTCTTGCTTATGCTAATAGCCTATATAGGTAGATGGTGCAATACTGCAATTGTGTTACGACAGTTGCGTTTTCTATTTACTCGACAATGGAGAAGTTTACTTGATCGTATTAAATAGTTATTTTCTCATCTTGTTTGTTACAGTGTGTTTTAATTGTTCTTGTGCATGTTTAAGGGTTTCTTTAAGCGCACATAAACAACGTATGTACTTATCTAACCAATAAGAACTGCTTATTACTGGTGGCAGAATGAGTGAGTGTTGGTATGCCATATTGTACAGAGTTGCGCAATATTATGGTACTGTACAGTAAAGATTTCTGGATTTTATCAACACTAACCATAAAGTTTTAAACAAGATGTTTCGCGCCGTTGTACAAGTACACGCGTCATATTCAAACAACTGACAAATCCAGCATTATTATCCGCAGAACACACAACAGCAAAATATACGCAAAAATCCAAATGATAATAGTAATGTTAGTCAGTTAGTGGTACCACTGGTACGACTCCATCCAATCCGAAATGCGATTATTTCAAATGGTGGAACAAATCTTTGGCAACCTACGACAGCAACCGTCTGATAAGAAAATCACTCAAAGGTTCACACTGTCATATATCATGATGAGAAATTAATAATAAAGTATTGCAGACTATTTGCAGTATAATAATAAAGTATTGCAGGACTGCACAAATGGTCAAAAGGAAGCAAAATGGCCAAACTGCAACATTAAAAAACCAAGAAAAGCGAAGAATGCTATGCAGAAACATGAGAAAACGAAACACACCAATAACGTAAGATGAATTAAAAAGTCTACTCAAACTCCGAAACCCAGGGCTAAAAATAAATAAGCGAAATTCGGTTTACGTCAATAAATCAGTTACTAAATTCTAAATTTTAAAATCCATTCTTCCTTACGCAATGATCCACACAATGAAACAAGTCAACGACTTCTTCATGGCAGGTTTCACTGGTTTTTATGCGCCCTCGCACCCTTTCGTTGCATTCTTCCAGCCTTTGAGACAGTTTAGCGCAGTCGGGCTTGGCCGAGCATTTTTCCCTCAGCTTAGCTTGCGGATCCTGTGGAATACGACCAATGGTCACAACCTTAACCCCGAAACAAAATGGTAGTCTTTGACGCAAACCAAACTTACCACAAATCCCTCCTCTTCTTGTGGCTCATCCTAAAACATTGATAATGCAACATGAATAAAACGATGATGATTTTATCTTCTGCGGTGTCAATTATCCAATGCCTTGAGGGGACAGCGTCCCGTTGCATAAGACAATAAAATTCGATTGACAATTTTAATATTTAACAGTCGTTCTACTGTAAGTTCGGATAGGATAATGCCATAATGGTATAGAATATAGATGGGACGGACAATATGGCAATATGGGATGGGTCAATATGCCATGTGCAGCCTGGATGCATTCAAATCTAACAACAAATTTTAGTCGTCCATTTCAGTTAAATTTTCTATCTTTTTTTACGGTGAAGAATACCCTTGTGAGTTGTGACCAATTCACAACAAAGCGACAAAAGTCACAAAACAGAAAATTCGTAAGATCTCCTGCATAGACCGTAGTCCTTACTTACGCATAGTTCCCAACTACGAAGCAGCAGCTTTAATAGCAAGTAGCACGCCCATGATTTAACATACCTCATGTTTAGCCATGGCGCAGAATTCCCGTTCCGGAAAATCGCACTATTATATGATAAACAAAATGTGAATCAAGAAGGAACAAAATACGCTACTTTACGAAAACTGAAAAGTCAAAAATATTTGCAAATTTCAAATCGGGTTATGATTTCCATGCGCCCGGCCAGGGATTAATTCACGCACATGCACGATTGCCCCAATCGGATGCACGTGCGCGCCCGGTTGCGCAACGTGTGTGTTATTTTCCTTGTGCGGAGGATTTCTAGTTTCTGCTGCCGTTCTGCAGGATCCGGGTGCTCATATGAATTTTTAACCTTTTAGCTTCAAGTTTCCATTTAGATTTTAATTTTGACTTCGTATTCACTTTGAAAGCGTTAAACGGGATTGCAAAAAGCGAACCTATGGGATTGTCAGCATAATCTTCCTCCTCACTAGCTGATCAAATTTCAGGTACGGTGGCAGTCTTTATTAGTCCTACAACATTATAGTTCTTCTTTATTATAATTAGTCCTGATTTGGTGATGGCTGATGCAGTAGTGCTCCAATGAATGCTAATGAAAGCCGTTGTGAGTATTGAAAGCTCATTTTGTTTTTAATTAATTGTAAATTAGATGGTACTGTGGAATAACTTTACTTATTTACTTTGGAAAGGAATGTGTTATTTGTTGACAATGACTGTTAAGAGTTGGCTTTTCCAATTTAATTAAATTTCTGTCGATTAAAATATCCGTAGACCGTAATATATCTGATTTTTTATCATGTGTTGTAATAGACTTGTTATTTGCTTTTGAATCTTTGTTAGTGGAATTTCGTAAATTTTTTCCATATTATAAGGGTCGTACCCTGTTTGTACAGATAGATGGCGGCCAGTGAAGACTGGGATACGAGCAAGGAGAACATTCGGCCTCTACGCCAGGGTCGACAAGTATCATCGTTGGCCGATGTCAGTGAGACGAAAACGCTGGAACTGAATGCAAAACGACAGGAGTTTGAGCAGCGTATTGCTGAACCTGCGGGAGATGATCCTCTTGCAGAATGGGATGCGTATATTCAGTGGGTGGAAAGCAATTATCCACGGGGAGGGAAGGAGAGCGGTTACAATGAGCTTCTGACGCGATGCTGTCAGCATTTTCTGCAATGTGACCAGGAAAGCAAGCGCTATTTTCAGGATGAACGATTTGTGAAGATTTGGATTAAATTTGCGACTAAAGATCCAAAGTTGGTTTTGGAAAGTTTTTCTTTTATGGAGAAGCAACAGGTAAGACGGTAACGGTAGCGATCCCAGCTTGTGCAGCGAAATTCGGTTCCATCGTAATTGTGGTTCTGCAATACACAGTCGTGCACCTTTAAGGAAGTTAAGTATTTACAACCAGTTTTCGTTTAATATTAACTGATCAAGTCTTTTTACATTTTTCGGATTAGTAAAATTTCTATAGTACTATAGTTGTTACTGTACTTGTTAGCCTTTTCTGAAATTGCGTGATTGTAGATCGGTACGCTTTCCCCTGTTTTTTACCTTGCCTGGGCATCGGAATTGGAATCGGTGAGAGCCACACTGAAAGCAGAAGAAATCCTTGACAAGGGCATTACTGCCTGTGCCGGCTGTCCGGATCACGTTCTGCGACTGCAGGCTGGTAAAAAAGCCTTGTTGGATCGGGATGCCCGAGCTTTGGTTTTGGACCCTGAAGCATTTTCAGTATTTGATGATGAACTGGAAGAGGAACGAACAGCCCTGGGAGCTTTGCAAGCAGTAGGGAAGGACAAAGGCGATGCACCGGTTAACCGCATTGGAGACAGTAAACTCCGTAAGTTCTATGTGGATCGCTGACGCTCGGTGCTTGAGAAGACTGTATTCGGCTGCCTTTCCTGCTGATGGAAATATGAACATACGAAAAGTTAATTAATTATGGCATATGTTTGAACGTACTATCCGGCAGTACTACTTTCAGTCTGCAGTATCGTTGAAGTGACCAGTTTGTGAACTTATCGTAAATACCGTAATTGCTATGTGCCGTATTAATCGTAAAATGCGTTCGTATAATGCTTTATTGCACATCTTTCTAGAAACGACAAAAGGAGTCGTCGGAGCTGTTCCAGTAACAAAAATCTACGAAGCCTACTGTGGTCAGTGTGTTCAACGATGCAGGCGATAAAAGCGATCGGCCCCACGCACCCGAAGAACCAGTATTTCCGTCAACCAGTCAGGAACGGGAAAACACGATTGCAGTCACCAAATTCGAAAAATCTCGAAATAAACATGCGGTGAAAATCGTCCCGGCTAGGGTAGACAATCCATTTGAAATCCACCGCGATCCACCGGAAAAATCAGCGAAAGAATCTCGCCGACCCATAACAGATCACCGCGGACTGAAAAGCCGGGATTCCGTCAAAGAGGAGCAGCCGTTAGAGAGTATTCTAAATACACCAGTGGCGCCTTCGAATGGCTTGGTTTGCTCCGTCGATTGGAGCGTGCTTAATTATAAAGATCCGGGAGCAAAGAAGCGTGAGCCCGCCGTCGATCGTTTACCATGCAGTAGCAATATCCCGTATGAGCCAGCTCCCCCTGCACCAAATGGGCAGGTTTTCGCATGGAATTACTCTCTATTCCAAGAATCTCAGGAGCTGTCCATAGAAGAAGCCTTGTGTATATCTTATCGCCGCACCCGACAAAGCCAGCAGCAAAAAGAGGATGCTGACAAGATTTTGGCTGAAAAATTAGCTGCTGCAAAGTTGGAATTGGCTGCGGCCGAGAATCAACGTCAAATTGCTGAGTATGAGCGCAGAAACGTGCTGGTCGAACTCGCCGAAAAGCAGAAAGTCTTGGATGAAAGACTGATTTCGCTTCAACAGGAGCGTGGGGCGTTAGACCATTTGCAGCAGGATGTTCATCATAAAATAGCTTTGCTTCACGAAAAAAATGCAGTTTTGGAACAGAAACTGCAAGAAGCTGGTGAGAAGTTAGTGGAAATCGATCAGTTAAAACTGGAGGCGGAGGAGCAGTATCGGTTGGCGTCTGATGTCCACAAGTCCAATGAAGAAGATCTATTTGTCACGGAAAGTATCGCGAACGGGTTAAGCTCGTGTTTAACGGCTTTACACAAAGATATCAATAGAAATGATATGGACGCATGGGACTGTATGTTCAACTTTGCATACGATCTTCAGCGGCGTCTGGAGCGCATCACGGAAAGTCAACATCACTCCGCTACGGCCTGGGTAAATATGATGCACGAAGTTGCAGGGCGAATACTGAGCGCTATCCAACAGCGACAGCTACCAGAAGAGATGCAAAACGGAATTTCCGAAGACCAAACAGGAATGAGAAACGGTAATGGTTCCGTGTGTTTTCTTTGCAACCACATTTATCATAGTCACATGTTTGTAGATTATTTTGCCGGAAATGAGAACCCGGAACAGTCAGACAATATCGTACTCAGCCAGGGACCGTACCAATCTTCTCAGCCTCTCAGTGGACGCCAGAGTTGGTCAGAGCATCCGGTTAATCCTGCCATCAATGCTATGTGGAATCAGACTTTGAACGGGACAAGCAGGGAAAGGTCTGCGGCATCTGGGTTGCTAGATACGGATGATGAAAATGCAGGAAGGGCTTTCGGTGATAACCGTTCTCCAATGCGACACAGTTTTGTTGTCAAGCGAGAACGGCGGTCTTTTGATATGGGAGGTGAAACTTGTGAGATGTTCTCTATCTACGAAGATTCTCCAGAAGCTCGCCCCTCTGACAATCACAGTTCACCCATGGGCTTTGAGATTTTTCAGGACGAAGTTGCCGACATTCCTGCGGCTGTATGCATTCCGGATGCGGATGAAAGGTTGCTTTGTTCTGATACTGTGGAAGAGCTCGGTAATCGTCAAGTGGAAATCTCAACACCTCCGGAAAAATTGGATGACAACCAGAAAGGATCTGAGGCCGTCCTCGAATTAAGTGGTCAGGACACGGGCAGCTCTAAGGACGACGATTACAATAAGAAAAGTCCGGAGAATTGGATATTTGTGAAAGTGGAACATGATGCCGCTATTGAAATGGACAGCCCACAAGACGTCTGTAAACCGGATCCGATAACCGCGCGGAAAAGTTTGAACCCTGGATTCGCGGACGAATTTAGTTCCACACGGAAAAGTTTGGCTTATTTTGATCAAACTATTCAGCTGGAATCGGAAAGTCAGTTTTTCGACCATATTGATTTTGAAAAGTGCATGGCATCAACGCCCAAAACAAGACTGAAAGATCCAGAAGCAAGTGGTATATCGGGTCAGTCTCCTGATGATTATCGCCGGCGACAATCTTACTATCCGCTGAGTCCTATACTGGAAGGCAGTCGTGAGAATAAGACATCCTCTTCAAGCAATGCCAGCAGCACCATCTCCATGCACTTGCGAAGTAAAAAAAGTACCGGAAATTATGAAGCAGTTGATGAAGCAGAAGAGAGGTCAGTGTCCGTCGATCCTTACTGCGCCTCTTTTATGGAGTCGTTCAAGGAGCGCCTGCGGGTCCGGGTTGAGACAGATCCTTTGGTCATTATGTTGGATGCCGAACTGCCAGAAATTGTCTCCGGAAGAACTGTGCTTAGGTAAATACATAGTATGGCTGAATGACTCTAATTTGAGGAAGTCAATTATAGTTTATCGGTATGTAAGTGCTGTCGTGAAATAAAAACTTCTGGCGACTTCAGCAGGATCAAGACGGATATTTTTTCGTTGTACTTGTAGAGATTAGGCAATTGTGCGTACCCGTTATTCTGCTATTAATTTCAGAGATACTGTTCTTAAATTAATTTCGCTTGATTTGGAATTTGGATGTTGTTTTTAGACTGGATGGCAAATACATTGTGGAAGAAAAGCTAGGAGAAGGATCGTATGCCGCCGTGTACCGGGTCCGTTGTCGAAGTGATGCCAGCAATACCTGGGCACTAAAAGTTCAGCCCAAAAGTGGTTGGTGGGATCAGTACATTCATAGCGAAATCTTGCGGAGGTTAAACGCTTCGGCGGATTATCAAAAGTCCCTGCCCTATATCATTAATGCTCAACAGTTCTTCCGGCTGAAAGATGATGGTACCTACAATTTGCTTCCACTTTTCGAACACGACACCATCCTTAAGCTAGTCAAAGCTTTCCAGAATTCTCCTGAAAAATCTGTTCCGGAACCGTTGTGCATGAAGTTGACGTTGGATGTGCTGAGGGCTGTGGAAAGTCTGCATAGTATCGGCATTATTCATGGCGATATCAAAGCAGATAACTTCCTTATTCAAGGTCTGAAAGAAATGTCGCTCGCTGAAAGTGCGGAAGAATTTGTTGCCATTCCATCGGCGGTCCTAACGGACTTCGGTTGTGGGATTGATACAACGTTGTTTGAAACGGGCACCACGTTTTCCACTATGCGCAAAGGGAAAACTACGGCAGGTTTCGAGATCCTACAGGGACGGCCGTGGACATACGAGATTGATTTGTACGGAGTGCTGGATGTCATTCACACCATGCTGTTTGGAGAGTACATGAAAGTTTACGAAGAAGGTGGTATCTGGAAGATCACCAAGAGTTTCAAACGTTCGTATTCCGAGATTTGGTCCCAGACCTTCCATAAATTGTTGAACACTGCTTCCGCTGACCAGCTGCCTAATTTATGTGAGATTCGAAAGGAATTTGAGGAAACCACAGTCCGTCGTGTGCAAATGATGAATGTCGGCAAGCTGAGCCGACAGATTCGTGTTACTTTCTTTATGCAGCGGAAAAGTTGTGTCCTGGCTCGTTGAATCGTCTTTGGCATGTTTCTCCATAGTTTTGCTCATTTGGTAATTTCTCACTTTTTATTCACGTTCATGTTTTGCCAGTTTCCAGAAACTGTTGGGAGACTATGAGCGTGTATGCTGTATTATAAATTGTTTAATTGTGCGGTGCTTCTCCTTGATGTGAGATAGAAAAAATTCTTTTGGCTTCCGCAGGATGTAGTGAACTGATGATGCGAATGCAGTTTTAAAACTGATAATAGGCTATAGCTGTGTTGTTTGCAGGCGGTATGTCGACTGAAGTATGGCTTTGCTTAATTATTACAGGGGTGCCGGGCCAAGTTCGGACAGTTGTGCAAATTTTATTTTAAAAAATCACCATACGCAAATTCTGTTGTTACTTTTGTGTTTTCTAGTACAACTTTTAGTTGCGAATCCAAAAGGATCAAAGTTGAAAATGTTCGCTATGATAATAAATAATAAGGGGCAGGACGAGATTTTAGGAATGGGTAGTGGTCATTTTACTTGCGCTTAAAACTGTACCTCTGAAAAATGTAGCAGTTGACATTTCTGTGTGAAGGTTCTTGAAAACTGTTGAGTGACCCAGAAGGTGTCCGTCAGGGGTCAGCAAAGGAACTCATGCCATCAGGGTCCGCGGTAACCTCGAAGTAAGACTTATCTCCCATAGACTTGTATGTTAAGAAGCACATTTAGAGAAATGCGGTTGCCAAGAGCACTGATAGCAGCAGACCAGATGTCAGTGCTTAAAAGGGTAGGAAGAAAGTCCCGCTAGATGGCCATGCTATCGTTTAAAACTTTTCATTCACCTCCAATTTTTAAATACTTGTCGAAGGAACTTGATTATTTCTCAGTAAGCAGTGCGATTTCTGCACCGAAAATTAAATTTGAATTTTGGCTCCCATTCTCTGAGCCTCATCTTTTTGCATGGAAACGAAATTTTTAAGGTGCTACAGACCATTTAATATCACGCAAAAGTGGTAAAAAAAATTTAGATTTCACTGGTAGAAGTAGAGGAATTTTTTTAACTGTCCGAACTTGGCCCGGCACCCCTGTATTTTACTGCATTGTGCTGCACAATGCACATAAGCACCACAAGTAAAGTAGTGCTAGTTCGTATTCCACTGTAACAAATTGTCAAGAGTTTCGGTAACAATGAAATGGTGCTATCGATTTCTACCGCAGCGTTTTCGGAAAAATCTCCATTGTGGCAGTGCATTTTGTTACATGGTATTTACCAGCTCCAATAAATAAGTCTGTAAGTGGCAAGGATTGGCAACCAATTATAAATACGTACATGCCGTAATGGCGGTCGCATCAGATCCGTACGTCTCCCATACGGCCATACCTGCAGCGCCTTCCACTCACCATGGCAGACATCTTTTAATTAATTGTAAACTGCATACATGATACAACCTTAAAATATTTAGATTATACGATCGCTCATATATAAAGCGTAATTAGGCTTATATTTTATTGCGATGTACTTTAACAGGTGTGCCGCTTCGTCCGTAAGTACGATATTCGCAAAGGTAACGAAACAAGATGTGCAGAACAGTTTCCTTTTCTGCCCAGTTAAGCTGGGAAATATCCTCATGAAACGGTATCCTGGCACTCGCATAGCGCAACAGCGTTTGATTTACATGTATGCTTTGCGTCAGTTGAAAAGGTGGATATGACTGGTGACCTTTCCATGCCGAACACAATTGCTTAAAGTAATTTCTTTCTGCTTCGCGATCTTGATCGCTGTTAATGTGAGTCTTCATTTTTCTTGCTTCCATTAGACTGGAAATGAGGAAGTTTTCCACCAATTCACGCTCGGTAATGAGCTGACGAACGATGCGTTTTTCCTTTTGCAACTCGGTCTGCAATGCCGTTTTCGTTGCTGTCAAGATATTGATCTGTTTATCGCGATCGTAAAATGTATGTTCAATGGCTCTTGTAATGTCCTGTGAGTCGCGATGCATTTCGATCGCAGCGGTATTATTTTCCGTTTCCGTGTCATGTATAACATCGGCGAGTTGCTGTATACACCGGCGTAACCTTTTGCCTTCGCGGATCTTCCCCTCGCAGGCGGATACGACGGCGTCATGGTCCAGTATCAGTTCATCCAGCAGCGCTCGCAGATCGCTCACTTCATCGCGCTTCCTTCGCACCTTCTCGCAGATCCAACGAAATGACAAGCTGCTTTCGGCTGTCTCATTTTCTGTCTGCTGAGTTTGTTGCGCGATGTTGTCCAGTGCCGCTTTGGCCCCTCGTTTCGCCAGCTGCTGCAGCTTAGCTTCGGCATCTTCCTGGGCTTTCTTCTGCGCGGTGCGACGCCGCTGATCGGCCATCATGAGTTTACGTTGATGACCTTTCTCACTCTTATATACCATTCGACGCAGCTCGCCGATCGATGACTGCAGAGTGTCTCGATCTTCTTCCAGGCGGCGCAGTTCCAAGTGTTCTGCGGTCAGTTGCTGGAGAATTGTATCTCTGGCTGTTCTGTCAAAATAAGACACTAAACAAGTTTTTTGCAGTTTGTAGTATCGAGTGTAATGTTTTTACCGGAAATTTCTTTTTCCAATGCAATAATCGAAGCATGGCTGTTTGCATCTGCGGTTTGCTTTTGTTGCTTTAAGTGAGCCGTTAGCCTTCTGTGATGACCTTCAACCGTTTCCAGCTGTGCCTCTAAATTCTTTCCTTGTTGAGATAATTCCTGAATGGCACCACCGGCATCCTTTTCGTTAACAGTCAACAAAGTCTGCATGAAGTTGTTCGTAGCTGTTTGCTTGGTTAGGTCTTCATTCAACTGGCGAATTTTATCTTTGAGAAACCGAACATTTTCCTGCCACTTCGCATCGTTAATCATCGCTTCATTATTGACGTCACGAATTTTTTGACGTAATAATTCTCCGGCGACCAACGTCCATGTGGGCATAATCTGGCCAGTGGGTATGACCGTTCGAATGTGCCCAGGCGGCGTTTCCGGCAGTGTGATTGGTTGCGCTTCTACCCACGGCTCAGCCCCGTACGGATAGCCAGGTTGTGGAACACTGTCTTCGGTTTTTTTGGCGGACGACTTTTTTCTGCCTTTGTTTTTCCCATTAGATTTTTTTGCATTTTGTTTCTTCGCTGGGGCCATTAAACTGGTTCGGTCTAAGGATACCGATTACAGATGATGGTGTTAATTGTTCGGCTGCCGGTTGCGTTGTGCGGTGTCCACGCGGATGATGATGAGCGGCATTTTAAAGCATCAGAAGAGTATGAATTTAAACCGGGTGACACCGGTCAATTCGGGCATTGCTTGGCATTTTCAGCTTGTAAGTTCAAAATACCAGTTGCTAGACAAATTAACTACAGACATGCAGTTGGATATTAATAAAACACATTATCAGGCTGTTTTGAGACGCCGAACTGAAAGGTAAATCAATGCTAACTGCATTTACAAATCTTCACGAGTGCCAAGCTATTTATGTTTCCAGACGTGTTTCCTTACTGTTAGACATCCGTGTTTGACCGATTGATCATCGATGGACCTAAAATACTGATTTTATAAAAAGTTCAGAATTTGAACAACAGACTAAATTAATAATCATCGAGATGGCTATGCAGAGAACACGTACTGTATAGGATCGAAACACGTACTGTATTATAGTACACAGCTGTAAATGATTATGCAGATAAATAATGCAATTCCATCTGAATAAACCCTAAAACAATAAAAAACATTGAATAATGTAATAAACAAAATCTATCGGTAACAGACTGCAAGTTGCATTCCTCACTTTGCGTGTGACTTAATTATGCTACTTTCGAATGGTATAGCTGCTCATGACTTCTGTTAATTCTTTTCTGAAGGTCACAAAAGCACTTTTGAAGTGTCAACCCCAAACGTTGAACGTACTCGTACATATATAAAATATCTTCAGTGTCAGCCAAACTTTTTGCAGTTAAAACAGTTGGTAAGCATGTAAGTGTAAGTTTACTTCTACAGAATGAACCTCTCTCTTTTTTAAAAGTGAAATATCAATAATAAAGGGCAATATAAGTCATTTCCGAAAGTAATCAATTTGGCGATACCAGTTTTAATTTGCACTGACCGTACATATCCTTACTAAAAGTAAGTGCAAAACCGAATGCTGTGCCATGATAGTGCGAGTTTCACAAAGCACAATATCAAAAACGAGTAAAAAACTACAGTAAAAACTACAGTAAAAACTACAGTAAAAAAAGCAATCAAACTACAGTAAAAGACCAAGCACGATGCCTTCAATGAGCATTATAGGGCACAGCTTTATTCTTCCGATCCCCGAAAAGTGATCTGCGATTATGCTAGCACTTTATTACTAATGGTGCTTAATTATGCATTTCTGTTCATAGCATCCACCTTGATAAAGTGGTAAATAATACAGTTTCAAAACATCTGTTGTGGTTGCAGATACAATACGATTTACAACACCGGTGCTCATGAAAATATAACAGTGCTGATTATGCCAATGAGCAAATGCACTTCAGCTGGCCAGATAGACAAAGCCATGCAGAAAGTGGCATAATGAAATGTAATTTTTTATGCCCATAAACCAAACAAACAGTGTTCACTTAAAAACATATTGTGCATGTAAATTGGTAAATATATATTTGCTTGATAGCTGTGAATTGTTACTACAGCACGCCGGACTCGGGGTTGTTAATTCTTGCTCCACCCTAAATCTGTCAACATAAAGTCACTCTCATTTGATTTTCAGTCTGTACCAACGCCTCCACCACGTTTAGCGGCAGCGTTGTCTTATCTCTTTAAAAGTTTACTTGTCAATTACCGAAAAGCCTTGTAAACAATATATAAGCATCTTGGTATTATGATGCCTGATTTAGTTTCACGGATTTCCGTACCGGCACGGCTAACCACTCTTTCACACCGGATTTGTATCAGCATTGACGCCTCTGTGGTCATTCAACGCAACATCAGTGCTGCGTGTTCTATACGGTGCTCATTATCGCTGCGCTTTGGAAAAAAACATCAACAATGCATCAAGCTGTCATTCTGTATTGCATATGGATTGTTGTAATAATAGCCTCGTTTATCCCTAAGGTCACTTTTGCTCAATATGGAGGATACGGCGGTTTCGGTGGATATGGTGGCTACGGAGGGTCAGTGCGCATGTCATATCTACATTCGAATTGATAAAATTTATGACTTTTATAGTTTTTTCTTCTTTAGTTAGAGTTAAAACTTCTTTCAGAATCGAACCGGTTTAGTTTAGCAAAAACTGATACGCAGGATTTGCTGGAAACTGTCCCCCTATAATCTTAGGACTTTTTTAATTTTTATGGGCTTGGGAGTTGTCAGCCATGTATATGAATTACCAAAGTATATTAATAATAATGTTATGTTGTATCGATTCACCTTTGATATCGTTTTGTGGGATTCGATAGAAATGTGGATGTACATATAAGTTTGTTATCGATAAATTTCGTTCTGGCTTCGTTACGACGTACAAGTATAATTTTACTTGAGCCAAAACATATACAGTATACGATACAGGTGTCATTGACTACGAGTACTCAATAAAACATCAGTCAATCGACGTTTCTTTGTTATCTTTTTTAGCGATTTTTTGTTTGGAGTTTTAGCTGTTTGGAAATTCTCAAAACTTTGCGAATAAGTATTTAAATGCATATTTTCAATTTCATTAGGAGTATTCTGTTCTTTTATGCAGCAATTTGTCATACTTGTGATTTTTTTGTCTTACACAAGTAGCAAATAAATACACATGTCACTTGCCTGTTAGCAGCATGGATTTCACTAATTCAAGCTTTACTACAGTAGGTCTGTTATCCACTGTTTTGCCACTTGCTCTGAACTTCAGTATGTAATTATAACGCAATAGTTCGTAGTTTATGGCCCGCAGACTAGCCTGTTTTGCACAATGTTTCTCTGGAGCGTTTTGCAGGTACGAGTATTATTGTAAGTTGAATCTGTCATTGCATTACAGATACGGATTGGGAGGATTTGGTTTTCCTTTGGGAGGTTATGGTTTGGGTTTAGGAGGACTTTATGGCGGTACTGGACCTGACAAATACTGCATAACAATACACGACTTTGTGCATACGTATTGTAAATCGGCATTTATTACAGGATTGGGATATCCCGGTTTTGGATTTGGAGGCTATCCAGGGTTTGGACTGGGTGGCCTTGGGTAACAGCGTTTAAGCAGTGCATGGAAACAAATCATATACTATTTACATAGTTAATATTCCTAAAATGCTGCTTTAGCAGCCCTACAAGCAAACAGTACTCGCTATTATGCAGATAGGTTACAAGTACGTAGATTTTTGCACATTTTTAATGCTGGAAATACGGAAACCGATAATGCAGCAAGAGCGCTAAATTAACATGCAGTAGTTTTAATATTGCAATGACACGGCTTCAGTTTTTTTAAAACATACTGTAGTTCAAACTTCTGTATACATATGCAAATGAGTTGCTTTTCAGCTCCACTACAAATTTTGTTAATCATTTGCAGTTATGGGTTTGGATTCGGTGGTCTGGGTGGAATCTACGGCTGATGACTCAAGAAACTATTTGTTAAAACTTTGTTTCCTCACCGACCCGACTATCACCAAAAACTGCAAAAAATGCTAAGGTCACAAAACGAAAACCGGGAAGCGTCTTGTCGACATGTAGTTTTATTTAGCTGCCAATGGACACCAAGGATAATCAGTGTAAAATGCTTTAGCTAACATTTTCGTGTGGTCCAGGTTGTTTCTTGTGTATGTAAGTACTTCTATAGTTAGTCCATTCCTTCGGTTCTGATGCATACGCGCGCTTGCTTATGACAGAAACGTGTACATACTATGTAATGAATGTCAACATTTCTTTAAAAAATACTGTAGTTTGGAACCATTCGTAGTTTGTAGCACCAAAAACTGTAATCAAAAGTATCATCCTATTACGTATTTATATCTATTTTGTACGTCTGCGTAATGATAATCACAATCAGTTGCTGAAGAGTGGAGATTTTTAATTTTGAAGAATTGACAGGTGTTACAATTACAGAAGCAACTGCAAGAGGAATCTAAAAAAACAAGCGCCATTTTCTGTTTGTTTCAGTTAGTTACAGTTCTGTCGAGTTATAGATCAATACATAGATCAGTACAGTATAAATGAAATAATTTGATATAATATTAGTCTAAATAAAATTATTTGATATTAGTGGCGGTTTAAACTAATTGTTTTTCAGCGGCATGAAGTTCAAATCAAAAGCTAAAGTTAGATGACAATTTTTTGACCGTCCTGCATACTTATCTACTGTGTATTAACCCTATGTAAGAATTTCATGACTAACAAGCTTGTGGAAGCGCTAATGTACCGCATACTGTATTGTTTACACCGGTGCATCAAAGTTGCCTTTGTTCTTCGTTTTGCTAGTTATGCTTATATTTGTATTTAATAAAGTACTGCGATTCTCTTCACGATCATGCATACTTTATATATGCGCCGTTAAATTAGTGCGTACTGTCTGATACTGAAAATGTAAAGAAAATATGGTATTAAATCAAAATTCGAATAACAGACAATGAAGATCACAACACCTATCTCAAGAAAACAAATTTAAATCTGGTGCATTAAGTTTTACCGATATGCTAAGTCATTGGTGAACGTATAATACGAGTAATTATGTATTACTTACTCACGTATTATTTGTTCTTCGTCTTACTGCAAAATGAAATGATCCTCAAAAAGGATAGTAATTACTTGCTTACCACAAACCCACGGTAGCCAGCAGTAGCCACATTTGTCAGCTCCCGGCTACCCTTGAGGGTACATAGTGCGGATTAATTACCACGCAAACGATAAAGCCAAGTGATAACGAATAAGTATGTGCAAGGATTACCAGTGTTCATCTACCATAGAGGCATAGGCTGCAATATTTTGTACTGTAATACGCAGTACGCACCACCTGCAGGCCTAGGCCTGGTTTTGCTTTAATTAAGGCTTAAAACTTGAAAGTAAAAAGTAGCTACATATACTGGAATGCAAGTCGCGTGCAGTTGTCACTTTTTGGCACTTGATGCGCGCACTTCGCAAGGTTAATCATCGCCAACTGCATTCGGCCACTGCCACATACTTCGCAAAACAGCAACCCGCCTTGGAAATGGAGCACCAGAATCATCATTCCGTAAATCCCCACTATGGGAATTATGGCAAATTCGTTGTTCCTACCGCCAACGACACGGAATTCCAGCCATTTCCGCATTTTGCTACCAGCGCGATTCATGTGGGAGCTGAGACCGATCAGTATGGTAAATACTTAATCTGTAAATCTGACAATGAGATTTTCAGTGTGTAGAGGTTTAAAATATGATTTTGAGGTTTGAAACCGTAAACTTATAACATACGTATTGTGCTCTCCGGCGTGGCAGAAGAAGCATAGCTCACTTGTCAGTATAAAGTATGGTTACTGTATTTGGTTTATTCATTTGCAACACAAAGCATTATACTGGTATTTATACTGGTATTTATTAAACTGCATTATAGGATTTCGACCCGTTGTAACACCCATTTCCCTGGCTACAACTTTCCAGCAGACTGAGCCGGGAGTTTTTAACGGTTTCGATTACTCGCGAAGTGGAAACCCAACGCGCAACAGCTTAGAGAAAACGCTCGCGGCATTGGAAAATGGAAAACATGGTGAGGCGTAAACTGAATTTGCTTTTACATTTAGTAAAAAGTTCTTCCGTTTTAACTTTTATGTGCAAGCTGACCAAAACTAATAGCCAGTATTAGCCACTGAAACCACTAAAATACAACTAACTGATAGTAGAATTTAGTAAGTACCTACGAGCAGGTTTCTCCTCTCGCAGGTGTGTGTGTTATGTATAGTAACAGACGTACGACTGTGTAGGTATAATTTGCATAATTTTATTACGTACTTGATTTGATTTTGATATCCATGGATGCTGTGCGAGTTATGCATTTTGAGTTTTCCGGTTGCAGCACTATGCTTCAGCAGCGGACTGGGTGCCATGACCAACGTGATACACCTGTTGGACGCCGGTGACGAAGTGATCAGCATGAACGATTTGTACGGAGGGAGCAATCGCTACTTCCGACTGGTTGCCTCCAAATGTGGCATCAAAGTCAACCTGATCGACTGTACCAGTCTGGATAAGGTGCGCGCCGCGCTGACCGACAAGACCAAACTGGTCTGGCTGGAAACGCCCACCAACCCCACTCTCTGCGTGGTGGACATCCAGGGCGTGGCGGATGTGGTGAAGAAGTTCAACAAGGACATCATTGTGGTTGTGGACAATACTTTCATGTCCTCCTATTTCCAACGGCCGCTGGATCTGGGCGCCGATATGGTTCATCATTCGCTGACCAAGTACATGAACGGGCATACGGATGTGGTGCAGGTACGGTTATCGATTCAAATCCAAACTTCGTTCTTGAAGTTTAATTACGGTAAAACTATCTGAGACCAGCAATGTATTTACGTACTAGTAGCTGGTTAATACATAATTTGCGCGGTCTTTGTAAAACGGGATTTAAGATCTTGCTCGCAAATATTTATGGGATAAAGCATGGCAGTAAGTACTAAACAGTCTCTTTGGTACCGTCATGCCTCATGGATATAAATATTAGCTTCGATGTAATTGCTTTTCCTATTTTGAATTATGAAGTGGACACCATTTATTTGTTTTTTTTATAACGTGGAGGTGCGAATTGCAGGGTTGTGTCGTTGTGCGGGACGATGAGCTGTACAAACGGCTGAAATTCCTCCAGAATTCCATCGGAGCCATTCCTTCGCCCTTCGACTGCTACATGGTACAACGCGGACTGAAAACGCTGCATCTGCGCATGCAGGAACATATGAAGAACGGCTTGGCTGTGGCGAAATTCCTTGAGCAACATCCCTGTGTGGAAAAAGTCGTCCACCCAGGATTACCATCACATCCTCAGTATGAGCTTATGAAACGACAGTGCAGAGGATACAGCGGGATGCTGTCATTTTACATTAAAGGCGGTCTGCAAGAAGCCAGGGAATTCTTGAAAGGCATTAAGGTTGGTAATTATCTGTTTTTACTGAATGCGTCATAATTATTGTTACATTAACAAAGATTTGGATGAAACCTTACCGGTTTTTCTAGATTTTTACGTTGGCTGAATCCCTTGGTGGATACGAAAGCTTGGCTGAACACCCCGGCATCATGACACACGCCTCGGTGCCAGAAGATCAGCGCAAAGCGCTGGGCATCAGTGATACCCTGATTAGATTATCTGTGGGTTTGGAAAATATCGAAGATCTCTTGGCTGATTTAGACCAGGCCCTAAGTGCTGCAGTATTCCACACCAAAACTGCGGTTTCCAATGGCCAGAATTAGTTCTTCTTTGAGTTTACTACTGATGAATATCAAAATAACTATGCAATCGTTCTTGTGAGATTAAACGTTAACGCAGATGAACATGCAACTTTTAATTGTCTGCACTTCCGATGCTGGCTCAAGAAAATCCAATCCAAAAGATGACTTTGATTGGCTTGTTATTTTTCTGTCGCTGCAATACACATAAATAAAAACTAACGAAATTCAGTTCTGCACGAGTTACAAATCGTTATAAAAGTGAATAAGCAATGAAGTACAGAACATCAGCAAAGCATAATGATGTCAAAAACAAGAATTTCCAGTCGCGCTAGTAGATCATCCCTCTTTGGAGCCGACTTTAATCATTTTTAGAGTTTCCGTGAGCTGTAAAAGTTTATAACGTCAGAAACAATTTGAGGTATTCGAATAAGCATTATTTTTTACCTCTTCAAATTTCTGGATATTCCGTACAAAGAAGTCTCCGTAGCGTGGCGCCACTTTCGTATCGGCAATGTAAATCATATCTTTGTCAATGTAAAAATCCAATTCGGGCCGACATTTCAGTTCTCCATTTAGAGGCGAGCCGTGATTGTGCACAATGTTCGTCATTTTATGCTGAAGAGATAAGCAATTCAAATCTGGTAAAGATATATACTGACACCGAAATTGTAACGTCAAAACAGACGTCAACGAAAAACTTACCTTGTACGTATACAAGTGCTGGAGCAGGTCATCCTCTTTTAAATCCACAAATCGCGCTAGTTTAGTTACCGGCATCGATGTGTACAGCTTCAAATAGCTGTCAACCATAAAGAAATCATTTTTTGAGTTCCTTGATAGAAAGCGCTATCCTTGCTTTCTTACCTCTGGATAGTGCCAACCATGGTCTGCGCACTGAACTCCTTTTTCAGGATGCTGAGCTGATACATCTGGAAGTCCTATAAAAAGGCAAACAATATTTAAATCTTGGGAGTCTCGTTTTGTGACAATACGAACCTTCAGACTGTTCGGCTGGATATCGTCATAATTAGTAACCGGTGTAATAAATTTTGGCAGACCCGCAGTTAATAACTTCTCAAATTCATCTTCATCCGCTCTGCAAATTGTTCATTTTCTTAGTTATTTGGAAGGAAAAAAGAAAATTTTCTAGCAATTTTCATGTACTGACCCTTTCTGCACTTTATTTAAACGGTCTCCCAGTTTGTCGCGCAGAGACGAGCTGATCGACTCGTCAATATGCATGGGATGGAGGACTAAGCACACCGCGAGGCAATTGTACATCTTATCCACCGTTTTGCCCAAAGTGTCCACTTGATAAGTCCGACCACCAGCAAACTGGGACGGCAAACCCAAGCTGCCGCCGCCAGCTCCACGGTTCATCATGGGAGTAGTAGCACGCTGCTGATGTAAGAGCAGGTCGCAGAATGTGCGAATGGCATCCTGATAGCGTCGCATCATCATGTAACAAACTCCAACATGATAGTAGGTGGCCACCAAGCAAGCTTGCAATCCAGATGCTTGCAGTAAATGCTGAAAATCAATAACAGCTGAACGCAAACATGTTCCAAAAAAGTGCGACACATCGAATTCCTAATTAATATGATTTTATGAATCTGTTCGCTAGCCTTGCAGCTTTTTACCATTTCGAAATTTCTTCCAAAAAGGTGGTTGCGCCTTCATTTAAGCAATTAGTACACACTTTCATCTGTCCGCTCGTGCATCAACAAAACAGTTAAGAATCGAAGTATCATACCCACACAACATCGATTCCATTTTTGATAACAACTGTACAGACTTCAAATCAAACTGGTTGATTTGTGTCAGAATTTATGATTTCAGGTATTGCCGCGAAAAATGTCTTCAACTGTTCAATCCCGCCGAGTCATACCTTTTTGCCAAGTTCCACGTTTTCCAAAACTTTCAAAGCCGAATAATAATCGCCCAGTAGACAGTGAAGTCGCATAAGGCTGATCAAGCTGTAATAGCCGAGCATTTTATACATGGGATGATCGGCAAAACTTCCGCTCTCAAATTTGGAAGTGGGGTCCCCTGTCGTAAGAAAAGCCACATTATCTTTCGATCAGAAGACTTCACACCAAGCCTACCGCCAGCGTTGTAAATTTCCAGCTGCTCTTGTATACGACTTTTCTCAACCAGCTTTAGCCAAATATTCATGACAATGTTGACATTCCAAATCTGCAATAGTCCTCAATTTCAAAGATGCTACTTTCCCGTTTCAAAGTCTAAAGAATATACCATGGGATTGTCTTTCAGCATCAAGAGTTCCTCTTCTCCTATCCGATCTGCTTTAGCTCGGTACGTGGAGAAATGCGTAAACTGGTACATAAATTCATCGATCATATCCCACACCCATTCGTTTGGCAGACCAACATCAAGCGGCACGTCTCGATCTGCAACAATGCACTCGGGTCACCCCAGAAAAAAGATACAACAAATTACAAAAAGACCCAAATGTGCAAATTCCAACAACAAATGAATGTCAATTAGGTAATCAATACTAGTACTCAGAGAAGCTGAGAAGTTTCAGCACTTACTCAAGATCAAATCAAAAATCTGCCAGTAGTTGCTGTAAGAATCGAAACGCTGATCAATCGATGGACCTTCACGCTGGAACAAAACAATTAAAAAGGTCACGCGATTTTAAAATGGTCCAAAAGTTTTTTAATGCGCTTTTAAACTGATATTTAAATAAACACGAAGTTTTGCATATGTTGAAAAATACAGTATGCAGTGACATTATTTGTGTTGGTGTGTTACCGAGCTTTCATAAATGTGGCGGAAATACAGTTCCTTGTAGAGAAGAATAAATATCCGCTCTGCAAAAAATCCCCTCGTAAACAAGATGGAAGGTAGCAAAACGGCAGAAAATGCCTGACGTACCAGGCAAATCGCCAATAATGCTTTCGATGACTTTCGGGTGCGGCCAAGCGCGAGTCTGGTAATATATCTCGCTTAGTCCACGAAAACTGTTGAAACAAACAAACATTCAGCTTAAATGCACACAGCCAGTGCTACAGTGCATTTGGCGTACTCGGCTTCGTAGAGATGCTGCAGTTTGGAAGTTTCTCGGTTACGAACCGCTTCCTTTAAGTCATGCAAGAAGCGGTGTACTTCGTCCGGAATGTCCGAATCTTCATTGATTTCCAGCGGTTCGCGTTCACGCTCCCAGTGTTGCTGATGATTATCGCGATACTGCCGACGCCCGCCGCCGCCGCCTCGACCGCCGCCTCCATCGCCACCGTAGTGATCATCGTTGTACTGGTTGTAGCGACCCTCACCCTGGTCCCGGTTGCGGTCTCGATAACGTCCCTGGTTGCCGCCCGCCACACTGGCGAAGGACTGCTGCCCGCGACGACCCCCGCCGCGTTGCTCGTAATTATCCTGATAATACTGCAACAAAAGTTGGAGCATTACATGGCAGCCGGATCGGATTTGCTGCGCAAGGTTGGCATAGTTCTCCGCGGTTTAACCGTAATCCAGCTGGAAACCATAATCACCACGAAAGCGGATGCGGTTTCTGTTTATCTTCCGTTCTTCTGTGTCTGTCTCGTGTATCCGACAACTTCGTATTTTGCGGCTTACCATTATAGTTCCAGTGAAAGAAGCTCAGACACCGAGAACCGTGAGCTTTCGGTTCGTTCTAGATTCAGTCCCAGCACGAAGGAAGTCAGGAATCACGAACGAACAGAATCTTCTCCCGTGGGAACAAACAATGAACAATCCACAATATCAGAATTTTAACCCTTTTACCTGCCAAAACTTGGAAGAAAACGAAAGCTGAATGCAAATTTTTATTCACAATTAAACAGTTTAATTTTCTATTTTGCTACGCAGAAAACTTTTTGCGAGAGAATGGAGATGAAACAATTGAGTGCATGGTGACGTTTCCTGTGCAACCTGGTGGACTCAGCCTCAACGTTACCATAAGTTCGGAGGTACAGGTGCATCACGCCGAGCGCTAAGCGTTATCACCACGGTCTCAGCCTCTTTGGTTGCTGCAAGTTATTTTGGCTGACAGAAATAACTTGTTAAAAGTTTTTGCAAATAAAACGTAAATCATAGCAGTAGTGGACGCCAAATTTTCTAGCGCCACGTAGTTTTCATAAGTAATTACGGTATTGGTAATTGTTAAGTTCTTTTGTTGGTACGAGTCTTGGAAATATCTTGCGAGATTGCAGTCAACATGGAGAATGATGATGTGAAAAGCACGAATTCGTCTCCAGGAGGCGAAACTTTGGAACAGAAGCACAATCGACTGCTAGCGGAACATGCCAAGGTTTGCTTGTTACAGCAATCGCGTAGCAGTTACAGTAGTCTTTTTAATGGTAGTACCGTAATTATGCTGGTGTGATATTTTGCTATCAGTCATTTTTTTCGTTGATTTCAGGTTCGAAGTCAGTTAGCGGTGCTTAAAAATGTGGTTGTGGAGGAAAAGAACAACACTGCAGAGTTGAAGGTAGTAAGAATTTTTAGCGTTAAGCACTTTAACTCAAAATTCAAAAATTATTTTCTTATTTGACTGTTTTAATATAATTTAAAATCAGCATTTTTAAATGGTTTCTACGCTTCTGGTTTTCCTGAGAGTTTTTTGTTGCAGAGTCAGATGCGTCAAAAGGACCAAGCTATTCGTAGGCTGGAACAGGAGACAGAAAGTATACGCTTTTTGAATGGACAGATGCAGACTCGTTTAGTCATCCTCCAAAAGGACCTCATGGAACGGGACACGAAAAGCAAATCTGTAAATACACGTTTTGTTGATGCGCACTCCTGGAGTGTCTTTTCTTATTCTTGGAATACTTGCAGAGCAGAAGAAAAGAACCTGCACAACCAAGCGTCGCATCTTCGAGCACGGAGCTGAATGCCGATTTTGTGCAGTTGGTGGAAATTAATGCGCATTTGTCGAGCAAGGTTGGTGTCATGTTACGCGAACCGGTGCAGCCATAGCGCTGTGAAAGAATGGAATTTGTGGCATAGAATCAGTGTCTGCTTTATATGTAGCTAAATTCCGTTCAAACCGAGATGGAAACGCGAGTTAATGAATTGGAGTCGAAATTGAGAGATGCCGCCGTGGCTGAGAAAAACGCAGTTAACCAGCTGACCGAGTATAAGGAGATGTTCCAAGAAGTAGAAAATCGCGTCAAAGCCGAATGCGAAGCCGCCTGGAGGAAGGAGGTAAACATTTTCGTGGCCTTTCTTGGGGTAGAAAATCGAAACTTCGTATTTAAAACGCTGTAGTTCTTGAAAACATTACAACAAAAAGATTATGCCGTTTTGGAGTGGCACACTTTTTTTTATTATTTTTAGGTGTCCGAGCATAAAGGAAGTGTATTCGATTTAAGAACGGTGAGACATGACTTACGAATTCTGACCATTTAGAAATTTTTTTACCATACTAACTGGTTTTCTTGCAGGAAAATTCTATTCTAAAATCAGAACTGGAGAAAGCGAAAAACGACATAGACAGTTTGCAGAAGGTTAGAACTTTCTTTTTGAAAATTTCATGCATGACATTGCTTTGTTACTTTTATACAGCAGAATGTAACCGCTTTTCAATTCCTTTTTCAGAATAATACAGATGTTGCTCAACAATCCCTGTTCATAAAAAGTCTTTCGGAACAGGTAAAGAAATCCCTGAAAATCTTACAAAGTTATTCATGGTTTAATTAATAAAGTGTGTCCTGCCTTTATTTTTTAGATCGACTCGCAAAAAGAGCAGCTGGTTAAGCTGCAGCAGGTTCGTGTATATGGTCAATAACTGGGACGTTATTAGTTAAGCATAAAAATGTTTTCATTCTAGGACAGAGAGGAATGGATGTACAAGGCGCAAATATTAACCCTGAAGTCATCGAGCAGTCAAGCTGAACTTCCCCTGGAACGTAGTGATAGCGGTGATTCGCGCACAACGGAGATGGAAGCACCCGTAAACCAAGTGGAGAGCAGTTTAAGAACGCGTATTAACACACTTATATCCGATTTGCAACTTGCGGATGGAAAGGCGTTATATTTTCAGGCGGAAGTAAGTTATCGGGATTGTTCTCTACAGTAGTGTTTTACATCGTGCTGTTGAACGAGATCGCCGTTAGCAGATCCTGGGAATTTTTATTCTTCTTAGTGACTCAAATTGTTTTAGTGCTCCGCTCTGCATTTGCGGCTGCAAATGGTGGAAGATGATAAAAGAAAAGTGGACCAACGCTTGTCGGAGGCGCGAAACCACATTGATGAGTTAAAAAAGCAGTTTGAATCCACGGTGATCCACACCAACGAACAAATCAGCCTTATGAGCGAACATTTGGCATCGATGAACGAAAAGTTGCAAACGAAAACCGACGAGATCAACATTCTCAAGTACGAACGGGATAACCGGCTCCCCAAGGCTGCCACTCAGCCGAAATACTCCGCTCAGAAAGGCCAAAGATGAGAAAAACGAAACGGTCTTTGTGGCTAATTGCGAGTCATTTTCCATTTTAAAGTCCACGATAAAACTATTCCGTACTCACAGAAGACTCCAGGTGCAGTTGCACCGGATTGTAATTTTGAGTTGTGATTTATAGTTTTTTTTATTTTGTCGTTGTAAATATAGTTGATTATTTAAAGCCGAGATTTCTGCCCCGATTGAATTATGTCGTTTGAGCCGTACTCTACTCCTTGTTGTGATGCAAAATTCGAAAGAGAGCACGGGCGCAGATACGTGACTGAGCATTCAAATGTTTGTTATATTTCTAAGTTCTAATCATAACCTGCAAGCGGCCATACAAAAGCCAGCGGAAAACGAAAAAAACGTTTTTCACGGAATAACACGAGCAATAATCAGTTAGATTTTCACATGCTCCTTTCAAGATCAGGTCAGATATTGTTAAACATTTGAAAGTGCAACCCTCTTCGCGAAAACAAAAATACAGGGAATAAAGATAATTCAAGTGACATTTGCAAAGTGGATAACCATCCGCTATTGCGTATCAGGAATGCGCATCTTTAGCAGATTCAAAATCCATGAGTAAATTACACTATTTATTCTTGCGTTTCTTGCCTTCGCCATGAGAGCTCGTAGTCGCTGGTACTGTATCAGCGGCTGCACTATCGGAAACTGGCTGCCATTTGAGTGGATGCTTGCGATAGCAAGGCCATGGTAGACCGCAAACCAGTGTCGCCACCACACTGCCCAAGCCCAGGGAGCCCACTGTATAGGAGAACATCTGGAAATAATACCCCACGACGAAACCGACAACGGCGAAAACCAGGACAATGCGCTGATACAGCCATTCAGATGTTCGCTGGCCTTCATAATCCATGTAGACCAAATCGAACAGCTTCTGAAAAATCGCCATCTGCAAAAGAAAAGGCTCTATCGCGGTCTGCCAAATCTTACGTAATTCAAATTAATTACCATGACTTTAGTAAGTTTAGTTGTGCTTCAGTAATCGCACATTCGCATAGTACTCCTCTTGAGTACTATGCGAATGTTCACATAGTACTGTTCACATGAATGTTTTGTAGGTGAATAATTGAAATTCAAATTTATTATGACTTACTGCGGTTGGACTGCAGCTGCAGTATGTAATACGTTAAGGGTATAAGTGGTGCGACAAAATTTTTATAAGTACAAGCAGCAAGTAACAATGGAAAGTGCCACAAACTCAAAAATGGCTACACAAAAATGTACAATTTAATTTTGAAATTTCTTATTACCAATGCTTTTCAGCAGTCAACAGTCTAACTTCTATGGTAGCATTAAAGAACCATGGGAACCTCTGATTCGGCCACGGTAGCAGAGGCATAGCGCATGACGTCACTGCGGAGTGCAGACTTTTACACGTTTCCGGCAAAATGTTTGCCGATTTCATTTTATATCATTTGCCACTAAATTGTCTTTTGAACTGCAACTAATCCTTTTGGTTTTGAATTTTTGGATAGTCCTTTGGTTAGGTTGTTTTAAAATGTTAAAATTGCTTACTGAAATTTTGCGGAAGTAATAACAATTCAGGCAGACTTTTGAGAAGTTTTATTCGAACCCAAAGCTGTGTTTAGTTAAAATGACTGAAACTGTATGGAGCGTTTCTTTAAAAAAACCTCATCCTATTCTGAAAAACCAACTTTTTAACGCCCGAAGTTACTTTTATTTACTTTAAACTCCCCACAAATACAATACAATAAATAATATTGTTACGAGTACTTAAGGTTACTAATTTAGTAATTACTATCTATTCGATATTATACGAGTAGTCGAGTACTACTCTGTTAGACAGTTAGGCCTCGTCCCGAATTCAAAGCGAATCTCGTTGCGATACAGCAACTCCACCTCGCGAGGTGGCTTCGCGTACCGTATCTGTAGGCGTGGCCACTGCATACAGCCACCTCGTGCGGTTGAGCAACCGTACCATAACGAGATTCGCTTTGAATTCGGGACAAGGCCTTTGAGTCTATAATACCAGTATCTGATTCTGCAGTACTGCACTCTGTACCAAGTACAGTTGTAATATTGATTCACTGGTCAGTTAATTGGGACTTGACAAATTTTTATTTGAAGTGTATTCGGTGAAGCGATACTTTTCACACGTCATTATTAACTGATCTAAAATTAATCCAATACTGTAATATTTCAGAGAAATTCATAGTACGTACAGTACATACATTATATATATCTACAATTGTATACTTGTACATATCGTGTAACGTGGTAGGCTGGCAGCACCGGTTGAATAAATGCAACCGCATTTGTTGAATGCTGTGTGACGTGGAAAGTAGACGTGTCTTGGTTTGCAAAACAAAAACATTGTATTGTACATTGAAATTTGAAATCTATTCGTAGATGTCGTATTGTATTGACGATGAATTGAAGTATTTTCAGTATTCTTCTAATTTAGATTGCGATTGCGTTTCAATATTGTTACTGCAGATTTGCAGCAGCACATACTCTGTAAGCTTGTAAAGAGTTTCCCAAGGTTGTATGGTATTACCGTATTACTTACTGTGTTATGAATTTGTAACCCGGACAGGTGGACTTCTGAGACCACTAATTTGCCTCGATTTGCATATGTACTGAACGATTATTGGGTCTTGTCACTCTTGTGTTGGGTCTTGTCACTCTTGTTTTGATTGCCGATTCTTGAACATGAAGGCTCTGATATTAGTTGGCGGCTATGGAACACGCCTTCGTCCACTTACTCTCAGCCGACCAAAGCCTCTGGTGGAATTTTGCAACAAGCCCATGCTCTATCATCAGATTCAAGCCCTACACGAGGTATGACGAAATGTACTTTTCTTAAGATGATCAGAACCAGCGATCAATTTATGACGAACGTACAGCGAAGTTGTTTCAGGCTGGGGTTACCCATATTATTCTTGCCGTGAGCTATCGCGCGGAGATGATGGAGAAGGAGTTGTCGGAACTAGGTAACAAGGTAAGAAACATAAGAAGTGTTAACGATTGAGAGAGCTCAACTGCGTAATATTATAACACTTGTTGAGTTGTAAAAAAATAAGCAAACTAAGTAGCCTTTCGTGAGCTATTACCTTGCCCGCTGGCATACAGTGTTAAAGGGAGCGAGTATCTAAATGTTATTATTTTTGCAGCTGGGAATTCAGATAACTTATTCCCTGGAAGAGGAGCCTTTGGGAACTGGTGGGCCTATTGCTCTGGCCAGTCAGTACCTCGGCGATGCCGACTTGTTCTTCGTCCTAAACAGCGATGTCATCTGTGACTTTCCCTTTAAAGATATGATACAGTTTCATAAAAATCACGGAAAGGAGGGAACGATAGTGGTGAGCAGAAAGAGTGAATTCCACTGAAGTTGGACGTTGCGGTCTTGCGGATTATTTCTAAAGTTTTTGTACTTTGAAGTTTAACTGTCAGTGTCAATATTTTATCAGTTGCACAAGACTAGCGAAAACAGTTGTCGGCGCAATGTACTCGAAAATCTGGTATTTTGTCGTGTTTGTTACTAATTTTTTTCATCTGTGCGGTATTAGTGTACTGTAAATGTAGTGTTTGATAAGGATACTGTTATAGGTGACAACAGTTGCGGAGCCGTCGAAATACGGAGTAGTTATTTACGATGAAGTGGGCAGAATTGGAAGTTTCGTGGAGAAACCTCAGGAGTATGTATCCAATAAAATCAACGCTGGAATGTATATCTTCAGCCCGGGCATTCTTAAACGGATACAACTGCAGCCGACGTCCATTGAAAAAGACGTGTTTCCTAATATGGCACAGGAAGGCCAGTTGTACGCAATGGAATTAAAAGGTGCAATGCTTGAAGAACTGGCTACCGGCATCGAATTAGAATACCTAATTAATTTTGCCAACGGCGGCAACAAGTATATTTTTTTTGTCGTGTTCTTGACAGGTTATTGGATGGACATTGGGCAACCAAAAGATTTCCTCACAGGAATGTGCCTTTATCTGAATTCCCTTAGTCAAAAAGATAAAGGAAGCCTTACCAGCGGGTCGCAGTTTGTCGGAAATGTTTTGGTGGTAAATTTGCATGAGACATCCATGGCATAATTGTGGCGAAAGAATGACCAAAAACAGAAATATGTTCATTGGGATTTTTTAGCATGAAACCGCGAAAATTGGCCAGAACTGTCGCATCGGACCGAATGTTGTGATCGGGCCCAAAGTTACGATTGAGGATGGTGTGCGAATACATCGATCTACAATTTTAGGAGGTAGTAAAATCAAAGCCTATTCTATGCTCAATGATTGTATAATTGGATGGAACTGCGATATTGGACGGTGGGTGCGCATGGAAAATGTGTGTGTTCTTGGAGAGGATGTCAACGTTAAGGATGAACTGTACCTCAATGGAGGCTTCGTCTTGCCACACAAAGAAATTAAAACTTCCGTTACAGAACCACAGATCATCATGTGAACTTTTATTTTAATGAGTAATGTGGCGTCTTCAGCGTTGCATTTGGCCACATTACTATCCTTTTGTGCCTTGACATTGTTTTTTTACTTTTCTAAATACGGTTTTGTACGGTTTTCTGTTTTTAACAATTTATTGTTAAGTTGTTCTGAATTTCTTTTGATCCATGTTGAAAATTCCACAAAGAGATAATATAATATTATATCAGCTTGAGCTTTACAAGTGAATGTCAGAACAGGCAAAAAATTTCGGTATTAAAGCGTTTGTCAGTTATATTACGTACTTTGCAAACAACCGAAGCTGATTTATTTCCTTGCTGGTAGCACAACAGGTAAAACTGCGGTAGAAAGTCGCTTGTGAAATTTGCGAAATGTATCCGGACATATCATTTCGTGCGCGCCAACTGGGATCATCTGACATCCGGTTGGACCAAACGAGGTGACAACACCTAGTTTGGAATCCCCAGCCACATCCAAATGAACGGGCGAATCAAGTGTCATGATGCGGGCCAATATGAGATCTCTGGCGCCGAACTGGTCTTCCAATTCCACCAGGTGTGGATTAAGAGGCTCGATATTTTCCATGTGCATAACTGCCGATATAGGATTGTCGAGCACTTTACCACCGACGACTCGAATCATGCAATGCACTTCCAACACATCCACCGACATAACTTCCGCAATCACAATTTCACCTAAAACGCAGGATTAACAAATTACAATGACGTGACAAACTACCACTGAACCAACGTTCAAAACCTGCAAGAACGCAAAAATCCAAATCAAGGATAAGAAAACCTAATCAAAACACTGAAAACAGTAAAAATAATCGGACAAAACGCGAAGACAATTAAAATTTTTATGCACAGAATGCACTTCATTATAATTTAAAGATAAAACTTGCGGGTGCATCTGGAGTTGCTTGTTTATGGCTAAACTGAATACAAATATGAAGAAAATAGTTTAAAAAATCACTAACTGTAAATTTTAAATAACAGCGAACATTGTTACATTACTAATCGTAAATTAAATGTAACAGTAAACTGTGCACACAATGACAAACACCTACCAAAAGCTAAGGAAGGCTGGTTAATGCTTGAGGTTTCAGCAGTTCGTCGGGACACGTTAATTTCGATTACGCGTTCGTTTTCGTTTTGGCGAGAGTTGACAGTAACTGTTCCCAGCAGGGCCGAGCGAATTACCCGGCTCTCCACCCAGGTTCCTGACAGTCCCTTAACACAAGCCCCACAAAATCCGAGGATTTCGCCAGGTGCAACCGACTGAGCGTTGTGAACGAGGACTTTTCCGTCACGGGGAACAGTTACTCTATGGAATGACATGGACGAGGGCTTCACAGATGGCGGATCACGCAATGTTGTCTGCTGGTGTTCCATGTTCTAATTCTAAGATCGCAACACAACGATAACAATCCACTTTCAGATCATCGGAAACAGCGACCGACGCTACATGAGATGGTCACAATCACGAGGGCAGCTTCAGAGTGTTCTTGCAAGAACGAAATGCACTAAAATCCGATGCGCCACAACCCAGAAAAAAACAAAAACCCACCACAAACTACGAACAAAATATGAAACAAAACCCAAAAATACTTTACTGACAAACGAGCTATACTTATTAGTCTTTTCACTTTTGCCACTTCTGCGAAGCGAAGCAAATCGGAAATATAAGAAATTCTGCCACATGGTTACCGCCTGTTGGGGGCCACTACACGGAAGTCGTAGTCTGTGATCACTGATCAGCTGTTTCCGGTCCCACAAAAAGGACAAAATTAATTAACAAGTAGTACGAGTGCACAATAATATTATTGTGCACTCGTAGTACTCGTTACTACTGATGGCATTTGAAAACGTTCTGTCAGTTCCAACCGACACTGTTTCCTCATTCGTGTGTGGATGTTCAGATCTTTAACGAAGGCGAAGGCGAGCCAGCCAGGAAAAACTATTTGTTAAATACATAAAATCAGTGTTTAGCCTTCTTAACGAGATAGTCGCTTTCGCTGTCGTAAAAGCTACATCTATGATGGCATCTACCAGGAGTTCTTATGTTGTAACACAACTCTTGTCACAGCCATCTTGGACATCGCTGTTTACCCGAAGCTTGTGGCCAGTATCTGGGAAGAAACTGAATTATACCATCGTGCCAAAGAGGCACAGCTCAAGCCAGCCCAAGACAGAGCTAGAAGAAGCTCAGATCTTTCGTGGGAATGTGTCCGAATTCCCCTGTACGCTATCGAAGTAAGTACCATCTTTGAGTGAAATACAGTACATTGATCCTACTCCGATCGGTGCACGCTTTTCAGAAACGTTCAGGGACCAGAGCCTAACTATGAGAAAATCGTTAGTGGTTACCAAGTCTTTCGTCACTCGGAGCCTTTCAATTTCCAGTACAACCAAGGCGTTATTCCGCAGCTGCAGATAGCTTACGAGACATGGGGCGAATTGAACCCTGACCGCTCCAATGCAATTCTGATTTTCACCGGCCTATCGGCCAGTTCGCACGCGCGCAGCCATTCCGCTAATCAGCAGCCGGGCTGGTGGGAGGAATTTATTGGACCAGAAAACGCTGTGAACACATCTAAGTATTTTGTGATTTGCGCTAATCACATCGGCAGTTGCTACGGATCGACTGGTCCATCCAGTAAGAATCCTCTGACGGGTAAACCGTACGGCACGACGTTTCCGGTTCTAAGTGTGCAGGATTTAGTGCGCGCCCAATTCCACCTGTTGGATTTTTTGGGGATTGAGAAGCTGCACGCCTGTGTGGGATCGTCACTGGGCGGAATGTGTTCGGCACAAGCGGCTGTTTTATATCCGGAACGGATGGGCCGATTGATCAGCATTTCCGCTTGTCAGTATTCGTATCCTGCCAGCATCGCCACACGCTATCTACAGCGACGGTGTATTATGACGGATCCTAATTGGAACAACGGTTTTTATTACGGTAAATATTTATTGCAAATTACCCATGATGTTACCCGTACAGTTAATTTATTCACGTAATAGACACAGATAGTCATCAATAGTCGTTAATCACACTGAACAAAATAATTTGGGAAAAGTGTTTCATGTACCGCGTTTACAGCTTTAGTAACTTTACACAAGATTAAGTGCCACCAGAACGCTCTAATGCGCACATAATACTGAGTAGTTTGACTTATAAAAGTAGTAGTCAGTAGTTTGACTTATAAAATCTTCGTAATTTTCTTATTATGGTTGATTTCCAGGAAATCAGTTGCCGTTTCACGGTATGAAAACTGCTCGCGAGATTGCAACAATCAGTTATCGCAGCGGGCCGGAATGGCGTCAGCGCTTCGGGAGAAAAATGATTGAAGGAGCAACGATCAGTTTATGTCCGACTTTCTTGATTGAGCAGTACATCGACCACCAAGGCGAACGTGGCGCGTCCATGCTGGATCCGAATACATTGTTGTACATTTCCAAGGCCATGGATTTATTTGAGCTGTCCAATGCAGATCTTGCACGGATCAAAGTGCCCACACTAATTATCGGCGTAGTGACAGATGCACTGTTTCCGGTTTGGCAACAACGGGAGCTGGCACATCAACTGGTTGAAAATGGGACACCGACTACGTATTACGAGTTGCCTTCGTTGTATGGCCATGACACGTTTTTATTGGATGTCCATGGTGTCGGCACTGCTGTGAAGGTTTGCAGAGCTGTTTTTCTGTTTCTGTAAAATTCGTGCACATTTCACATGCTTTTTTTAGGGATTCCTGGAAACCACCATGGCAGAGAAAGTGCAGAGAAATACTATATCGCCTTTCCCGTATTATTAAAGTTGGCGCAATGTTAGGCATAATTGCGCGTATAAGCGCTCTGCAGCACAACGTTCGACAGATCAAGCCCGACGAACAACTCGTCTTGGAATTTCTAGTAAGCTTTTTCGCAGCCATATCTCCAAACAAATTGCGTATCGTGCACTGCCTTTTGCATGATGTCGGTGTTTTTATCCTGCCTCAAAGTACCGTACATCTATTAAGCCGAAAGCTTTCAAATTTTTAAAATGGACTATTTTTGTATTTGTACTTGGATTGTGGCACAGACTCAATGTAGTGGTTGCAACTCCCAACAGTTTTGCTCTTGCAGTTGGTCATGTGGAAACTATGACGTAAGATATTTAATCTACCAAAAGATTTCCCAGTGTTTTTATTATCAAAACAACAGAGATTATCACAGATTTTTTGTATCAGGTAGGTAAGCTGTGAAAGTCGATACATCGATAAGTGAAGGTGCATCGGTTCTCATTTCATCAGTGCCCATTTGCTGCATGTAAAATTAACGTCGTAATTGTTATCAACTGATGCCCAAAGCACGGCTTTATGACATGATGTAGCCACTCGTCCCAGTCGTAAAATCTCTTCCAGTGATGTCTCCTTGCTATCTTCCACAATTTTTACAATGCACACCGAATGCTTTACGTGAACATCACCTGAAATTTCAAAACTGTTTCTGAACTATAAAAGTATCTAATATCTACACAGACACTGTACAGCACAGTGAATCTCATGGACGTAGGTAGGTATCCTATACGTAAATGAAGCGATGGATAACGATAATGGTCATGGCCCCACAACAAAGAAAATAGCTAGAAAAACTCATCCTATTGAAAAATTTTGAGCCAATGAAGTAAGATTACAATATCTGCACACTTGAGCCAGTGGAGTGAAATCACAGTATTTGTACACGTGGCAGTTAGAAATAAAATCATAAAAAAATTACAAATCCTAATGCAAAGTTCAAACACAAAAATTGTATTTACCTTCATAAAGCAAAAGATCACCACCATATTTCACTCCCGATGTTGTCCAAAATCCCGCCAGCATCAACTTAAAATAAGCCGCATAGTAGATTTTCTCTTCATGGGATTCGGGATACGAAAATTCGCATTCCGGCAATTTTAACATCTGCATGCCGGTCCTCCACGACCGTAAAGGTAATTCCAGTTTGACATGTCCGTCGTGCGTAACTGGTCGACTAAGCAGTTCATCTCGCATTATTTTCCAAATTTCCTCCTCATCAGCCGGTAGCGTGATTCCCTTAGCCAGTGCATCTGCTCGCATTTTAGAGATTTTGCCAGCAAATATTTTATCCCGTTTTGACTCGATTTCGGCTATACGATTTTGTGCGAGTATTTGAACCTAAAACAAAAACCTATGAAAAGACACATACAAATTTCATAAAGTGAACTACGATTAAGAATTTAAGATTCAACCTAAGCGGCGAAAAATGAAGACCGACAAAATGATATCTTCGCGAACCAATGATAAAATTTTAGGCTGATAATAAGAACCATAGCAAAAACAACTGAACTATAACATATGCCTTACAGAAAATGTAAACCACCAAAATAAATAACTTACCTGATCAATGTACTGCCGTTGTCGGTGTGCGTGAAATAATTCTGCCTGGGCTTCTGTGGGCGCCGCTGTTAATTCAGCTTCCCTCACGAATCTTGCGGCTCTTATATCACGTAGATATGCGGCTTCAGCAGATGTTAAACGTACAGGCAGAGATGTGAAGACGTCCTGCAAAGGAGTTTTGGCAAAGCATCCAACAGCGTTTCCCATGACATGGTATTTCTTCTGCATCATAATCACGTCTGAAAAGAAAGCTTCTGATAAATATAACGGGTCCATTATATTATAACGGGTCCATTATAAGAAAAACACAGAGCGTAAAAGATACGGTAGCTAATTGTAAGGAAAAGTCACCATCATGGTTCCACACATGCAATGTTCCTGCATCGCCAACACTTATCGTGATTTTTTTCATCGTGGACTCCACTGGATCATTCGCTGGCTGTGCCTGCGACTGAAAACTGTTCGAATCTTCCCTTTCAAGCAGCTGGACCATTCCCTGTGGTGTTTCATTCATATTGCACCGGTTGTGACGGGATGTTCTTCCCCTGTTACGACTCAAGAAAACAAAAGGAATTTTGAATAGTCTCAGCAAGTACAGACTCAGTAAATGAGTCGTGAAATTATACGTACACTTCTTGAAAACAGTATTCAAAACTATTTAACAGAACAGACTCAACAGAGAAAGAAATATCCAACAATTATTCTTGAAAAAAAGAAAAGCATTGTAAATAAAAATTTAAGTAAATTAAGTACTTATCAAAAATTTCATTTGGTAATTTCATTTCATCTCGTACTTACTTTTGAAGCGACAATGATAAAAAGTAAACAGCAGCCGCTTACGGAAGGCGGTTAACTCAATGGCTATATAATTGACGTGAGCTTTCCGCAAGTCAAAATTAATTCTCTACTTCACTCCGTGCAGTTTTGTGTATTTTGGTCGGAAGACGCGGAAGATCTCCGTTTTCAACACCTTAGATTTAAATACCAATTCTTCCGACCTCTATTTACTGTGGCCCCCTTTGCCTCTTGAACTTTTGATGCCAAGTTGCTAGAGGACATATTGCTGCTGCTCTTCGACCCGATAAGACTGCAGGAGTTGTCATCCACACGCTTTCGGCGAACTTATTCGGGTTTTCCGATATACTGCTTTAACGAGTGATTGTTTATCTGGGAGACTGGGAAGGTATGCAATTAAATATTTGAGAATATTCAACCTGAAGTCCACGGGGGCAGTGAAATTCCAACCATAAGACACTTAAATTTTTATTTGCTGGGTCCATCTACTTGTAGTAAGTTTAACGAGGTCTGCATTCAGGTGCTGTTTTTGCCATTTGGATACAGTAATTTGAAGATCGACCGAGGTCGGCGGTGGGCAGCATGCCGCAGAACGAGCACATCGAGCTCGCACAGAAGCGCCATGGTAGGCGATTGGATTATCATGAAAAGAAGCGCAAGCGGGAGGCTCGAGCGCCTCATGAACAGGCCAGCAAAGCTCAGTCTTTGCGCGGCATTAAGGCCAAGATCTACAATAAACAACGGCATCACGAGAAAGTTCAGATGAAAAAGACCATTAAATTGCATGAGGAACGCGAAACCAAGCAGAAGGATGCACCGGTGCAGGAAGGTGCCGTTCCGGCCTACTTGTTGGACCGTGAGACACAGAGCCGAGCCAAGGTTCTGTCCAATATGATCAAGCAGAAACGGAAAGAAAAAGCCGGAAAATGGACTGTCCCCATTCCTCAAGTCAAGGCTGTCAGCGAAGCGGAAGTTTTCAAGGTTCTAAAGAGTGGAAAGTCTAAGAAGAAATCATGGAAGAGAATGGTCACTAAGGTATGCTTGATACGCTGTAGTGCGGATTCGGAATTTATCAAAAGTATGCTGTATGTTTGCGGCTTTGCTCGCCGACTCATATCACGATTGTCATTGGAGACTGGGGTTGTCGTATTAAATTTGGGTTCTGGTGAGAAACAGTGAATATTATTTAAAATCTGTATTATTTAAAATCTTTAAGATTTTACTGTCAAATGTCAATCAACAGGTTAATTATGTACGAGTAATGTAATGAGTACTGTATAATATAATATAATGAGTACTGTACTGTACTGTACTCGTACAATGTAATGAGTACTGTATTTAAACGTTTTTCATTTGTTGGGCTATTCGCAGGTGTGTTATGTGGGAGAAGGATTTACGCGCAAGCCTCCGAAATACGAACGATTTATCCGACCGATGGCTCTTCGCTTTAAGAAAGCGCACGTTACGCATCCAGAACTGAAAGCCACTTTCCAGTTGCCCATAATTGGCGTGAAAAAGAATCCTAGCTCACCTATGTATACGTCTCTAGGTGTAATCACCAAGGGTACGGTGATAGAAGTGAACGTTAGCGAACTGGGTCTCGTAACGCAAGGCGGAAAGGTCGTCTGGGGAAAGTATGCTCAGGTTACGAATAATCCCGAAAATGATGGGTGTATTAATGCTGTTCTTTTAGTTTAAAATAAAGTATTGTACAGTCACTGTGACTGTAAATACGATCTGCGTGAGAAATTCCTGTTTTGTTACAAAAGCTACGCTGTACAATCCTTTTTACGATGAGAAAGTAATTTGAACTGAGTAGAGAATTCGCTGATTACAGAGTAAAATAAAATGATATGAATGTTAAATGAATGGACACAAATCCGCTTCTGTTGAATTCTTACGAATTACGCACTCATTTTTTCTTTTTAAAATTTTATTGTTTTCAAACCAGTTCAGTTCCAGAAACAAGCTTGTGCGAAAACTGAGCGTGCGGTTCAGAAGTACTCGTAATTACCTGTAGAATAATTTTCAGCTCTCCACATCGGTTTGAAATCCGAAGACTGACGTCAGACATAAAAGAACGCGATTTATACCAGAAACTTTCGAAATCACAGAAAGTGCGCACAGAAACACAACCGGCGGCAATATGCTAAAAATTATTTTATGCTTCTAACGATACAATAAAATATTTAAATCTCATTATTGTTAACACCATCAACAGATTTGGGTATTAAATCGTCAAAAAAGGTTTTGTTGTAGTCGGTTATCATCCCGAAGTGACGTTCTGCTTCACATTATGGGAAGCTGCATAATCCGACTGCATCAAGACGAAAAGGTAGTCGCTTTCCCGAAGGACATCGTTAGGTAGAGGCTTCGTTATCACATAGCGTTTGGTCAGATTAGCCGCCTCCTCCGATGATGCGGGCATTAACCGGAAAAGTCCAAGGCACAGCAAGCCGTGCTTCTGGATGAGACTGACAAACAGTTCGCCAAACGTCGCATTCTAAAGATGCATTTTCCAGTTATTTAAGCACAAGATTACGCAAAGTACTGAAATGTAGAATGGTTTTTTAACAGTGTGACGAACAGAATTCCTCACAGGTCACAACCATTTTCCGACTTACGATGAAAGCGCTGAATGGAAAATCGGCCATACGAGTCTGGCTGACGAATGACCTATTACGATTGTCGTCGTCCGATAGTTTTGGTCCACCGATAAGGCCAGCTCCTTCGGCTAAGATTTCCTCCAGCTCCGACGAAGCACCTCCAAATATGAGCGCTCGGATCACTCGAAATGCGCATGGATTAAAGTAGACCTAGGAGCATAAAGTAGTGTTGTGCTGTTTCTTATGGCTACAGTCCCGCTGCATTATGTTTCGGCTGGAGCTGCTGCATGACATATACTATGCAGTACACTATGCAGTGACCTTTTCAAAAGCCCTTACCATCGACATCAGCGAATCCAGAACGCTAGCTGTGAATGCAGTGCCGCAAGCAAATGGCTCTGTAGCAAAGAATCCTGTATCATAGTCATCATTATCCTCGTCATCGGGATCCAGGAACTGCACGTTGGGGTCGTTGACTGCCGGAATTCAAGACATGCATACATCAGACATTTTTAACGTTATATATCTACATATTTGCATGCATCCATACGAATATTGTATGTTACTGGAAATACTCATACAATTTAACGTGAGCACGTTTACTCGTAGATTGTAATATATAGATATTCTAAACATCGTTTTGTGATATTATGATAATTTATTTGATTATGTAATGTACTATGAGAAACCGGCAAGTTAGCAGTTGATAATAAGCGACGCATCTCCAAATCACGACTTAAAGATTTACATAACAAAATATGAACGTGTACTATTTTTACAGAATGCGAATATTCTTTACTTAAGCATACAAGTCAGAAAACCGGCATTTCAAATATTTGTCATCTGTATTGCATAGTAGTACCCGTCGTAAAAATTTGTCTCGCAGGTGGTTACAGTATGGAGACTACCTACGCATAAATGTGTCACTTCCAGTTAACAGTTAATTCTTCATTTGATTCATGTTTGTTGAGCGAAGCTCGCCTTGTACATATTGAGAAATTAAACCTTACTACAGTTAATAATAAATAAGTGCTACAAATTAACTAATATGCATGTGCTGCAAATTTAATTTACAGTCCTATACATACATGACGTATTCTATTGTTTCTATACATTAACATAACGCACACAGATCAGTTATCATAGGAATTCTGGCGCCAGGTCGCATTTTTCGCCTTGCTGTACTCGATTGATGGGTCAATGCCTTGGTAATTTTTAAGCTTTCCGGTCCGGAAACTAAAATTATGAGCAACCAAGAATAATACATCACTGAAAATATATCGTTTACACGTGGAACCAATGGATGAATTAATTTAAACAGGCCGTTATGGTATTCAAGCTATCGCAAGATGGATGTTGTTAGTTGATAGCGCTCTTAATCAGACTCTCGCTACATACATTGTATGTATTGAGCTCGCTGACAGTTTTATGCCGGCAACTACTTAGAGTTGTTAATGAAAATCATTTACCGGATGTGGATGGCTGTCGGGAATTTCGCCTTATTCGACGAGGTTCAAAATCCATGGCTTTTATGTTTAACGAAGCCATGATGACTTCTTTATCCGTGAGAGTAGCGTCGTTGTAATTAGGGATCTTGGATGTAAGCACGACACACATGGAACACGAATGGATAGATATCGCTCGCAAATCGGCGCGACTTAAAGCAGTTCCCTAATTAAATAAACAAAGCTCAAAGGACATAACATTAATATCATTTATTGTACGTGTGTGCAAATTGAACCGCTTTGACCTTCAAAACGAATTGAAATATCAGCTTTCAATTCGTAATTAAATTTTTTCCTAGTCCTTACTAGATATACTGTTTAATTTGTCGGTATATTGTCGGGTTATCAGACTCAAATTTCACTTTGAAGCAGATTTGGAATATGAGAATTTAATAGAAGTGATCATGAGGTAAAAAGTACAGCTGCATGCAGTGCGTTATAAAAAAAACTAAGCCTCCTAATGCTGTGTTGGTTATTGAGAACTTACCTTGATCAAGGTCACCTTTGGGAAATTATATAGATTTTTCCATTCCCGTTTGAGATACTCGACATTGCCTGCATTGAGCCCAAGTGTTATTATTGATTTGATCACACTTCTACAGGCATGAGAACTAATATGCTGCAGTGGGTGTTTGTCAATTAGAAATGACCTTAAGGCATCGTGATAATCATGCTCATTTAAAAATTCCAACAAATGCTTTGGAAAAGGAAAAAACCACGCACTTTAAAACTGCGTTCGTAATGCACCGTCTTTTGATTTGCAAAGCATACTAGAAATGGAAGACTTTTTGTGCAGAGTCGGCAATCAACAATTTACAAGGACAATTTGTATATATTTTTTGGTGCAGAGTGCACCCGTTCGTGCCGCCGAAGCCATCTTACCCAAAATTACCACTTCCCGTAAATCTTCATATCTGAAATTGCTGGAACGAAGTGGCATCACAAGGCTGTTTAGACCAATCAAGGGAGAATGAGCATCGGCAAATATTCCAACGACGACGTGATTTTTGAATGCTCTTTTAGCCGCTGCGTGCCGATCCTGCAATTAGTTCATATACCATAGTCCCAAACAAAAAAAGCTATTACTTCGTTATATGAACAGTGACCACAGTCATGCAACGTGACAAAGTTCTGGATGCTATTATTACTGCTTATTAAGCCTTACTAGCAGGGCTGATTCGAATGGGCGAGGGGCACACCTAATTGAACCCAAAAGAAGATGGACAGGACATAGATAACAAATTCAGATATTTACTATGTACTACGTATTTCGTGCGAGATGGTTTTTGACCACCATAATTATAAGTAAAAATTTTAAAATTACCAGTGGAACATGCCGGTTGAGTCGAATTTTGCGTCCAGATTTTCTGCATCACTTCCTTCGTGTTCGGTGTCACCGTCCAAAGCGACAGGATCAGATTCGCAACTACTTTCCGACGCAGAATTTGGATTTTTATAAAGTGGAACAACTAAGTATGCCCTATATGATAAAATCACGTGAAGAATTTATGTAACAGTAAAATGCGTTTCTCACCTGCGTCATTTTGCGACGCAAAGTTTACCGGTTCATCTGCCGATTGTTACACGAATAGCCCTTTTAGACTTACCCAGCTGGATGAATGTTTTTGGACTCTAACAGCTCCAGGCTGCGCTTAAGTCGTGGAGTGGATGGATAATTCTGAATGAAAATCTCCACCTTTTCCTGTTTGGTTTTTGAGTCCTTTCTATGTGCCGGCCTAATCATGCTAATTCTTCTTGATGGATTGTCCGCGAACACAGCAGGAAATGCCCAATTTTCTGCTGTTTGATGATTTGCAGCTGCAGTGCAGTAAAGCAATTACTACAGTAGTACCTATGGAACTATGCGGCTTGATTGTACTTCCATGAAGTACATTTTACGTTAACCCATTCATAATTAAAACCATATCCGGTCGTCGACAAATAATCAATCTAACGTACCGGCCGACTTGCAATCACACTTTTTAACAGATGTGATCCGTTCCACGTGCGCATGGCAAGTATTGCAGTAAACTGCTGCTCTGAAAAGCGCATCACATCATTAAATTTCTTTTTTTCCTTTATTCGTGTTGGCTGTGTCTGCGTAATTTCTATATTTTTGGCGGGAAACTTTAACGTAAAGTAATATCACATTCGTATGCCGAAAGCTTTACTTTAGCCACAGGATTACGAAGAATTTATTTTCAGTTGAAAATTATTTGCTTAGAGTGTTAGTGATGGTGTTTAAAGAGTCAAACTTATGACAAAACTATATTTAGGCTGGCCGGCACAGAGTTGGATGATTTTATTATTAGCGTCGAGGCACTGATCAAGTCACCTTTGCACATCCTCTGCAGAGTCTGCGATGAAGAACCCTTGAGCATTGGCTGTGATCACCGTTTCCGGTCTGGGATTAATAACAAACATAAAGTCATCTTCTTCGGCACTCCATAATGAAATTGCGATGAGCATTATGTCTAACCGCACTAGACATATTCTGGAATTTTAATCAAAGATGATTAAATCACGAGAGGTCATAAGCACGAGCATGATGTCGTAGCCTCGTAGGCTACCCTGACACTTACTCCGATATTTGAGCAAAGGTCATGTTAGTGAAAGAGGAACTCAGATTTTCGGAATACATTTCCAGACCGGTGCCTCGTAAATATTCAGTGCGCCAACTTTGCTGCAACGTAAAAGTTTTTCTTGGCAGGAATTTTTGCTGTGTTCTAAAGAAGATGCTACCTTTTCTAAAGAAGTAAATGATCGTGACGTAAAAAGATTTGCCATTAGGGTTGAAAATCCTGGTGCAATGCAGGATTGAGCGATTAATCCCAGTTTCAGTTCGGCAAGGCATACCACTTCGTCGCCATTCTTCCAGTTCCAACTAGGTATGTTGAGCAAATAAGCCTACGATTAATATCATGGTATTATATGACTAGCGACAAAACTGAAAATTAATGACGATGCATAGCCTGCTTATATTATCGGTCGATATAAAGCACTTAAACAAGCGTTGGTTAGCCCGGTCAGTTTTATAAGCACATAGGAAAATGGCACTAACCTTGTTGTGGTACTGCATTAATTCCACAATTACTCGAATCGATGAATGAAAATTCTTTATGGATATCACCCGCATGATATTTGCCTAACAAGTAAGGAAAATAATGATCTCTGTCTACGGTATTTGTTACAGACGACAGTATAAAACTTATTGTACGAGTATTTCAGGCTACAGCACAGATCAATACGCTTATGAATCAGGCAGTAATATGCCGAGGTGCAAGAAAATCGGTGACAGCTGAACTCTACCGCTAACATAATTAATGTGACCTTACCGCGTCTTCTGCATCTGGATCGATGCACTGCTTATTGCCGACAATGATTACGGCATCGGATGTGTCCGCTCTGACGCGAAAAAGATCCTGCGACTTCATTGCTGATCCTATTGTTCCAAAAAAATTGGGTTGATTCGTCACAGTTCTTATTGCATTATCGGTAAGAAAGAAGTGGCACGAAGTGCACAATCATAATATACAATAGTATACAAAAAAAATTATTTGAACTGTTTTGCTGAGCGACGCTCGCTTTGTACATATTGCGACATAAAGCGCATATATCTCTATAAAAGTATTGCAGACAAATATGCCGCAACTGCAAGGTACCCTAATTACTGTAATCCCACTTGATACTAAATAAACTTATTCTAAATAAAGTAAATAAACTTATACTAAATAAACTTAAATAAACATTACCCTGAAAATATTCCACTTCCGTAAAATAACGTTTCAACAAAGTCTCCATTTCCATATCAGGCTCTTTCCTAGTCCAAAACCGGCATCAGTCACGTTATCAGATGTAAACCATTGACATCCTTACAGATCCATAAACAGCACTTTGATATCGGTGATTCCACGATCTTTGTGAAGAAATTCTTTTAGAAACCCCAGTGCCGTTAAAAAGTTAACGTTGCCGCAAACAATTATGTGCCTGCAAAAAGGACTGTGTTAGTTACGGCAAATCTATTTAACCCCACGCATCTTACTTTTTTCCGGAGGGGGATTCATAATGGCCGGCATATTTTTTACGATTGGATATAATTCGGAAAATGTCTGGGATAACGGAAGCAACAACAGCCTGCAATATGTTGTCAGCATAAATACGTATTCGGTGGCTTTTAATATAAACAAGCAATCATTCAAAAAACTAGCATAAGTGGTTGAATTGTAACTGTGACGCAGTGAATGGAATGCGCAAACATGAAATCCCTACCCGATAGCGATTCTTCGACCTTTAATGTTTAAGAGAATAATTTTTTTACCAGAGTGGACATGATGAATATCGCGTTAAAGATTCTTCCGAAAACGGTGTAGCAGACGATGTCACCGTATCCCACCTAATTAACAGAGTCTGATGGTTACGTATATTACTATGAACTTTCCGTTGCATTATTAAAGAAGTAAATGCGTTTAACGTAAAACGAAGCCACGTAAGTAGTACCAGATCGCAGTACAGCCTCTACAAATCAAGCACAGCGCGGCTGCGAAAAATTAAAGTCTGACGGAGATAAATTATTTATTTGTAGTAGTGCCCTTTGCCGTTACATACCGTGGAGGCGGTGACAACGCAAAAATAAACAAACTCCCAGTAACTAAGGTTCTGCTTGTTGCCCGCTAAGCCATAAAACGGATCTCCCGAATTCTCGAGCTATAATCACAAAAGGCTAATTATTGTAACAGAGATGAGTAAGGCAATGCAAAACTCCAGGCGTGTTTTCTTTTATTTCGAACACGCGCGGTTAAAGGACTCACTAAATGGAACATGCCGGCGGACATCAACAGCGCACTGACAACGCTGCAAACCAGCTGTGTCAAACGTAGCGCCGTCCGTGTTCTGAGAATGCGTAGATACTGAAGGATATCCGGTATATTCAAAAAATACAGAACCCGTAGAAATCGTAATCCTATCGACGACAAGAAAGAATAGCATCATATGAATTGGGAGTGTTTGTATTTGCCGGATAATTAAAAACGAATGCTACGCATTTTGCAACTGGACGCCTCTATGTGTCTATCAATTTTCTCTTGTTCAGTTGATTTGAGCTATCAGTCTATCTTACGTAGTATTTAGTACTTACAACATACAATATCTGTACCTGTCCAGCTTCTGTTGAGAAGTAATCCGACAATTGCCGGCGGAACCGTAAAATAATCGATAACCGAATATAGTTCAAAAAGGAAGGGCAATTTTTTATGAGCAGCAATAAACTGTAATAACAAGCAGCAAATGTTGTAATAAGTACGATCCACTTGAAAGCATCAGTCAATTCATCAAATACAGTACTCTAATTAAAAAGTGGATGCCGAAAAGGCAGTTCAGTAGCAAGTCCAGGATAGCTCCGGCATCATCGAACAGCGATCTCACGTAACATTTTTCCAAACAACAAGATTGCCGCCTAGAAGGTAAGAATTAATTGGGCAAAATAAATTATTTCCTTGCTAATCTTAAATGAATTGAACGGATCACACAAATTCATTAATTACACCGGAAATTATGTATAACTAAAGCTTTTCGTTGTTATTCTTGAGTAAATCACACCACAATGTCTAACTTTAATACTTACACTGAAACCTCCGTCAGATAAATTAGGAAGGATACCTGACTGGCAAGAAACATTAGAAACACCTACACAAAACAGCAACAAGTTACCGAGTTGCATTATATTTTCAACGTCGCGCTGCAGCCGATGTATTTAACTTCTTACGTACTTCTTAACTTGCAGCATTTGTTTAAGAGTACATACGTTATACTGCACTAACACTGTAAGTTGGTACAATCGCATCATAAAATTTTGCTGCAGTCAGATATGTTATGTATTCGATAACGATTAATTAGTGTTCTTAATGATTACGGCTGTCATTGTATTCCGGTAAACTGCCTACTGAATTATGTGTTCCTCGTCATTTTTAACTTGTTATTAAATCCCTTAAGCAAAAGTAAAGCATTTAATACTTTGCAGAATCTCTTGTATTCTTACCGACATTTCTCCGGAAACAAATTTGGCGCTAACGAGTTCCTGCATGCGCAACCGAAAAGCATGAAATCCGTGAGGCGATAGTCCACACAGAAGTAAACGCTTCTTCGGGGCATTATCGTGCATGGCTGGCGCCGTCTTTCCGACGTTCTCACCTGCATCTTTAATAAAAAATTTCCGATAAAGTCGAATGATTAGCCTTTTAAAGGTGAGCACAAGGAGCAGAATGAATATAAACGCGACCGGACACAGGGCGCTGGAAAGCAGAAATATCCACCATTTCTCCGGCTGGCCCAGCTCTACGCATGGTCGTTTGAATCTGCCGTAAAGGTTAAAACTGCCAAGTATTTCTGGGATAGTATCGTTCACGATGTTCATCATAATTTATTGCTCCACACAGATGTATGTCACCAGATATTGGTTCGAAGTGACTGGCAAAAGACGATTTCGAACCGGAAGTAAAAAAACATCCGTTGCTTTACTTTGGAATTTACATTTATGCTTAACCGGTTGGCAATCCGTCCGTCAATGCCGGTAAAAATGTTTTGTCGAATGCATATTATGATCGGGAATAGAATAATCAAGGTCCTTTAATAGTGATGTATACACATTACATCTTCTGATACTAATAAAAACCGACTGTATATGTGCATGCGTCTTTTGAGAATAATAAACAGTGTGTCCAAGCTGATCATGACTCCAAGTGTCTGCAATACATCGATTGTTAATTGACATATTTCGCACTTCTGCCGCGAATTTAAAATACGTTACAAGGCTTACCGTCAGGGCGGGGTATACGTACTGTTAGCTCATCGTACAGTCTATCCCGAGCCCCGACACATTTTGAAGTACTGGAAGCCGGGAATGTCGGCTTACAGCGGTAGAAGTAGTACAAAATAGACACGTCGTGGTTAGCTTTGTTGCGTCGTTGTATTGTACACGTTTGATCCATAAGGATCAAAGCTCTGGATTGGATGCGAGCGGTCATGCTTGATTTCGCTACACTTTATACGGTAAAATTAAATCGCATATACTGGTATAAGATAAAATATTATGATTACCGGTTGACGGTACCGGTATGGAAAGCGTTACTGTATCAACTCTTCCAAATTGATGCTTTTTTATGCATGCAGTGTGTATTTGTTAACATTTACGATTTGGTTTTCGTTAGCCGCTTGAAACTGAAAAACATGCTTTAATGATTTTGATAGGCGTCATTGGCAGTGATCATGTCGAACGCTCGTCAGGGATAACTTAAACTTATAATCTCGTTGAAACCTTCGTAGTCACATTTGACTACGAAGTTCGTAGTACGAACTTTGTTATCCGGTCCGGCAAATTTGCAATGGTCGAGTTTTGACCATTAAAAATTTTTGTAAGACACTGCTACACCGGCTTTGAATGTTTTCGCACTTCAGAATTGAAGAACATTGCCATTTCTGCTACTACTATTGCTACTATTGCCTTTGTATGACATCTGTGTACTTAGTAAGCTACCTAATCGATCGGAAGATAACGCACCTCAAGGGCTGCTATCAATTATTTGCCGAATTCAGAACAGCACTTAAACGGTACGATGAAGAAACAATTCCATACATTTGTCAGAAGGTCTGAAAGCGTGGGAAATGCGTGTAACACAAGGCCGTTGAAGTACACAAAAACCTGAAAACGAATGCAAGGACTACGAAACGAAAAGGCAAGGGTAACGGATTTGTCAGTCGTAAAAAATTGCCTTCAATAATAATTTGTCAAAAATTTTTCGAAACCAGTGATTCGAAAAAAATTTTCTCCCACCGGGGTTCCTATAGACCGCCCGAAAAACGGGAAGCGTGAAATAAATAGGTAATCGAAAAGGGGCGCCTATAGTAAAAGGGGTGCCTATACTAGTATCACCTGTATGGCATTACGCAGTACTCTGTGCTACTGTAAGGTCCGATAATCACAAAGGGAAACCACAATTTTTCGTTCACTATTATTATGATATATGAAATATAACTTATTATCAGTGTTCGTCGAACTTATTTTGCTGAATTGAACAAAAAATTGGTTCGCCCGTTTAGAACACTTCTAAGAGCATGTCTTCGGCAACAACGAATGAGTCCTTTTTTGATGGTGAAACCGAGTCCGAGAATCTCCTGGCCCTCCTTTCTCCCGTCGGGAAAGCAGTGCAGAGTGCTTGGAAGGAAGCAGTTCAAGTGAGTGGTCTGTGGCAGTAGATTACATCAGTCACCGATCTGGGATTGTGAATTTTAAATCGGTATTCAATAGAAAGGCCTTGTGCGAGCTGCAGCGGAGGACACTTCCACCGTACTAAGAACTATTATCGAGGCACACAGAATGGAGGGAGCGCAGCCGTCGGAGATGACCATGACCATGAATATTGAGGTTAGGCTGCGAGTACTTGCTATTTCTTTATCTCGGCCACTGTATATGCGACTGACTCATTATTTGGGTTGTTATCTATAATTTTAAAACCATTAATCTAATTTTGTCATACCTGACTAACTTTGTAAGTACTTAGTAGTACTGTATTATCTGGTTTCGATTTTTGACAACTCGCTTGTTTCCGACTTACTGAACAGCAGTTTTGAATTATAAGCGGTATGGCACTTTTACAAAGTTAATTTCACAATTTTTCCATGTCAATATGGCCACATGCTGGTCCGTGTATGGTCTTGTGAGTCTTGTCGTTTAGAAATTATTTTTGATTACCGAACAAAAAATGTGAAAAATGAGTTGATCCGTCTGCGTACTGGGTAAAGAACCTTGGAAGGGTTTTTGTCACAAGACTGTGGTTTGCTGCAAGTACGCTGGACCAACACGTTATTGCTTGAGATGTGGTAGTTACTTGGGCACCAGATTGAAAACATGAATAATAACTGTATCGATGACTCAGTGTGCACTACGCTTCAAGAGATCAGTGCGTCATTTACTTATAATGAGGAGCACTCGAAATTTTGTATTAGCTAGTTTTACGCTTTGGAAATTGTGGATAGAAATTTTATGGTTTGTATGTAATGCAGAAATTTTTTCTGATTATTACTAACTGGGAATCGGGATAGCAGCATGGGGGAATCGAATCTGCGATAACTACATGTTCCCTGAAATAATATAATGGCGCAACTGATTTCTTTTATGAACAGGGTGACCTTATGGGCTATGCCGCATCGGTTGGCCCTGGCAGGCGAGTGCTTCCCGAAGCTCCGAGTTCGAAATCTACGGTGAACGGTGTGACTGCTGTCATTGGCAACACCCGAGTGCGTTTTGGTGACGGAACAGACGCATTGCTCCGAGTAAAGGGCACCGTAACCCTTGTGATTGACGATGAGGCGGAAGATTTCGGTACGGACTTTGATCTGATGCAGCTGGACGAAGGCGTTGTAGATCAGGAATCCGATGTAGAAGAAGGGGAATCCCAGCAGGAGCCAGTTGTCACCTGATCAGATAAACAGTCCTGCATTTGTACCGGCATAATTGATTTCTCTCCGGCTTTTTGTTTGTATGACATTTTTCCAAATTTTTTTTGCATTCGTTGATACGGGAACCGGGACTATGGTATAAATCGGTTAAAAAATTTTTTATGCAAAACGCTTGTGCGTTTGATAATGAATATAAGATAAGTGCAATGGTAGATTTGTGATAGCTGAGATTGCATCTGAATGAGTCCGGTCACTAAAAGTTGGACATTCGCTATCGTTTCCACAGCTTGTTTTTACACGTGCGTGGTTGTGCTTATCGAATAGCAATCTTTGCGATTTTGTGTGTGATTTTGTATGTGAATTAGGAAGGCATCCAAGTTCTGCCAAGAACTTCGCAGTGTGATGGAAACATTTCAAGTAAAACCTTTCGAATGTGAATTTCTTTTACTAACTTAGAATAAAAACTGTCTTGCGCTAATGTTCTACTGTTTCACAAGGTTCTGTTGACTTCCAATCTGATTTTTCGATATACCTCTTATCATAAAACTTTTGCCATGTTGCGAAAACGAAAAGCCTTGAGTGATTTAAAAAAGCGATATGATGCGGTTGTGGTTGGTGGTGGTAAGCATTGTAACTAACACGAAGTTACGCAGAATAGAAATTATTTAATACAGTTGAATTAAAGTTCAGTGCAAGAATGATTTAGTGAAAAGTTTAGTTTCCAAAAAGGTTTTCTATTTCCAGTTATTATAAGCCTCGGTTTATTTTTGCGCTAATCGGATGGTGATGCGAGTGGTTCTAGAATAAGATGTTATCGCAGACTTCACAATCAAATTTATCTGTTCGTTGAAGTTGGCATTTTATTATTATTTTGTTTAGTTATTTTTATTGTTTTATAAACCACTAACACAGCTCCAGACTGCAATTTTAACATAATTTGTGGGTAACGTCGTTTTAGAGTAATTAGTTTGGTTAAGGTCACTGAATTCGGTATTGCCTGTGTGTTAAGGTTACAAATCATTTAAACTATCCAAATTCACACTGTTCTTGCAGGCCACAATGGATTGGTTGCGGTACGTGTAATGCCAATAACAAAACTGAATTGATAAGTTTTAATGTCACATTATCACAGGCGTGTTACTTGAGAAATGCCGGACTGGACGTGGCAGTTCTGGAACAGCGGCCAGTAATTGGAGGTGCTGCAGTCACAGAGGAAATTGTTCCCGGTAAGACTGTTTCTCCGTCACGGGCTATGACAAAGAAATTATTAATATTTTAAGCTATTTTGTCCCATGAGAGCTGTTAGCTATCGAGTGCGGTAACATCAGCTTTTTATAATATGGTACTGCAACACTGACCGTGAGCATAGTTGCATGTTCATTCCAATTACGAGTGTAGTTAGTGATAACAAAAGTCGCAGAATTAGAACTCGGGATGTCGGTTAAGGTCGAGCCAGCTGCGATGGCCGTAATGTTGAGAATTGTGCCGGAATTAGGGTGGAAAATTGCGGGATGACGTTCAAACAAAGTTTAGTAAAAGTAGTGAAACAATACTGTAATGGAACAGTAGATTAGTAAAACAACAAAGAAATTGCAGAAGTAAAAACTGGTTTCGAATAAGCATGTAATACTCGTACGTTTACCATACTGTATGTAAGCCTGAAATTAAAATTATTCTGTTTTTATTATCTCTTTTCCGGCAGCTACGAGTACTGAAAGTGAGTACTCTGTAGCTACTGCACCATGTTCCGTCATAGAAGAGGTGTGAGAAAATTAAGTATTAATCAGTGTAATATTTTTTGATTACAGGATTCAAATTTTCCAGAGCATCATACTTACTGAGTCTTCTCCGTCCCGTTGTATATAATGATTTGGATTTGAAGGTAAACAAGTGTAAAAACATTGCACTTTGTACTTTTTAAAATTTCATTCAGCTAGTTATCGTGTCAAAAGCATGGATTTTTTTAGCATGTATTAATTATAGGTTATTGTTTTCTGCCATTACAGAAACATGGCTTAAAACTTCACTTCCGCAATCCATATTCCTTCACGCCGATGAAAGGGTCCACACAATCGTTGCTGTTAGGAACAAACCATCAAGAAAATCATGCACAAATATCCAAATTTTCCGCCAAGGATGCTGACAATTTTATCCGTTACGAAGCTTTACTGAATCAGATTGTCGATGCCATCGATCCGTTATTCGATATTCCGCCACCAAGCTTTGCCGGTCGGAACAGAAGGAAAGAAAACTATTCCAGCTTTAAACAAGTGGCTAAAACAGGTAAAAAAGCGCGTGTTTATTTGCTTTTTTCTAACAATGCGGTGTTTTTAGATTTTTTGTTGAATGATTATATTCAAATGTTCATGTTCATTTACTTACGAGTACAAATACTTTGATGTACTCGTACTTTTGCACAACCGTTTGCTTGCACATGGTTTTGAGTCTTTGACATGTTTTTCAGCGTACTCCCTTCGAAAAGTCTTTCCGGAGACATACGAATTACTGACAGCACCCATTTCTAAAGTATTAAAAAACTGGTTCGAAAGCGAACCTCTGCGGGCTACACTGGCCACCGATGGACTAATCGGCAGCAGTCTGGGTCCGCACTGCGCCGGTACCGGCTACGTTCTGCTGCACCACGTCATGGGTCGTCTGGAGAACCGCCCAGGGGCGTGGGCCTATGTCGAAGGGGGCATGGGTGCTGTCTCGGAGACTATCGGCAACGTCCTGGAAGCGCGCGGTGGACATATTTTCACCAATGCAAAGGTCACCGAGATCGCCACATCAGCGGATGGTGTCCGTGGCATCCGATTGGCAACGGGCGAAGAGATTCAGGCGCCAGTGATCTTGAGTAACGCCACAGTCCGGAAGACATTCCAGGAATTCCTGCCCAACGCGTCCATTGATAGTAGCTTGCGGACGCAAGTGGACAATATTGACTACGCCTCGCCGGTTGTCAAAATCAACGTAGCGCTGTCCCGCATCCCGGATTTTTCCAAGGCGGGCAATAAAGTTCTGCCGCATCATCAGTGCTCAATTCATTTGAACTGCGAATCCATTGATATCTTGGATGATGCTTATAAAGATTTCGTTAATGGAAAACCGTCGAAAAAGCCCATGATCGAGGTGAGCCGGTGTGGTTTTCTATGTATATGGTCTTTTATGTACGTATGTTCTATAATTGTATACAGTATGGTATGGTTTTATATACAAAGTAAGTACTTGTAGCATTTTTAGTTAACTTTGCCAGTTATGTTACGCTGACGCCCGTTTCACCTGCCATGTTTTCTAATATTTTCAGATGGTCATCCCGTCCAGTTTGGATCATACCATATCGCCGCCCGGTGCGCATGTGGCGTTACTCTTCGTGCAGTATTTGCCTTATGGAATCAGTGCGGCTTGGTCGGAAACTGACCGCAACAACTTTGCAAAAGAAGGTGCTAATCCTAATATATCACTTCACTACTGAAACTGCGAGTGCTAACGCGAAAATGTTTTGTTAAAGTTTTTAAGCAAATCGATGACTATGCGCCCGGTTTTACAACATCCGTTCTGGGATATGAAGTTCTGACACCTCACATTTTGGAGCAGACCTTTGGATTGACCGGAGGTGTGTCACGCATTTTATGAACGGATAAGTCGGATATGCATGCATCTATAGCTAGTAAAGTACTGCTTGCATAACTGTGCACGTGTATTTAATATACAAATTAATTACAGTACATCTTCGAATGAAGTTGCTACACTTGCACGATACGAAAAACATTTGCAAAGTTTTTCCCGAAATTGCGTTGATTTGCGTGAAATATACTGCGCTGAAATGTAGTCGAAGATTGTAGTTTATTATCTCGTCTTCCCAGGAAATATATTCCATGGAAGTCTGAACTGGGATCAGCTGTTTTTCAGTAGACCTCTTGCAAAGATGACTGGCTACCGAACGCCGGTTAAAGGGCTTTATTTATGCGGAAGCGGTTGTCATCCAGGTACACGTCCACTTCTTCACATTCTAAGCAGCCACAACATAAGTATTTACCAAGGCGAGCGTGAAATAGCTCTTCTTTATCATAGGCGGAGGCGTAACTGGAGCACCCGGACGGCTGTCGGCGCAGGCTGTTCTGAATGACCTCAAGAAAAAGTGAAAGGAGCGTTTACTTGGGCAATAACAGGGGCAATAACAGGGGCAATAACAGTTGTTTTTGACCTTTAGCAGGGATGAAAGTTAAGACTGTGGGGCTCTTTGTGGCCTTTAATTTTTGCTCCGTTTCTGCCCATTATCTATGATTATTCATGGCATGGAATGCTGCATAAGACGCTCAGAATAAAGCTTGTGTATGAGGGAATTGCACGGTCCCAGAACGCTAACTAAACATTGGATTACTTATGCATTTCAGCTTGATATTTTGCCTAGCCCACAACTCTTATTTATCTGCAAATTACAAAGTAGCGATTGCCGACATTTACTGCTATTTTATTTTTTCTTTCTCCTGCATAATGCATTAGATCCACAGGTATGTGTTTGTACCATCATATTAGGCTTACATGTTACACAACAGTTGCGCTAGTGCGAACTATGGCTGCAGGAGTTAAATGGGTTTGTCCAAACCGGTATTCACTGTGGGCTTTCCTGCTAGTTTCATGGCCTCCTCGATTTCGCGCTGCATCTTCTCCAGTTTCTCCAGTGTCACGGATCGCATGGGGAGCAGTTTTGGCACAATTGGTTTCAGTCCCGATACTTTCTCATCGAACACATGGGCTAATTTTGATGGCAATACTTCCGGTACTTCGTCCATTTAACTCCAAATCTGCCTTATGGTCGTAATGTTAGTAAAATAATTTCATAACACAATAGGGAAAGAACTCAAAGGAGGTATTAGGAGGTATGCAACAGCACTACGGTACTGTCATTCGTAAATAGCATATATAATACTTACTATAAAACTTTAGATCTGTCATATATAAAGTAGAGCTTTAAGTCTGTATTACTGCAAATAATTATTTATGTCGAACAGATTAAACAATAGTTAACAGTTGGCTTACGGAAGACTGGAAGACTATTATCATTATCCAGTCTTTTTAAAAAGAAAACACGCTGCAGTATAAGGAGCTTTCCTATATACAATTCCCAGGTACTGAGATGTGGAATGTTTCCTCTATCCTCTATTCAGCTTGCCTACGTTCCTACTAAGTCTTCGTAATGGGAGTTCAATCGATCGCAGCCTCGATAGGATAGTGTACAATTACTCACTAGTAATTGTGTGAATATCCCAGTAACACCTACAGGAACATTTGTAAAGGTACTGTGCGTAATGTACGCCACTTACTGTATGCCAGGAGGCGCTTTTGAAAAGCAGTTTGTGGAATTACCAAAACAGCTGCGCATTGGGCAACCCCTGCAGGTTTGGTGTTTTTTCGATTTGTTCAAATTCACACAATCCGTGCATACCATAGCTTAAAAAATGCAGAAAAACAAGTTAAGTTTGAAAACGAAAAGTTTATAAGTAAAAAGTTTTGAAAGAAACGTTTGATTTGCAATTTAAGGGAATTTCGTTCAGCATAGCGGTCTATGGCAGACCGCCTGGTAGACCTCCATGCTGAACGAAATTCCCTTAAATCGCAAATCAAACGTTTCTTTCAAAACTTTTTACTTATAAACTTTTCGTTTTCAAACTTAACTTTTTTTTCTGCATTTTTTAAGCTATGGTACGCACGGATTGTATGAGTTTGAACAAATCGAAAAAACACCAAACCTGCAGGGGTTGCCCAATGCGCAGCTGTTTTGGTAATTCCACAAACTGCTTTTCAAAAGCGCCTCCTGGCATACAGTAAGTGGCGTACGCGTAATAATGCAGATGCTACGCCGTGTCCAAATTTAAGGTTGCGGCACGCCGGATGTAAGTAAGCGTTACTGTAATAAATACCTGGACTCCTGGAGGATGTAGGGAAGCTGCAGTCTTGTAGGATGATTTTTGTGCCGAACGGCATGCACTGCATGCCATCATTGCCATGCATGTTACAGTAATCTTAACGCAGAGCTCGCTACCCTCGCGATAGGATACTGTCGCGTCCGCAACACTGTACGCGCACTGCGCAGTACTCAGCAATACGGCATTGAATACGTTTACGGTTTAGTGAAGTTTTCCTAACACTTTAGTTTTGTTTGTTGATACTTTTTCAGCTTTGAGATTGTACTGTTAGTATTTTTTCCAGAGAATTTTGATAATATAATTTATTGCTGGAAATATTTTAAAGTTCATGCGCTAGTGACAGCAGTCGCAGCATGTATAAGTTCAAAATCCTTTTCGAAAGCGATGGAACGAGCCGACGCTTCAATTTGGACGAGCCTTGCGATGGGGATGAAGAAACCCTATTTCACAAACTGCGAGCGAAGATTCTGACAATGATTCCGCCCGATCAGGATATTTTATTGTACTGGCAAGGTGAGATGACTGATCCTTCTGATTTACATATTCCAAGACAAGCCCTTACGCTTGGTGCATTTTAATTTTAGATGAGATCAACAGCAGGATTATTTGCGAAAGCGAGGAAGAACTGCGGATAGCTATGGAAGAATGCCCGTCTGCAGCCACTGGAATTACACAGCTCACGGTTATTCCCAGCGTAATACGACTGTCCACACCAACTGCCCCACCTCAACCTGACGCTGTCTTGAATATTGTCAAAATGCCTGCTGAGAGAGGTACAGATATTTTTGTTACTTATGAGCAATTCATATACAGTAATCAAGAGTAATGAGACTGAAGTTAGAACTGTAATGGATTTAGTCATTATTAAAAACAAGTTCTATAAAGGTAAATCGTTATGCAGAGCGAAGGCGATGTGTATGCGACACTTGCGGCCGAGCATTCAAGTCTCGCTCGCATTTGGTGGATCACATGCGGACACATACAGGTAAGAGATCATTCTGTGGATTTCTTTTCACGGTTTAATATGGATTTTGTGTTAAAAGGGGAAAGGCCTTACCGGTGTGAATTATGCGGTAACACCTACCGACATCGAACCAGTCTGAAGGGTCACATGAACAGCCATACTGGTCAGTTCGGTAAATGCTTATTTTTGGACTGTTGTCATTGTATACAGTATTAAAACCCTTCCCACTTACAAAGGGGTCACAGTCTACTTCTGCACATAATAATTATTAAAAAGTGTCTAAATTCTATGTACTGTGTGGCTTTTGCAGTTTCGGTTGTATGAGAGCCTTAACTTATTTGGCATCTGCAGTTGCTTACAATGTTAGTAAATCCGGCAGCTCGAAATTTTCTGTTGCTAACACCGTATTTGATATAATTTGATGGCTGTACACGACTTAATTAAAAAAGCGAATTTCTTGAAGCTGCAGCAGAACTCAAGCACAGTTCCCTGGAGAATTGCGTCGTTGATAACATTGAAAAAACAATCCCGACGCAATCTGCAGGTGCAAAGCCGCATAAATGTGCATTTCCTGGCTGTACCTATGAAAGCGCTTGGAGTTCGTATATGGCGGAGCATATGCGACAAATGCATGGAACCAGATCTGCGGAGGTGCGTTTCAAACGATTTTGGTCCTGGTTATATTTTACTTGCATGAAATGTGCACCAGAGCTGATTGTGAGATTAATACAGTATTTGCGTACGGACATACTTATTAAATACGGTATTAACCGCGGCAAACCCAATGGTCCGAGAAAAAATCGTTCTCGTGTGCATTTGGTTGTAGTAAATTCTCAAACATCTTGTGAGTTTTCGTGTCATCTAGAGTGAAGAACGGGAATTACGGCGAAAATTGTCAGTGGCTGAAGGGAAGAAGGGAAAAAAGAAAGGTAGAAAACCAGTGACTCCCAAGGCTGAAGATGCTGGACTACCCGTGTCCGAAGGCGGAGTCACGCAGGACGAGCCCGCATCTCCTTCCAGGGTATATGTCGTAAAACATGATTCGTGGTCCATAAAGTGCACTGAAATGTTAATATTCGGTTTATAACGCAATTTGCTTGCTAGGCTCTTAGAAGCGGGAAAAAAATCCAACCAGGCAGAAAGAAGCGACAGGTATTCTTCTGCTGCAGCTCCTTTGTACTTGACCTCTGTTTTGAGCTTCATGGATTGGTTGTTTTCACTAGCGTAAGCAGGCTCCTCAGAAAGCTCAGGAAGAAGAAGAGCAAGAAGATCAAGAAACCGCGGAAATTAATCCTGACCAATTTGAAGACGCGAAACTTATGGAGACTAATGGGACGGTGTCTTGAGTTAGACTTCAGGCGTTACACTTATCGATACTACTGCAAATGCAAGGTGCACTGGCAAACTGAAACCGCTTTCTCCAAATCGTTAAGGAACTGCTGATTCTTTACATATCCGTCCACTGTTACACATAGCACCATCATCAGTTTTTTGATGATGAATTGATGAGTGATGACCTATCTCTTTTGGAAGTACTTGTTTGTTAGTAGTACTGTACCATGACTACCATCTAGCCCCTAGTTAATATTACTTACTAAAATCATACAGTACTTTGAAATATACTTAATCATGATGGTATGTAGTGTTTTAAAAAAGATGGTTCTTTTACAAATATTGTTTGGCAGTAAAATAATTATTTAATGTGAGTTATATCCATATGATAAATGGAATTTATTGTCACCCAACTTATTCACTAAAAGCTTGGCAGACGAATTGAACCACCAATTAAAAAACGGCTTCCCTGTTATAAAAATCAATGAAAAGGTATCTCTTTAGAATAACAGCGATAAAAAAATAAAAAAAAACCCACCAATGTGAGCAAGAAACTAGCAAAGCTTCTAAATCAGTGATCAGACAAAAATTTGGCGATGGTATTGTTGACCACCTCAGGTTCCTCTTCATTCACCCAGTGACTAGCCCCTTCCACATATTTGAGTTCAAAAATCCCTCCAGCGAATTGCCCCGAAAGCAGTGCAGTTTCCGGACTTATGGCTCGATCACCCGTACCGAAGATCACCAATATGGGGAAGGGCAAAGGTTGGAATTTGATCGGTTTTGGTGGGTTGAAGCGAAACAAATTACGATAGTAATTGATGGGCGCAGTGAATGCTTTTGCGGAAGAAAAGGTGTACTTGAAAGCTTCGATGTCCTCCTCTTGGTAAGTGCCTGGTTTAGCTCCCATCGGTGCAACAGTGAATATCTCTTCCAGAAATTTAAGATCACTGGAGCTCAGGAAAAACTCAGGTAGGAAGGGAAGCTGGAACATGAAGATGTACCTAAAAAGGACGAAATTCGTTTACATAAACTATGCACTACTTGTATGCGAAATTCGTTTACATAAACTATGCACTACTTGTATGCATTCGGTTTAATACGTGTCTGATATGCGCAGCTTTTCGCACAGGTGCAGTAGAAGTATGCAAAACGCACCAGCTCATTAGTAGCTGCTTCGGGTTTTTCATTGCAAACTTCCAGAAAACGGCTGGATGGGGCGCATTAATTACCACCATGCTGGAGACCATTTCCGGGTACAATGAACCGAAATTCCATGCTATCATACCTGTCAAAAATAAATCGCCGATTGCCGATAGTGGCGGTGCTGGAAAAGCTATTAAACGTCTGTGTTCACTGAACCATAACTTTTACTGGTAGTATACTACAACGTGTACATAATGTATTGAACAATTTGAACCTCCCAACAATACATTAGTGAACGGTAAATACCGATTTAACGAAAACCATAAACCGAAGCAGTCTATACATGCGTACCGCCCCAGTCGTGTCCGACAAGAATACAGGAAGCGCGTTGCAAGCTCTGGATGATCAATCGCACATCTTCGCATAGTTTACGAATTTCGTACTCCGCGTAATTAGAAGGCTTTGACGAATCTCCGTAGCCTCTCAAGTCCACCGCCACAACTCTAAAACAATTTCCACACAACTGGGTTAACAAACTTATAATACGTGTGTGCTGCTAAACTCACCTATAGGAATTTTTGAAATAACGTATCTGATGCCGCCAAGTATAGAAAAACTCTGGAAAGCCATGCAGGAAAAGCATCAAAGGAGCATCCGGTGGTCCAGAAGCCACGTAATGAATTCTGATGCCGTTCTAAGCAAAATCAGGAAACGAGGGATCAGGAAAAATGTACTCAAAAGGGAACATTGTTAGACAAATCAATTATGAAGAACATTCTAGAATTTTTCATAGAAATGCGCTAACATGCAAGGCATCCACCATTGCCTTTTTCATGACGCTTTTCCAGTGTCCCTTTTCCCGTGTTCATCTCACCTTAAGATGCAGATAGCCGTGTTCCCCCAAAGCAGGATCCTGAAGGACTGCAGGCGGCTTGGCACGTTTCTTCACAGTGAAGAATCCTGTGGGATTTCGCAGGATTGTGAGGAAGTTGCTGCATATCCAAACGACACTCCAGAATACACCAATGACATACACACAAGCAATAAAAGCATATCGAAAAACTCTCTTAACATTCACATTTAAGCCAGGCGCATTTGTTTCCGCCATTTTTAATGGAAGTGTGAAAAGGAAATGGCACCCGTGACTGCAACACCAGTGCTACTGTGCTAGTATTAGAAATTACAAAGCACAACAAAAACTCATCAAAAGACAAAAAACCAAAGCAAACTGGAAATCAGATGATTCAGATTTGCTGTCTGTAGTACAAGATTTCAGGAATCGAGTGTAGAGAGTGCACAATAATATTGTGCAGAAGTGGCGTCTTATTTGATTTTATTCGTGATTTTACAGCCATTGCACCATCTGTGGACCCTCCAGTTGTTAAGTGACAACGTAACAGAAGCATGCGTGCGGGGGCCCATGCCACAGGCTGTTTTAACGTAAATCTTTGAAAATTCATAACTTTGTTCATTTCTGCATTAAATTTTTATGTATAGTCTTGAAAAATGCAGAATAATACACAGTATTAGGCAAAATAAATTTTTTCTTGTTTTTCTTTCAGGGTTATGCCCTGTTAGCCTGTACGGCTACCATAGCCGCCTATGGGGGATTTGTCATAGGCGGCTATGTTAACCGCAGGGGCTCCTAGTGCGTTACCCTGAAGAGGAAACAGAGAAGCATTTATTTTGTCTAATGCTGTGTATTATTCTGCATTTTTCAAGACTATACATAAAAATTTAATGCAGGAATGAACAAAGTTATGAATTTTCAAAGATTTACGTTAAAACAGCCTGTGGCATGGGCCCCCGCACGCGTGCTTCTGTTACGTTGTCACTTAACAACTGGAGGGTCCACAGATGGTGCAATGGCTGTAAAATCACGAATAAAATCAAATAAGACGCCACTTCTGCACAATATTATTGTGCACTCGTGTAGATTGCTGTAGTGTAGATTGCTGATGCGAGGGCTTCCCTTGCTACGGTGCGTTTGCCTGTTCTACTAGCGCTGGATGAACATTATACCGCACACCTGACAGTGGTGTTGTAGGCAGAAGTCACAAGAAATTTTTCAAAGCGTCGCTGGAATTTAATAAAGCAGTTAGTTACTGTTAGTACTATAAAAAGTGTCAAGTGGTAAACATACGGTCATACCTATAAAATTAATTATGATTGTTTCGTCTTCTCAATAATTTGTATCACATTACAGTTGTTATGTTTTATGGGAGGAGCGCTCTTCCTTTTTCTGATCTTGATGTTTGTTGTCGATGTTGTGTTGCCGAAAGATGCCTTAGCTAACAAAGCGACGTGGTTGGGTTGACATCCAGCAAGCGATCACCATCATTCGTGTAAGTTAAAAGAGTCAAAAGTGATTGATGTAGCTTTGGGAAGCCCACCTCGACGAAGTCAACAAACTGATCAGATAATAATCAAAATGGTAAGAGCCAAACATTCGCAACTTCCTTCCCATGCATTTACGTTACTGTACCTTTTTCCAAACGCAAAATTTCTTTTCCAAATTTTCGATTTGTGTTCTCGTAGTCGTCGTACGATGAGGATGGCCAGTACGATGGAATGTCCAGCAGCTATGCCGTCGGTTCATTACCGAAATTTGGTTATGGAACGGACGATTACGATCCAGAGTTTGGATCGTTTATGCCTGCTGAAGTCAAACCAAAGATATTGCTCATGGGTTTGCGAAGGTACTACTTGATTGATAATTGAAATCCATAGTTATTGTTGATTAAGTAGTTGTTCATAAATGGAGGATTTTGATATATACTGGTTGCGCGAACAGGTCTGGCAAATCGTCCATCCAGAAGGTGGTTTTTCATAAAATGTCACCGAACGAGACTCTATTCCTGGAAAGCACCAATAAAATAACGAAGGACGGTAAGACGCTAAGACTGGTGAATGTTTTTCCACTTTACAATTTGCATTTGCAATTTTAAATTTGTCTCCGAACGTATAATAAAAATAGTAAACGCTTTCGACTGCCAGAAAAGTGTGTAAAATCTGTTATGTTTATTCTGCTGTTTTATTCACGTGATTTGTACTCCTTCTGGTGGTTAATCCGTGTTTTTATAATGTGCAGATATTTCCAGCAGTTCGTTTATTCAGTTCCAAGTTTGGGATTTTCCGGGACAGATTGACTTCTTCGATCCGTCTTTCGACGCAGACACCATTTTCGGTGGTGCATGTGAAGCGCTCATTTTCATATTGGATGCTCAAGTATGGAATTAATTGGCTGTTATTTATCTTTGTCGATTGGGGATGTTTTGCGCAAATCACTTTTTCGCTTTTTAGGATGATTACATGGATGCTCTTGAAAAACTGCATGCGACGGTTAGTCGCGCATTCAAAGTCAACCCGAACATCCATTTCGAAGTGTTTATCCACAAAGTGGATGGCTTATCGGACGATCAAAAAATTGAAACGCAACGTGATATTCACTCACGTGCCAATGATGAGCTTTCTGATACGGGATTGGAAAACATCCATTTGAGGTGGGTGTGATCCGATCTTGCCATTCTGTACTTAGTCAGATAAAAATGCGCCTTGTTCTGACTACTTTCAGTTTTTATTTGACGAGCATTTATGACCATTCAATTTTCGAGGCATTCAGCAAAGTCGTGCAGAAATTGATTCCTCAATTGCCCACCATGGAGAATTTGTTAAATATATTTATTTCGGTTAGTTTTCTTATTGATACTGATATTTTTAGGAGATGTGGTTTTCATTGAAGTTGGTTTCAGAATTCGAACATCGAAAAGGCCTTTTTATTCGACGTTGTCAGCAAAATCTATGTGGCAACTGACAGTAACCCAGTGGATATGGCATCCTACGAACTGTGTTGTGATTTTATCGATGTGGTCATCGATGTTTCTTATATTTACGGGTACGTGATATTATCAGATTATTCACGAAAAAAATTTCGTTGCACATACTGAAAATGAATAAGATTTTGTGTGATTGCAGTATGCGTGAAGATGTGGAGGCTAGCGCTTTTGACAGCCAGTCGTCGTCCATTATTCGCCTGAATAGCTCGTACATTCTGTATTTGCGTGAGGTCAACAAGTATCTTGCTTTGGTATGTCTGCTGCGTGAGGAAAACTTTTCCCGACAAGGTAATCGGATGGCTTGCACTTGACATTATCTGAATATTTCTTTAGAAAACGGTGAAGAACATGTTCAAAAACATTGCTTTCGCTTGCAGGGCTCATTGATTATAACTTTTTCTGCTTTCGAGATGCACTGCAGGAAGTTTTCAATATTCGCGCCCGCGTTTCTGGGATTCGAGAAAGGAACCATAACAGCATCAGCTACACGAACAGCATTTCCAGGGATTACTGATAAAGTTTGATAGTGGTAAGGCTTATTGCCTTGTTTTGATTTTTACGTTGATGTTATTCGCTGTGTTGTATAAGAAATTCCTCGATAGTGCGGGGTATTTTTTGATTTTGTTTTCCGTAGTACAGTAAGAATCTGACTAACACTTCTTACAAGCTAATTAATTGTTATGGTTTAAATAAAGTTTTAACGCTACTTTGGCTCAACCATTTCGTGTAATTAATACTGCTTGGGTGTCTTTCTGTTAAGAAGAAATCACTTATGAAGAAGCGGAATCGGTAACACTAACTTTAGTCTCTAGGGCTGACTGTACAGACTTTAGAGTCGGTCCTGGTGATACGTCCTGTACTTGTATGCATTAACCGTATTGTCGGCTTTTTAGTTTTTACGTTACAAACTGCAATTAGCAAAAGGATAACCAAAGTGCAGACTGCAGATGTGCTTGTGTTAAAGGCACTTAAATCCCAACCAGTGCGTTTTGCAGCATGTTTGAGGAAATCATAATGTTACACTTTTATCATCGCTTTTATCTGAAGAGGAGTCGTGATGAAATAAAGTCAGTATTAGAATATAGTTATAAATTTCTAATCACAAGAACAAAAAGATTACATAGTTATATCGAAAAGATGAAACTTACAGTCAACGACAATCTGATGAACGAGACTTATGAAAAGCAAAAAAAATCGAAAGTGTTTTACGTGCAATGCCAACTCTTTGACACACCAGTGACATAATGCAATACTAATAAGCGTACAAACGAGTAATTCGACCACCAAAAATTGTCATTATTATTAACATCTAATGCAGACGTGTCCCACATCAACGAAATTAATGTTTCGAAGCACTTTAACAGCGCACTGCAGAATGTGGTAAGGGTAAAGGTAGCACCAACAGCAAACGGAATCACTCATGTCAGATCAGCTTCACCCAAGGTTCGTTTCGCGCGCAGCAGCAGCTGCGTTGTCCATTGGTCGATCCGGGAAATGCTATCGTATTCGCGGACAGCTTCCGTGAAACCATCCACATTGGAATCCTCCATACAACCCAAAACTTTCTTCAACAATCCATACTCTCGAGTATCCTGGAATGACGGGAATGTCTCTTCGTAGCGTGTTAACGCGTGCTGCGCATTCAGCGGATCGACGCATAAATGGCACAGTGCCGCTTTGAAAAAGTACTCCTTGGCGCTGTACTTCAGCATGGCATTCTCGGCATTTCGGTTGGCAATCTGCTCGAAGATCTGAATGGCTTTCATGTAGTCCTCCTTTTCGGCGGCATAATGCGCCACCTTCTGCAGACATTTGGCGGCATGACTCTGGGATTCCTCGCCTTGATAGTAATCGGCCGCCCGCTCGTAATGCACAATGGCCTGATCGATGTTCTGCAGTTCCGACTCGTAAATCTCCGCAATCGTAATATGCTGTTTGGCGGCCATACTGAAGCGGCCCATTTCGGTTTGGATTTCTACGGCTTTTTTCAGGCATTCGATGGCTTGATTGGCGTCGATTTTCTTGTAACACACACTGGCGTCGATATATTTACTGGCTGCTTCGTTCTTGTTGTCCGACTGCAAATTCAGTCCGGCGGCTTGGCTGAACGCATAGCCAGCCTGACTCCAGTTCTTGGCCATTTTAAACTGGTTGGCGGCTTGACAGAAGAGATCAATTGCCTCGTCAATTTTGCTTGAGCCACCTCCAGCGAACTTGGACCAAAATCCTCCTGATTTCCCAGAGCCCGCTTTCTTTTCCGCCTCTGCAATCAGCTTCATGCCTCGCTGTTCTTCGGGACTGGCGGATTTCTCTGCCATTTTCTTACCTTCAAAGATTAAAACAAAACCAATGCAATCGCATTTATTAAATCTTACTACGACAGGAATTTCTAATCTGTCGTAAGCTGTCAAACAGAGTTGAGACTTGAGAGCTGGTGATGCTAACGGCTAAGTGAAGATTTTTTGCCTACACGTACTTTGTCTTATTTTAAGTCAACCTAAATTAATTAGATTAGAGGTAAAGTGTACTATTTCTTCGTTCTTCAGATTTTACAGTTCTTTAGGTTTTATGGAACTGTTGGCCATCCAGCGCCTATTAATCTGACAAGTGATTCATGGTTAGCGTACTTACTAATTTTATTCCTGACTTTGAACGAAACCTCCTTAGTATCACCTCAGAATGGAATCAATGATAGCTTAGTAGGTTCAGCTTATCCGCTTCCGATTCGCATAAGAGTTAAGACCAGTAAAAATTGGATAACGAGTGAGTCCAATTAGGTTCCAAAGTGCTGCTGCACAACATCGACAAAAAGGATACTTCACAGTTAACACGCAGCAAATTTGCAAAAATCACAAATTACAATATAACTGAGACCTTCCTGAGCGATGTGCGTAACAGATGTCAATTCAATCAATCGATAACAACATTCACAAACAGCAGCGGGAACTACATAAAAAACTGGCAGGCAGCTTTAAAGAGGAGCCAGATTCCAGAAGGAACACATATATTGTCGTTTTATTACCCACAGAATGGGCATCCGTAGTGCGTGGCCAGTAGGAGCGTCATTTTAAAACTGCCACTATGGGGGGCTGCCATAGTGAATAAGAGGGAGCCGGAAACAGTCATGCAAAAATAATCTTCCCACGGGCCATGGTACAGAAATTCGCTCCTCGCAAGTTCCCTTTGATATATAATCTGATTTATCCATGTTTCAAATGATTTTTTAAAATATTAAAATAGGAGCATACCTTTGTTTGGAAAGCACATCTTTTTCTATAAGGCATATTATTTTTGAGTTTAGGTTTATACGATAGTATACGATATGTAACTGCGATTACGCGATAGGACATTGATTACGCAGTACGCACACGAATTTGCACAACGGCCTTGATCTCCGCGCGCTGTAAGAATTTTGCCAGTAGATGTATTAGTGACTTTCATACAAGTTTAAAGCTGTTATATATGGTGATATTTCACACTTCACAGGTAAATTATTACATATCAACGTGCACAACACAAAATTCAGCTACACGGTAGGAAAAGGAACTTGGAAGCCGTGCTTAATTATATAGGTCACCAACAACACTATCACAAGGCGCGCACAACCTTCGAGTAAGTACATGATAAGTACATGATAAGTACATGATAAAGTGCACTCATCAGCTCAAATAAAAAAAGCGCACGACGCTAAAGCAAGTGTATCGAATTACTGTGTATCTATTGCAGAATCGGTTACAACCTTAGGATATCAATTACGTTAAGTCAGATTCTCCCAGTGTTCGCTTAGCACGAAGCAACAGTTGCGTTGTCCATTGGTCTAAGCGAGAAATTTTATCATAGTCGTTGACCGCTCCGGTGAAACTATCCACGTCCGACTCCTCCATGGCTGTCAAAACTGCTTTAACCAATTTACATTCCCGTGCATCCTGGAAAGCTGGGAACGTCTTTTCGTATCGCGCCACCGCATGTTGCGCGTTAAGAGGATCGACGCATAAATGGCATAAAGCCGCTTTAAAAAAGTAGTCCTTTGCGCTGTGTTTCAGCACAGCGTTTCCGGCATTCCGGTTGCCAATCTCCTCGAAAATCTGAATGGCCTTCATGTAGTCTTCCTGGTCCGCAGCGTAGTGGGCCACTTTTTGCAAGCAAGCAGCCGCCTGGCTTTTATTTTCTTCTCCCTGAAAATAATCGGCAGCCTTCTCGTAATGCTGGATGGCTTGTGCGATATTCTGCAGTTCTGTTTCGTAAATTTCGGCAATGTTAATATGCTGCTTTGCTGCCATGCTGAATTTTCCCATTTCCGTTTGAATTTCTATAGCTTTTTTCAGGCAGTCCACGGCGCGGTTAGCGTCTGCTTTCCTGTAGCAGACACTGGCATCGACAAACTTCATAGCCGCATCATGTTTCTTGTCGAGCTTCCGGCTACCTTCCGCTGCTTGGGTAAAGGCGTAACCAGCCTGGTTCCAGTTTTTGGCCATTTTAAACTGATTGGCGGCTTGGCAGAACAGCTCAATGGCGTCCTCCATTTTACTGTTGCGATTGCCGAAAGCGCTGGATAAAAATCCTCCGGAGGAACCTCCCGCGGCTTTTTTCTCGGCTTCCGCCAGGAGCTGCGTGGCTCGTTGTTCTTCTGATGAGGCCATTGTCAGTGTGGTCACGCTGCAATGCAAAGAAGGAATCACAGAAAGCCTTAAGCAGATCGCATTGTTTTAAGGAAGTGGTTGCAACAAAATCATTAAAAACTGTGACAAGTAAGGTCATGAGATGCAGTGCATCGTGTATACCGACAAGATTTCCCAAGAACTGAACCAGCATGTAGTACAGTGGTACACAATCCTTTCAGATGGAAGTGACTTACTTTGAAGAGATTATCCTAATTATGAAATTATCAGATGCCTAACACTTCTCTGCAATAACAATAACAACTCCGTATTTCCGCCTCCTACGAGCAAATTAAACCTTTTAACTCTCAACCCAGTTCACAATGAACCGGGACCCGATACAATATAACGTCAAGTGAGGAATGCCAGCGCTGTGAAAGAAAATCTTGATAAAACAGCGCAGCGAACCGAAAACGAGTTTTTTGTGGAAAAGTTAGTCTGGAAACCCAAGAAAATCCTTTAGCCTAGCCTTTTTATCTCGCAGTCTGTATCTGAACGCCTAAAAATCGATAAACATCCCAGCTGACGACAGTGAGCCGTATTGACCCTAGAGTAGGATCCAGGAATAGGAATCAGAATGGGATGCTTTTTGGTGACTCTAAGATGACCACCCGAAGAGGCGGTTGTAGGGCTTCGTAGTCGGTGCAGTGTTTGACGAAAAGCGAAATCTGAATTTTGAAAGTAGCGCGAGAATCATTTCTTTAAATTTTTATAGCTTCTGCCCCTTCTGGATTCCTTAGTGAGCTTTGCATTATTACGCTGTACCCTGAATCGTAGTAATGGGGAAAAATAAGAAAGGGTTTAACTGGAAAGCCAGACAGAACACATCTGTTACCGTCGCTAGCGGACCAGCGATTCCATTGCAGGTTAGTACAGTACTTGCAAATATAAGTTCCCCGAGCTTTATATTTTCTTGCGAAATCCAAAAGCTTTTCTACTTATGTGGCCTGTGTTTGTCAAATACTCATTAGACTTATTAGCTTCAACCGTACAACTGAATGTTGCATGGTGTGTTCACGGTATATGCCGGAAAGTTTCTTTTCATTGTGCAGCTTGATCGCGGAATTGCAGAAAATGCTCCTGATGCGACCACCGGAAACGACGCCGTCCATGATGACAGCAATGCCATAGTCCTTCCCTCTCAAAAGCGAAAAACGAAAAAAGCGGAAGTTTGCGCACCGAAGCAAAAATTTTTATCACATCGACAGAAAAAAATGCAGGAACGACTCAAGGAGAAGCGAACGAAAAGTGCTAAGGTAAAAATCGACTTATGTGTGCCGTTTGTATTTCGCTTCGCGAAATTCGCGTTCATAATTCATTGATAGTCTTTCATTCATTTTGAAATTCTGAATGATGCGTTATTATATTGCAGCGTGGTGAGCTTATTAAGGCAATACAAGCGGTCCAGGCCTCCGAACTGGAAACAAAAGAATTCGTCTCAATCACGCAAATGCAGACTAAAGGATTAAAAAGGTGCACCGCATCTTCCATTTTTTTATTTGCTTCTTGAATTACAAAAGTTATATATTTGCAAGTTTCGTTCTGAAAACCGGAAGAAGTTTGAAAATGTGTTTCTGAATAGGCACCGACTTGAAAAGCTGCGTGCTAGTTCTGGAAAAAAGAAAGTGAAGTCTTTGGCGAACGAAGAAGATGACAGCGCAGTGGAGAGAAATTCCGTCGTCCAGGAGACGAGTGAATCGAGCGACGACGAAAGCCAACCTGAATCGAGCGACACCGAGCGAAGACAGTCGCGTGATATCGACGTTGATCCTGTTCCACCGCTGATCGTTTCGGAATTCCCCGATGCTCAGCCGACTAGCAACATCACGGAAAATCTCGGTACTCGTGATCGTGATAGCTCGCCGGAAGCGGAAACGGTGCTTCCGAAAGCGAATCCCTTCCGGCGCTTGCACAACATCCCCGTGTCCCGTCTCCCGGAAATTCAAGATCAGCGCTCCAGATTACCGGTTACCGGCGAGGAGCAGAGTATTATGGAGGCGATCAACACGAACGATGTGGTTGTAATTTGTGGTGAAACGGGATCAGGCAAAACCACGCAAGTGCCGCAGTTCTTGTATGAAGCAGGATACGCCAGTGGCGATGGTATTATTGGTGTAACGGAGCCGCGCCGAGTGGCGGCTATCAGTATGTCGCAGCGGGTAGGGACGGAACTGAATCGCCCCGACGAAGTGTCGTACCAGATTCGTTACGAAGGGAACTGGAGTCAGTCGACAAAAATTAAGTTTATGACGGATGGTGTTTTGATGAGAGAAGTTGCCAATGTGAGTGTGTGCTTTCTAATCCGTTTAGAAGGGTCTGAGAGATTTATTTTTTCCAGGATTTTCTCTTGCAAAAATACTCGGTCATCGTTGTGGATGAAGCACATGAGCGGAGTGTGTTCACTGATATCCTTATCGGATTGCTGTCCCGGATTGTGCCCTTGCGGAGAAAAGTAAAGACGTCGTATTCCTTTTTTTGAAGACAGTTTATCTATTAATTTTTGTTACCAGTAGCATGGATTTCGCTACCGTTTCAACGGAATTTAATCTTGTTTAGCACTCTTGTTTTGCAGAAAGGAATTCCACTCAAGTTTGTGATTATGTCTGCAACATTGAGGATTGAAGATTTTACCGAGAACAAACTACTTTTTCCGTTTCCGCCTCCGGTTATGAAAATTACAACTCGGCAGCACCCGGTGACGATCCACTTTAATCGCCGTACACCTAGCGAAAAGGAATATCTTCAAGATACGTTTAAGAAAATATGCAAGATTCACCAGACTTTACCAGCTGGAGGGATTCTGGTGTTCGTTACTGGCCAGCAGGAAGTCCATGCGCTGTGCAAACGTCTTCGAGAGACGTTTCCCAGAAATGACAAGTCAAAATTGGGAAAGTCTAGAGCTGCGACTGATATCGTTGTAAGCGAAACTAATAAGGAAAAACAGCCAGACGAATCAGTCGTTTCTCCCAGTCCTGACGTGAACACATTCAAGCTTGATGCGTACCCGGTGCACGCGCTGGACGAGGAAGAAGGGCAGGCGGTTACCGAAGCAGACGAAGATGTTGATGAGGATGATGCGGAAATGCTGCGACATTCTGATGAACCGATGACTGTACTGCCGTTGTATTCTCTGCTTCCGTCTGAGCGACAGGCACTGGTCTTTCAACCGGTTCCTCAGGGAACGCGATTGTGTGTTGTGGCTACCAATGTTGCGGAAACCTCCATCACGATTCCCGATGTGAAATATGTGGTCGATACAGGGAAAACCAAAATGAAGCTATATGATAAAAATACCGGCTTGTGTACATTTCGAGTAGTTTGGACGAGCAAGGCATCGGCAAATCAGAGGGCCGGGCGAGCGGGACGAACCAGCGCGGGACATTGTTATCGTATATATTCTTCTGCCGTGTTTAACGACGATTTCCCTCAGCATACTCCACCGGAAATTACGCGTCGTCCTGTGGAGGACTTGGTTCTGCAGATGAAGGCTATGAATATAGAGAAAATTGCAAATTTTCCCTTCCCGACTCCGCCAAGTGTCAGCGCCATCGCCGCCGCCGAAAAAGAATTGTTAAGTTTGGGCGCTATTGAGCGCGTGGTGCATCCGAAGCACAGTGAAACGGCGGATACGGTCACTTCGATTACATCATTAGGAAAAACCATGAGCTTGTTCCCGGTGGCACCGAGATTTGCCAAAGCGTTATCCCTGTGCGGGGATCACAACCTGATGCCGTATATGATCACTCTTATATCGGCTTTATCAGTTCAGGAACCAATTCTGGAGGGAAAATTAGGGACGGATGATAGTGCGCCGGAAAATGACCCTCAAAGACGTTCGTTTTTAAACCAGTTAAAAAAGCGCTGGATTGGGAGTGGTTTTTCGAAAAAGTTGGGAGATCTTATGGTTTTGTTAAAAGCAGTGGGAGCGGCAGAATTTGCCGGTTTAACATTCGACTACTGCAATCAGCACTTCCTTCGCTTTAAAGCCATGAAAGAAATACGGCAGTTGCGTCAACAGTTGACCAATGCTGTTAATTTGGTGTTGCCGAAGATAAACTGTCTAATGGACCCCCTGTTGCCGCCTCCGAGTGAACTGCAGTGCAAGATGATGCTGCAGGTACTACTATGTTGTATGCAGCACAATATAGCTCGGAAAATTTCACCGGCGGAAGTGGCGGCGGCAGAGCCGAAAGAAAAGGCGAAGTTGCGAAATGCGTACCGGACGAGTATGTTAGAGGAGCTTGTATACATTCATCCGTTTTCCGTCGTTGGACAAGAATCTCCGGAGTTTGTTTTATATCAAGAACTGTTTGAGGGGAATCGAATCTATTGCCGGAATGTGGCTGAAATTGACCCAATTTGGATACCGAAATTCGCCCCAGTGGAGTGCGTTTTCTCACCGCCGTTAGACACCCCGGAACCGCGGTTTGACAAAAAAACCGGCAGAGTCGTATGCCATCGGACAAGCACCTTCGGTGGGGTTGTGCATAAGAACTTTCTTTAGTTTGACATTAAATACGTTAGCTATAGGAAATAAATACAAATTTTGACTCGTTTTAAACTTGTAACTACGGTGCCTTTATTTGCCATTCAAGGTCTGATAATTACTGATAATTTTCGATATTTCAGAACACACAGTCTTTAATGTATTGAAAATTTTTAATCTCTTTGGATAACTGCAGTAGATTAACATGTTTGCCCACGTTTGTATTTATTGGCTTTGATTTGGCGGAAGGTTGGTTAAACGCGATTATAACCCGAAGAGCTTTTAAGAAACTGCATTATATGAAAATTATTGGAGCTTGTGTGCAGGACCGCATGCCTGGATTTTGCCATCAGTTGAAGTGGACTATCCAGCTGGACTGGATTTGTATCGGTGGTTTGGAAAGTTTTTTCTGGAAGGCGCCGTTCTTGAGTCCCTGAAGCCCTTGAGCGTGCACCTTTTGGTTAAGCCTGGCATTATGGTGAAAAGCTGGTCAAGGTAGCGCTTTCGATTTTACGAAGAAGCATTTGACATGCTTTTTACATGTGCCATCTGTTACGTTGTAGTCTCCAACCGAAAACTCAGACATTTCTACGGGCACTCGCTGATCGCAACATTGATTGCCGCGAGAAACTGCTAGCGATATGGCGCAGAGAACCACAATGTACGTATGCACAACAAGCTGAACAAAAAAGCAATGGACAATCCATGCTGCAGCTCAATTTGAACAGTTGCATTTTTTCCGTAGATCTGATGTATGAATACCTGCAATGGCTTCCTACAGCGTATCATGCACAAGCGCAATCCATATGGCCCCCAGGATGAAACGGTGCATGACAGATCTTTCGAGAATGCAGAGGACTGCTTTTATTCGAATAGTTGTTTGTTGCTTTATTTTCGAGTGAAGCTGTTAAATTGTTGGTGTTTCGAGTTTTATTCTTTTGAAATTGCGGCATCTTGTGGTTTCTTCCCTTTTTTTTGCTTATTACACCAGATAAACAAATAATTCATGGATTGGAAAGTGTTTATTGGAAATTTGTTTTCGATTTCCATTTAGGAAATTTCACAACATTTTCCGTTACACCCTCCACAGTGTAGCACGAACAGGAAAAAAAGAGTTCCTACGGTAGCTTAAGTCTTTTCGTGAGCGTAGCAGTGCATTGTTGAAAGTTTGAGCGGCTCCAAAAGCTGTACAGCAGCAATAATTACATCCTACTTTCAGTACTCGTACAGTAACCAAGAAAAACGCTAACGATGATGCTGTAGAATGCTTGTAGACGTACTGGAAACATCGCAGTCCGCCGCACTATACCGCAATCGTAGAGCCGCGGTGGAGTAACCCTTTTTTTGTTTACCATGGTGTGGGACTCTGGACACAACCAAGAAAAACGCGTGAGACATCATGACGTTAGTGGTTAAGGCACGTAGAGCTGTTGTAGTCTGTAGATAAAGCCAAACTGCCAAAGGTTACAGAGATGCGGATTATATGTACTGTACGGTACTCGGATTTATATCCGCATGTCCAGTCACCAGTGCCAGTCACGAATTGACGTATTAATACAAAGTATACAGCCTCCATTCGCGGGGACCGTCACTTTAATTTTTCAGTGACCACAACCATGGTCTGCAGTCTGCACTCTGCACAGACCCTGCCACAACTCTTGGATCATTTCTTGAACTTTCTCTGCTTTCTGAAGTTTTTGAGAATTTTTCACCATTCTGGTTCTCGAAAGTCAAAACGTACAAATTATCATTGGATTTTGTCAAGTGTGGGGCATGTTACTAGTTTTCTATCAGTTTTAAAGTGTCCCTGTATGATTGTATCAATAAGGGCTTGATATCATTTATTGCGTTACCGCTGTGCAACTGAAGATGGATCACGCTAACGGAACCGAGGAAAGCGCTGCAGATGATATGAATGTTATTGCTCCATCGGATGCGCTTTTTTGTCCAGATCCCGTTAGCGTCGATAATGGAAAAAAGCCATACTTGGTGTACTCTCAACATAACGAACAGATCTTCAAGGAAATTGCAGATGTGCTAACCAAACAGTCCATCCTTGGTTTGGCAACCGTGTTCGATGCCACGAGCGCTAAAGTTCAGCTGCGGAATTTGTCATACTTCGTCATTTCTACGGTATCCCCGGCGATGACGTACGTGTTCGACTGTAACAATGTGGTGGCGGATGATTTGTTTTTGGATTTACGGAATATTTTGCAAAATCAGAGTGTTTTGAAGATTGTGCATCCATTCGATCCTACTGTCGGCTTCCTGATTCATCGTCAACATGTGAGCAGAAATTTTCGGGATCTATCTTTGCGACGGAATATTGTACCGATGACTGTCTGTATTTTGCAATAAGGAACGTATTTTTTTTAGATGGATATGAACAATATTTTTGATCTCCAAGTCTGTGACAAAATTCTGCGGAGCTTGGGAGAAACCCCAGAATTGGCGTCGTTGACGGAGTTGATTTGCTTGTATGTTGACCCTCAATTCGTCGATAAGCAGCCAGTTGAAAAGGGCAATGTTGGACTGGATAGCAAAGCAGTCGAAAGAGGAGCTATGGAATTGCAAGCAGCGATGCAGGGAGCCTTTCTGATCGACATTTACCGCAACCAGCAACAGGTGATCATTAGCCCTGTTGTGCAGCATTTGGATGCGAAGGTCAAGGCGGAATTGGCGGTAAGTCAGCTGTTTTGCCTATATACATTTGGCTTTCACCGGTTTAGCTGTATGATTTGTATCATATCATTTGTATCATCATTACCACTCAACAAAAAGTACGTAGTAGTAGTCGCGAAGTTGCGGTTATCAATAAACTGATATAGACGCTTTCTAGTATTTGTGTTTTACGTGGTATAACTGAAAATATACACCGATTTTCGCTAAAAAATACTGACCCACCACGATTTCGGCTTGTTGGTAGGTTTTCGGGAAAAAGCCACACCCGGAATCCGCAAAGGCCTAAATAATAAAAATTTCACTGGCCTGACCGTAGTTGGAAAAGACTGTGACTATAATCTGTTTGATTTACTGAAACCCTAATTTTCCGGAGTTACTCTGGACCATGTTGGATAACAATTACATAATCCGAAATTAAACCGCTTGGAGGAATTATCAGCGGTGTTGTAAGTCTAAAGATTTCCTTTCAATAGCATCCTGCATGCAACACCGTTCTGAAATTCGGATATTACTTCTGCCACTGCTACAAGGCAAGCCTGAGATAGAGTGCATTCTTAAGTTCCCATATAAATTTCTAGTCTGATTACTAACTGGTGATTGTGCAAATAAGTACTATACAGTAACTGCGCATGAGGACAAACTGCCCTCTGCAACATTTCTTCATTCGGTTGAGAAAACTTTTGTAACGAAATTGTATACTGTCAGAATTTTCGTTTGTTAAGACGAACAACAAATTTACATCAGTAAAACCTGGACTCAGACTCTTTACAACAAAAAATCCTAATTATAACGTCTTGTAAGCACTGCAAGGACAGCAACAGAAAAGAACGGAAGCACTATGAAACTCCTCAAAATCAGCTTGTCTTTTTCTCCTCCAAATCTTGAATAACTTTCTTCCCAAGACGACTTTTGCATGCTTCGTATTCATTGTTCAAATCGAAATCTTGGATAACGGTAGGCTACGAAACATTTGCAAGTTAGCAAAGCTTTAAAAAAAGCCGTCACTTATGTAAACCAGTAGGAGGTAGTACATACCACTGCAAACTCATATTTGGGCACTTGTCCTTTGGCATCGACATAAGGTCGGCGAGTATGCGGTTGGCCATCTTTAAAAAGCATAATTGTGGGTAGCTGCCGCGTCCAAGCGCCAGTACCTATTCGGTACCTAAACCAAATGATCGCATGATGAATCGAATGAAACCGAATTATCATCGCTGCATCTCGAAAATAAGGAGTACACAATAAAAAGGAGTACACAAGGCATAAATACACAAGGAAATACACAAGGAAATACACAAGGAGTACACAAGGAAAAAATAAGGAGTACACAAGGCAAGACATCTTCAAGAGAAAATTACTATCAAGTAATTCAGAAACTGTTAACGTTTGCAGTTTTGCAGCAATAATAAAAGCATCGGATTTTTTCATATTATTCTGCAAGGGCCCTAGAAAATTATATCTCGCATCTGAATACTTTTGAGCCACTTCCGAGTATCGTCCCACATCAATCTTGCCAAATCGAAAATTCGGCAGCCAGTATTTGCCGGAAATTTCCGCAAAAACCGGCGCCATGTCAATGCACTTCATGCTCCAAGTGGTATAAAAGCACACTAGCCACGTGCTGCGAGTATCTTCCCGTATGGTCTTCTCCATGTTTTCTAGTCCGGAGAAATATTCAATCTTTTGTGGTCCACTATATATTGGCTCGGGAAAGAAAACGATCTGCACTGCAAAAAGAACATCAACGGGTTACGGACATTTAGCAGAAAACATAAATTCGATAAATAACAAACCTGCACATATTGCTAAATAAATTAGTCCCTGCGCCGGATGTTGTCGCCAGAATAAATAAACATTTGCCACTTTGGCGTATGTAGCGAATTTTTTTAGATAGTGCTGCCATGTGGGAGCCCCACGATTTTTTATCACAGTTATGCAGCCAACAAATATCAGCACTTCGTGTTCCCGCTGGAAAAAAAGAACAAAAATCAGCTTCGTAGAATCGTACGTATTCACACTAAATAAAAACTAATTAGCGCTTTTTCCGTCTTAATTTTTTTCACAGTATAATTTATTAGGAATTAGGATATTCAACATGTTTGATAGCTTGAATCAGTTACCCAACAGCTTGTTCTTTTCGTAAAACTCTAAAAGACATGTGCCCATATAAAACCAACGCGATCAAGCTTGATTTCCCGATAAAAAATGAGACAAACTTATTCGCACCAATGGTAATGATGCACAGATTTTCCAAATGTTTACCACAATACTGCTTCCATTTTGAGAAATATTCTTTAATTTTAGTTTTGCATTATCACTTACCAAATCCAGTGCACATGGTCCCGATTCAGCTGTATCTTTAAACAGGAGCGTACAAAACGGTTTCACGAGACGCAAAAACATAAAACTAACGGCAAGCGAAACATTAAAGATGTAATAAGGATGAGCATATTTCTTGGATTCTAGAGCAGCTCGCGATAAAAACGCTCGCGCATCCGATTGTAACCCGACAATTTTATCATTCATATTGCCAAATATTCCTGCTTCTTACGTATGGGGTCCTAAAGGCAGTCGATCGAGGATAACCAAAGTTTCACAGCAAATTCTTAATTCCGTAGCAAAAGTAAAAGAGTAACTAGACTTCCACAAACAAGATGACGTACCACAAAACAAGGTACAAACGAAGTGGCCTTTAAAGTGTAAACAATAAAACAGCTTTATAACTTACGATTAATACCGAAAAATGCAGTGCGATACCGACGGTCGTACATTTATGTTATACCGTCCAATACATATGGTGTTCCGAAATCCGAAGTCGAGGAAACCGCTCCAGTTAAGTATGAGTTACTTACCAGTTACCATTAAGGTTATGAGTATGATATAGCTGCAGCCTGTTTACCACACACCGCACGAAGGCATATTACTGATAGTAGTTACCTATTGCGCAACTGCATCTTAAAGTTTTATTGTGCTATAAAAATTAATTCATACATCCCGTAATTTAATAAGTACTCGTACAGTAATAATTTACAGATATTTTGCTCGTGCTGAAGTTTCAAAGTGCGTAGCGTCGGTAGCGAGTACAGTAGACAGTACAGTAGTACATACAGTATTTGATATTACAGATTATCATAGACATATCCCAATCACAGCCCAATAACACTAATTATCAAAAGCACCAATAAGCCAGGGGTACAAATGGTAAGAGACTAAGAACTAAGAAGTATTTGTATTGTACGGTAATTTGTACCAATGTAAACGTACACTTTTCATAAAATTGCTTTATTCTCTCTTGATCTAAAAAACATAAAAGTAATACATATCGGATTCATTGTCAGACTTCAAGGCACAAGAAGGACGAAGTGTTTAGAATTGCCTTCCATTAGCAAAGTTAAAGATGCTCGACCATGCGAAAATAAGAATAATTTATAAGAAACAATAACTCAACCAATTCCAAAGATGGTGTGAGCAAAATTAAGTCCATCATTTAGCACTGACAGTTTTAGCGACTCAGGAGATGCTTATACGTTTGGCGGATTGTACTTTCAGCCACACCAGTTATTTCACCAATTTCCTTGGAAGACTTGGTTGATTTTGATGCGGCACAAGCGAGAAATATAGCAGCAGCAGCCACACTAACAGGACTGCGTCCAGGTACAAGGTCCAAATCCCGAGCTTTCCGGGCGATATGGGTTGCAGCACGTTGCACGGGCTAGCAAAAAAAGTAAATTTTATTCAAAATTTTTTTGCTTACTAGTGGCCTGTGTAGCCTAACAAAAAATATCAAAGCGGAAACGTTCCATAAAAATTGTTGAACAATTAACTGAAAATTCATCTTACGTCTAGCAAGAAAAAAGTGAGACGGGTAGTTTTTATGGTGAAAAACTTTTGCGAGCAGAACTTAAAGACAAAACGTAACAAAGTACAGTTACTGGAGTATAGAATACTGTTATATTTTTAAAATTAATTTCATGTTTTTCTTCTCATATTGTAATTTCCACAAGAACCACTTCCGATTTCCTGCCGTAGTGCCACTATAGCACTGGTGAGTAATATTAACGACAAAATCAACGAAGACTAATTCAAAGCCCAGTAATTAAATGCAACAGAAAGCAATGTCTTGCAGAAAGTAACACGTAGACCTATGGCTTACCGAAGGAAGAGCCAAATTAGCGCAGAACCGCGGCATCAAATCTCCTGTGGTGACCAACTCCACACTGGCACCAACAGTGCTGAGAATTAATTTGAAACAACGGCCAATTTCCTTCTTTGATACACGGGATATCGCACAGATTTCTTTAAAGGTTCGAGGTACACCTTCTTTTCGACAGGCTATGTACACACAGGAAGACGCTATAGCATCCGCGCTTCGCCCGCGAAGAACTTTCGATTCATAAACCTAAATGAGCATTCGTAATCGATATGAGTACAGATCAGAAACCGTAACAAACCAGACTTTTGCAGTCCTCCGTTATCCTTCAGAAATATACCCTTATTTCTTACAATTTATTATGGTTCGCTCCACACTTTAAGGAACGTCGCTATTTTGAATCTACCGTGGACGCACCTGTTTGAATAAAACGTTTGCCTGATCAACGATCGTGCGAGGCAGGTTAATCCTCTCAGCCATGGTAGAAATTTCTTTAAATGCCGTTGTTAAAGCGCGATCCTGAGCCGACATGGTTTTTCTGTTCCTGTATTTGGAAAATCCATTGGCATCCAGTCCAGCTGAGCCTGTGGCACCACCAATTATGGTTGTCAGCTGATCGCCATCCAGAAGCGGATTTTCTGGGCCACCAACACGCGATGGATCGTCTCCACCACTTTCGTTACTGAATGTCCGCCATTCGGTTCCAACGTCTATTACGCGGTCACCCACAACCAGACCGCATTCGGGACACACCAAATCACCAGCCCTATAGTCTTCCACGAGATCAGCATCTGGATGACTGGGACAGCATACCCGAGCAGTCCGAGGAAGACGCGCAGCCATTGCGCTACTAGACGGACATTCGCACTGTCGCGCTTAGGGTTAGAGTGAACTGTACTAAGCGCACTTCCGTAAAAGCTGGGGCCAATCCCACTATGTACTAATCTTGTTCTGTATCAAACAAACTTATGGCAAAATTATATCGTAAAAAGATCTACACGGAAAAAAAAGAAAATTAAATTCCAATTTTGGATATTAACCAACGAGAGATTCCGATTTCTGATTTTATTACGAGTAAACGTTTGTACTTTGTACCATGCGTTTAATGAAACAGCACACGCACGAAACGACGTAACCAAGATGCGTACGAGTAACGAGAACTAACCGCAAGGCTTGGTGTCCCTTATCACATATTGGCATATTTACTGCATAGCTTCCGTAATTCGGACTTGTGACTTTGATTATGACGAAGACAGAAAAGAATTCTTGAACATTGTTTGAAGTTCATATGTTTTATTTTTTATTTACATAATCAAATCTTTAAAACACACCGGTAACTTATATTCGCACAGATTTTTGGTCAGCTTTAACCTGAAAATACAATGGGCTGCTCTATAGAGCTTCACGTGTGTTATATCTTACCCGTAGCGATATGCGCGTACTACGTACGTACGGTGGCTGAAATCAGGAATTTTTTCCGAGGAAAAAAACCGTTCCGTCAAAAAAGTTTAGAAGTCCAATGAGTTAAGAGTTAGCGATACATCGTAAATTTGCGCATGGTAGTGGTTCTTCGGGCTAACGTTCCTGTCACACTGCACTATTGTGTATTTCTTCGAAAGATTAACGATGTGGTAAAGATTTGCAGCTGCAAGGTATGTAATATATCGCGCAGTTAGATAAAACTGATAAATCTATAAGCCGTATTAAGTCGTAAGACCGCTCTATCCATATGAGGTGACAGGTGTACTGGGTTATTGACGGTAGTCTACAAATGGATGGTAGACTACCGTCAATGAGTTACCAGATGCGCAGAGGTAACCATTTGCAGTCTTCTGATTTCACCGGTCAATATTGTTTCATTTGAAAGATTTCCACAGAAAGCATGGCGTCTCCGACGACATTTCCGAATCCAGATTTCCAACCTAATCCGGAGTCGATGAGAGAGTTAGCAGCCATGGGCTTCGACCAGGAAACCGCAGCTCAGGTCCGAACAGTGCAGCTTTCCGCCACTTCACCGTATTACTAATGTACATGGTTTTATTAGGCGCTTTATTTCTCTGGTAATCGCGGGACTGATACAGCGGTCACTTGGATTTTCGACAATCAGGTAAGTGAAGAATCAGTAGTGGTCCGGTGGTCTCTGTAGTGTGAAGCGACGCAAACAGTTGTCCAGTTCAGCTGTTGTGGTTGATGTTTAGGGACAGAGTCCGCCTGCCTTGGAGCCAGCCTTTCCACGGGGAAACTTCGGGGGACCACACTGGGAGGAGAACTGGGAAGGTCTGGATGCGGGAGGTGCAGCCAGTGAGGGTGGAGAGTACAAAATGGTTATTCTGATTAACACATCGCTGCGAATGACGGCGGGGAAGATTGCTGCTCAAGCTGCTCATGGTATTGTGTGCGGGCTGCGCGTTGTGATGATTACCGCTGTTTGTACAAGAGATATCTTGCAGCCGCCATTGGCATTTATCGGGCAATAGAAAGCGAAGATGAAGGTCGCTCGTTCCGGAGCGGAATTCGCAGCTGGGAACGCGAGGGGTACGATAGATAATGCATTGTGATATTTATTATCGGAAAGCTGCCGTTTTGCCGACTCAGCGTTAATTTGCATCTGGATGAGTTTGATCGGGATTTTTGGGAACTGAGATTGCCCCCCCACCCTTTTTGGAACTTAATACTGAATTCGGTCTACCGTTTTTTGTCGTGAAACAAGCTTTAAATCATGTTATGGTCGTTAATAGCTGATAAAAAGCGCAACGAACACCTGCAAATTGTTAGAAGAACAGGACTTGTTTTGCTAGCCTGAAATAATGCATATTTCCTGCTGTATGCTTTACACTGAGTTTACAGCTTCTTTTCCGGAAAGATTTGTGACTATTTACGGTCGGCCTTTGACAAGTTTCTTATAGACTGAGTCTATTATCTGAATATTCTTTGCGTCGTCATGAATTATTCAACAGTAACCGACTTTTCCATTGAGTTGGGCGCTGTTTTTGACGGCTTAGATTAGGGAGCAATTTGTTTTGCAGTTCCGAGAAAACTTTTTGGTATTACAGAGAAACGACCATTGTGTTAGCGGTCGATGATGCGCCCCATCTAGAAGCCCTTGAGCGTCGAGCCAAAGATCGTGGATTAGTGGCAATGTTGATAAGCGATGCTGGACGCACCCAGGTAAATTTGTTTGTTTGCTCCGTTGCTGTTTAATTTGCTCTTGGTTCTTCTCACGAATTCAAAGCGCTTTTGCTCAGTTAGCTTTAGTTACCATGCCTGTTGCTTAAAGAAAGACATTTATCTTGTGCCGGCCTCTAAGCAAACGGTTTTAATGTTGCAGGTTGCAATCGGTGCTAAAACTGCGTTGGGACTGTTCGGGGGAAAAATCCAAGATTGATAACATTACGGGATCACTGAGACCATTGTAAACATTGTTTGCTTTGGTAGCCTGATTGCAAGAGGCCATTCTTAACTTCTGACTGATGTACTTGTAACGAGTAATCTCAGATTTCTGTTTTTGTTCGTATGATTTTTTGTGCGTATTCCATGGCTGACTTTTTTGTCCATGTATTTGTTATTTTTGTCTTGACAGTGGACCCACCGGTAGATGCTGATGTGATTGGTGATTTATGGGATTAATTTTAAAAAAATTAATAAAAACGTCAGCGCGTACCTGCATTCAACAAATCTGACACAAGAAAAAGATTCTTAAAACACTGAACAAGCAATACCGCGACGGACTTTAAAACTCAAAAACCACACCATTAAAATCGCAAAAGAATAAGGAAATTCACAAAAGGAATGAAGCGTTAAGCACACAAAAAGGAAAGAGACATTGGAGACAGAGCGAATTTATGCAATACGAATACTTTTTCCTGAAACAGTTACGATGTCATCCAGTGCGCGAAGTGCATCGTCGAACTGTTCGTTCGTGAAGGCCTGCAAGAAATCAGCGAATGACCAATTTGCCAAGACGAACGAAATGGGGAAAAAAGTACACTACAAGTCAAAGTCCCGACTTACCGCTTTGGAGAAACCTCGGAAGTCTTCCAGCACCCTCTTGTGTGGATACGTGCCTGAACCCAGTTTCGTTTGCAGAAATTCACGCAGTGCCGAAGCCAGCTGTGCTTGACGCTGCCGGGCCGCCGCACTTATACCGGTCGCCAAAATGGATATGTCGATCTTACCGGTAATGGGATCAGTCGCTGCTTGCTGCAATGCGGTCTCATGCAGCCTACAAATGTTACTCGTATTTTTTAAAAAGAATAAGATGTAAAACCACCACGAATTTAACAGACCTTATTGCTTCATCCACGTCTTCTTTCGTCACCACATCAGACAAACGCACTTTAGCTCTTGCCTCAGCCAAACGAATCAGCGATTCCAACTGGCGGGGATAAGCTGAAATATGGCCACGACCTTTGCCAATTCGTCGCATATCACGATATGCATCGATCAGAACGGTGGCCGCAACGTCGTCCAGTTTCGGTTGGATCCTTTCTCGCGCATAAGCAATATAATCTTTAAGCAACCCAGTATCCTGTGGTTGTAATGCTCTCATTATTCCCACGCTCTGAGAAACTAACTGTATGGCTTACAACTCACCAGTTCTTCAATTTGCGCTTCTTCTTCCGTTTCCCAGTAGATTTTGACCAAATGTCGAGCAAGGTCACTGTCGTACTTTTCATCCTGGGGATCCAGCACCAAGAAAATTAAATCAAAGCGAGACAAGAGTGTGTGCGGCAGCTGGATGTTCTCGATGATGGTTTTTTCTTTGTTCCACTGTGATTCAACCGGATTGGCCGCAGCCAAAATTGATGTGCGGGCGTTCAGCTGACAGATGATCCCTGCCTTCGCGACGGAAAGGGTCTGCTGTTCCTGTTGGAATGTAAGTTTGTTAACCAACAGAGACCAAATTTATGTGCATGATCAAACGTACCATCACTTCGTGTAAAACCGAACGTGTGCTTTCATTCATTTTATCGAATTCATCGATGCAGCAAACTCCATTGTCACTCAATACCAATGCACCCCTAAATTTAAAACAAAAAAGAAATTCATTATAATTAAATAAAGGTCATGGAAAGCCGTATACCGTACATACGATTGCAAAACGAACTGGCGGGTGTCCGGATCTCGAGTCACATAAGCAGTCAGGCCCACTGCACTGGATCCTTTTCCGGAAGTATACTGGCCGCGCGGTGCTATTTTGTGTGCATACTGTAGCATTTGGCTTTTGCTGGTGCCGGGATCGCCGCATAGTAGAATATTGATTTCGCAACTACAAAAAAAGCGCATACTTCGCAATCTGACCCAAGATCGGTCGATACCAAAAGCTTACCGTGGTCGTCCGCGTCCAATATTTGAAAAATCTTTCTGCCGGCCTCCAAGTAACTGCAGCAGTACGCCTTTCTTAATATCGTCGCAACCAAAAATACTGGGAGCCAAGGCACGAGAAAGTCGCTCATAAATGTCCGGCATCTCGGCGAGCGACATTATTTGTTTGACCCGTTCGTCCGTTAATCTGGGCCCTTCTCTGAAAGATTACGATTTGATAATGTCGGTATGGTTACTTTTACACAGATCCTATTAAGTGGACCATACCGTTCTTCGCGTTCCGTTGGTCGGCGTTTATCCTTACGCTGGAAATGCACTACATCAATGTTGGTTTTATAAACCGCCCGCACGACCTGCTGACGAGGGTTAGGCCGGATCGGCACAGCCCGATAAACGCCAGTCACGACAACTCGGTCACCAGCATACACAGTGTCCACCAGATTATCATGAGCGTATACCAAAATTGTATGTGGCGTCTGCCCTGGTGGCATATCCTCTGCAATAAATAACAATAGCTTATAGGTGAACAATTAATCCTATACACTTAGCAAGCTTGGGCGAACCTTGAGATTCTTGAATCTTAATTATCTGCACATCTGAATATCGGGATAGATTATGCTGCACAGAATATGAGTGGGTGGAATGGCAATTTGGACAAACAGTCGGCTCGTTGATTTTCCCTCTGATAATTTCTCCCCGCTGACGGTGATCGCAGATGCTACACATGAAGACAACATCTCGCAGTTCGGGAATAATATTGCTCGTGCGGATAACCATTCCGCTAATGGATATCAAGCGATCAATATCTACGAAATGGAAAAAAAACTATTCTCTAGACATCAAGTGCATTCCGTGAACGCTGAAAGATGTCACCTTCTGGATTCAGGAGACGCATAACGGATGCCTTGTGTAGGTTAAATGGTCGCACTTGTATCGGACTGGACAGTTTATCATCCGGGTATTTTTCAAAAAATAACTCCGTCGCCGCCAAATCAAACATAGGAATAACTTCTTGTGGGTAAGAAATCAGCTGGCTGTACAACTTCGGACTGAAATCGCGTAAATGAGCACAGTTCAAGTTCATTTGAGGAGTATCCATAACAGAAATCTGCAATAAACAGCATTATTTACTGAAAACAATGGCAAGAATAATACTGCACTTCGCATATAGAAACTGCAAAGACAGCAAATTATACCTTCTGCAGCCGGTCAATGTAATAAGCATCCTGTAAGTGCAAGTTGGCTTTTTCTGCTGCAGCCTCTTTCTGTTCAGGTGTCAATTCGGCATCCTCATCGCTATCATCAACAGCATGGAAGTTTTCCAGAAATCGGCGAAATTCTTGCTTGCATTCGCCGATGTTGACACTTGTTCCCCAGATGTACAATTCCGGTTCTTCGCCCAATGCAGGAATCGTACGGTTTGGATGATGAGGAAGCTCCATTGGATTTCCCAGTTCGGCACGCATAGCACGTCGGCTCGGGGTGCTGCCACAACAAACAGGTTGAAAAATACTTCTTTTAATAATTACTGTGACTTACGCTGCGCCACTGCCACTTCGAAGAGTTTCATTGGGACCCGCTCCGTATCGCATGGGTGAAAGGAAATCCTCTGTGTAAACCACCACAATAGTAACGTTAGTTCAAAGATCACAAATAATAGACACTAAACAGCCAATAACAAGCACTGGTTAGACCGATTATGAAAGTACCCTAAAATTATCTATCTACATACATCTACATGTACCGGAAGACATGCACTGCAATATAATTGACAGCCACAAATGAATTCTTGCAAAATGAAACCGGGTAGAAAATCACAATGTTGCAGATGACAAATAAATGCGAATACTGAACAGGACTAAAAAGTCATAATTTTTCGTTTCAGCTAAAAATGTTATGTAAATCAGCGGTGGCTTATACTTTTGAACATCCTTGATCAAACTAACAAACTGTTTTCTGCAAACAAGAGAAAGAGGGCCCTATTCAATCAGCATTACTCTGATTAAGGGCTTTTCAAGGCATTTTTTACGAATTAATCCATCAGTCCAAAACAACTCCCACATACCTCTGCGACTGCGAGGGTACCTGTCCCGGTGAGGCGTGGGCAGGTGCGACCGATTGGGAGAACCAGAGTGCGATGAATTCCTGGTTTTGTTAAACACATCACGATGCATTCCTTTCGCTGCATTGAGAGTGATGTTCTGTGATGGGCGAAGAGCGGATGAGCCGCTGTCCTGCGTAGCGAGAATCAGTGACTGATTGGGTGTCTGCAGCATCGAGGGATCAGCAGGATCCCCAGCTCCCGTGAAGGAGATATCTGCAGCGCTGCCATTGCCGGCAGACGGAGGACTCTGTGGATCCTGATCCATCCCGTTCCCGTTGATAGCGGGCACACTGCCGTCGTGATCCACTGCAGTGATAATGTTCAGAATTTCGGATTTCAAGCCGATCTACTCATTTACTAACAAAGCACACTGAGCACAGGGATGCGATGCAAAATGTTTCCACCAGATAGTGAAACGCCCAATGAACCTAAAAAACTTATTACTTACTTGAATAATTACAATCCAAAAGGCAGAATCTGAAGGGGATGATTCCAAAGTTAAATAACGGGTTTCTTAGTTTCTAACTCGATCAAAAATTCAGAATGCTCCAGTGTTTTCTGAACTCTTCATCGTATGTATGTATTCATTTCAGTCGGTTTTTAGCGGGTAAACGACAACATGATGCTCGCATTGACAATGGCAGATTTGCGTGTAGCACAGTGGCGCCCTCGTCCTGTTGGAACGATAATCCCGCCGGTATGGCCGTATCATACGGCCCGTATGGGTATTTTTATTCTTTTTTGTAACTTTATTCAGCAAAAGCCAAAAATAAAAGAAAATAACACGAGCCGGCGCGCTCCACAGTTGACAATTATTAAGAAATAAAATGAAATTTTAAATAAAGAACCACAATCGTTTGAATAGTACTAGTCTACCTAGTGCGCTTTGCTCCAAAGCAAAGTGCAACCGGAAGTCGAAATGAAGGTGCCAAACGCTTCGATCGCCCGCGGACAAAACGAGGTAAGTACAATTTGTAGCCCATTTCTTCCAAGCCGAGCAAGTAGACGCACTTCCGGCATTTATTGTCATTATTTTATCAAAATATCAGTACGAGTAGTTAAGTATCTTTAGTCAGTTAAATACTAGCGGTGGTTTTTCGCTACATCATTGCACGAACGCGAGCTATAACCGGCTGGGATCTATTACTTACGCGTGCATCGATCATGGGGACAGCGCCATTGGGAGCAAATTTAGATCAAATTTTCTCTGTAATTAGGCCGCCCCTCTCGATTGATGCTTAATAAGAGGGATTGCCTTCTAAGTTACTGTAAATGCTTTGGTGAGGAAAAATAATAAACAAAATACTTACGCGTTTCCAGTACCACTGCCGTACCAGTACCTGGGAATGAATACCGCCTAGCGTCCCGCATAAGTTGACACAACTGCTTTTTTGATTTCGCACAGAAGCAGGAATCGATCTGGACGTTTTTTTAGTACTCCAATACGCTTGATAAAATAATAAGAAATACGCTACAGGAATCCTGCAATTTCAAGTCTCACAAAAGTTCTCCCGATCCTTTTACTATCACAATATACCTTAACTAACCAATTCTGCCTCAACACTACTGTTCATCAATACCAAATTGTACCAAATTTAACTAACAATCCATTGTTTCACCAGCTTCTCCTAAACAACAGAAAGCAAAACATTTATTTCAGCTGGGCTTTAATCGATTTAAAAAAGTTATGAGCATATTCAAAAGAACGACAGGTTAAATTAAAGGCCGGATGGATCTCTTGCAGACGATTTGCTTCCGACCCAAAAATGCATTCTGTATCGCCGATAAGACTATGTTGCGCGACAGCTGCTCCGGCCAGTGCATAGCACGCATGGTAATAATCGCTTGCTTTGCCAGGTTTATCACAGAAACCACCGTCTATGTTTTGACAGCAAATGATCACGTAACCTTGCAGCGCAGTTCGATCGAATAACATATTCCCAATGTCAACAGGATCATTTTTCCTCAGACTTTCATGCACCTGCCGAAGGAGAGGAAAAACTGCACCTTGCCAAAAGCTATAGCAACTGTCGACCAGTTTATTAGTCCGACCCTGCAATCGAAATGCAATTTTTGCGAAATATGCTGTAACAACAAATGAAGTAAAAATGGTCGATAAACGTAGAACTTCCGAAAATCTTTTCCGTATAGCTATCATTAAGCGAAGCAGTTTTATACGTAATCACCTGGAAGCCGCCTTCATAGCGCATCTGCCGGAAAACTAGCCATCTGGTCAGACGGTTCAGATCGCAGAGAAAAGGTTTCTCCAACAGATACAAAGATGCAAAAGCGCAATAAGTATAACCTCCATGTGCTTCGCTGCCGGGAAACGCTCCAAATCCTCCTTCGTACGTCTGACAATCCATCAGCCATTCAGCCGTGAATTCGAAAAGCGGATCCAGTGGGATATCGAGCAGAACAGCCACGGCAATTGCACAATATGCCGAACGCGTGTCTTCTTCGCCATCTTCGCTAATAGTGAACGCGCCCGACGGCTGTCGCATACGTTCCAGATATCTTTTGATTCCCGCAACATCAATAACGGACAACGCTTCATCAGTGCCAATTGATGACAGTCTGAAATTAAAACATTACCGGAAAATATCATACCTAGATGTTACCAGGTTTCGTTTAACGCTGAACACAAGATATTCAAAAGGAAATTTTAACAAAAACACTGATTGTGAACGAATACTCACGCCATGCAAGCCGCGTACGTGGCTGCCAAATGGGGACTCTGACCAACGCCTCCTGCACAAACAATATATTCTTTTTTACGGAAAGAAAAATCTAGATCAAAACGAATCAATTACCCCCAAATCCGCCAGAATCCACTTGACAGCTGCGAAGAATGCTAATGGCACTAGGTAAAAAACGGCGTGGATGCAATTCCCAAATTATTTTATCAGCTTCACCTAACCCGGCTAACCGCTACCGGCTACTCACGCGTCAGCCACTTTCTTCGGAATCGGTGCTCCGATAATATTCAGACCGTGAAGGATCCAGAAGCACAACCACGGATGGCTAGCATCCAAAGACTAAAAACATTTTTTTCGCAAAATTTTAAAAAAAATAAGCACGAAAAAATTTTCGAACAGCGTAACAGCAAGATATCTCCAAATCAAAGCGATTTCAGTAGCACATTAATTGCCAATTACGACTACAAACTAAAGAACAATTTTGAAAGTAAAATTAATTACACACACAGTGACACAGATACTTACCGATATCTAATCATTTCTAATGCTACCAAGCGCCGCTTTCGCATGGCATTGAAAAGTTTCAACCAAAAAATCCATGATAACGAAACGTCAACCACGATACAGTAGTTTCACCGCTGATCAACAAATTAGTAAGTAAAAAAACCCAGTTCGACCAATGGAATAACTTACGCTGTACGAAGAAGGAATAGCTTCAAAACCATGCAGAAAAAATCTGGCTGTTCGACTTCTTATGATCTTTCTAAAATAAAAATTTGTAAATCCAAAACAACTGCATTCACGTGCGCGATCGCGCAGTAACACATATCGACAATTCGGCAAAAATATCACAGCAGCAAAAATACAGCAGCAGTTATCTATCTATCTATTTTTGCTTCTTTGGATCTTACGGAGATGTCATCTGTCTTCGGGTTTCAAAATCATCATAGCGCTCATGGCACAGCATTTCGGTGGCATACTACAAGACATAACCACAATTGTTAAAATGCTACGGATACGGAAAAGTGATCGGAACCGACAGACGATTCTCTCAAGAATGTTAAAACTTGGATCAACCTGTGTTTTAGTCGAAACCGTGAAAGGCATCTGGCCGCCTGTCCAAAAAGGTAAACATTCGGAGAGCTCGGATACGTGCTCTACTTCGTCCTCCTCGTCTTTCGCTTCCGCCTTATCCATGTAGCATGGCTCCATTTCCAAATCGTCCAAGATCTGCCTCTGCTCAACTAGCTGCAAAAGTCAGATAAATATAGGACAAGTCAAAATGCCACACTGCAACAGCTCAGCTAAAAAGTGTGAGCTGACCATGAGTAACAATTAAACATACCGTAATTCTTAGTGAAACACGGAGAACATATATACTAGTATTTGCAATGAGTGAAAGTTTAACGAGAAGGTGTCCATTAGAACATCATGAAATTTTTTTGTGCTCCATGTATGGCGGTCCGTTTGGTTCAGCAGCCGTTTTTCAAGTTTTCGAGTTTTCTCGTTTGCCAGTTTGTCGGTTTGCACATTTTCACGATTCGCACGTGTGCACGATTTCATGTTTTGACGTTTGCACATGTGCACGATTTCCTGATTTTCATATTTTCGGTCTTTGAGATTGTTTGTTTTTTCGTTTTCAGGTTTTCGTGTATTCCATTTTTAAATTTTCGATTAATGACTTTTTTAAATTTCATTTTAATTGATTTAGTTATTTTTATTCAGATCCATTATTCCAGAAAATTCAGTCCGGCCACCGTGGCTTCATCTAGGAATTCCTAGTTGGTATTCCCACTTCCGAGGACTTTATCCTGGAATTTCGGGTTGGCATTCCGAGGACTTTTTTCTGAACGTCCAAGATAAGGCAGATTCCTTCGCCGTTGATCTGTTCGAAACAATGGTGGAACTTGCTGGATGCCAGTAAGATTTTTTTTGCGCATAACATTAGATGGAGGTTCAAGCCCCTTTTTGTTGATATCCAGCCCGTGACGAAGTTCAACCCCGTTGCCTACAAGATCGACATGCGTTTATTGTCCAACGCTGTGCATATGTTCCTGGATCGTCTCTGTGTTATGCCAGTACATGGCCACAGTGGAGCAGAAACAGTTGCCACCAGATAACGATATTCTCGTGGAACTGAAGCGTAGTAGAGATTGTAGAGATGCCACATTACGCTACACTCAGGTACAGAGCCTGGATTTGGAAGAGCAGCAGAAAAAGGACAATGTGGTAAGTCGTTGGTAAATCCGTTATCGCAGTTGAAAATCCGTGGAAGGAAGCCGTTGCGTTGTACCGCTTCTAGAAGACCAGTCAGAGCATGCGCTCAATGGCTCAGAGGCGGTGTAAAATCCGAAGCTGCTAAAAAAAAATTCGTTATCAAATGGAAATATATTTTTTATTTCCTGCGGTTTTTCAAGTAGTGTTGGGAATCTTTAATCTTGCTGGAAGCATGAATTGGGAGTCGTGAGGCTGCCAGTGTTTTTCTCGACGTTAAAAAACGTATGGGTTTAATGCGGACACTTCTTTACTTAACCGACTGTAGCAAAAGTACGAGCAGAAACTTAAGGAACTTGACGCGCCAATTTTGGATGCCTAACAGAATTTGGGATCTATTAAAGTGCGCGAAGCGTACCTTGCACAGTTTAATTATCTTTCCCGCCCTGGAGACAAGGTGGAAGAATGTTTAAAGAGTCCTCGTTCTTGCGAATGCCCAACTTGTTTCACACTAGGATGCATCTGAAAGTGCGTTTCGACAGTGCTTTAAAAAGACCGTAGGACAGACAACAAACTCAAACGTACCTCCGTTGCTTTTAAATTAAGCACGGAGGTACGCAATGCTTGGCTTCTATACGTATACTTATTTTCAGAAATTTCTGCGCGTAACTGTGATTTTGCTAGTTTTGTTATGATTTTGCGATTTCTTATGAGCGGTTCTTTTTTTTTATGCACAGCTTGGTAGAGGAGGGCGGTGATTGGGATCGGCGAAACCGGTTGAAGGTGTACGAGCCATGAAGATGCGTGAGTTTCTGAAAGCCACCACCAATTTTCTGGGCTCAGTTAGCACATTTACCTGTTCGGAGACTATTATACGGTTTTGCAACTTTCATTGCGGCTGGATCGAATACATACGATGTAGGACCAAATGGTTGCATAGCCCCGTACCCAGCATTCTGTACGCAAGCGGTGCAGTGCACTTGTACGAAACGGATATTTTGAACTCAGTCGTACAGTGCACTTCGCTGCATTCGTACTGAATGTGGAGATGTTGGGTATGCGACCATTTCGTCCCAAGTTGTAACTATGGCGGCTGGTTCTTATTATGTTGCTAATCAAATACCATTGTAATAGGTGTGTCCGGAGCGCGGAGATTGTGGAAGGTTTGCTTAGAATGCCGAATTTGCGACAGTTTTTCAACTCGTTGTACGGATCGCATTATGCTGAATTGTTTCTACAGCTGGGTAGGTTTTTCTTTCCGAAAAGGTAATTTGAAGTTCTAAGCAATTGTTGTGATTTTATTCAAATTACAACAAACGTTCAGCAGATTTTGGAAGTGGACCGGTAGTGGGCTGACCATTACCGCTACTACACTCGGAAAATGCGTATCCTCGTCTACAACTAATCAGCTGGTGGATCAATTCTTAACGCTCGATTGCATCGTCCAGGCTTTTGGTGTTACGGCTGGTTTTATTGACAACGGATTATCGCGCTTATTGCCGCTGGTCGCCTGCACTGTAAGATTGACAAGGTCAGTAATTAATTAACTTGATAATACTTATAAAAACTGCTTATCTTATGTTCCTGTATTCCTCTCGTTTGTAAAATCAGAGATCACCGGCGAATCGCAGATTATCGGTTTTTTTATTATGCATGCTTTAGTTCGGTTCAACCAGTACTCTTGGTTGTGATGAACCAAGCAAATGTTTGAAAGTTTGCAGATTAGTTGGAAGAGGATTGTTTGTTGCCTGCTTTGTAGGTACTAGAAACGTATTGGCAATCAGTAATGGCATGCAGGAGACGGGTATAAGTACAAGTTGTACTTACAGTACAGTATTCGTAATAACTGGTGGCACATGATTTTCTGGGTTTTTTACATGAAGAACAGCAGACTAAGAAGTATTCCGTACATAAAATGCTGTTATCAAATAAATTTTCTACTGACTATATTAATTTTTTTAAAGATGAACGGTGTATGGAAACATCCCGGCCAGCCAACAAGAAAAGGCAATATCAGTTGTTTATTAAACAAGTTGATCATTTGCTGAGGAACATCCAGCGCCTCTCAAGAGTTATTAACCTCTGATTTTCCTCTTCTGTTTTCCGCTGTGTCATTTAATTTTTATCACACTTTTGGCCAATTTTGCTTCGCTGCTGAAGAATGTTTGATGTTTGCCACTTCTGTTATTGTGAAATTCCATAACCTTCCTAAAGCCTAAATGTACCGTCAATAAAACTAATGGTGGAAAATCTGTAGTCTTGCTGGAAGCATGAATTGACAATCTTGAGGCACCTGTGTGTTTTGTTTGACGTTAAAAAACGGTACGCATAAGACAATAAAAATACGAAATGAAATCATTGAAAAAATGACTGCCATTAGTTCTAATACTGCTGGTTTTTACTGTCGCAGTTTAATAAGTTCAGTCAGCTACTTAGTAGTCGTACTACAATTCAGAAAGTGTTACGCACCAACGCTATTAGATGATAAAAAGACTCTTAAATTTATCCAAAAATACAAATCATTATGCCCGTTAACGGCTCCGTTGTCAAGTGTAGTGTAAAGGCAGTACGGTCGGCACCAATGTGTTCCTTTGTAAAACCGCTTCAGTCTCATTGTGCATTGGCGGCATGTCAGGCGGGGGAGTTGGTATCCGATCAAAGCAGGCCGACGGTGGGCAATCTTTAAGTTAGCGAGCCCTTTTAATAGGCTATAAAACTGCGCGGTAACTAAAAACATGGTAATTGGTTTTGTACCTCAGTGCACGGATCAGCTCGCTCCTTGCTACTCCAAAAAGCTTATAAAAGCGGGATACACTCTTTAATTCGGTTATTTCTCGCGCCAGTTTTTTGGCTAGCTTACTTCTTTCAGCTCTGAAGAAAATTTGCGTTGGTCAAATGCAGTTGTAGTTTTTTGTGACGTTAATTTTCATTTATTTTGTACTGATATAAAAAGTTTGTTCAAGATGGAAGATACCGGATTGTTTCCTCACAAGTGTGGAGTGGCTGATTGCCGATGTGTGCTACAATTATCGGAACAAAAAAGATTCACATGGAATCCGAGCGAATTCTGCGCAGACTGTTCTCATTATTTGTCATCCATGCATTTACAACAGCTGCAGGGGTATCAGTATCGAATGGAAGTAATGTACACGGAATAACAAGGAACTGTAACACAGGACAAATTGGAGCGACAGGAGCAACGGATGCCAGTTTGAGCGTCCGCAGCAGTTTATGCGTACCGGGTACGAGTGAACAGGTTGTTGGAATGCCGCAGTTTCGTTTTGCTGTGCAGCCTCCGCGTCCAAGCCAGCCCAGAGTCAACGCAGCGCTGTTTTCTTCGCCGGTCTGATTTCAACAGCAGATTCCCGGACGATGTGGAACTCTCCGTCCCTCTGGCACCGGTCTGATGGACGCTGGTTATTCTCGAAACCGTATCCACACATCCAGGAAGCCTAGTGTTGCTAGCTACCGCAGCCAGGCCAGTTTTAACTTACCGGTTGCGGTGCCGCTGCCAAAACCGAATGTTCTACAAAAACATGTATTCATGGTTCACCTTTTTCGCAAAACGGAGTTTAACGTTATTCCTGCACGTGGAATGGATGCGTAAGTGAAGCCAAACTGTAATCAAATTAAGCGCAATTATTGTGTAATTTTAAAATGTTTGTATCTGAACATACTGAGCCGGTTGACAAGTTTTTACGAAGCATACTGATTTACGAAGCGAAAATGAAAGGTGTACTCTCAATGCACTGCAGTAATAGGACGCTGGTGCAATCTTACTTACTTAGGACACTTCAAGGTTCTTACTCAATAATATGCTTTTGGTGATTTTAACAGATGTCATTTCAATGAGATCGATTTGATGAAGCACTTTAACCTGATTCGAGAAGTTACATGCAACAATGCAACCATGGAAGAAATTCGGGACGTGTGACGGAGGCGTTCAGTGATGTACTTCAGGGCCGAGACTGGGTTGTTATTACTCGAATGGAAGACGGAAAAGCAGAGGGAAATTATCTGTTTCCGGTTGATTTTAACGCTCCCAGTGCTTGGGAAAATTTTAAGTCGTAAGCTTGCCCGTTTTTACCGTAAAGCTTAAAAGCAAAATTTCCTTCTATATTTTCTTCGTTCTTTCTAGGTACACGGAGAAAAAACGAACGGAGTTAAATCCCTACTTATTTATCGTCCCAGCGACGAACGCTATCACTGTGCCGTATGATGTTGTTGCACAGTTTGCTGAAGTAAGTACTAAGTACTGTACTCGTACATTATATGTGGAATTTTACCGTTTTTTAATTTGACTGCAATACAGTTGTTCTGACCATTTGACTTGGGTTTTGTAGATGCGGGGTGTAGAAGTTGAAGATTTAAAAGTAAAAAACGTCGAAGGTAACAAAATAATAAAAAATTTGTAGTTATGCATTAAGAGGTTATATCAAATTCTGTTATTCTTATGCAATGCAGAGAAAGTGCGCCGCGGGAGTGCAGCCGTATCTCCGCAGATGTTGCCGGAATGTGAACCATCGACCTCACGAGGGTCACGACGCCGCTCATACGACCAAATGAATGTCGATGTTGATTTGGACAGTTCAGACTCATCTCCCGTCCGAGAGCTCCAGCCAAATCACGGCCCAGGGATCCGAGGAATTCGTATGGCTATGGGTCTTCCAGTGAATTCGACACTACACAGTTTCCGGATTCTCCCCGTCAGATTGTAGTGAATCGCACTGAACAGCCACAGCAAGATGTCGTTATTGTAGAGGACGATGCTGAAAACGTTATTGGATCGCCGTCTACCGGTGACTCCGGGTCTGTCATACGAGCGACAACTGTGGATGGCGATGAAGGAATTAACTCAGCCCAAAGTGTTAGTGATGGTGGCGTCGATGCCGTCAACCTGGGTAATCACACCGTAATCAGAACACCGATAAAAGTGATGATGCGAGTTGACCCTCTCCCTCCGAGTCCGGAACACCCAGATTTAGAGGCTGTTCGGGAAATGGTGTGTCAAGCTGTTACTGGCTCCCACTCATCGGCCCTATCGGAAGCTGTTTTTCAATGGAATGCTTGTGATCTAGAGACTCTTGTCCGCGTTTTCATTGAATGTTATACCGCGCACAGGGTTAATCTGGAGCTTGGTGGCCGGATTAAAGTCAGGAGAAATGAGTAAGTTGTCAACATTTTCCGTTAAATAAGATTGTGAGGTTGTTTAGTTCATCTTTTTGCAATGCTACATGGCGAGTGACCTTTGACGCTACTTTTTACGGAGGCAATCGAAACACTGGTTATGTTGGCTACAGTGCTTGTGATTTGGGCGGACCCTACAAAGAACTGTTTACCGTCCTGTGGGAAGCATTCCGCCATTTTAAACTGGATGAGCTAGGATCAACCGTTTTTGAGGAAGCTGGTTGCAAAGTATTATTAACGAGTTCAGTTGTTATGTCCGACGAAGGAAAAAACTTGTTGCGATGTATGGGATTTGCTTTGCGTGAGGCGATTCTTCGTTACGCACCATCTCCAGTGTGGCTGAATAATTCGGTTTTTCGTGCACTGTTGGGTTTACCAGTGGAATTGAATGATATCCACGATTTCAAAAAGAGCGTCGGAGAGATGATAAGCCATATCCTTATGGGCAGTGGAGATATTGTGATTACTCAAGTACCTTTTTTCGTGGAATGGTCAGAATTAAACCCATCGTTTAACGTAGGTTCAAAGAAAACAGGCGGTCTGTGTATCTGTGTAACAAAATAAATTCTAGAAGTTGAAAAAAAGCTTTTAAATTTTATTCAGTTTTTTTATTTTATTCTAGATTTCCGGTATGGCGAAGCTGGAAAGAGAAACATTTTGTCGTCACCTGGCGCAGTATGAGTTGGTTGAAAAAAGAGCAGCAAATGTCAAGTACGTTCTGGAAGGAATGCTGTCCGGTAGCATGGAACGGGTACGTACAACCGGTTTTCATTGTAAGAAACTCTGAGTGCTTGGATTACTTAAGCTTACAATTAAAGTACCGAAAATTCCTGCAAATGCAATGCATATGTATAACATCATGATACCTATCTTTACTGGTGTACATACAAACGTTTTCATGTGTAAGGAAATACGCCGGCTGATCTCTTATTGGAAGGATCTCGAAGAATCATTTTTTTGGGCGGTTACATCTGCCCATGATCTGCTGAGCAAGATTGAGCCACCAAACTTTGGATCTGGCATTTGGAAATTCAGTAAGGAAATCGTCTTCGAATGGTTCGAAAGTCTCGTCTCCAACGATTTGTCCTGTGTTGAACGTCAGCACTTATTGCGTTTCATTACGGCTTCTATTTGTGCCCCGAGAACACCAATCCGTATAGAATTCAGCCCCGAATTGGATGCAGACTGGTTGCCAACAGCTTGCACATGTTTTAATCGTCTTACATTGCCAACCGGCTGTTCATCTCAAGAAAAATTGCTTGCTGGTATTCGCCAATGTATTGCAAGTGTTGCGGTTGTTTCTGTGGAGCAAGGTTCTTTTCAGTTTAACTAAGTGACGTAAGTAAATTCTGTTTTTTTCCCGTTGGCATTTACAATAAATTTCATTAATTACATACTATCTTAATTTGATCTTAGGTGACGGGTGGTGTATGGATGGAGAATCGTGAATCAACGGAGCCGACTGTACATGAAGAATCTGCATTTTCTACTTGAAATTATCGGTTCTGCTTTCGTTTAATCCTTTTGTTAGAATTCAGGATAAACCGCATTTGATAGAAAAATATGGATTTGCGAAAGCGGTTTACGGCGATTTGTTAATGATATCAAAATTACAGTTGATGTGAAATCTGCAGTAAAAAATAAAAGCAGTTTAAGGAAGCATCATGAATTTTTGAAAATTCGGTATTCCATAATTAATGTTTCAAAGAATGGACGATTTTTGGGCTATTTTTGTGTGCGCGTAGAAAAGTGTGGTCTGTTCTGCATCTTAAATGTTATTACAGGCGAGTTAACCGCATTAAAAGCCAATAAAGGTCATAAGGAGTATGTATTTATGGTAACTGTGCAATTTCTGTAGAAAAACAGGAGTCCGGTAGCAAATTTCGCCGTTAGTAGCTAAAAGTTGCAAGTGAAATTGCAAAATAACTAGCTATCCTTGTTGTAAATAAGCTGGTAGGTGTTAAACCTTTTTACTACGCAGAGTTTTGAGCGAATAATATTTTTGTTAACGCCAACACACAAAACTGAATAAAACAACGGAATACCGTAAAACGAAATCAACGAATATCGTAAAAGCCCATCAGCTTTATTAAGACGATCATGCTACAAACTGCAAATAAACACACTAGGAATTCTGAAAACAAGCTTAAAAATCAGACACAACACAGAATGCCCATAAAAAATCCCAATTATTAAGAAAATTCAACGAAAAATCAGTGAATGAAGACAGTCAAAACTGTGAACGAAAACTGGAGCATTTTGAAAAAAATCATAATGTTTGGTTCCTCAAAAGCGCACGCGCCAAACAGATTACCTGCCGCTGTCCAACACTGTAAGCAACAAATAACCTTCCATACTTAGCATCACAGTTTTCTTACGTTACAGTAGTTCAGGTAAAAGCTTTTAAATCTTAAATAGTTTTGCAGGGTCACGTATTTATTGTAAAGTGCCAAAACAATCCCCAAGCAGACCGCGGAATATGCATGCAAAACACTCAAACATAAAAACAACTAATCTCCGAAGAAAAATTGTGTGCATTGCGTATCTATACTTTTCACCACCATCGACCGCAAGGTGACGTAAGCCTTTTGGAAGGCTACTGATAGACTCCTTCAAGTGCGAATGTTCCAGAGCATCCCAAATCTTTGCATCCGTGTACTTTGTGAAAGGATCCAAAGTCATTCTTTTAGTTCCACTAAAAAGCACCGGTTCCTACAGATTTAGAGAAACGATCTCATAAACAGAACAAAGAGGTTGCAGAATTAACAATTCACAGACAAACTAAACAAACGTATAACAACAAACCTGAGGTAAAATAGTGATTCGGGATCGCACATCATGCAGCTTAATGTCCGCAATGTTAAGATTGTCGATGTCGATCGATCCAGATGCCGCTTCGATAATGCGGAACAAGGCCAGCGTCATGGAACTCTTGCCGGCTTCGTCCGGTCCACAATACCGATCTAAATAAGCAGTCAAATCTCCCTTTGCTGTATTAAGTACCGAAATCCTGTTGATTGTCAATTGTCCTTTACAAATTTGAAGTCACGATTCAAAATATTTTCGTTTCTTGTATTACAAGCACTACATAAAATCACTCTATTATTAATTTAGTCGTGTAAATTAAACGAAATCAATATGTAATTAAGCGAACTCAGGTAAAAAGTAAAATGCAATACGAGTAAGACAGGTGTGTATCCATCACAAATGACCTTTTCGCCACTAACGATCCGCGCCGTAACACCCTTCAACACCAAATCCAGACACGGCCGGTAGCGTGTCTGATAATCTTTGAAGTCCACACGTCCCTCTGGCGGCCAGTCGCCCGGTGGGCGTGAAGAAGGCACAACCCAAGCCGCCTGTGAAATATTCAAAACGTTTTGACAGTTTTCAGAGCGCTACGCTTGGATAACTTGTTTACACCCGTTGGTAGTACACACTTCTTGGGGTGCTTCCGAATATCTTTGATGCGTTCCACCGCCACAATGTTGCTCTCCATTGCTCCAACTATGATATCCACAGCACACCCGCCAGCAGCCCGGTAACGGATAACGAATAACCAATGGACAAACCTGCCTGACTCGGTTCCATCTCCCACGATAAATCTCGACCGGCCACCGCATACAGCGCGGCGGAAACCGTGATCAGGAAACCGATCAGTTCCAAGCGAACAGCGATCCATCTACATCAGATCGGTCGATCAGGGAATCGGTAAATTATTCATTTCACTTTTTTAAACGCCAAGTTAGACCCAAATTATAAAACAAATTCAAAACTGTTAGAATGATTTAAATTTAGCACTGACATGTTGCTCAAGATATGTGAGATGACCATGACTAACCTCTGCGAAACCAAACTCAGGTAGAAGCACATATCATTATAATCCATCAGACGTTCATTTGCTTCGATGAATCGTTCCGTCTGTTTCGTAGCGATATTAACACCGGGTCCAGAAAGGGACTCTTAAAAGTTGGAGAAGATAGGGGATCGCGATACGGACTGCAAACGTTTCAGCTGTGTGCTTGTTACAGTGTAGAAGCGCTGTAAAAGTAAAGCACGTCATTATCAAAACCTTCCATATTATTAACAGCAAGCCAAAAAGAGCCGTCAGTAAAACTAAGAACATAAAAATTATAGTAAAACAATACGTAACAAGGCGCGACGTAAAATACTCAGATTACGATCGCAACGACAAAAATTTTACCACAAGTACAACTCCAAGCGTCAAAGCGTGTCAAAGTGTACTAAAAGGTTAATACGTAATTACTTGCTTTAGCAGCAGTACTAGCTGAGGTTTTTATCACTACCAGGTAGTAATGTGACATCGCAGTACATACGTAAATTGTTCATTTACAAAATCAATGAATTACTGATACCCATTTTTTAATTTACTGTCTACTGATAACTATTTTTTTTTTGAATTACTGATACCTATTACTGATACCTATTTACATTGCCATTTTCAAGCATACCTGCAAGAAAAAGTACAGGATGACCAGAGGGATGAGAATGATGATGAACACCCATGCGGTCACGCATATCTGCAATCAAGCCATTTTATATTCTGTGTTTTCTCGATTACTATTAATGAACATTGTAGTTACTTACTACAACGATAACGCTAAGTGTACCGAAAATGAAGTACAGCCATAAATCGGAATTGGAGGGACTCAGTACATCCACTGTATCTACGTCCTTGCTGAAGCGGTTGACCAGACGACCCGGCGGGGTGGTATCGAAGAAGGACATGGGTGCGCGCATAATCCGTCGCAGGAGGCCTTCGTGCAGATAGCGACCGGCTCAGACACGACCGTAAGCCATCGTGAGCGTGTGGCATATAATCAGGACCACTACGAAATCACCAGAAAAAGCTCGCATTAAAAACAAAAGAATAAATCACCAGGAAATGGCCTAAAACGTGCACAAGTAAAGTCTCAAGTACGAAAGGAGAAAAATATCAGCGCTAGCGAACAATCTTGTAAATCAACAGTAAGCGTAACAGATAATAATTACTACTCGCAGCAATGCTAATCAATAAGCTCCAAATATGGCTAATACATAAACCGAACAAAAAAGGAACCATACTAAAAACCTGTGAGTACTTAACGTGAGGAAGTGTTCCTTACTTTTGTAAGACCGTTTGCTCCGTGTTAAGGGAGTTAATCGGCCACATTTTATGATTTAGTATTACAGATTTAGTACCACCTTAAATCGGTTTAGTGCGACTGATTTTCTTGAAAATCTGACTGAAATTAAACTAAAAGGCTCAACGAGAAATACACATACACTGTCCACATCCAAGCGCTCCATAAACACCCAGCCGATAGTCCGTTTCTTTTCGGTCCGAATTTTGCAGTCTGGACCAATCACTCAACCAGAAACTCGCCGCCGCCCCAATCGCCGAATACCCGCCATAAAATATGAGAATCATGATTGCCGTCCGATTTGACAAATGTTGTTTTATGAACGTCAAATGCACGGTCCATTTTACACCTCCAATTTCCGCCTTCTCTGCTTCCACCAGTTTTCCCGGAACCGGTTCGGGCTGCGATTTTTTCTCAGTTTCCCGATCCTTTTTGGATACCTTCGATGCCTGTCGCAGGACACTCCGCACGCGTTTCAGTGAAGACGCCGTAGATGATCGCCGGGCCTCGACATCACTATCGCTCCGGGACCGTTTCTTTCCCAGTTCTTCCAGCAGCTGCTCTTGCCTCGACACTGTTTCCGGATCGCGTTGTGCGGTTTATTCTTCGTCATCCTTCTCGGCCAGATACGTTCTCAAAAATTCCGCAAAATCTTCGCTGTTGCGGAGCTGTTGTTTGTAAGTGCCAGATTCAGAACGGTGTGGTTGGCTAAAATGAAGATGGGGTCCGTCTGGAGCTGGTATCAAATACCATGGGTAACCAATATCCGTGTCTAGTTCATAGGCATGTCTTTGGGTCAAATAACGCTTTCAGTTATGTGCTTCCCTTTGCAAAGCAACGATCTAAGTTTCGGTGAGACGTAGTATTTCCCTATTTTACACGGATTTCCAAAATAACCAGATCCAGACTACAAAAATTTAACTGCTTAGTTACACTCGTAGCTGGCAAGTGAAACCATAACAGTGAAACCCTGTTATACTTGTATATGCGCCCTCATTAGTCCTATGGTAAAACGCAAATCTTGAATATTCCGCCTCTGGCTGGCTGTTTGTAAACGAATCTCTCTTGCCGCTTTTTCTTTCGTGTTCCAGTTGTTTTTAATTGCAAACAGTATGCCGTTATTAAAGAAATATTACATAAAATAAATCTGTGCCATTTGCGCCGTATCTTTGCGCCCAGACATGGAACAGTTTTTTAATTATGCTGATTCTATTATAAGGCGTTCTACGAGGCTGCTAGCTTCCGCAGACGGTGATCGGGATGGTGTGGATGGGACTGTTACTCAGATTGAATACATGATCGGGTAATTCGAAGTGCACGAGCCATTTAGACAGTCCAAATAGATCTATCAAATTTACAGTTATACGAGAGACGTTTTGAAAGTTTTCCTGAAGATCAGACTGTCCAAGCTCAGCGATTATTTGATGTTCTATGTGAACATTCCACTGGTTTGCGCACTTTGTTACGAGAAGACGAAAATGGAGGCGCCATGGATTCCCAGTTGGCTGTGCAAACGGGTTACAAAGGCAAGATTATGATACCAGAGGATGATCTAGCGGAGCTGAGATTCGACGGTTTTACTGTGAAAGATATTGCGGCATTCTATGAAATTTCGCCAAAAACGGTCCAACGCCGGTTGCAAGAAGCAGATCTAAACAGGAAGGTACAGTGAAAGACTTTGTATCTACCCTTTTATTGGTACATCTAAGAAACAGAATTCAATATTAAAAATGTATTAATAAGTTATTATCGAGAAAGCTTTCACTTAGTTCTGATGAAAATCCATATGACAAATGTTTTATTGGTACGATACATTTCGTACTATAAATCATTGAACAGTAATCGTAATGCAATCGTATTGTGTTTTCAGCTTTCCAGTTTACTTTTTAGAACTCCATGGTTGCTGACGATGACCTGGATATTGCTGTTACTGAAATTTTGGAGTCCTTTCCAAATGTGGGATACAGATTTGTACGGGCGCAGTTAAAGTCTAATGGATTAACTTTGCCACGTCACAGGGTGATCAGTTCCATGAGACGGTTGGATCCGTTTGCCGTTGCCATGCGCTTTTTCCGATTTGTTCCTTGCCGGCAGTATTCAAATCCCGGGCCGAACGCATTGTGGCACCTGGATGGCAATCATAAACTGGTTCGATGGGGTATTGTTGTGCACGGAATTATTGATGGATACTCTAGGTTTGTCGTTTCGCTACTGGCTGCGACAAATAACCGTGCGAGTACAGTTCTGCAAGCTTTCGTCAATGCCTGCGCGTCATCCGGAGTGCCATCTAGAGTTCGCACAGATTGCGGCGGTGAGTAGCACAATAAGTACATATATAGTGAGTTGCAGTTTTCTAAATATGAAAATTTCATAGGGGAAAATTTTGGCGTTGCCCGCTGGATGGAGCATTACATGGGTCCGAATCGTGGAAGTATTATTAGAGGGCCTTCCGTTCACATCCAGCGCACTGAACGGTTGTGGCGCGATCTGGGACGGGTTGTACTGAAATTGTTTCGATCCGTTTTTATACATATGGAAAACATGGGAATTCTGGATATTAACAGCCAGCGAGACGTGATGCTTCTGCATCTAATTTTTGTGGATCGAATCCAAATGAAGCTGAATAATTTCATCTCCTTTTTTAACAACCATAAACTGGAAACCGAACGTAATATGTCTCCTCGGCAAATTTTCACTCTTGGATGCCGGGAAAAGAAGCTAAAAGGATTTTCCTTACAGCAAGTTATGTTAGGTGATCCTTTGCCGCAATCCAATGTAGATATCCCTGAAAATTTTCCGGAATTCATAACGAATAATGCGGCGCATTCACGAGATTCTGTCCCCGTTTTTGATATTGTCAGCCTGTACCCTAATGAAGCTGCCTTCGTCTTAGCCAATCTGGACATTACTCAAGAGGACCGATTTTACGGAATTCCTTTGTTTCAAGCGGCCAAAGAAATGTTGCATCAAACCTTTCCATTGAATCTGTGAAAAATACGGAAGTTGTTAATAAGCACCTTCTATTCTTTATGTACTGATTTTATTGTCGTTAATGGATGTCGAAACATTAAGGTACATTTGCGCCATTGTGAGCAGTTTCTTCATAGTTTCGGTAAACAACACATTGAACGTAACGATACTTGGAGAGAGTGGAGACTTTGGAGAGATGAGCACAAAATTTGCATCATATCTTCTCGCAGATACTGCTCCTTTCGTTTTATGGCGTAGCCGTTTCTTTCACAAATTATCTGCCATGCGTCAGTTACCGGAACTCATATTACGCCATACTTTGAAATAAAAAATCGTAAGATGCTATACGCTTTTGTGACCTTTCCGCTGTTTTAAGATACTGTTTCACCTATGTTAATACGTGTCCCGTAGATTTAATACTATATTTACGTCCGGAATGGCTTCGAAGCTACATTATTTAACAAGTAAGAGGAAATACACTGTTATATTTTCGAAACATTCTGTCACTGGTCAAAGGTTCGAACCGGTATCCCAAATCCAGCCAAATTAATGTCAAAACCAGTGCAACGTTATATATTTCCGACATTTTCTCCACTTGTTGTCGAAATTTTTTATTCCGTTATTTTTATTATAACTTCACAATACGGAAAAATAGTTCCTTATTACTTAGTAAAAGTTTTATAATGAGCGGCATGTAGCACCACATCGTTCAATAAAACCCCAACACTGTAAATAACTTACAAAGCCACCCCACACGGATGGTTTGGAAAATAAAAAAAACACCAATGACAGATCAAACTCAGCGACGTGGCCGTGCAAGTTCTACTTTAAAACGCATCAGCAAAATAAGCGACTATTTGTACAAATCGCTGCAAGGAGCTGTGGAGCAGGATGCGGCCCTTTGGATTCTCCGGCAGCCGACCATTACTTTCCGCCGCCGGGTAAGGCTAGAAAGGTCAGGCCGCCTGTTCCCGGACCGGTGTATGTAGGATAAACAGCTGTTGTTTGCACGTCGGCACGAGGATAAAAACTCGGATGGGCTTCACCCACTACGCAACAAAGAAAAGCGTCATTTAGCAGCTGTTTTTTTGTTGCTGAAAACCCTTCATACACTCACTTAAATGTTCACCCATCTGCAAGTACGCTCAATTTTCTATGAACAAGGTACAAGTACAACAGAGGAAAGGTACTTGTGGCGTAGTGTAGTGGCACTATGTCACGAGATACTGTGTCCGCTGTGACCTGTGTGTCCAGCATGGCAACTGCGGAAGCAGTCTGCCTGTGTTGCTATGTTGCCGATAATTAGTTGGTTTTGTGCGCCCTCAGTGGCGGGTTAATATTAAAGATATTACGCCACCTTCAAGTCGTGACAATACACTCACTTAAATGTTCACCCATCTGCAAGTACGCTCAATTTTCTATGAACAAGGTACAAGTACAACAGAGGAAAGGTACTGTACATAATAAGCTTCGCTCACACAAACACTCTCAAGTAAATAATGTTATACCGCTTCAAGCACGCAGAGCGGTAGGTGTACAATTAATCTGCCGTAAGATTTCGTATGTTTGCGACGGTAACGACTGCATGCAGTAATAACCTCTTGTCTTAAGCAGACGATAAGGTACTTCGAAGTATAAAATTTAACATCACATCTGAACGGTACATCTGACTGTTCCCATTGGTCAGAATTAGCATAAGATGCCCAGTGCGCACTTGGCTATAAAAATCGTGAAAGTATCCTACTGAAATTACTGACGTAACTATCCTTAGATTAACAGTTTGCGTGTTTTCTATGGTAATAATATAGTAATCGCATAATAATCGACCCTAAGATTGTCTGCGAAACCGTACAAAGCAGGAAACTGATACAATATGCAGCAGACTTCTGTCTTTCGAAATAGCGACAACAGAACACGCGAACAGCTAGGGTATCTATTCACTGTAGATTTTTTTGAATACTGACCGTGATAAGCCATAACATTCGGTGAGCGGTAAACGACAATCGTGGATCGTTCTCGGTTAATCAGCATCCACCGGCGGCAATAGTATTTACTGGCAATGCACATCAGTAAAACCAACACAATGACTAGCTGAAAAACGTGGACAAACCTATTAAAAACATAAATTTTAATGCCATAAATGTGTAGCAGTAATCAATGTACAACAAACACGTAATAATGAATGCGCGCTTAAAAGGTAACACAGTAAATGCGGAATAAAATTTGAGGGACTGGATTTAACGCCGTCGCCGTCAGCCACATAAAATCGTAAACAGACAAGCATATTAAATTTTAAACTTCCTATTTAATGCAGTTCGCCAGCTTGCGCTGTGAAGTTTTGAAATTACAGCTTTTATCAACTCTCCGACATCGATCTATCAGTACCCGAAAGTCATTAAACGTTTTATTCGGAAACCCCCAATAACAGGATTAGACAGCCACAGTATTAACGATAATCAATACAAAGTATCTGTCAACATACCAAAAGTACCACAGCCGAACGAAATGATCGGAAGAACGGCAGCATGCTTGACCGTAACAATAATTTCCCGTAACAATAACAAACAAAAATGCTGGCGAGTGCTCTACACTAGCAGTCCTGTCATAATAAGATAATTGAATAGTACTCGTACAACTTTGTTTAATAAGGCAACTATCCTTTTTTAAGCGAAAGTGTGAGTATCCATACCAAATTTTACGTAAAAAAGTGGTCACTACAAAAAAAATTTAATACCACAATCAGATCCTTATCACCACTTTTAACTTTTTCTTTGTTTCGCTCGTTCCAGCGTCAGCATCGCGCACATGACGTTATACGCCACGTAGGTATCGTAGTCTAATATGTATCTCCGAACAGGTAAATGTGCTAACTGCGTCCAGAAAATTAATGGTGGCTTTTGGAAACTCAAGCATCTTCATGCTTCGTACACCTTTAGCCGGTTTCGTCGATCCCAATCACCGCCCTGCTCCAGCAGACTGTGCATAAAAAAAGAAAACCGATCATAATAATTGGCAAAATCATAACAGATATGCGCAGAAACTTCTTAACCACTTCGAAGCCAAGCAGTACGCACCTCCATGCTTTATCCAAAATGTGTGCGGTTAAATCCAAATCCTCAAAGAAGATACCGATACGGACAATTTGGAAAATCGGATCGAGTTTGTTGCCTTGACTTACGGTTTTTTCAAAGCGCTGTCGAAACGCACTTTCAGCCCCTTCCTAGTGCAAAACAAGCTATGCATTCTCAAGCATGAGAAATCTTTAAACATTCCCCCACCTTGTCTCCAGTGCGGGAAAGATTATTAAACTTGGCAAGGTACGCTTCGCGAACTTTGACAGATCCGAAATTCTTTAAACATCCGAAATTGCCGCGTCAAGTTTTTTAATTTTCTGCTCGTTCTTCTGCCACAGTTGGTTAAGCGAAGAAGTGTCCGCATTAAACCATACGTTTTTTAACGTCAAAGAAAACACGCAGGTAGCATTACAATTCCAAATTCATGCTACCCAATAATTATTGTCCGGTGGCAACTGTTTCTGCTCCACGGTGGCCATGTATTGGCATAACACAGACAGACGATCCTGGAGCATATGCACAGCGCTGGACATGGAACGCATGCTGATCTTGTAGGCAGTGGGGCTGAACTTCGTCACGGGCTGCATATCAACAAAACAGTGCTTGAATTTCGATCTAATGTGATGCAAAAAGAAAAAATCTTAGTGAGCCTGAGAGCCTCCAGTAAATTCCACCATCAATTCAAACAGATCAACGGCGAAGGAATCGGCCTTATTTGCATGGGCTTTTAGGAAAAAGTCCTCGGAATGCCAATCAGGAATTCCAGGAAAAAGTTCTCGGAATGCCAACTAGGAATTTCGGGATGAAACCACCGCGGCCAAACTGAATTTTCTGGATTAAAGGATCTGAATCAAAAAATAATAATAAATCGCAAAAATGAAAATCAAAAATAAAAAAAAAATCATTAATCAAGGTCTCAAAAACTGAAAACACGAAAACCTGAAATCAAGAACACCAACAGTATCAAAAACTGAAAATCAAGAAATTGTGCACATGTGCGCACGTCAATACATGAAATCGTGCACACGTGCGAATCGTGAAAATGTGCAAACCACCGACAAACTGGCAAACGAGAAAACTCGAAAACTTGAAAAACGGCTGCTGACCCAAACGGACCGCCATATTAATGTACTATGCAACAGCTAACGGTAGTCGCAGAAGGAACAGTGTACCTAGTGCGATTTGCTCCAAAGCAAAATGCAACCGGAAGTCGAAAATGATCGTGCTACCGAAAATTGAAATTGACGTCACGCCAAGGAAGCTGTGATTGGTCAGAGTTTTAGCTCGGCTCGGAAATTTGCCAGGCTAAGCATTTTGGCTGAACCTGTCATCTTCTGAAAATTCCAAAAAACCGAATTTTTGGAATTTTCATTTTCCGTCTTCGGGAGATGCCGAGAGTGTCTGAAATTCAAATCTACTGTGTCGTCGTGCCGTACTCCCGTTGTCTAGCAGTTACGAATAACAATCTTTGAATTTATGTTTCTCCATGCATATTGCTACTGCCTTTTTTCAGTCGCACAGCACCTTTACCATGTCAAACTGCTTAACTTAAAAATATTGAAAATTCCAGTAAAAAAATGGGCGTAAATCCAATTAATGGTGCATTTTGAATTTTGCCACAAGCAGCACTTTGTCATCGCACGCGGTCTAGTAAAACAGGAACTTAGTTATTAATTTTAAGAAAAAGAAACAGAATGTTACAAAAACGGCGAAAGCAGACAACACCACCGCTGCGTGTGGCTCGGTGTGGGGTTACGTGAGCGGCAGCATTAATAATTTAATATACGTATGTGTCAGATTTCGTACTTCTTCAAAATTCTTTCGTAATTTTTTAAAAAGATGTGCGATTTATAATTGTTTACATTCTTCAATTGCGATTTATTACTAAGGTTTTGGTACTCATCATTTGCGGCTTTACCATCTGATTCGATTGGATTATATTGTTACAACTGCTGTTGTCAAATCCGAAGATTATCCAGCAAGTTGTCAGTGATAAGGCATAAGTTATAAGTAGTAATTCTTGTTTGAAAATGTCGGTTTCTGGCTGTGTTACTGTCTGCGATTCCTTAGCTATCCCGTTATGTTCATCTAACCAACAAGAAGAAAAGACACAGACGACAGTTTCTGAAGATCTGGATTATGATCGTGTGTTAGTTTCTGAAAATGATGAGAAGACAAAAGATCTGGAATCCACGAATACGACGGATCATATCATCACACCGCCTCAAGAAACATTACGTTTGTATGAAAATGTTAGTGTCTTCGATGATGATGCGATTGCTGCTCCCGAACCATTCGCTAACAATGCAGTACACCCTTCTTCCGAAGCTCCCGAGTCCTCTGCCGAAAAAAACCTCCCACCACACGATGTGGGGATTGTTTTTCCGGATAGTTATCCACAACCTCCGTCTTCCGATCTCCAGTGTGACGATGCAGTGGCAATTTCAGACGAAAGAATCCCGATTGAGAGAAATGCTCAGAGCGCGGCTGGAGAAATGGGTCTAAATCCCAGTCCAACTCCTCTCGTTATTCGGACTTCGAATAGCCCGATACCACCGTCAACGCAGAAGCTTACACTAAAGATTCAAAGTACGACGATTGGTGAACGCATTTCTGCATGTTCGACTTCAGTAGGGTTTTTGTTCACAGTTTACTGCTCATTATATTGATTACTGAAAAACATTCTTAACACAGGATCAGCGTCTTCCGTTCACGTGATGCGAGAGGACAATCCGAAACCAGATCTGACTGCAAACAAGTGAGTATATTGTATGCGTAGGAGTACGGAATTACGGATTGTTTAAGTACCATTACATAGTTCACATTTGAAAGTTTTAGTTTTAGCATATTCGTCTCACAAGCAACAAGGTCCAACTGAGAGGACGTTCTCTCACACTTGTTTTAGTGGCTCAAAAAAATTTTTCTGCCATCGTGCAACTTTCTTTGGATAAATTGCTGACTTTTTTATATATCGAATGATACGAACTACGAAGTATAAAAAACTGGGTTCAATTGGATTAGGTTGCTTACCAGCCAGCACAAATGAGTTTTGCTTTTGCTTTCTGTCGGTTTTCGATTTATCGGTATGAAATTAGAAAACTTAAAACTAGAGCCTTTTTGGTAACAATTTGATGGTATACTTAAAATAATTTACCAAATCTGGTGTGTGTTTCCGGTCATGTACTGTGTAATGACTGGGTGCAGTGTTAGTAGTACTTAATTGTTCTTTTTTCATTCGGGCACGTTCTTATTTTCAGAGAAATTTCTCCCGAACCAGATGAAAATCCTAGACTGGAGATTCAGGAGACGGTAGAAAAAACCGATAATACAGAAAGTGCATTTCCTCCTGCTGGTGCTAAAAAGCGAGTCACTGCATCGAAGAGACAGCCCGCTGCGAAACGCAAAAGGATTTCTACTGGTAGCGACGAGGAAGCCGAAATATTAGAAGAAAGTACTGAGGTATGAACAATTGATTAATAAAATCGATTATTGTATCGCAAAGCCGTGAATCGGCGTGAATATAAAATTTAGTTAGTTGGATATGACGCTCAAATGAGTTTTCATTTTTTACCTTGCAGATCAATGGTTTCCTCTATTACTCCACAAAGAAATCGCGGAATGAGCTGGCTACGGACAGCATTTCTTTGCAGCCTGTTCAAGTATCATCAGCAACAGGCAGGATACGTCGGCAAGCGGCTATTAACAACAAGCTGGTCTGTGTAAAGTTTTCTGATAGCGTGGAAGGCGATGATGACTTTGTTGTGGAAAAAATAAAGGAAAGCATTCCGGTAAAAAAGACAGTGAAACCCGTTAACGATGATCCTAAAGCCAAACTTGCTCGAGTGCGGGCTTCCCTCGCGCCATTCAGTAAACGACCAACCGGTGCGTCAGTGCCTGCCAAAACAAGCAGTTCCGGTAAATTCTCTACCAAAGAACGCCTAAGCAAAAAGTTGGGGTTGGGTAAAAAGTTGTGAGGCCAATGAGGGTCTGAAAATGCCTCTATTATAGTGTCTAACGTTAAAATTGTTTCCAAAAGTGGCCGTTTAAGCTACGGTCTCGTGAAGTCCCGTTTTTTCTGATGTCATTCTTTTTTGGCATGAAGAATGATTTTGATTTTCTTAACCCGTAGCATGTCATTCTCCTTAAGTGTGACGTGCGCGTTGTTGATTTGCGATTTTAAAAAATAAATTTTACCTGTATGAAATGGCACTCGTGTGGAACTGACCAGGGAGCAATTCTCGCTCCAATCCTGCAAATTCTGTGTTCGAAGAGCAATTATTATTTTATGCAGACGCTGAACATTGGTCCTGTAAAAATCTACAGAGACTCCAGGCATACGTATTTTTCCCCGATGAGAAATTTATTGCATCAATGAGGTCCTCATTAACAGCTACACATGAACGACGAAACCAATAACATTTCTTAACAACTTTGAAACAATTAAAAACAGTGGAATTACTCGCGTTTGGATTTCATAATAGAAAAATCGAAGCGGACATAAATAATAACAAACGCAAACAAGAGAGCGAAGGCCGCGATCACGAGAAGGGGTTCATAAAATAAGTTAAAGCGATCAAAAGCATACTTAATCTGAATTGGTTGGATGTGTTCCTCAACAGCATTGTTTATTTTGAGAACAATGACAGGTCGACCGACAAAGTCCAGGTAGGTATAATGCTTTTCATCTGGTAATCTTTCCAATTTGAACGGAGCTCGGATTTCAATATTGCTAAAAGAACAAAGCCATTACGACCATCACAATCCGTTTATCGTATGTAATAGCATTTGTTTATTACAAACAAATAGACAGTTTTTTACCTGGCTCCTTCGGGGAGGATTATTTTGATGGTAGCATCATCGATCACCTGGTTCTGATAAATATGATCAATGAGTCGGACTTGCAAAACGAAGTTGCTGCCTGTGAAAACAAGAAATCAACCCTCCATCACAAGTCCATTAACGAAATACAACACTTCAACCTGAATGAATGTTACTGAACATGAAAAATTGTGTCAAAACATTCAAAAACAGTCAAAGTATGCCATTGTGAACACTGCAATTACCACTTTTCAGCAAGAAATCGCTGCTCGGAACGTTGTATCCCAGAACATAATGCGTTTTCCAGCCACCAAAAAGGGGAAAACGTGGTCGAACGTCCACATCCACAGTTTCTTTTCCTTTGTTGACATGGCTAGTGGAAATGTTTCCAATCTCATCGCGATAATAAATGTCCCTTGCGGAAATGGGAAGCCGGGTCTAAAACAAGATTTTGGTTTACATTCACCGGCACAACGGTCTGCAATAATTATTACTTTGAACTCAGCGACTGAAGCTTTCGTAGTCAATCCCCGCTGATAATCCAGTCGGCTAAAAGTTCCCTTCAGTTTGGCACCAGTGTGAGCAATGTCGACGGTGTCCTCGAAAGCAATATTCCCCCAGTGAGACACTTCAATCCATCGGGCCAAATTAGTAACGCTAAGGAACGGTGCATTGTTTTCAAAATGCAAAACGAGTGGAGCCTAGAAAATAACATAAAATTACTGCATTGCAAGGCTTTACATTTACAAATCAACATCATGCAGGTGTACCGACTGCAAAAGAATTAAGTATATAATAAACCCATATTAAAATTTTAAAATGGCAATGGAATGTGGAATATGGCAAATTGAAATGGAAAATATTGCTTGTGCGTAAAAAGTAGCCTACGTGGGTAAACCGAATCTTTACCAAAAACCAGCAAAGAAATTTGGCGTATATTTTCAATTAAAACGAGGTACAAAATACGTAAACATATTACTATAAGTTAACCGTGCTACAGAGATTTAAAACGAAACCTAACGGTTAATAGCTTACAGCTGTAAACGCCGGAATGTTTTCATATGGTCCATATTTGATTTCCTTTCCGCTGTCTGAAACGGGCTTGGGCTCTTTGGAGAACGCTTCGATTTTGGACGACGCCAGCAATACCCGCAAATTCTGCTTCCTGGTCTGATAAGGCGAGTAATGGTAGATATTGCTCTTAATCTGCACCAACTGGTGTCCCTGTTGGCCAATTTCTGTCGGGTGCGGCGTTTGTGCATGCGTGTATACGGAATGCACACGTATTTTATCCGTGCTGGTTCCCGTCAGACTCGATGGCAAACTGATTCGATAAACCTTGGATTTCCTAGATTCACCAACAACGAACAACTGATAAAACACTATCAGGATGCAGAAAAACGTTACGATTTAGCTGGAAAACGACAAACGTCAACTAATCCTTTCTTACTCATGTCCTTTGACTGATGTCTCCTTAACATCCAACACTCTACTGGATGCTTTATCTTTGCCGACAACCTACATCAATTAAATTGCAAGAATAAAGTTTCGACATGTGCGAACAGCGAAAAAACTGGGGTGTTAGACACCAGAGAATCATGCATACCCGCGCATCAATGTGCGCCAAGCGATCCTGCAATGTGGGCTCGATAAAATACAAGAAGGACGACGTGGACGATCCACCGGCTGTCTCCAGCGTTATGATCTCGATTAGTTTTATCAGCTGCGAGGATGCATCCAGGGTGCGTTCGACTTCAGACACTACGACGGCATTATTGATGGTATCCTGAGAAAAAACTGTCGCTGCGAAGAAAAGAATGCTCAAAAAGGAAACTTTTCTTGCAGCCATTTTCAAAATGTGTGGATATTCAGAAATTCAAATTTCGCTCGGAAAACATCAATTTAATAAAATTTAAGCTGTAAGCAGCACGAAGATTCGGCCACGTAAGTACGCGTGAAAGCTGTTGAAAAATCGTAAAACGTAAAGTACACTACTGTACGGTATATGGGTTATATCCGGCGGTACCACGGTCCGATTTCGGAACCGTTACAGCATTTAATGAAACGGAACTTTTACGGAAGTCACTCAGGTAAGAGTCGGCCTAAGAGCGGTATCATTGGTACCGACCGCTCGTTTGACCCTCTGTATTAAAATAGTGCGCACCGGGTAGACTGTAGGATGAACTGTGAAGTACGGCGTGCGAAGGAGGTGCAAACTGCATAGTTTTAAGTTTGTATTCATTTCCGGTTTGGTCAATTATCATACACCCTTCACTTTAAGTGTAATAATACTATTGGATCTGGTTGCGAATTCACAAAAATAAATTTTATGTCCAATAAACGTATTACTGTGTGCCATTTTGTACCCTTAACTTTATGCTGTGTACATAGACACAATCGTCATAGCACATTCAAGCAAATCAAGCATAAACTTCCATCACCATCTGATCCCTCAACGAAACTGTATGAAAAACTAAAAGCACGCATTTTCAAGCACGTGCAGTAGATCTTGATATCGCTCAACTTCGCGCTTTAAATTTAGTTTCCGTAGCGTTCATACACACTGTACGAATTTAAGGACGGATGTTGATCGGATAAGTCAAGTGGTCGCTTTCGGCTTAGATCCTGGACTCCTGGAGACTGCAGGTTAAGCGGCTCATCGGAAGAGTAATGGTTAGAATAATCCACGGCTGACTGGTACATCAGCATTTGCTGGTCTCTTCCATACATGTCAGGAGCACCATAATAAGGCGGCGTTAAATCATCCGCATTATTATACATCTGCTCCATATGGGCAGGCACTGGGGGCATTCTCACCATGGACGGTGGTGATTGGTACGGATAATGACCATGTGCACTGGGATATGTGGAATATTCGGGTAGAGAATCTGCTTGAAAAGCAGGAAGCCGTTCCACATGGTATGGATGGAAGTGAGAGGAGGACGGAAAGTCGTCTTTGGGAGGGTAGGGTGTTGGAACCGGTTCGGAAATTGCTGAGTGTTCGGTATAAAACCGACCTGCTGGTGTACCCTTTGGCTGTCTACAAACAACACAAATTCTGCGTTTTGAAATTTGGAAAATAATTTGGTTAGCCAGAATAACAACAATAATTCAAGATTTTTTTATCTGCAGCACTTAAAACTGCACCCTAAAGGCATAATTCAGCAGCGAAGTAGAAGATTTACGACTGCGAGCATGCTGAACTTATAAGAAACCCATTCCTTCATTGTGGACACTGCCAGAAAAACTACCTACTCTGCAGAACTGCTTGAAGGGGATTGCTTATCACTCCGGTTCATTTTACTTCCGGAATTCTTCGCGCTCGTCTTGTGAGTTTTAGCTGAATGAGCCAATGCATTTGCCTTTTGCTTAGGTTCAGGCACATGCGCAGGTATAGATGCGGATGCCGATGGTGGATTTCTAAAACTCCTATCCGGTTCGCGATGGCGATGAGGTTTTCCAGACAACTTCCGAGGAGATGCAGGCGCCTGTGGGACGAAATCTTTTCCACCAGGGTTGAACGTCCATAAACTTCTAGAAGGAATACTTTCGCCTGGTTGTTGCAGTTTTCCGTGTCGCACCGCATTCACCAACTTATCTTTGGAAACAGAATCCATTTCGGCATCGTTAGCAGATGTGCCAGCTTCTGCCTGGCCCGAATTTGCGACATCCTCGCTGCTCTTCCCAATGGCTTTTGCCGCTGCTTCCCGTACAATTTCTCGAAGGAAATCAAATTTGTGCTCCTGCTCGACACATTGCTTGATATGGTCAATGCTCAACGTTCTTGCACCTCGACCAAGCGCTATTTCACCAGATTTGTGCAAAAGTATTTCCGTAAAAAGCTCTACACTCTTTGATACAATCACAGGAACAGCACATGATAATTTTCCGACTTCTTCATCCGTCTGCATTATTTTTTTAATTCTGGCCGGGGGAAATCTCGTTTTAAATTTGTTGCTCGGCATGATATCGATGTGATTTGGTACAGGAATCGGGAATCCTTCACAATCAGTGCGGACACCACAGGCTTTATTGTTAGGAAGGCAATTTCACTAGAGAAGCCATAAAACGTATTATAACCATAACAGTAAAATGCGATAAACGCTCCAGAACAGGGGCGTTATTCTGATGACCCGAAAAACTGGAAAACTGAAAAAAATGGAAAACCGGAAAACTGGACATTCGAAAACTGGAATAACTTCTTACTTCTGTTCATAAAAAATAACAAGAACTACGATCAAGGCCAGGTATTCGACAACTGTTGCTCAGCTGCTCTAATCTCACAGTCGTACAGTGTCAGATAATTTACGGATACCGTAGTACTACTACCATAATAAAACTAATGACAAAATAACTTTGTACTTTGTAGTTGTTTACATTTTACAATAATACTGCTGTAGCAAACTTTAGGCTATCATAATATAAACAGAAGCGTCACGCCGTCAAATCTCAGAGACGGAACAACCTACATATTTTCCGAAATCTGTTTGAAATCGAAATCTCTTTAGGGAGACATAAGGTATCATGGCTTGAAGAACTTTACAGTTTACATTTCCTCTTCTTACCTGCAGGACAATTCAGTCTCGCCAACGGTGACCAGGAACTAACTTGGCGATGCAAAAAAATTCATGGCCACGGCCTGTTAAATGTGGATCACAGATAGGGATCATATGTTGATCGTCCCATACAGCATGATGGATAAATTACATCAGTCGAGTTAGCTCAAAGAAAGCGCAGCCAATGCTGAAAAAGTAATATATTCCAAAAACGGGAAAAATTAATTCATCAAAATAGATTCATCAAAATTTTGAACGTAAAACCAAATTTCGGATTTCCAAAAGTATAAAAGAATTCAACTTTAAAACCCAAAAAACTTCAACTGCTTTCGCAAGCTACAGTTTATCAGTACAGTGTTTTTGCAATGCTTAATTGCTAGTAGGACAGGATATCCTTTAGTGCAACCCTTTCCGCTTGCTATTTGTTTTTAAGCGCATCTGGTTTGATAGTACAGATACAACAGATACGGTACGTAAAGCATCATTCAAAGTTGATATCAAAATATTTTTATCCACTTACCAGATTCTGGTTTAGAATTTAAATCTTTAAGTAATAAGTTTTATGGAATGTGATATTTTAAGAATTTGTTCATTTGGTATCTTTAGAGGTAACATCTGTAACTGGAAGTCTGGAACTGTTTTCACAGAACTGCGACTTAACCCTTTACCGGAAGTTATCTGTAAAAGCAACTTGGCAAGTCAGTATTCCTGGTTCTTGTGAATCTTGTCAGATTATGAGCATTTACGATTGATGATGTTTAGGCTAACTTGTTGTTCTTTTTGTTGTTAAGTACGGATGGTCATATTCTGTTAAACCTTTATATTTAATTTTCAGAGTATATTCTTGAATTTGGATGTATTAATATTGTACGACTTGTGCAGGCTGAAAGCAGAAAGGCAACTGATTCGGAACCAAGCCTCGACGTGGCATTTTACACTGTTTCCTGTCTGCTGAAAAAGCGCGAAAATTGATACACAAGTTCGTGGGAAAGTCTTTTATCTCAACCATCGCGCAGCCCTGGAGCAGAATGTCGGGAGTTCTACGGCGTAATGTGGGATACCTTTCCTCGCAGGCGGGGGCAGCTGCTAAGAACAGCAGTGTAGTGGTCAAGTGTGTTTGTATCGCCGTTTTCTGTTGCTATTTCCTGACGTTCTCCCACAGTGCTGTACAGGCACTGACCGTTACCCCGGGCACATTGCTCCCTCCGCGTTTCCACATATGGACAGCCTTCACAACAGTATTCATGGAGCTGCACTGGTGGCTGGTTGTTATTGATCTGATCGTGGTGGGACTATGCGCTAAACTTATTGAGCCGATGTGGGGCGCTCTGGAGATGCTGGTCTTCTTCGAAGTGATGAACTTCAGCGTGGTCTTCATGACTGTTGTGATTTATTTTATTGGATATTATACCACTTTCCATGAGGAACTCTTGTTCGACACGTACATTCATGGTTTAACAGGTGATTTGCAAACAAGTGTTTTTCCTACACTTCTTCATTGATTTTGGCGAATTTTATCGTTTTTGACATTTTTGCTTTTGTTTTCTTCAGGTTATGTCGCTGCAGTTTGTGTGGCGGTTAAACAAATTATGCCAGACCACGTTCTTTTCAAAATACCGGTGGCCGGAAGTATTAAATTCCGCAACCGAAATCTTCCGCTGTTGTTGCTTTTGGGATTATTGGTTGTGTGCTCCTTGCATGTCACGGAATGGGTGTATTTTTGGATGTTTCTTTCGGGAACGTACGCAGGATTTATATATCTGCGGTATCTCCAGAAGCATTCTAATGGGAATCGTGGCGATAGCAGCGAAGCTTTTGAATTTGCCACGTAAGCGATGACATGAATTTTTGTTGACTTACAGGATGGCTGTCTTTTTATAGGAATTAATAGACTGGTATTCACTCTGTTGCTAACCTAATGTTTTCACATTTTGCAGTTTCTTCCCGAATGTGTTACAGCCACCGGTATCTAAAGTTGTTAATATTTTTCATGGTGTTTTGGTGAAACTTCGGATACTTAAAAAGCAGCAGAGAAAGTACAACTTCGCCGAATCGCTACCGAGTGGAATCAGTGTGACCTTACCAGGTTCGAGTCAGTTGGATGCCGAACGAAGAAAGTGAGTTACAAAAATTATAAACGGAAAACGTTTTGCAGCTGTTTTATTTCACACTAAAAACTAACACATAAAACGCAGCAGCTATTCGCAGGAGTCAGCAGTCAGGTATACTTGTATGTACAGTATAATATTGTACAACCGATAGCACGAAGCATGCACACTTATTCACAATGGTAAATGCATTCATCACTGCGCGATTACTTCTTTTTACCAAAAAATGGCATGCCGCCGAATCCCATTCCCATTCCACCAAAGGGGAATCCTCCAAAGGGGAAGCCAAATCCCATTCCGCCTAAACCCATACCGCCAAAGGGAAATCCGAAGCCTAGTCCACCGAATCCAAATTGAGCTTCGACTTCTTGTTCAGCGAAGCTGAACAGAGCGGTAGCCACGAGGCACAAAAGGAACTAACCCGACAGAAATTTATTAGGAAGTGGCAGCAGTCAGCTACAAATTAAGTAATTATTCGAAGGAGGGATTTTTTTGGCTATAAGGTTACATAATACTCCAGTATTATGAGAATATATGAGAATAGAATTGGTCTGTTTGCTAGTTGCTACGATTAATATATGCTTCTGTATACAAGTTTTTATGCTTTGTTACGGTATTACCTAATTAATAATTTCAAAGTATATAAGTTTCCTATAATAAGATTAGAAAGTACGTACCAGTGCTTTGAACATTTTAATGTGTGACTGTCGTTACTGCCCTGGAAGAACACAGAAGCTGCTCCGAAAATGCTTCTAATGTAAGCTGGCCACTTACTACAGTACCAAAATTTCGACTGAAGGAACAAGTGAGCGTATCGGCATTTTATCTTCCTCTGGAAAATGCTGCCAGCAAGTTAGCAACCGCAACTCTAGTCGAAAGAAGCTAGAAACCTTTGTCTCTGTTTCTACCACTGACCAATCACGAGCGAAGTAATTACCACAGTTAATTACTTTGCAACAAAGGAAACTATGTCAGTGTCCATGGCGCTGGCTTTCATTGTGAACTGAGAGAGAAACAAATAAGATGGGGGAAAATTGAACTTTCCAGAAATTCGCCATGAGGAGTGACTTTCACTTTCGTTAAAATAATTTTGTTACCATTGTGTATTACCTTCGATAGATTTTGGGTCATGCATTCTTTCACTCGACAACAGGACATTTTGCTGTAGTAACTTACATTCCATAATTGCATGAAGTAACAACATCGAAAACCCAGGACAATAAGTATATTAACTGACTGCGAAACAGTAGATTACTACAAAATACACATAATATCTTCACTGTCGCATACATTATATTTGTATTTTCTGAGAAAGTATTTTTTGCGTTCGCATGTTTTTATTCAGCAGTCTAAATATAGAAAAAAATAAACGAGCATAATAATAATATAATATTTTACGATGCATAATTAATAAAAATGATGCAGTATAGCACGAACAGGATGCAACATAATTATGATTCGAACAGCTGATCTCAGAATTTTAAAACTTTGTGCAGAAATTCACCTAAGTTATACAGACTGGTAATAATATTTCGTCCAATTCTAAAAAGGGCGGGATTACAGTGGGCATGATGGAAGTATATATATTTCAGATCAGCACTTCCTAATTTTGGTGGATTTTGAGTTATTCGCAGTTGTGTTTTGAGAATCCTTAATGGATATGCGTAATACTGATATATCAAGGTTAATCTTGCGGAAGTCCATCTCCAAGCTAAGAAGACCACACTTTTGGCCTTGGGGCAAGCTTGTGTTTTTGGATACAGTATGGTGACCATGCTTCCACCGACCATCAAAACGAACTGCAGAAGGAAGTTAAGTTAGGATTTTCATCCGCGACTGCGGTGTCCATTACTTTTAAGTGTAAAAGAAACTACAGCAATCCTCAAAATAAAACTGCCTCGTATAGACGTTGTCTCTGATGTAATTACTCGCTATATCGTAGTTAAACTTCGAATGTATTAGAATGTACTACATAAATTTATGTACTGTACTAGAACATAAATTTATGCAAAACATCGGCCTTTCCTTTCACTTACAACAAATTTGATCATCTTGATGGATTGTATCCAACTTCTTTGCTCGTAACTCTACGCAGTGGGGCTGGCGCCATTCCTTTTATGACACGAACAAAAGCCAAAACTCTGAAGCAATCAACTCGATTCGTTATAACAATTATGATTGTTATCGTTCTGAATGCGCCCAATAATTTATAAGTAATCCAACGGCTACTTGTTGTACGGTTACGTGTTTCATAAATGTGGCAACGGTTGACGTTGGAAATTGTGTACAATCTTGATCGAGATTCAAACCACAGCTGATTTTTTAATGTTTCTGTAGACAAATCGCTTTAAAGGCGCTGAATGACCGCCTGAGCTCACCTGAAATTCCCGCGGCGAGTGCTGTTCCATGGCCGAGTTTAGTGGATGATATTGAAGAGGAAAAGAATGCCAGGATCGTTAGCGAAACATCCGAGTTAATAAAAACGCTTCCATCTTCCGCTGCAGAGGAACAGGAGCAATCTTGAATACTGGTTAACCGTTAGAGGGATGCTTATTTTTGGATCTTGAAGTGCTTCGGTTTCGCTGTTATTGCGGCTGCCTGCTGGTATAATTGTAACTCGATCGGTTTACCGGTTAGATTGCGAAGTTCTGACTGATGTGAAAATTTGTACTTCGAGGTTTATGTGAATGACATTAACATGTCACTTGTAGGCCTTGTCGTATATATTGTGCTTGCCAATAATGCACTACTTACCTAATTGCATAATATGTTATACAGATTTATACTGGTAGACGGTAGTGTACGCACTGTACGGCATCAGTCGCCATCGTTGCACGCAAATGCGGAAGCGAGTGCATTGTCCAACTTTTTTGTTCTCTGATCGAAAATAATACGTAGCCGCTGTATTGATTTTTATTTATCTGTAAGTTGTAGCGTTGAATAATGAATACAGTAATGCCTCGTGCAGACTGCAGATATCACAACGTTGGCTCGAGTTGAGGAACAAAGCTTCAAAACAGTTAAGTCCTAACGCTAACTTACATTAACGTTTTATTTACATGCACTCAAAATAATTTTCATTCCCAAGTTCAAGTTAGTTAGTTAGTTCACTGATCTAGTGGCTCTCACAAATGAGCATCTGATTCTTGGTATGTACGAGTACATTCTGATCCAGATTGGCGGCAAACAGACAGAATCACATATTTAAAGCAATTATTACATATAAAATTAAAGATCACAGATTACAAGCTTCAGCCGACAGCGAAAACAAACATGATATTTTTTAATAACTGAGTAAAACAAAACGTTTTATTGATACTTCTGATGAAGTAATTCATAGAAATAAAAGGAGGCGGGATGCCACAGTCCGGACAATCTGCAGGATTCTTTTTTCAAGTGTTTACTGGTGCTTTTTTTATGGAAATATGCAGTTGTGATTGTTCCCTGTCGTTTAAGTACTGTACTTATCATCATGTCTTTATACCGGAAAATAGTTCAATTTGATGACTGAGACTAAATTGGGAAAGGCTCAAGGTTTGTTCTGGCAAAATGAAAAAAAAACTTGTTTCCGTATTAGAATGAGTTCTGGTACGAGAACGGAAAGTACTCGTAGGGAACGACCTCCTTTGAATCTTTTTGACATCAACCACCGTGGAAAAGCATCATAAACAAAATTCATCGTAAGCATAAGTCATATACATGCTCGATCTGAAGGTAACCACTACCGGTAAATTGTAATCACCGGCCAGTGCCACCGATAAGCTTAATGAATAAAAAAATAAACAAAAAACGCCAATAGGTTAAAAACAATAACTCTTCTTCTCTTATCCATTATTCTTCTCTAAATAGGAAGCACATTTTACCAACGTATATTTAGTACATTTATTTTTCGTTTTTTATAAGTAATTTATAGTAGAAGGACCGTGATTACACTTTACCTACCGTATCTTAGGAAAAGAAAAACCTTACTGACCAGTGACCACCGAGTTAAGTCGGCGTGACTTACGCTTGTGCAAAATGCGGTATGACCATAAGAATGAATCAGCTAAACGTACCAGAAAAACTTTCAAGCAGAAAAACTTTAATGCCATTAGGCAGTAAACTCAACAGGAAATCCACCAGGAAATTCGGAATGATCACGGGTAAGTGGAAATCACAGAAATTTGGAAAGCAACAACGACAAGAGCATTAATCGACATCTTTTGGATCCTTAATGAATGGCAAAAGAAGAGGGACATGCTGGCGATATCGAATATACTGATCACCGAAGAACTGAATCAATATTCTTTCCTCGTACGGTACGCGATCAGCGAAGAACCGGTAAGCACCATAAAAGAAGCCAAAAACACACACGGGATTCTGGAGAACGATCTGCAAGCAGAAGTTCAAAACTCCGGTCTTTTCGTGGCGGTTAAAATAAATATTACGCTTTACCTGCGTTCCTACCGCGAACATCCACCATCCCAAATAAGAAGGATGGCGGCAAATCTTGTAGACTCCGTGAGTTATTAGCACATGCTCGCGCCGCTTACTATCCTAAAACATTTTTATCGATCAACATGTTTTCTTAATAAATGTAGATATTCAAAGCCCAGTTTTATAATATTTATCGGATTTATCCCACTGACTTCAACAATGTGATCGAAATTCTCTCCGGCAGTGGCAATTGCAACTTTCCGTAATGATTCACCCACGACGCACATCAGCAATCCAACAATCGAAATCCAAATACAATCACGCATGCCTATAAGGCGAATTCTGTGGATTTTAAATTTGTTAACCACGAGTGCACGCGGTCAAAACAATGCTAATATCGCTGAATCAAACCTGGGAAAATAAATTGCCAGACTGTGTATTCAATCCATGAAGCTATGGTCGCAAAAACATATGCCGGACTGTGATCCAACATAAAGCTTCTAACGGACAAAGATCGCGGTGAAAACATGGAAATGAATAAATATTCCGACCAGTGGAAATGAGCCAATAGTGCCATATAGATTCCGAATGGCCGCACTGAGCGGAAAACGAAGACCGTCCAAACACCGAAGGCGAAGAGATTGCCCAATAATGAGCTCCTGATGGAAATCTAAACATAATCACAGCAAAAACCTTACACCCGTACTCAGTACACTGGTGACTGGTCTTCACATTTTTAGTTGCATTATGCACTGCAATTTCAAATTTGGAGACCAACCTCTGAAACACGTCTTCGCATAAGTCTTTCCTGTATTACTACAGATAAGAATGCAAGGCATGGTGACAACAGTAAGCAGAATGGCTGGGGTGTACAAACAAAGAATAATGCGGTCGCGAGAGATGAACCAAGGAAACTGGAGACTGCGATAACGACTTCCGCCCTGGCTCGATCCATTGTGGACGGACAACATACAATAAGTTAAAAAACCTCAGCCTGCAATAAAGGCACTATGTCACTCGAAATTTATGGTTCTTCCGAGAGATATTATTATTAAAATTTAAAAGGCATAAAACACTGCAGATTATACAGAAATATTGTACTTACTTACAGTCTTATAATTACAGTTCAAATGCGCGTTCAAACTTGATGAGAGTTCGTATTATGTATTGTCATCATTAGTGTAACAAATTCAATCATAACTTCATATTAAAAAAAGCTACACTATAAACAAATTTGCTATACAATCGTAATACATAATAAACGGTAATAATCGTTTAAAGCGTCTTCGTCAAATCAAAACAAAAAAAGCATAAAATTAATTGCAGTACACGTACTTGCAGCATAGAAAAGGAATGTTTCCTTTTCTATGCTTCGGTACCTCGTACTACTGTACGCACAGGCATAAGTCTGGAAAACGGCCAATAGTACAACCGCTGCGGGCGGCGAGAACTGTTTAAAGTAATCATGACTGTGCGACTGGTCGCTAACTGACCGGTGGTCGCAGCGGATTGTTAGTTTGGCGCCTCGGTTTGTTACTCCCTTTGTAACATGGAAAAACATTTAATTGCGTTAATGCAACTATATTTTTATAAAAAAATTAATTAATTGCGTTAATGCAACTATATTTTTATAAAAAAATTAATAATCGAGCCTCTAAATCCAGAACAGGATCCTTGATCAATTAGTCATGTGTTCCAAAATTGCTTTGTGACCGCATTCTTGTACAACTGTCGTCAAAGTAAAGAGTCCGAGTAAAGTACTCACAAAGGCAAGCTGTCGGCAAGCACATTGTAAATTTCGTTCTTACAAGTTAACTTCAAAATTTCACATAGGATTAAAATCTAGGCTCTGGAGTAGCTAATTATGTTCGGACGTGTAAAGTTCGTCGATAAAGGAAACAAATAACATTCTAGTAAAACAGAGAACAATGAATGACTATGATAAAATTAATGACAACGTAATCATTCTAGAGGAATAAAAACAAACACCGTGCACGCCTGGTTTGCCATTCAAGTTCCTCTGCATCTGACGGGTGAATGGACAGCGGTTCAGCATAGGTGCGCATCGCCGGACATCATGGAGTGGTGTTTGCTGTTGATTGATGGGTCCCTAGAAACTAAATATCTGGGCCATCATTTGGCGGTCTGACCGTTTCTTTCGCATCAGACCCGAGACACTGCGGATCATTCTCCAACGGAAGACTTGGCGGCCGACGGCGCGGGAAGCTACCATCTACGAATCGATAGAAAAGTTAGGCATAGTTGGGTCTAGTTGGGCTACGAAGACGTGCAAGGAAAGGAATATCGACGCTTCCGCGCTATGTCGACGTGATCATGAAATTGTGGGCCGCCACTGTACTTGTTCGATTCCCGCTACTGACCGATACGCAAACTGATGGATGGACCCGCTATGATACTAGATTTCTGCGGAAACCGTTAGCAAACGAATTAAGCAATGTCCAGTTCACCTCGTTTAAGACCATAGGATGGAAACTCTTATTACATCCGAAAAATAAATATATGAAGGGCAAATTTTTGTTTTCCAGAGCGGCTTGCTGTTGCAGACTGAGCTGTGGCGGTGTGGCCTATGGGATATGTTCCGCTCTAACTGGTAAGCACGCCGCCACCAAACTAGAGTTTCAGTTTCTTTCGGAGGCTTGACAAAGTGCGAACAGCTATGCGGTGTATCAGGCACTGGGACCGGTACAAGTTTACGGTTGCAAATTGTTTTTGGGGGATGCGCAGCCGTTTTTGGGCGGTTGCGCCTATCCCTTCGCTCGGACCTCGCTACGGCCCTGGGTGTATCAAACACTCCCGCTGCCGGAAAAACTCTTTGGAACGTGGATAGCCTGTGGAATAACCGTATATATACGGTTAGTCTATCGGGAGTGGGATAGCAAATTACGTAAGCGGTAAGCAATCCCATTCCCCATAAAGTCGACTAGGCTGAGTAGGCTCTTTGCGCCTTTCACCCCCCGGCTCGTACATTTCGAAAGCAACAGGAACGAAATTACACGTCGGAAGTCGGAACTAGGCGAACTTGGTTTCGTCTCCTGTATAGCATTCGCAACCGATTCTGCTCTTACGGAAGAAGACTACGGGTAGTATCTTGAGGGGACAAGTGGGAGTATATCGTAGTTTGTAGTTTGTACCGGTACGTAAGTACTTACTGTATTCACAAATCATCAGTTCGGGCGGTTTCTGGCTTTCTGCATACCGATACCGTGCCGATGCCGTCATAGTGAATCGTCACCGGCCTTAGCAGTAAAATCTGCGTTTCACCAGCCCACAAATTCAGAATGATTAGGTTGGTTGTGCTAAATTCTTCTACTGTGGGCAATACCCTTTTCACTAATATTCAGTCGACTTTCTGTTAAGTTCTTCCCGTCGTCTTGTTGTGATTTTCATATATCATCCCAGACCGTTTTGAATAGATTTATCAAGCTGCGAAGGATCCCTAGGTTTCCAGTAAGTGGAAAAGAACACGATTGCATTTGCTGGAACGTATCAAAGTGTCGTCAGTGTTGTCCTAGAAAGTGACTGAAAGTCAGAAAATTTGAACAGATTTTTCATTACAAATTTGTTTTATTTGTAATGTTGTCTGAGTTAATCAGGTAATCGGGTTCATGCTAGAACTGTAAATCTACCATTCTACCGTAGGTTGACGATTACCGATTACGGGTTAAAGGATCGACATCGTAGCACGTGGGTACTACAGCATATTTTCATACTTTAACTTGTTGCCTCAACCGTTCTTCGCAGTTTTGGAAAATTTACTGGTTACGGTAGGTTCTGCTCTTTGCTTGAAAGGATTGCCACGAATATAGTTTGTTTTAATTAACTGGCATTATATTAGTAGTTTTTTTAAGTCTCCGTAGGTCGCACTGTTTGCTTTGTAGTTGTAAGTTTGTAACGATATCATACGAATAGTAATTTTGGATCACTGGAGTAACATCTTGCATTTCACGTCAGCTTTACTGTGCGCAGACCCCAACCAGCACTGTTCACCTGTAAGGCGGACGGTGCTGCATACATGGTGTTAAAGAAGAGCGGCATAGTTTAATGGCAGCGGAAAGGATTCTTCCGTACGAGCACTCTTGATTTTTGTGGATTGATCATTGTAGACTCGATTTTGATTTTTCTGACGTGATCTTATCAAGAGCAGTATTACTCGTGCTGTAATATAACAGTCGTAGATGATGTGAAGTATTTATCAAAATTTCAGAACTTTGGTGAAAGTGCATATCGTCTTATTTTGCAGACAACTTTTATGCTGGGATCCAGCTAGTGGAGTGCATTATTGCAGCATTTAAGCAGACTGCCTGACAGTCACGCCACAATCGTCATCATGCAGACCATTAAGTGTGTCGTTGTGGGAGATGGGGCAGTCGGAAAAACCTGCTTGCTGATTTCCTACACGACCAATAAATTTCCTTCGGAATATGTTCCGACGGTAAGAATCACCTGTGAACGGCTGCTGGCCACTTAGATGTTCGATGAAAGTTATTAGTACATACGTGAGTAAACCTTTTGGTGATTTCAGGTTTTTGATAATTATGCTGTAACCGTGATGATCGGAGGGGAACCGTACACTTTGGGCTTATTTGATACAGCAGGCCAGGAAGATTACGATCGACTGAGGCCGCTTAGTTATCCACAGACTGATGTGTTTCTTGTATGTTTTTCTGTGGTCAGCCCGCCATCGTTCGAGAACGTCAAAGAGAAGGTGAGTTAATATTGATTAGATTGGTGATTAGGCTGAAGTTTCCTCCGCTAATTGTTTTGGCCTTTTATCCATTTAAGCCTGAAAAGTAATACTGTCAAAGTTTCGCTCAAATTTTTTACCTTAATGTTGGAGGATCGTTTTCGTGGTAATATTGTTGTGAAATCGTGTGGCTTTTAATTCGTCTTGCCTTTGTTTGAAAAACTGTGGTTAACAGTTCTAAGTGGTTGTTTATAATTTATATTTTATGGTAACCAAAGTGAATACCGATTGTGTTTCCGTAATATCCATCTTAGATTTTTCGCTCTAACATAACTAGTAAGAGTTGTACTCCCGTCTGCCGTTTCCCTGTTCGGTGCACTATCCTAGACATACATTAAATTGTAAACATCAGTATACGGAAAAGTGGGCTTCGTAATTAAATTGCCGTTTTATGCTTCCGTTATGAAACGATTTGGAATTTGTGGTTTATTTTCTAAAGTTCATTTAAGGTTTGATCAGGATTCACTATTGAGGAGGGTACCCTGCCATTGTACTGTAACTCGAAAAACTATTTTGTCGTAGTGGGTGCCAGAAATAACACATCACTGTCAGAAAACGCCGTTTTTGCTTGTGGGAACGCAAATTGATCTGCGGGATGATCCGACTACAGTGGAAAAATTGGCCAAAAATAGACAGAAGCCGTTGACGCCAGAGAATGGCGAGAAACTGGCTAAAGAGCTACGAGCAGTGAAATATGTGGAGTGCTCGGCATTGACTCAGGTACGTGAATTACTTACATAAATCGTTCATCTACTGCATCGTCGCACTCTCGTACCATTTGAACCGGTAGAAAAAAGGGTTGGTATATTGTCGCAGCCAACATTTAGTACTTCAATTGGTTATATCTTAGTTCTGTAAGCCTTCGTTGTTATATCGATCTCACAAATCGGTCGCACTTTAGTAGTACTGTATTATGTCTGTATATGAATATTAAAAACTAAAAGCCTAGACTTTAAAGTCGAAACAGAAACCCTTTATTCATACCCTCATTAAGTGGGTTTGAAGTAAGTATGACGAACTCATCAAAATTACAGCCGTGGATTGGGTTATTGTTGCAGAAAGGATTGAAGAACGTTTTTGATGAAGCTATATTAGCTGCCTTGGAGCCTCCAGCGCCTCCGCCCCGACCTCGCTTGTGCAGACTGCTGTAAAATTCAGCAGATTGGCCTTAAATTTGGTTTTCCTGTTTGGAAGTGGAAAAGGGGGAGCTGTTTTTAAACTAATTTTAGTAGCACTTGTGTAAATCTTGCGAATGATGCGGTTGATATGACAGAATAGATTTGTATTGTTTCCTGACTTTACTTTTCTAATAGCTATTACGTGATTCTTTTAATGCATAATTGTTTATCTAAGGATATGTGGTTTTTCGCTCGATGGTAGGACGTAGCTTCCATTTTTTATGATATTCCTTTAGTTTGATTTATGTTATTTATCATTTTTGTATCGACGTTCCAGATAGCCGTAATCGTTCTTTCGGACCTTCTATTCTTGCAGAGATTTAGTGTGTGTGAATCACGGTTTGGAAACGGTTGCAGAATCTGTTGCTCAGCTTAATCTTCGCTTAAAGCGTTTGCAACTTGCAGTTGTCATTAAATGTCGTTAATCAATGTGGCTGGAAAAATTGAAAATATCTTCAAGGAGTGTAGAAGTTGAAAGCAAACATCTGGTAAAACTACTGTAAAAGAATTCGTTCTGATATTCTGTTCGTGAAGAATGGCGGAAAATGCTTGGGACTAGACCTTCTCTGTACAGTACATTAATGCTTGAAAGTTACATCCTACTGACATACTCTAGACTTCGGGCGTCAACATCGTGGACGATTTATGTTTTTGGTGCTCAACATAAAAATTCTGACAAAATGCTAATCCATCTAAAAGCAAATCTCGATCCGAAAACTGCCGTAAAAAGCGTAAAAATTAACACAAAACTTAGAACAATAAATATGATAATCATAATATCTTTGTCAAGGCACTTTAACAAGCTGTCGGTTGCCTACATGTACAGGCAAGACCTCGAAAGGCGTCACAGTTTTCTTGCAGTATTAACATATGATGTTAAGAGGCATCCTTGGTAATGCGCTTATTTCCTCGGCTCGTCGGACCCTTGGGTTTCTGAAACTTCAACTGATGAAGCTGAATTTGGGGATGGAGTTGATCCAACAAATACGCCTCGTTTATTTCCGTTGGGTCATCTGTTTCCACCTGCAGATTGCATTTTCGTTGAGATCACGCCAGTTCAAGTATTACCATTAAGTGGAAAATTCACACCCAGGCATGCATAGCATTGCATACTGACCCGTTTGGATACAGGCATGTTAATCGCTGTTTCGACTGTATCAATTAATTGGTTTTTACAGCTGGAATACAGCATTCGCTCTTTTATGGAACACCCACTCGCCGGCATTGTATAAATAAAAACTACAAAAGATAAACAGAAAAAAAAGATTAAAAATTACCAATTCCGAATTAGGGGAGTTTTGCAACGATTGACAACAAACCGGCATGACGCATACCTAGACTGTCGAAGTGATCGCCTTCATAATTATGCGGAAATCTAACCAGCGTATATCGTCCATGATCTTTCGGAATCAGACGAGATAAATCGTTCAATCCTACATTCCTTGCAGTTTCAAGATTAATAGTTTCTTTGACTGTGTCTAGACTCTGAAAAGAAGGTGCGAATGCTAAACCATACCGAGAAAAAACCTGTTTCAATTCAATAGATCAAAGAATTGCTTGTACCTACCATCAAAACATAATTCACCCTTCCTTGCTTAAGTTCTTGAAAAGCAGTTCTGGCGTCTGGGGATATCGGAAATGCAACTCCTTGTAGGGTCTGGTGTTTCGTGTCAACGCCTATATCTACTCCAGTCTGAAATTACATGTACTGTAGCGTCACATTTAGTTTATTCCACACAATGCAGTAACATGATAACTCGCAGGATAAAGTGCTATATGGTCATCATCAGCGTTTTCTTATTGCGATTAAGTATGTAACCAAGTTTTCGAGTTATTTCGAAGTTATGCATAAGCGGCAGTTTTACTCCAGCTAAAATTTCAGAATTATTCAGTACTCACCAATTTCAAGTCTTCGAATCAATTCAGGTAACGAAACGCGCACAAAAATTAACCTGTTATTACGATTGCCGGCACTATAATAGGTGGGACCGTGGGTACAGTACTGACTGTACATCAGAAATTCTTTACTGGCAACTGCCACCATTTAACAAAAAACTGCAAGCACTGATACACTACTGAATACTGATAGTTATTATTTACATGCTAACCAGATAACTGGTTTTCTATTACATGTAGTACAACTAATGCTAGTCTACTTTCCACCGCTTTTTGTTTACACAATGTACTGGCAAAATTAGCATGTCATTAACGCACCTGCGCTTTCTTTATTTGCTCTAATTCCTCTTCGGCGGCCGTCAACGGAGCCGGACCAGTTTCTGCGCGCTTATGTCGTTTATATCCTGATAAATTGACGTCTGCCTAAATAAACACAAAAACATGAAAACCTGGAACACTACAAACAAGACAATAAACTATCACGCAACTCCAAATAAACTGCACAAAGCAAATACATCAAATAAGATAAGCAAAAATCGGAAAATTTAGCGAGCGTATCGACTGAACAGCGAAAAAAAAAGAAATCTATAGACCTTGCAAACTTAATATACTGCATATTGCAAACCTAATATTCGTACTGCATAGTGCATAAATCACATTCCATATAAATGTAAAACCGCAACATGTTTTACAGTACTTAGATAATTTCAAGCATATGTCGTTTAAAACTGTTTACGCGATATTTTTGCTATGAGAACAAATAACCTACCGGTGCAGTTCCGGACAGCTCTTCTTTGATATGCATCCCCCCGAATTCCTTCTTCAGCGTAGCACGTGTAGAAGCGTAGAGCATTTTGTGCCTCACTGGAGCATCATCAGGCGTGAAGGAAATGAACAACCACTCGTATCCGCTGGCATTCTTCGAGTCCAAACGATAGAATATATAGCACGGCTCTCCGCGAACGAGGCAGGGAGTGACCAGCTTATCGTAGTCTAAAAATGCAGGGGAAGTTGTAATTCAATGCAACAAAATTAAAAGAAAATCAAACCAAAAGCATAACACTCAAAATCGAGCACCCGCAACAAAACCTTATGGTTAGTCAATTTCACTTCAGAGCACATAAAATGATAAACGCTAAATAGTCAAATCCTACCTTCTTCCCAAGACTTGTGGACTTTGGCGTGATCTTTGAGTGTCATCTCCTCTGAAAATACGACATAAATAAAAAATCCAGATTGTCTGAATACAGAAACGCGAGCGAGCGAAATCGTATACGAGCAAATAATCGAATACTAACTAACACCAAATATTGCATTTAAGTACCATTTTCGATCACAACTTTAATGAGGCGAATGTTGGAACTGGGATTGCGAGCTTCAGAAAAAAATTTCAGCAGGCTCGCATTTCCTGCAAAGATTTTGAGTTAAGCAGATTCAAGCTATTTAATGCTAGATTATTAATCAAAACACTAACAGAATATGACACCGTGAAGTTGTGCGCATCGATATCGTACTTTACCTTGAATTCCGCTCTGATGGGACATTGTGGAATAAATATCCTACACAGCAGAATGCCGATATCACAACTGGCTCGTGGTGGGTTTAACCAAATTCGCATTAAAAAAATGCAAAAAAATGATTTCCAGTGTCCAGAAAAGAATTGGAAAGCTACTGTAGTATCGTGCGAACGATCTTTCAGATTCAAATAAATAAATAGTACGTAAATTGTGTTGCGGGATCCCAGACCGTGGTGAAACTAGACACTGGAACCGCCTCTATGAGTGCTATATGATCTTGTGTCATATCGCACCGCTCAGAGCGGCATCCGTCTGACAACATGGCAGACGGTACGGCGCTTATTCTTTTGGCAGCAGACATGAGCTTAATATTAAGGGGTGAGGGTTATTAAAAAAACCTGACGAAAAGCAGAACACCTTTGCAAAAACGGGGGGACGAAGTAATCAGAACAGAAATGCTATTAGTCAATTACCACTTTAACCGCCTTGATGCTACATATACACTTGAACGTTTTTAATATTAGTCAATTTGCATTCCATAATCCATTTCATCACAGCATAAACTGTGCAAATTCTATGCACACAGGGAGAAACAGCTGTTCGACAGCCAGTATTATTAAAAATTACAAGACATCTACCGGGTAAAACTTCATCACAATTCTGATTGAGATGATCGAGATCAACTATCAGAATCACGTGTATCGTAAACATGCCTCCACGGCTCACGATTGGTATTAATGATTATTAACCGCCCGCGTAATTCTTTCAAATCGTTCCTATCGCTGACGATGTAGTCAAAGTCCTCTGCATCCTGAGTTGGCCGCATTTCTTTGAGTCCCAAGCAACTGTTCAATAACTCTTTGAGCTTCCAGACAGCAACATGTGCAGACTTTCCGTGTCGGCAAAGAGCATATACATGGTCAACTGCATTTGGAGAATTTTCGGTTTCTTTCGTATCACAAAACTTCACATCTTCCGGGATCAAGTTGATTTTAGCCAGTCCTGTTAAGCATTTTGCTCAATTAGTCTTAATCATCTGACTGTAAAGTAATACACTACCACTATCGTTTATAAACAAAATTAGTAAACAACGAACTCAAAAATGCAAAAACAGTCAAGCAACTTTCAGAAATGAACAGGATACGATATTTTCTACTCATTTACCGAGAACAACACACCAGTGAGCCGAATGGCCATTCCGCAGAACGGGGTCGTGATTGGGACCCTTATCATATGGGATAAGCATAACACAGTTGTCCAAAACACCATCAATGATTTCTTTACAAGCCACATCGGACACTTCTCCTTGACCAGTGGTCAACAGTTCTTTCATGTACGCGTTACATGGGAAAAATTCTGCAGGGTCTCAAGAAGCCTGGCGGCGGAAAACATCTCGCCCATCTTCGTGAACTGCTGATCTTTTGCCCATTCAAGCATTACAGTCATGATATCCGGAAATGTGCAATCGGACGAGTCAAGCAGCTGCCCTAAGGTCGCCAGTGCTGCAAATCCACAACTGCAAGTTAAGAATTAGAGAAAAAAATGTTAATTAATTATTTATCAAAATTCCAACTGGAACGAGTTTGGAATGCTTATTACTGACTATAAATTTTATAAAACGAGCCTCTACGGTAACCCTAGTACTAGTCAGCCTTACTGTGATGAGAGCGGTGCATCGACATTTGACACTGCATTCAAGTTATTCAACTCACCTCGGTCCTGTCTGGAGAATCGGAGGAGTCAGATGAAGAAGCAAGTCTACCCGACAGCAGACTTCTTGATCCGGCTCTCTGCAAATGTCATACTTTATGATGCGATTAATTCTGTCCATCAGCTTTATTTTGCTGGATTCTTCTATGGTCTGGCTCAAAAGACTGCGTCCGGATTCAGATGAAAGCGAAGGGGAGTTTAAGTTAATTAGGGGAACATAAGTTGTAGGTGGAGGTGGAGGTGGCAGAATCACTGCATCCCGATCGTCTTTCTCTCCAACAGTGTCGGGTAATGCCATTACTGCTCGAATTTCATCGAAAACTTCTAATGTGGTACTGCGTCAAAAATTGGAAAACTTTAAAGCCATTCAAGGATTCCCTTATTAACAATTTAAAGTGCTCAAATTCAAACGTAACCAGAAAAGCTGTCAAACAGTCAAAGAGTCGAAGACAAAAATCACAAAATGCCTTACAAAGTTTTTCGTCTGGCTATGGAAAGCCGTTATGATCAGTTTTCGAACCAATGATTTGATCGAGAGTACTTAAGCCTGGCACGATGCCAGATTGCAGACACAAGTTTCAAATTTTCAATCAATCAGTTGCTCCACAAATCAGTTGTAGCCTTGTTACAGTATGTTCTGCTCCTATTTAAGTGTAAATTTAAATCGGGAATCGGGATGCATTGACTGGTATCCTATTGGGACTGAAATCATTCAAGTCACATTGGTTTGCACTTGGGAACATCATTGAGTCCCTACGAACAGATTTTATCAAGTTTTGTCATTAATGTTGTGCGCTTCAGACGAGTGTTTTGGTTCTACTTGAAAAACATCCAGTCTTATAATTTTTGTCGTAGCCTTTGAGTCTTTGACAGTTTTGAATGAGTACTTCGTGCTATTAATTGAATTTATTATGATTACATTTCACTATCTCTGGTGAAATTCTGTTCATAAGGTTTTACATGGGTAAAGCCATAAAGAGTTTATCAAAGTTCAAAAGTGACTGTGAAATATTTGGGATTTGAGCGGCGAAATGGATAAACGCAACGGGCATGGTAGCCACGATTTGGTGGAGAGTTTGCCTGCTAATTTTAACATAAAACAGGCCATCCTTCAAAATGCGGACCTTACCAAAGATCTGGAAGAGCAAATATCAAACGTGGAGATCGCTGAGCATATTACATCGCGTTCATCGTTTGATGCCGCGAGTAATGGTATTGATAATCAAAGCCCATGCTCTTCCCGAAGCTCCAAGATGATCGCTAATATTTCTCCTGTGAGCACTCGTGCCAGACGGATGATAGAACCAATTTCCGAGGCAGTTCTGCCCGTTTCCAATCGGATAGCACATAATATTGCACCACTTAAGAGAAATCTACAGCGGTGTGAGACAACAGTTGTCTCATCGAATAGAAATACTTCCAATTTAAGCCGATATCATTCGATGCTTGGTGATGCAAATCCGGTGAAGACGCGTGGATCGTTAACATCATCCGACGAAGAAAATACAGAGAAGGAAAAAGTTGACCCCGTTTCGTTTTCCGCCACAGGTCTGTTTTTTTTTAAATATTTCGTATGATTGTTGCTCCAGCGCATAAATCTCCTCATTCATCTTGCAAAAAAATTAATTAGAGAGTTTTTCCCGACAAAAATTATTGGGTTGCCGAACTGCTTTTAAAGTTGATAGCAGTAACTAACGGTGACTTACTACATATATTATGCCCGTATGCGGCGTATCACTTAAAATTTTATACTTCTTGTATCAATTTTTTTGTAAAGAGTAAGTTTGATTTTTGATTCAAGGTGCTACAATTTCCTCGAGTGCTACTCAAACTCCTGAAGATATGAATTCTTCCGACAGTGAGTTTACGGATGAGGAAGCTGATAAAACGCAGATCAACCAACCAGCGCCGGCAAGAGAAAGTACAAGTGAATCGTCAGGTAGAAAGAACGCTTAAAAATGCATCCCCTTCCCTTTTGCAGGACGTTTTGCTTGCTGAAAACTTTTGGCTGTATCGTGAATGTAAGATGTATTAATTTACAATTTACCTAACGTTTCATCAGCTGTCTTTCTTAATTGATACCTCCAAAGGAACTTTATGTTCCATGCTCATCTTGATAAACAGGATAATGAATTACCTTGTACAAATGAATGATCCATAATTCATTTTCTGTCTAACTGAGTAAATATTTATCTACGGAAGGAGACTATCATGAGTGTTTGCATAGGCGATAGTACTTCGGAGACGGAAGAATGGGATAGCGAAGCGGATACCCATACCTCTACTGATGAAAACGACGATCCAGAACGACAACCTAAACCGTCTTATTACCAAGTTATTGATCCTGCGCCCCTGACTATGGAAAAGCCCCACTCTGCACAGCGTCCACAGAACGGCCGCAGTCTGAAAGAGCAGTATGTCGCGTCACTGCCATGGATGCGGCGTCCAGCATTCAGCTCAATGCAATTCCCATCAGTAAATACAAATAATCATCCCCGGCGTGCGGGTATGAATGCCATACCACCCAGCCATTCCTTTCCTCAAGAATTTTTTCAAATGGTCTCTAACCCATTTTTCAATACATCCCTTCACGAAGCGTACCGGCAAGCATGTGCTTTTAAAGATTGGTACGAGGCAAATTTTCCAGAGCAGTCTCGACATGAATTTGTTGAAGAACAGTTAGTAAATGGTCAAGTACGCAAGTCAGCGAATGAGGTGATTGACCCGGCTTCATCCAGAAAGGCACTACCCGGCCGGATACATGCTAGTACATCTTCTGCTCCTGGCTCTAGTAAAAGATACTCACAGTGATGTACACAATTCGGTATGTCTGATCTCGCTGTTTATATGTTCAAATTTCAGTTGAAGTTTTTCCGAGGATCTGCATACTACCGGAATCCACTCCACCGCTACGGTTATTTATTTGTTGTGCACTTCGTAATTGTTGGTAGGCTCAGTATGAGCACTGTGAGTGTGAGAGGACAAAACCTGCTGCAGAATTGTGTCAGTTCTGTTGTGTTCAGTGTTGAAATTACTGGAAGAATAAAGTTATGTTCATTTTGTCGCTGTTTCAGACCCAGTACTCAAGTGGTATGACTTTGATTTGGTTTGTTGCAGATTAAACTGGTGAAAAATTCTAATACAATTCCTGTAATCCTCTTGAAGCACACCATAACGCATTTCGTGTACTCGCTCTTTCAACAAATCAGTTCATATATAAGACGAACAATCCCATCAAAATTGCGGATAAAATGGAAGTACAATACGGAAGCATCTTACGTTTATAAGAACTTAAGAAATGACGACAAAGAAGTGCCGTGTGCGATACATATTACTCAAATCGAGTATCTGTTGTCCATAACTAGGTAATTTATTTGAAATTATGGGAACTGCGTAATTTTGAGTTTAACCAATGTCAACTTGAATAACCATTAAAATTCGTATGGCATCTGGTAATCTGTCACTTCATTAATCACAATCTGCATGATTCGTACGCACAGCAAAAAACACCGGATGACAGAAAAAACCAACCTTTACTTGGCAAAACAAGATTTCACGGCAGTTAACACAACAACCAGAAAGATGAAAAGAACAAATCCCAAAACAATTTACAGCCGAAACAAAACACCAAACACAATTATCAAATTAATTATTATCACCTAGAAGCTGCCACACCAGTAGACTGAGCACTCTGCAGCAATGGGGACATCGCTGGTGTTGCAGTCGCAGGGGTTCCGTCTTTTTTATTACCGAACAAACTAACAAGAGGTCCATTGTGCTTCGCGTATTCGGTCTCCAGATGGGAGCGGTACCGATTCACATGTCCCATCTTAACCCAGTAAGCCGTTTCCTCATATGTTCGCCCCGTGAGTTTCCTTGATCCATACAGGAGGGCACCGGCACAAGTTCTGCAGTTCATCACAACAAGAAAAAATGCAAGGTAAAGCAGCAATAAATGTGCTTCGAGCTTTACCCAAGAACGCCCCCCAAAGTTCCAGCCGTGACAGCAGCACGTATTCCCATATGAGGTCGATGCACTACTCCAGTTATCGCTAAAATATGAGCATTTGAGGTTACCAACAAAAACTTTTTCGGGATTAATCGCACACGAAACCGAAATCGGAAATGGCAATGGCGTTCGGCTTACTTCCGGCAATGGTGTTCTCCACTATCCCTGATTCCTGCCGTGCGGCAACTGCCATCGCACTAATGGTTCTGCAAAAATTGGGAATCCTGAACTCCAAAATCAGTAAGTTTTCGCTGTTCTTACCAGCTTGTATAAAAAATTTATTTCAGTCCTTTACATACGCAGATGATTGCTAATTTTATTTTACTGATATATACGCAGGTGAAAGAAAATAAGCGCATATCAGTAACGCACCACCTCTATGACATTGTAGTTCCTGCACAACATCCCTCAAGGTAAGGATAGCATAACTCATAACTTACGTAAAAGAAAACATAAAAAATCCATATTTTAACGCATATTTAAGAGCGCTTCGGAAGCCATGGTAAGCAACGGTGTCAATCATTCTCATCTGCAACAACGCAATTTTCCGGTTAAGAATTACTAAAACCACAATGTCAAAAAACACTGTACATTTGCAAAAACATGGCTGCAACACTCTGACGCGACTTCAATAAAATTCGAATATGCGATTTATTTATTCGGAGATATATATCACTTTCGCTAACCTGCGCTTCCAGCTCACGCTCAAAAATAGTCGCCTGGTGGTACTTTATGAAACGCTCTCGAATGCCGTTAACTCCTTTCCAGCCTCCCATAACTGCACCAACAATCAGCGCAGCGATTGTCGAGTGCTTAATCATGAGAAATTCACCCGAAATTTGGTCGTTGGCGCTAGAACAGTATACAAACCATTCGCTCACTACTGGCCGGAATTCCAAAATGAACATCATAATAGTATAACACATATTATGCTCAATCATTTTACTTTTAGTACTCGTACTGTCGTACAAGTAAAATTAACTTTATCACTTACAAGTTACACTGTTATTGTAGTGTTACAGTTAATATATTTTCCACGTACTGGTTTTGCTAATATCTATATAGTGCAGTTAACTGTGATGCAATCATGCAGAAGGTTGAAACTTAACCAGTCTACTAAAATAACCGGTACTGTAAGAAGAAAGGGTACCTACTCGTATTTGAAAATATTCTTAATGCGGTTCCATGCCGTCGAATCATCAAGAGATTCTTGGAGCGCAGCCGCGGAGAACAGCTCCGGATCGTCATTTTTGAATCCAAAACTTCTACGCAGCCTCGCCTTTGCTTCTGTATAATTCGGAAGGATGTATCGTTCGAATATATTTCCTTTTTCTTCCGGAGGGGTCTCAAGAGGATAATCGATACCCTTTATGACCTCGATATTGCCAAATTCCCCAAAGTTATGAGTTATGCGAACCATTGTTCAAGCTCTTTATATCTCTGATATCCGTTCCCCAGTACGAGAAAACTGTTATGAAATTATTTGCGCAGTGAAGCAGCGATGGGGCCTCTGCCAGACCAAGGCGGAATCACAAAACATGCATAGTAATTAATATTTCTAACGTCGTCCGGAGCAATTAAGGGTGGAAGGATAGGTGTAAATTACGATACGTAAAACCGATAACCAAATTCCAGAAACCAGGCGCAGACAGCACAGTGGGCAAACTCTGTATTGAACTTATCGTTGATTCCTACGAAAGCGGCAAGTTACAAATGCACAAGCGATCAAAAGGTGGGCATCAGATCAAATGTAAAAGAAACAAAAGATTAGTGGTACTCCGATAAGCAATAAAAATTAAGTATTTGAATTTTCATAGGAAAAACTAAAAAGGTAAAACAAATTTTTCTAGTGCAGCAGAAAGGCAGCGGTCAGTCGACTCCGTTGATTGTAAGTCGTACTGCTCCAGCCCAAGGGCGACTGCCCCATGAAGAAATGGGAAGATTTCTGCGATAATAAAAAATTTTCATTTCATTTCTGATTTCACGAGGTATGTTACGATTTGCGATTTTTTAGAACATCGATAGTCACCCTCACTGCGTTCACTGGTGTGTGTTGGGTTGGAGCAGGCCCGTTGAAGACAGTTTTACAGCGTACCGGAACTGGGGAAATGATTGTAGCAGAGATTCTGCCAGAGAAATCTAAGCTGACAGTGAGTGCGGATTGATTTTAAACTTCTGCATCTGGATAGAACAAGATAGAGTTTATCTCACGTGTTCCTGCACGCATTACTACTTACTTTTAGAAGTCGAAAGTGAAATTTGTGAAATCCCTATGAGGTACGAGCAAATACAGTAGGATGGGAACTCCAAAGACAAAGAATTCCGAAAGGTACGGTGATGAAACAGTGCGTTTTTAACGGATTGGTAAGGCTGGTTGAGCTGTTATTTCGTGCAGGTCCCGTGCAACCACCAGTGCATTTCGCACCATAGTATTCCTGGAAAACTCTGGCTATATGTGGAATTATGCGCCAGATGTGAGTCAGGACTGAAACGTGTTTTGATATTCATCCCGCACCAGCGTAAGCATTGAATTATGATTCTGACGGTTTTGCATTGACAATGACAGGCACTGGACATTGATACTGTCGCAAAAAGCCGACCAGATGCCGCAACAAGTCCTCTGGCTCCCGTCAAATGGAGTTGGCTAACATGGGCCACAGAAGCACTGTTTGAATACTGCCGCATCGCATGGGATATCTACCCAACTTATAAGGTGCGCAAGTGTTATGCGTTTTTTGGAAACGAAAGAATTTTTTTAGCAATTTATACTTCACTGTAAACTGGGTTGAATAATATTATAGTGAACTGAAGCCTCTATAATTACGCATTTTAAGTGACATTATATTAGAAAGTACGCCGCTTGGTATGAATTGTTTGTTTTAAGCACTGAGTTTCTTGCTAACCCACAGATAGCGGTTTTCGGAGTCCAGCAGAATAAGGAACCAATAGTTATCACTCCGTTGGATGATACACTGGAAGCACAACAGATGAAAATGCCTAAATTTCGAAATTTTCGACTGAAAATGTTGGCACTGGCCAATCATAGAATGGACAAATCTTCTGATCCGGCGAATTTGTCGACTATTTCGTTGGAAAAAATTACTGCCAGCTTCCGTGCTATGGAGAATGACGAGCTCTTGTCTGCCCCATTTTTGAATTTCCTGTGCAGGATGTTGTGGCTGATAAGCCCTTTTTCATCAGAATTATCTTGTTGACATCCGAAAGCGACCCTTTTAAACTTAATGCGCTGTTCCGACGATGTCTTATAGAGCAGAATGTGGCTTATCTGGCCAGATACGAAATAGCTGTGATTAGTGTCGGCGCCAAGCAAAAACCACCTGCAGTTGCACAAAAGGTAGAAGCATTATTAAGCTTGAGATTTTCTGTAGATATATGATTTAGAATGTTAAATATTGCATAGTAATTTAGGAGACTGTTCTGTTTTTGAAGTTGCAAGTCGGTTTACGCTTCATGAGATCTTCGATTTCTAGCTCGATAAAAGCGAAGATATCTACCTCACCCATTATTTCGCGAAAACTGGTGCGGATATTGTTGAATGCTTGAAATCCTGCGTGGCCTTGGATTTGGGTCTCTTGAAGACAACTGTCACCGACAGTAAGTCGGATTGTCTACGTAATTCTTTCATACAAATGCTTTCAGAGCTGTTTCACGCAGTTTGCCAGTGATACGTAATACGTGTGAGTACTGAGTTTAATATTTGAAAATATGTTTACCGCGACAGTTCCGATGAAAGAGGATGCAAAATCCGGCGGATCAACTTCATTTTCATTTAATGTCGATCTCTATCATCCTTATCTTTTGGATTCTTCCGGTCGCCAAGGAAGTCGCTCAGAAAGTTCGCTAAGAATGAAATGGGTGAAACCCGTAAAAGGATTGGTTTCGAATTATTTACCCCTGGAAAATGCGCTGCCCTTACGTGCTTCGCCGTCCGATCAAGCTACACGACCAACGCAGTGCTTGGTTGGGTATGTTGTGGATGGTAAGGCCGACTATTACGGAACAAAATGTGTCGCTGTTTGTTGACTTTAATTTCTTGATACGCATAAACTTTTGACCAGGTAACGCAGTATTGCTGGAAAGCCAGGAAACGGCAGGAATGGCGTGTAAACTCTTTCTGTGCGGCGGAAAAATTTGTCTTCTCCAGCTGCGATCTGGAACTGAAAAATTCACGGATGATATGCCGTCGTTGGCTGAACTTGCTGGAGGACGTGTTGCAACATACCGAGCTAAAGTATAAAATCGTAAACATAAACAGGCAGTTTTCTACAGCTTGCTTTGCGCTGCAGTTTCTTACACAGCAAAATGTTGGTTTGAATTTTTTTATTTTGCACGAACTAGGAACTGGCTGCAGTGTTATCGTCGTTATCGTTGGACCCGAAAACTTTTCCACTGAAGAAGAGCGTATTGGATCATCAAAACCAGTTGACGGCATACTTTCCGCTTGTTTATAGTGACACCATTGTGTACCTTCTGCCACAGGTAATATTGTAGGATTATGCTGTGGTTTTAAAAACATGATTTACAGTTTACTTGTACATGGTAAACGTAGTACATGATACACTTGTATGATACATTTGCACTTTAGTTTGTGCCCCTTTTCGACGCTGTAAACTCAGCGGATTCCCGGCATGCCAATTGGGGGGCTGCACGAGATGCCATTCTTGAAGTGACAGGCATGGAAAAAAATGCCGAGTCGTTGCCCGTGTCGAATGCCCACTTGTTGCTTCAAAACATTACTTCCTCTCACAAAAAGTAAATATGCGGAAAGCTAAAATACTTGGCATGTAACGTAACAAATTACTGTACTGTAACGTAAAAATACTTTTTTGGAAGTACATACGTACCTCTAACCTCATACCTATCTGCACGCACAACCTTGAACAATAATTTCAGGGCAGAAATTTATGCCGTATTGTGGGCGGAGCTGGATATGCTGCTTGAAGCAAACGCCAACAAATCCCCGGAACATGCCCAGCTTCGTGCGTATCTGCACACCGTTTTAAGACGTCCAGTTAAAGAAGAAATGAAACACATGATCCGCGAGAGGCAGCGAATTCACAGCCACGTTGCGCTGGGTACGTTTTCTATGGTTACAACTATCCGGTGCTCTTTTTTCAAAAGTGAATAATTATATGCTGTAGAACGAAAACCGGATGCAGCAAAAAAGGATCTTCCAGCCTTGCCCAAAAAGCGGAAAGCGCGTCCAGATTTCGAGGGCAGAGTAAAATACGGCCGCTTTGGACAGCTCTACCAGAATCTTCAGAAAAGTGACAAAAAGGATGATGTTCTCATTCATGCATCGTTAGAACTGTAATTTCTGCTTTCACCAGTTCTAAAATCGCCTTCGTTGTTATAATTCTGATTGTACAGTTACTGCAGTTTTATGTCAATCTCAGGCTTATGTTAGAGGAAAAATGGTGGGAGAATCAGCACGATTGAGCGAATTTAGTTTGTCTAGAACATCGAGGGCATGTTAATTTGGCTACCAGTTGACATCTCTTTAAACTGTAAAGACTTCGTTAGCGTCTGTAGGATATGGCAGAACCGATTCGCACATTTCCATGGTTTATTAGATAAAAAATAACGATAAACAATCCAAACAACTAACAACAAACGACCATAAAGTGCGCCTTATAAATTACAACGCAATGGTTGTACCATCAACCATCATCACTACTAAAATTTATTAGTGAGGATCAGTCATACTACGATATTGCAGTAAGCACCTCGTTAACCGTCTTGCTGGACTCAGAGACAGGGTTTGCATCAACAAAATTGAACTTCCCACTCATTTCTCCACTTTCATAATCGATAAGGCATTCATACAGCAACCGATCGCCTTTGCGAATCTTTCGACTTTGCCGGGCGAGGTAGACTCCCTGCCGATGATAAGGATTCCAGCGGACATATTCACCGGGCAGTGGTATTCCATCCAGTCCAGTTGTCCACACCATATCGGTACCATCCATCGGAAACGAATATTCTACCCAAAATGCGATCCCATTATAGGCACCTGAGAAAATAAACTGAAAATCATCAGACTCTGAGCAAATTAGGCAGCGCAATCGTTCATACACTAACCATCGGTTACGGCTTCCACCGAACCCGAAACACTGAGAAAATCCTTGACTAGCGGTCTATCCAAATCAAAAATATGAACAGTGAAGATCTCACTGAGTATCTTTCCGGGATATTCCCATAACGGTTGCGGCTCAATGGACGAATCAGCTTTGGCCATAGCCAATTCCACCAGCTGGTCGAATTTTCTCAGGTCAATACCTTCCACTGAACCAACTGGTGCACGGATTTTCCATAGATCATCAAAGTCCATTAGACAGCCACGGATTCTTGCTTCCCAAGGAACCATTTTGAAGTTAGGTGACAAATGAGGACGTAAGTGTTCAACGTAAGACAGAAGAATGAGCATATGCTGCCACGGGAGCAGGGCGTTGGTGAAGTAAGGTTCCGAAACGATCACGTCAATCTACACAAATGCATTTCTTTTAAGCTGATGTCGAAAAATTCAAATAATATTCAATACAACAAACCTTTTGCCCATCAAGATCGATATCGCTAACAAGATCCGTTAATTTCTCAATAATGGTAATTCGGCTGTCGGCATCGTTGGCCTTAAGCCAAGTTTTAAACACTTGAGACGCTAGATGATCATTTTCAATTATGAAAATGTTCTTCCATGATTGCTTAGTAGCCAGGATAGGCAGATTCGATGGTGAACCAATATACAGGAGATTGAGATGAGGTGACGACATCTGCATTACACATCGAATAATTAAAGACATGCAGATATATATAACGCAACATAAGACACGTAGGTCTACTGTAGCGCATCAATATACGAATACGAGCACACTTCAACGTACTTTCTGAAGTGTTCTTGCCCAAAACTTAAGCCGCGCAACGTTGCCCAGCATCGCCATTCGCGATCGATTCATCACCAGATGTGAATAGCAGGAACAAACGAGATGTTTAAGATGTTCCTTAGAAGTATCCGAACTATGAGAGACACAGAAATTGAAGCTGTACTCATCATGCACAGAATGGACGTAGAAGGGATTTCCGGGGTGGATTTTCAGTTGGGGTGTCAAGTGGTAAACAGCCTACGACCCATTAAAATATTTAAAGAAAAAACCAAAAGGGTAATTCGTAACGTGCATCGCCTGCGTGCGCCGTCACAACCTTTGTTATATCAGTCACCTGCATCCAGTGATCCCGCCAAGGACAAAGAGCCATATCGATGCCGGTCGCATCTTGCTGAGCCCAACTTGGTGCACACGTCAGGATAACTTCTCCTTCTGGGTCCATTTTCAAATCCCACCACAAGAAAATGGCGTCGCAACGTCCCATTCCCAGCGGCATAAGTTGAATAGTCTTCTCATCATGAAAGCGCAAATTATTACGGTGGCAAAATACAAAGTCGTATACAGGGTGTGTCTCCGACAGTCGGCGAAAGTCCTGCCGAGGATAAAGTTGGCTCAGCTGAACGTCATGAACCGATGCCGGACCGGGACAGTCTTTCCATTCAACTGGGACATTCAAACCTGCATTTGTTTCCAACATAAGGTAAAAAACAAAAATTAATGAAGTAGTTATGTTTCGAAGAGAAAAAAAAGATTACAATATATAACTAAGGACATTCTGACGTCATAAGGACACGACACAGTCGATTGCGCAATTAGCTACCCAGTTAGAATTACGAATTGTTATAAAATATTGAAATATCTACAGTGCCATTGAAATTGTAAGAATCGCGCAAATCTGATTAAGCATTAATACATACTGAGGAATGAGGATAAACTACTTAAAATTCTTTCAATGAAAACAGGCTAAAAATTAAAAAGACGCTGATTCGACAAGCGGTGCATACCGGTATTGTCTGCAAGATGATTGTGATGCAACAAGAAATCACTTTGCACAACCTGAATATACACCGTAGCCGAATATGGAACCGTTATAACATCCTCTGTTAGTAAATTCTCATGTGCGTGGATAAACACTCCGAGTGCGCCTTCGCCAATCAGTTCCGTATCGAAAACCTCCGACACCAGAATATTACAGCGCTGTTCCAGATCTTCAGGAACTCGGATGGCTGTCGATCGTTTCATAATCAGCTTGATTTTATCCACCATGCCATTGTCTTCGATAATCAGGCGAGCAGCCTGCGCCACCGGTTCAAAGGCTTCGCACGCGGTAACAGAATCGGCGCCGTGACGGACCGCCAGCATGGCCAGCAGACCAGTGCCCGTTCCGATATCCAGTACGTTGGCTTTCTGTCCGCGTGCGTGTACCGCATCAATGGCTTTTTTTAAGCCTATGGAATATTTTACGTTGCGCTCGGTGTCATGCAGCATGTCTCCATAACGTGATCGAGCAATCTCCTGCCAATAATCGTAATCGTCGTCCAGGAGGCCCCATTCCATTTTCCCCGAGACCACGTTGAGTCGCGTCACAAATTTGGACATTCTGCTTGCTTTCGACCAATACTGCCGTCTACCAATACGCAGAGATGCTGCTATTCCAGGACCAGAGATTTTCAATGCAGGAAATTGTACAAACACAAAGCCATTTTTAACCCCGTCGCAAAAAAGCAGACATTTGCTAACCGTGAGAAAGCGCATAAGTTACCGCATCAGCACAATTTTGCTCGTGATAAGCGCAGGAAAAATCACTTTGCACTGCTTGCTGTGGCGCAATTTTCGCTCAGTTTTTCGCTAGCCAATATGAAAAACTCTGGCAAAACTCATCTTCGACGCGAAAGAAGCGACAAATCATAAAAGCCTCACAAATGGCAAAGCCGCAAAAAAGCTGCAAGAATAACTTATTCGTTATTTCGTTTACGTTTTTCGTAAAACAATAAAAAAATTATAAAATTAAGCACTGGACTAATAAAACAATCGGTAGCGACTGCGAACGTATTGTTTTGGTTGTGGGCGGGTGGTGTGGGATAGACCTATTGCCTCCGCTACTTGTGCTAATGAGTTATGTACTGTACATTTGTACGCAAAAGGTGCGCGTATTCCCTCAGACTTTCCTGCCCTGATTGTTTCCAAACTCCAAAGTTTAGTAGACTTTAGAGTACGCCAGTACGGGATTTCATCTGGATTTTCGCGCTCTTCTCAGCCTTCTAGTTTTTCTGGACCTTGAGGAATGCGCCCTCAACACCAGTGGTTTTCAAACCTATGGCTTATTGTTTGTTAGCTAATGCCTTAATTACAGAGAGGTACAGTCTGTAGACAGTGTAGAGTCGTAAACTGAAGGTAATATGGTAGAAGTAAAAGTTATAAACAGGTAATACGGTAAACGTAAAACCCGATTTTACATTCCGTACGTTAATAAGTTAATTAAATCGTAATTAGTTACTAGTAGCTACTCAGTTATTTTATGCTGACAAGTGACAAGGCTGGTTGGCAATCCCCACTTTTTGAGTATAGTTCAAGTTGTTATAGTCGCTGTCGCATCTCTTCTGTGGTAGTTTTTTTTTGCTAATCAAGGTATTGTAGCAACATACATTGAAGTGATTAAAGTTAAACTGTTAAACATAGTTTCAGTGTATGTAAGTCCTGTTGCCAGTGTGGCTGTAAGCACCTACAAGGTTGTGGGACTTGTGGCCTATTGTTGTAGGTTTATATGAGCTGCGTCAGTTTGGTACGACTGTGAAGGAATTCCGTAAAGACTGGAAATGTCGGATTATCGACAGGGTCGCGATATGCGATATCGTCCAAGGTTAGACAATCTTATGTGTTTTGAAACATGGTGCTCAGTGGAGAGATACCTTCCAGAGAACCGTATCAGGACATTCGGGAGAACCGTTTCGGAGAGCGATCCATGGAGCCACCCTACCATCGACCGCGTTCCCGCTCCCGTTCGCCTGGTCGACGCCACGAGAGAGAATGGGACAGAGGCAAACGACGCTACTCCCCGCCTCGGTCCCGGTTTGATGAATCTAGAGATCATGTAACACATGCACACACGCTCACACACAGTCGTCTCGGAGATTGCCCAGAGATTCCAATCTTGAACGCTTGGTTTGGTCACTCTTACATAGGATCGCTCCGAGCGACGCGCGCCACCGCCCAGTCACTCCGATGATCCACCCTCGCGGACCATCATGATGCGCGGACTCCCGGCCGGCGCCTTTGAAGCTGAAGTAGGCGATGAAAAACCGTGCTTATTTATTGAACGAAGCAGTGCTTGAATGTGCTGGTTGTGCAGGTGAGGCATGCACTGGATCCGCAGATCGCAGCTTTTGTGGATGTCCGCGTGCCACGCACTATGGAAGGTTTGTAGAGATGCTGCAGAGTTTACTGTAATTTTGGGATACCCTCCATCCCTCTTCTATCTATATTGCCCGCATTTTCGCCACTCCTGTGTTGGCGCATTATTAGGGTGACAGTTCGCGGTGATGGCGGTGATGTTCTGCCTTATTGCTTTACAAAATTACTTCTTTTTTACGAAAACTGAAATCGCATAGCGGTCAGAGCGCAGTGATTAAGTTGATTCAGGAAAAAACTGTCCGCGGTGACCTTGCCCCGAATTCCCGGGTTCATATTAATTACAACATGGATGCGTTTTGTATCACCTTGTAGCTGTTGACGAGTTTCCACATAGCTCTTCTGGTCATAAAATTGTGGTCCGTCGTGGCAGATGCGTGCCGTTGAAAATTTTTAAAGATTGTTCGTTCGTTCATGTCAGGTGGTAATCGTGGGTTTGGATTTGTGGAGTTTGCGAATATGGAAACAACCAGTGCATGGATGGAACAAGTTCAGGTTGAACTGCGGGGCTCAGAGTCGTTTAGATTGCTTTGTGATCATGTGTTGACTATGTCGTAAAAATTAGGTTCAGCAGTATGTAGCTAAAATCCACAACTCAAATGCTTTTCAGGGTGCCATCTACATCAATAACCAGAGGGTGATCGTGCATTATTGTGAAGATCGAGACATAAGCCAAAAACGGGATGATCGAGGCCCTCCAGCCAGAGGACCAAAGCCTCCTGTTGCAGCACAGACCGACTGGGAATGCCTGAGGGTAAGCGCTTTAATATTATATGGATACAGTATACCGTTATGACTGTCGTGGGTTTAATTGCTAAATGCATACTGTTAAACACGTGATTGTTTTTCATTTGATATTTTCTACGGTTGCAGTGTGGCTGCAACAATTTCCGGCACCGAATGTCTTGTTTCCGGTGTGAAGCACCGCGCAGCGAAGCTGAACATGTAACTATACCATCAGCCGATGACCAAGTGGGCCTTACTCCGTGCAGTAGTAAGTGAAACTTTCTCAGTGCTTAAATGTGAAACTGATTCATGCAGATTTACACTAGGTGTGTTTTTGCAGCTCTTTTACTGCGAAATCTGGATCCTGCGACAGAAGATAACAAAATTTTACAGTCGTTATCAACAGTTTTACCCGTGTCTGGAATTAAAACTGTAAAAATTATGCGGGATCCACGCACACAGCAATCCGTGGGTTATGGATTTGTTCAGTTTCGCGGTCTTCAGGACTGTACGGAAATGTATAACTGCCTTATGCGCATTAACCCGCCACTTACCATCGATGGCAAACAAGGTGGGGCAGATGTACATACTTCGTTTGTACCATGGCCGGGGCCGAATGTTCTACTTGGATTCGGTCGTTTTGTTTCGACTGTTCTTGGAAAAAATCTTTGAAAGTTTTAATGTACGAATTCGATGGTTTTATAGTTGCTGTATCGTTTGCCAAGCAGTCTTTGAATGAAATATTGTCTCCGCAACCTTTGAACCAGCCCGGACACGTTACAGCGGGAATATCACGGCCTGCACATTCTGGAGCTCCTGGTAAAAAAAACTTAGCTTGTTGGAGCTGTTTATGGCTTGAAACAGTTTAAAAAGGTTGCAACTTGTTCTCTATTTGGCGCTAACTTGTCTTGTGTTTTAATGAGCAGGTAATGATGCCAATTCCGCCGCAGCTGTTGCTCAGTTAGCGTTGCAGCAAATGCAGAAAACCCAAATGTCTGCCGCAATTGTGCAGCAGCATATGCACAGTCAACAGACTCCAGCCGGTATTCCTGCCGGGTATCAGTTTGACGCAGCTAGTGGCTATTATTTTGACCCGACATCGCAATTGTATTTCGATCCCACCACTCAGGTACTCGTTTGTTTTCATGGAAGCATTCTTTGTTTATTTATGTGGTTATTCCTGTTTCTCAGTATTACTGGAATCCACAAACCCAGCAGTTCTTAATGTGGAATGCTCAGACACAGAGCTATGTAGCAGTGGTTGCGGCTACGCAACCGGTTTCCGCTTCGGTTGCTACCACGACAGAACCAGCTAGTAAACCGGCGGAGTTTGTCGAAGAGAAACCGAAACCAGAGACTGAAAAAGAAAAAGAAGCTAGACGAATTGTTCAGGAAATGGAAAAGTGGGCCAGATCGCAGAACCAGAAAGTTTTACCTCAAAAGAAACCGGCTCCTGTCGTGGACGTGCGCATTGGGGAAGTTGCTAGTGTTTTCAAAGAGGCGGATGATGAAGAAGCCGTATCTGACGAAGAAAGCAAGGTATGATACGGGCGCTTAAATAAAAAAAAAACAGATTTGTTACAAGTTTTCTTGGAACTCTTGTTGTAGGTCCAGAAAGTTGTTATGCCTGGGACAGCGACTTCGTCCAGCCTAACGCATGGACAGCGTAGTGCTTCCATTGAAAGCGAGGAGAAAGCCAGCATTTCCAGTGATCCGCATTCACCGAATCCTGATAGCCCACCAACTGTGGACAACGGTGCATCTCTGTCCAGACTGCAAGCCGCTGAGGAAAAATTGATTGACTGGGAGCGATTTGCGTGTTTGTTGTGCAAGCGCCAACTGCCATCCAGAGAGGTTTTGCAGAAACATTTGGACACGTCGGAACTGCACCTGGCACGTATTTTTGGATTGCCATTTTACTGGACAGTCTATCACAACAAATTTTTTTCCAGAAAAACCTAATAGAGCACCGGAAAAAAACTATGACGGAAGAAGAAATTGAGGAGCTGGAAGCACACGAAAGGAATTTGAAGTATCGTGATAGGGCCAAAGAGCGTCGACAGAAATATGGTGAAACTGAGCCGGCGCCACCTCTACGTGGCGCTACTGCCGCTGCAGCAGCGTCCAGTCGGAAAAGGGCTGCGCCATCTGAATCTGAAGCGTAAGCTTTATCGTGCTATGAATTAGCGAATCAGCTCGTTAAAGCCTGATTTTTTGCAGTGTGGACGAAGAGCCTGCTAAGGCCCGACTAGGAAGCGATAATGTCGGTGCTAAACTCATGAAAGCCATGGGATGGTCGGAAGGAAAAGGTCTCGGCAAAGCTAAACAGGGCAAGGTGGACCCTGTTGAGGTTGGTGGCTAAAGTTGCTGGTTCACCATTATTTTTCTGTGAGAATTTGAAACTGAGTTCTTTCATGTTTTAGGCTAAACTCCATTCCGGTACGACGGGTCTTGGTGTTGAGGAAGGGGCACCGGATATCTTGCCCACAGATACATACGCCAGTAAAGTTCGAAAAACGATGCGAAATCGATTTCGCCAGATGCAAGAATGACGCTTCCACTTGTGCGAGTGTTAAAATTGAAGAATTCACTGCTGGCTCTGAAATGCGACTCAAAGGAATTTTTGCAGTACTGGTCTTCTTTTAAATAAACATTGAGTCGAAGTAGAATCCGTGCTGGCCGGAGTTGCCGCCAACTTCGCAGATGGTAGCGTCTAAGTGAGCCATATATCAACATTGGTATTATTCACCTTGAAGTGTGGCCACAAAAATTGATAAAAATTAATAGCAATGTTTTACAACAGGGGTAAAAGCTTCAGAACTGGGTTGAAAGATACGGGCAAGCTAAGATCTTTAAAATTTTGCACTTGAACTTGCACAAGATCAGCAGGGACCAGGAAGTAAAAAACAAAATATAAAATTAGCTGTATCAGTTTAAACATCAACACCGCAACTGCTATCAACATGATAACTTGCTACAGTCACCGTGCGGTGACCAGCATATCTAACAAAGAATGGGTGCTCGAAATGGCGGCATTGGTCGCTTCGGCTTCATCACTGGCTAACGATCTTTGTTTCAGTTCTTGAATCGTACGTTTCAAATGATTAGAATCCTCGGATCGATAGCCGTGCGTCTAAAACAACCAGACATGACACACGGAAAGTCAAATTAAGAAGGTGAAAGTAAATTGTATCCGGTGAACTGAACCAAAAAGACTGCCCTTATAGTATTACTGAACTATATTGCATCTCAATCTGAAAAAAGCTTCAAAATTATCTAGTTTAACCCAACAATAAGATACATGAAAGGGTTAACGCTGCAATAAGTAGGCACCTCTTTAACATCGAACACGTGCAAACGTCCAGAGTTGTCTCCTACAAGGAGTTGCTGACCGCTTGGAGTCCACTGAAGCCTGCTAGCCGAAGATGCACCTTCGATTGGTATTCTCAGCACTGGAATCTGAAATTCACCTTCCTTTAATCAAATCAAAAAAGTTGTCAATGAAAATTTTTAAACCGCCTACTTCTGTATCTTGATTTAGGTTCCAGAAATCAAGACTGCCTCCGCCATCGATCGTGGCAAAAATAGCGGGATTGGCGGGTGACCATTTGGCATCATACACATTGTCACTAGATGCTTCAAATGAATAGATCGGTTTCTTATCCTTTAGAGACCACAGTTTGACGGTCCAATCATAGGAAGAAGTCAAAAATAAATGGGCGAAGTCTGGTGAATCCTGTTTGGGATGGAACGACGCAGATGTCACCGGTCCGTAATGGTTCTCATACGATTCTACGATTCCCGATTTACTAAACCGTAAAAGCATTATTAATGTATACTCCCAGCAAACAAGTACTAACAACTGTTCAACAACAATTACCAGATGAAATAGTTCAAACATTACACCAATAAATATACATTCTACATTACCTGCCATGCCGACAACCAGCATAAACCGCTCCTTCCTCGGCACCGGCCAGAAAATTGTTATGATTCCCTGGCGGAAATGAAAGACATGTTGTTGAGACTTTGGCCTGTTTGGCTTGCAAATCCAGGAGTTCTTGCGGCTGCGATAACATATCTAAACTCCAAGTACAAATGCGCCCATCCGTGGAAGCCGTAACCAAATTGTGGGCATGTGACGTTCCCATTACTTTCACGAAGAAAACGGGATGCTAACAAAGGAAACAGATGTTCGAGCGCTGTCAAAGAATGCCTGAGCTAACTCAACTGGTACTCACGCAGTGCGTTGAAACTGCCACTTGGCTTTTATTGATGGGCGTCCTCTTGCTGGTACGATTGTCCCATACAACTATCTGCCCTGAATAGGTTCCACCCAGTATAAGGTTGGGATGAAATTCAGCAAAGGATACCGCTGTTAGTGTCGAATGACAACGGAAAACATCTTCGGGTGATGACTTTTTGAAGCGGAGGTTCCAAATGTTCGCTAAACCCCCAGGATCTGTTGAATATTCTTCAGGATTATGGTATGACGCAATGACTAGTTCGGGGAAATGGGGAGATATGTCCATGCACGATACGCCCCGGCCGTTGACGTTCTTTTCGTCGATGAAAACTCGTTGTAATGTCACCTTCAGGCCAACGCTGTCGTCACTACAAGTACACCAAACATTCTACTCCACGCAACTCACTAACACCGACGTCTTAAACGGAAATCGATGACACACATATTCAGAAAATTTGACGAAACAAAGAAAATCTTTTCAAAATATCAAAACGTGTAATTATATTTCATACGCTTCCAAAGTGTCCAAATCTTCTCCTTTATAATCCTTAAAAATATCGATTCCGCGATCATCTTCAGCGAGCGATCTCTCCACTATTCGTGCGGTTTTATCAAAAAATCGGCGGAAGTCTTCGGATAACATCATCTCCTGTTTCTGCTCCGCGGTAAGCTCGGGCACTAAATTATTCCAACGCTTTCAGCCATATTATTAACAGTACCATCTCTGTCTCAACAATAACGGACAAGGAATGTCAAACTTACATGATTGCTTCAGATCATGCTCTTCATCTACACTCTGCATCTGTTCTACGGCTGGCTTCGTAGGTCCAAAATGCTGACTACGTTTCATGGATTCTATATCGTAGACATTGGAAATAGCAGTGGTAAACTCCTCCGTTGGGCCGCCATCGTCATAATGCAGCACTACAATCAACCACATCAGCGTTCCTACTAATCCCGTAGCTCACCGCGCTCACAGTACAAAACCCAGTAGTTCACCACAGCGGCTCGAAGGCTCAAAGCACATAACAGAAACCAAGAGAGAACAACGGATATAACGCGGATGTGCTTTACCTGGGAACTCATCGTCCCACTCAAAGGCCGGAGCCTCGAGGTGTAAAGCATCTTAAAGGAAGGAGAACCCATCACCCAAAAACAGTATAGGTTTGGCAAAGAGAATTTTATTTTATAAGCCACCACCCGGCCTGCGAAATTGTCCCGCTACGTCAACGCCCACCACCAAAAACTTTTCAAGACGAATTCATTTCGTAGACGCCACCACTTTCGGAGTGACAGACTGGACCAGAACACTCACCGTAATAATCATGTATTCCACCTGCAAACCATCACCGTGACAAAAACGATACATTTACATAAAACACACACTTTCCATTACAAAAAAAAACATAAAGAACAACACATACTTGCATGCTCCGTCCGTTCCAGACCGCTGGTCTGCGTTTCCTTACTGTACGAAACAGTTTCTCTGGGTTTTGCTTCCCCATTCGAAACCTCTGTGCCAACATCGGTCGACACACTTTTATCCCTAAACAGAAAACAATCCATATTATTAAGCCCGCAGCACATACGGGTGACAGAAACAATGGTATCGCTACCACCGTACACTGTCACTGGTCGGGTAAATGGTGTCGGATTAATCGGAGCAATACCGTCGCCCTGATTCGCTCCCAGCGGCAACAGTTCTCCATTGACCGCATTCCTTGGTCCATCTCCCGCTGCGTACGAGCGCGGGAATGCTAGAAATGCGAAACTTACTACGTGTTGATTTCGTGCAATTTGGTTCTCCTGAGCAGAATAAGCAAACTTTAAAACTCGAAATACTTTATCTGCTAAATGAAACATCACTTTCCACATACAGAAAGCACAAATCATTAACCAGAATATTATTTAAAAACAAAAACGAAAAGTTGAGTAAGTATTCACAGTAACAAGTATTAATACAAACTGTATTAATGCGCTGAGACTGCTGAGTACTGCGTACGTAAATACCTGCGGCCATTTCAATGCCGACTTTCTTTAAAATCTCATCGGGATCGTCAGCCGCCGGAAGTTGTTCTGCACGGTCAGCCTGTTAAACCAAAAAAATCAGCATTCTTATTAGCAACCATAACAAAACATAATGAAAGTTTCCAAATATACACCATGCACTGCAACATCCAAAAACAAATGCATACTAGATGCTTCAGTGCGTATTGACGCCTTCGTACTGTAGCAAAAGTGTCCATATGTGTACAGTCCACTAACCTGAGCAGGATAGTTGCCACCAATCTGTTTATTCCGGCGCATTTCCTCCACCTTCTCCCGCTTTCGCAGAAGCTCTTCTTTTCGCTGCCTCGCTGAATCCATGTTGAGATCCGTAATATTTGGTCCTGTGGAAGCTACTAAGCCTCGAGCGTGCAGAAAACCGTGCAAAAGCTTCCAGATGTCAAAATCCAGACAAACTCCACAGTCCACACGATATGGTAGCCGCAATATATGTCAGCACAAGGAAGTAAATAAGCTGTAAGGATGATCCGACAAGCCCAGTGGTATCAAATCTTAAGGAATTAGGTTAGGGGCTCGAAGTCAAAGGAACAGTCGTAAGCTCACAATCGGCCGAGGGCTACAAAGGCGTAAAACGAAACCAAGTCAAAACACGGCAATTTTGTAAAGGGTTTTAACCAATGCCGCATTAAATTTTACCGTAACCCTTTAATCGAATTATCGGTATATAATTGCCAGAGTTCCAGACCCTTTTGAACTGCAAGAACATTTTCCTGTAATTTTTATTTCAATAATTTCATACGAAAAAATACGAATTGCGTACCAAAATTTAGAATTAATCAATTCAGCGACTAGTAGTACAGTAGATGGACTGAGGGCCAACACCCACGGAGCCTTGAATTTGGTAGTCATCAACTTTCAAGGAGTCTTCAAATACAAATTCTGGATCGTCATGAATGAAACGTAATGACTCATACAACTCGTGAATCACATGTGATGTGCCCAAACAGAAGCCCCGTTGGTCACCATCTGGTTTGCTATCGTGCAAAACACAAACAAACCGAACTACCATATTCTTTGAATTGACTCTTTTTCTTTGCTGGATGCATGATATTGAACCGAATTTGAGGTGCGATAATTCACGGGATCGTGCGATTCCAGGCTGAAAGCATCATGCGAAACAACACTCCCGATCTTAACCCTGAAAAAATTTTGAATCCTTTATACGCCATGGAGCGGAAACGTTATATTTTGCTTCTGGAAAGATTCGAGCAGTATTCCATTAAACCACATTTGGAAGCTCTAAAGGATCATGAAAAAGAGTTGGATAGGGTTAGTGGTTTTTATTTTTGGCGACCGAGGGTTTTTAGCTTAGGTTAGTAACTTAGTGTAGTATCTGGTAGTAACCTGGGTTAACGTAATACATAATTCTGGTACCTGTGTAAAAGTCTGCTAAAATTTAATACATTCTAAGTGTGCATTTTGTATAGGAGCTTAATATATTGTCTGAATTCAGTTGAAACTCAAAAAAGATCGCCGAAACGTGCTCCCGCAAAGGATGGAAGCCAGTCGAGTCTTGCAGCAAATTCGCGTGGATCTTGTTGATCTGAACAGAATTCGAGAACAGGCGCAGTGCCCGGAAGATGTACGACATTTCGACGAGAACGGCGAGCGGCTGCGTGTTCAGCTCCTTCGTACAGTGGCGTCCATCCTGGAAAAGCATCCCGAAGTGAAGCGGCCTATTCAGGCGCAAGATGGTATGGTGTTAGAGTACAATTAAAAAATGTGAGCGAGTTGTTGCGTCGTTTTGTACGCTAAAGGAAGACTTTTTGTGTTTTCGCAGATGTTTTGTTGAATGAAGAAGAGAAAGCTCAAGGTTACGCTCTGGCTTCCGATGAGCTGGAACGAGAAAAAGATCGCATTGCTGATCAGGAGGACCTTTTATTGCGGGTGGAAACTGTTCATAACGTACGTTAATGATCACCGTGGTGGTCTTCTGACAACATTTCACGATTAACTAAAACAATCCGGTTAAAACAACCTTAAATTTTCTGGTTAGGAAGTGGAACAAGTTGCTGGGATGATGGACCAGTTCTGGACCATTCTCGAGGTTAGATATTAGCTTGCAAGGCGGAAAGGAATACTGTCGTGGCCTTTGGGCTCTTGTTCACTGTTGTTCATATTTGTATATTTAGGCTCAAGGAAAAACCGTTGATTCCATAGACAAAAATATTGCCGAAGCGGACATTGCAGTGGTCGATGCGAATTATGATTTATCTTTGGTAAGCCGTTTCAACGTGTACGAGGTAAAATATAGGTTATAGGTTATTAGGTTCACAAAAAGCTGGTACGAGAAACTTTTAATTTTAACTCAGAAGTCCAAAAGCAGCACGCGTACAGTGCATACGACGCACTTGTTTTACGAATACGTCTTTAGGCTGCGAAATATAAAGCGCAGATGTATCCCGTGGCTGGAGCTGTTATTGGAGGTGCGTACCGGTGAAAGTCTAATGTGTATTTAATATTTTGAAAATAGGTTTTGATTAGTTTTACTACCACTGTAGTTTTGCCTCCACAGAAATTCGATACGGATTAAACCATGTTTGATTTGTAGGGATTATTGGAGGTCCCGTGGGTTTGTTAACCGGCATCAAATTTGCTATGGCGGCAACTGCCGCGGCTGGAGTTTTTATCGGTAAATTGTAGCGGCACGTTCAGAATGCTTTAGAATATCGTAATTATTAATTCGGAAAAGATCAATTCGTACAAAAAAACAGCTCCGTAAATTAAAATACTGCGGCTTTCAATAGAAAAATTCGTTGCAGGATACAAAGGTGGAAATGTGTGGCGCAGAAGAACGTTATTGCAACTGCCTTTCGAATCAAAACCCAGAGACGCAAGCGATATTCCGCAAGTGGACGAAACGAATATTGCTTCCGGATAAAGCATCTATCTCCAAGCTTTCCACTGGAAAGAAAGTCGCAGTTGTTGTTACTTTTCGTTCTGTGATTTTATTACGCCAGTGCCGTCATCACAGCGCCTCCGACATCCATGATCTGCAGAAACTCATCGGCGCCATCCATCAGTCGGTGATCGGCAATGGCTATTCGCTCAATGATAGACGCCTTTTGGTCGCCACTCAGATTGTCGTTTTCCAGAATCTGCTTCTCAAGTTGAGAAAATAGCTGTCCAGCTCCATATCCAGCATAGATTAACTGCTGAACGAACGCTTGAACGTGGTCGTAGTTTCCAAGTTTGCAAGTGTCTACTAGGGTGATAATCTCTTCGTCCGGAATGTACTGCAATCGACGAAATTTGAGTCAGATTGTCTTCCACTGGATACCAGGAATATCAAATCGGTATTCGTGGGTCTTTCGTCAATTTTTGGCGCTAGCTATAATATGTGTACATACCCCAGTTAATTCCAAAACATCATCCTTAGTGATCTGTTCGTCCTTCATGAGCCGAGATATGCTTTGAAGAAGAGTAACAGCTCTTCTCAAGTCTCCATCTGCCGCCCCGATCAGAGCATCCAGTGCCTAAAAACATTACAGTATATTTCGGGCTTCCAAACACATACAGACACGACTGGCGAGTTGCGACGTCGGTGACCGGATCACTGACGAAAATTTCTAAACGCACTAAGGTGTACTTTGCTTTCGATTTTGACGTTTTCTTGTGCCGCAATATACTGCAAACGTTCCTTCATCACAGATGTCGGTAGTGGCTTGAATCGAAAACGGGCACAACGAGACACTAGTGGCTCAATAATCCTGAAAACAGCATTCATTTCACCGGTTAAACATTTGGATTTACATGTACAGATGACCTGAAATTTCCGGACTTACTTGCTGACATAGTTGCAAATCAGACAGAATCTCGTATTTTTGCTTTCCTTTTCCATAATCCTACGAAGAGCGGCTTGTGCGGCCTGAGTCATGGAATCTGCTTCGTCCAGAATAATAACTTTAAATGGAGGACATGGCTTGCCACTGCAATCAGACATTCAAAAGGACAACTATTTTTGGGAAATCTATCGAAGGTGCACATCCGGTCGCCCAAACTGTTTTTCTTCCTTATGCTTCTGGAATACTTTACTTGGCAAGTGATGTCTACTTACTCTGGACGAACAGGAGAACTGCTGTACTGAGCGAATGTTTTCACTTTCTCCCGAACAACACCAATTCCACGCTCGTCTGATGCGTTGAGCTCCAGAATACGCTCTTTCATGAGCTCCATGCTAGTACCAGCAATACGCACAATAAAGCGAAGAACTTAGAAATGCACATTAACATGTGCCAAATCATTTCGCGGAAAGGCATAAAAATATAATGCACGACACAAATAAGACATAATGCTAACTTATTTTTGTCGTACACTGTAGCTTACCCGAAGAGTTCGCGACAGACTGCCAAGATAGCGGACGTTTTGCCCGTTCCAGGAGGGCCATAAAAAAGGAAATGCGGAAACTATATAAACAAACACCGAAAAACATTTATTCTACCTTCAATAACTGTTCCAGCTCCAGCCTGTACGTTCAATCATCCAGGCGAACACGAAAGCATCAAACAATTCATATCGTACTATAATCGCAGAAAAACTTAATCATATTAGATACCTCGTTTCCTTTCAACGCATTCCGCAGCACGGCTACCACATCAGTCTGAAAAGCTATTTCTTCCACAGATTTTGGTCGGCTAAACAAAATCGTAGATTACAAATTAAAGACAAGTGCTTCAACTGTATAATCCAAAATGCAAACAAAGACACCGGCCAAACTAGCGCCTGTTACGGTTAGTTCAGTTTTCATATACGTACTTAACTTTCACCACAGTATAATTAGCAATAAATCAAAGTGTTATGGAATACATACACAGAGCTAGCAAACGGCCTAGAGTAAACAAAGTATACAGAATCCCAGCTTACTATTTATCGACCCATGGGAGGCTCTTCTTGACAGCGTTCGTACTTTTTGGAGCAAAGAATTTGCTGAACTGGCTTTCAGATTTTCCGGATGTCGAAGCGCCAGGTTGTGAATCCTTTTTGCTCGGGCTATTGCGCTTTGTTGTCTTGCTAGAGGAAGCATCTCCGGAACCGGAGGTTTTGCCTTTCTGGAGAAACTTGTCCATTTTCACATTCAAAATCAAATCTGCCTTAAAAAGGTCCACGGATTTGAAAGGAAAACAAAAGACCTGCACGGAATCTCGTTTTAAAGCATCTGAGCTCTAGCGCGTGTGCCGCCGTATTGAGCTGTACAATACGGCGGCACGCGTTCGGTGTGTTTCGTGCGACTACGTCACTGTGCGGTGCACCGGAAGCACCTTGCTAGCACCTTGCACCCACGATGAATAGGCAATAGTGAAAAACCAAAATAGTGAGGTTTGAAATCTGCAAATCATGTTGGTTTGCAACCCATCAATATCATTAGCGATCAATGGTCATACCTATTTCTGATTCTGGAGAGTTCTTGAATTTTGTGGTATTTTTTTCGTATTTAATAGATTGGTTTGTATTTTGAAATTTTTAGTTTTTTGAGTGGAACTTAATTGTGAACACAAGTGCTGTAGTTCTGGTTCAGCTGGACTTCTTTATCTCATTTAATTTTTAATTTTCAGCTTTGATTGTAAGCGGACGTCTGACACGATTAATATTTCGGTTCAGCCCTCATAGATTTTTCGCTGCTGACCTTCACAGACACTTTTTTTCCTGTACTTCGAGAACGGTTTCACGATAGTAACAGGACGACAGGAACCAGGTGAGAAGCACTATAAAATTAAGCGTACTTGAGGCACGTTCTGTAGGCTGTTACTGTTATGTTGCCATTCCAATTCTTGTTCTGGGGTTCTTTATTGTTTTACCTGGAGTTTGATCAGATGATACTCATAATGCAGCGAGAAAGTAAACAGACGACTTATGTGCTTAAAGCGAGACATGGATTTTATTATAGTCAAGTATTGCCGATACTTTGGCTCAAATAAATGACTTTGAAAGCATTTTATGGTTAGTGTAAGGCTTGCTGTTTTTGATGATTTACCGAAGTTAATTTGCGGCTTTAAGTTAAAGCCGCAAATTAACTTCGGTAAATCAATTTTAACTTTGAAGTTCATTTTTTAGTTGGTTTTAGCCGAATTCAGATGTTTCTGTGATTATTATGTGGCTATTTTGGTTCGTAGACGTGGACTTGATCGAAATACTCTGAGCTGCCAAAATGAAGTTGACTTTTACGACGCTGGACGGTGGTTTTGTCTCCTTGGATTTGGCTGATGACATGGAACTGGAAAATGTAAAAGCTCTGTGCGAAATGGATCTGGGTGTTCCGGCTGGCAAAATGGTCCTTTCGGCCAATGGGCGCGATTTGACGGACAACAGCAAAACATTGCAGTCCTGTGGTTTGAAGGATGGCGATATGGTTTTGGTGAAGATGATGGGTGCAGTTGCGTCCACGTCCCGTACTGGGGCTTCCACGGGGACTCCACCTACAAAAATCCCTAAAATCGATTTCAGTAGCATCCAGGTACCGCAGCTGTCCAGAGGTACATCTGCTGGAACATCGTCCGCGGCTTCTGCAAATTCTTCCGGATTTTCTCCTGCGGAACTGATGCAAGCCAGACTAATTGGGGAACAGCTGAAGAAAAGCATGGAGGGTGATCCTACAGAGCTGGAACGTCAAATGGCAAAATTCCCCGGACTTGTAGATGCAGCGCTGAAAAGTGATTATGCTGCCATTGCTCAGTTTATTCGGCAGGAAGAGGCGGAAGCACTGAGGAAACGACAGCTTTTGATAACAAACCCCGACAGTCATGAAGCGCAGGAGATGATTCAGGATTTGATTCGCCGCGAACGCATTCAGGTATGTGTGTCGTGGTTTCACGTTCGCCATTCTGATGCTATTTGTTTGTTTGCTGGCGTTTTTGAACAGTTTTTTGTGGAGTTATCGTGACTTACCAAAACTGCCACCTGTTCAGAGCGTATTTTTTTCTGCTTTTTTTGGAATATCATTTTTTTATTTATTTGGTTCTTTTTAACTTTCGTCATAAAAATGACTGTCTTTGAGAAAAATGATATTTTGGGTTTAATTTTTTTCGATACAATTTTCCTGTTATTTGGCTTGTTGGATTCTTTAATTTCTTTCGAATCTGCTATGTCAAACAAAGGCCCCGGTGTTATCAACAAACTGTTTTTTTTTTGCGAGCGGTATTTGCCTTTGGAAAGTTTTACCCGTAAATATCTGCAAAATTTTTCACATTCGTATTCTTTCTCGTAAGTCTCTTGACTGTTTTTATGGTCTCTCTTTTGGGGTTAATGTTGGTTGTTTTTTGTTCGAATTGTAAACCAGGGAAGTGCTCGTTTATTGCAATTCCGTCGAGATGCCGATTATCACTGGAATAAAATCGTATTTTAGGTTGAACTTTCGATGGTGAGCGGTCATACTTCGCTTGCGTCAGCTGTGAAGTGTAACAATAGTTTAAACGAGCTTATCGGTTAGGTTTGCAAATCCATAGTCGTTGTTATTTCAATTTTTTGTTTGGCTTTTGAACATTCTGGATTCAGTTATTATACCGCACAGCAGGACAAACACAGGGTTTGATACGTAAACATTACCATCGTTTGTCGTGTTTGAATTGTATTTTGTTTTTACAGGAAAATTTCGAATACGCCCTGGAACATGCACCAGAAAATTTGGCCACTGTCCACATGCTGTACGTCAACTGCTCTGTGAATGGTGTTAAAATGAAAGCCTTCGTCGATTCTGGGGCACAGATTAGCATCATCAGCCGTGAATTTGCTGAACGCTGCCATATTGCCCATTTGATTGATGACCGCTTCCAAGGGATGGCTGTCGGTGTTGGAACTCAGCGTTTTGTTGGGAAAATCCATGCCTGCCAGATGGAATTCGGTGGGGCATTCCTCACGACAAGTTTTTCAGTGTTGGATGGCAATAATATGCAGATACTTCTCGGACTGGATATGATGAAACGCCATCAGATGATTATCGATCTAAAGCGCAACGTTCTGGTCATCGGGACGACCGGTGCTGAGACAGCGTTCTTGCACGAATCCGAAATCCCGCAAAACAACGCCGGACAGCCACAATTTGTTCCAAATGAGTCAGACATTCAAGCACTTATCGGAATGGGATTCTCAAGGGAAGCCGCCAGGGAATCGCTCGTAAAGCACGAGGGAAACAAAGATGCCGCTGTTGCAGATTTGCTGCATAAACAGGCCGATAAAGCCACCAGTGCCAAACCCAAATAATTTCGATATATTCGTCTCATTAATTCTTTAACGGTTTGTACAGACTGATCGACGCTCAGAGTTGTTCCGTCCGTCTTTTGCGGGCATTTTTATCACTTTTTATTGATGATCGTATCGAGAAATGGATACGGAGTATGTATCGAAATGGAATTTCTTTTAGTTAAAAAATTTGCCATCAAAGTGTTTTGCCTTCAGTGCTAATTTACGTTTTCGAATGGGCCATTTGAAGGAAGAAATTCGCTGTCCTTTTCGCATTTTCTATGAACTCGTACATTTGTAAGCCAACGCAGTCTGAAAACCACCTCCTGCTTTGTCTCCAGAAATACAGCGTATGTAGTTTGATCTAAAAACGGAATATCTGTTATTAATAACCGCTTCACAGCTGAAGTTTGAATACTAAGATTCAAGAATCATTGCCGCAATTCTCTTGCTAGATTGCCAACACGGTGATACGCAATCACAAAATTATGAATCGAAAATTTAGCTATCACAAATTCCGCTAGAACAAAGATTCGCTAGATAATAGCATGGATGAAACCTTCGATTAAGGTCATAGCAGTGGCTGGATCTGTAGATATATGCGGTAACACATAAGATCGTATTACTAAAATAACTCAAGACAGAAAAAAACACTGGATTGTGCATAAAGGTCAGAACAAAGCGATATCGCGAAATTCCAGAAATACCTTTGTCACAATTACTCACAATCCTAAAAACTAGGTAAGTACTTGTTACGTTATTGTATTGTTTGTAATTTTTTCTCCATTTGAGTACATTCGAAAGAAACGCTAAATATTGCGTGAGTTTTGCCAAGACTAACCTTAAACTCTCACTGCTTGCTTAAAATGACCTTAAGGTCACGAAAAAATTTTATGTTGTTCCATACTGATTTGTTGAGAGTCTAAACTAATTATTATCATGAAACTAAAACCGATCTATTCGTGTACCAAACAATATATTCCTCTCGCGACAGAGCTGTCATTTGTCACCCTTGGAAGCAAAACCAGGAAAAAAAGCCTTTAGTGCATACGTGTAAAGGCTAATTCCGCTCCTGTCCCTCTTATGGGACTGATAGGTGTACTGTTTACCATATTTGCCTGCCAGTAATAGTAGAACAATCAATTAATTTTTATATGCCTGCCGGCAATAGAAAGCGAATAACATGTATGGGTATGTCCCGATAAAAATTAGGCGCAATGTAACGTAATGTTCGGTTGCGGCGTTTATTATTCGCGGCAGGTGCCGATGTCTCGATTACTGCATTTTTCCGGTCCGTGTACTCATAAAGCCAGCTGCAAGTGAACTGTGCCATCCATCAACCTCATGTATCATGCGATTGATGATGGGTTTGTTATTTTTTTGTTCGATTGTCCTGGCACCACAAGCTACCAAACAAAAGCTGACTGACGCTGTGAATTTAATGACCCTGTCGCGAGCCAGTAACGGTTTCCGCACATCAGAACCTATTAATCACAACTTCACACTAATGGACAACATAAAACCGGAACGTTCTAAAGATTAAATGTCATACGTGAAAAGATTTACTATGCCCATTTCCCGCAGTGTCTTTGTGACAATGCGATACGGTGTCCAAAATTTCATTCTGTTTCACCGTAACAATGACATTATTAATAGAGTGAATATTTTAAAATGTTCTTGTGTTAGCCAAACTTATTCTTGAAGGACGTCGCTTTGAACTTTCAGAACACGGATGCCAAGCTGGAGCAAATTTATCACGAAACAACAATTCTACATACTGCACAAGCAGCAGCTCTATTTATAATAATACTAACAATTTTATATCAAATCATGCTCCTGCTGTGGTACTAGTACTTTTTCCATTTTATCGTCGTGCGAGAATGACTGCGCAACTCCGTTCATAGTCACACTGGACAAATGACGTCTACACGAGTAATCAGAGCATTTTGCACGGGCACGAATTTATAAAATTCGACAATGTTACAGAAAGAATGTCTATCACATTCGCGAAATAAGCAGACACGCAATAACAATTACCACACGTCGCAAATAACACATCGCCTGCAGATTAGTAATCAATTTTTTGCAAAAAGTACAATAGCATTAATAATTTACATTATATCTATTGTCAGCCACAAAGAATACAAGAATTATTATTTTCCGTTATTATTTGTGAAAAAAATAATAAAAATGCTATACCGATTGCGGGTTACTTAAGTTTATCTATACCAACTTGCAACAACGATTTTATTTAAATGCGGAATCTGATGGGCTTGTTATAAAATCAGCACGATTCTAAAGTGAGGTACAATTCGATAAGATTCTCATTAGGCTTAAAAAATAAATATATGTATCGTGAATAGACGGTCATTCAGTTCCGGTTACTGCAAGGTTCGGTTTATATATGTTTACTTAGTTTTTGCCCAGTTGAGCATCTACATAATTAATCGGAAGGGAACGCTTTAAAAACTGGTTATCAGAAGACATATGCTGAAAACCGCCCTGAAAAGTAATAGTTCAGAGGGTCATGTTTTGTTTACAGCATAAAATAACATGCAGTAGTCGATCTCGCAGTTATAATACCCAGCGCTTCGTATAACACAAAATTTCGAAACGATCACCTGCATATAACTACATAAGTATTTCTTGTTATACTGTACGTAAAACAACCTATACCCTATAAACAACGGAGTTTTTCCTCTTTCCACGATGTGTATTTTTATTTGGTTTATTCGCTCTGAGTACAAACGTTGCGGCGATTGCACCACAAAAGGCAACATACAGTATACCTGCACCGCCTTTCACAGCAGAATTCGTGCGAAACCAGTTTCCTGGTCATAAAAGTGCTCGATAAATGGCAAAATTGCGGCACAATTTATGTACTATTTGTATCTATTTTAGTCAGCGCAGTTGCACTCGAGCAGAATGACATTAGTCACGTTATTATATTAAGGATGAAGTGTTAAATTTTGAAAGAAACTACAGATTTACGACGTTCTTTTGGTGACATTTTGAGCCATAAGCCGCGACTACCATACCGCGAAATTATGTTTATTGTTTCGAACATGGCTATTCGCGGTAGCATGCAGCGGAGATTAAAACGACAACGCATCAGACTGACTGGCGATTAGTAAGCCTCGCGGATATTTTTACATTCATTCCAACGTTAAATATGAGTTAAAAGGATCAATAATAAAGTTTATAGAATCCTATCTAGGCTATTAGCAACCTTTGTGCAAACAGCCCAAGAAATTTCTTCCAGCTAATAAAATCGAATAGTATTTCTTTCAGCAACGTTTAAAAGCATTTCATTTAGTGAACGTAGATGGTACTGTTGTACACGCTGTGACCTTAATCAAATCAACTCCTGCGCAGTATGACAAAACTTTTCTAAATAATATATCATAATCGAATGAAACAGATCAGATGCAGAAGTAAGCGAATAGGTTTAGTAATAAGCTAAATTACTAAAATTATTACAAGTACTCAAAGTGTTTATGACTATCTACTAGGGCTACCAAAGCCTTTATCTATGCCCTCTTTTTTAATGCACGGCGCCGCCTTTCGTCGGGTAATAACGGAGATTGCAAAGTCAAATCCATCCTTAAGCAAATCAAATAAATGTGCATCGAAAAAGTTTTTATCAACATACACAGTTTTGAATATTTTATGCTTTGGAAACTTTATATGGTCATACAATTTTTATTCTCTTCCGTGAAACAAACATTTTTCCATGGATTAAATCGATCGCGTATCGCACTGACGAGACTGATCAAATGCTCCCGGTCATATTTACTAATTTTGGGTGAAGTATTTTTCAAAACAAAAACAAGCCGCGCACGCTGGAGAGCGAACATTGATGAAGCGTTCGGCAAATAACGCACACGTCCAGATTCCGACTAACTAACACTGGGCAAAGTTTATCGACGGCAGCACAGCACCCGGGACTGCACTAAATAATTTCATTATAATTCTTGTCACTACTTGGTCCGGGAACAAATTTCCGTTAGTAGGCTGGAAGAAGTTGGTTAAACATTCCCAGCCGCACTTCCTGTATGCAGATCGTATGTGCCATCCGCGCAATTGCACGGCGCGGCGCCCGCATTTCTTCCTATGGACCAGTGCATATGCATCTGGCCGAAATGAACTAACGTGGCACCGTGTGCTGCTTGGGCGGCAGAAGCAGTACCGCACGAGATTATAATATTATTGGCACTGTGGCGTTCTCGAGATAAAATCGATATGTTTCACTAAGACCGCTCCTGGGAATGCTTAGAGAATTTCAGCGATTCCCATTGGGAATTAATATGTTTCTGGTCTGTTTCTTTAAAGTGTGTATATGTGTGTACATATAGTGAAGTGCGGCCGCGCCGGCGTTTGGGGAAGTTTCTACAGCTAAATCAACTCTCGACCTTAATGAAACCGCGACATTGCCTACTAACAGCTTGTGGGGGGTTTCGGGGGCGGGATGGATAATCAACTCGTTTACCCGTGCACATCCGCGCAGAAAATACGTCGACAATAGCATGGTCATTACCAATTTAACTCTATACAACCCCCTCGCACATGCTAACCCATGTTAAAGTCAGCTCTAAAGCCGAAATGTACTCAAACTCTGCACACAGACAAATTTGGAAAATTATAGGCTGTAAATAAAGTGTCAGTGAAAATGGTCGCGGCTATTTATCCAACTTTTTCGAGTGGGCCGAAAATTATAACTGCACTGTCAAGAAAGCAATTTTACGCTAGGGAAATATTTGTATTACGCCAAGGGAGGATGTAACGTTAGAAACAAGATCGTACTGCCTGCAAAATTTCTACATTGATCTCGCCTTATACTCGTAGTTGGCCTTTTGGTGGGTGCACATAAATTGCGCTAAGCCGGGAGAGAGGCGACGGAAAATTGAAGGATGGTCTCGGCCGGAGCCGATAAAAGAGCCAAAACTTGATTGTCGAGTGTGATAAACAATCATCGGTGATTACGTGCGGCAAAAATCACAGTCGGTGCACTACTGCACGGAATGATAAATATGCCTCGAGTGACATACGCAGGCAGCTGGATAGATCAGCGACGTCGCTGTCGCTGCTGCTGTATGTTGGTCAGTAACATAAAACTCACATTACAAGTTTGTCCAAAACCAGTGTGTGAGCCTGTCTCTTGTACGCCGCCACACCTTCCCATAGATTCAGATTCTTGAGAAATGTAATATGTGATTTCCAATAATTCCGCTAGTGGTGCGTACGGAAGGAGAAAATCCTTTTAGGAGACAAAG